GGCCCCATGTCGGTGACGTCCACAGGGCGGCGCCGCGGTTTCGGTGAGGCCCCTCCTCCAACAGCCTCGGAAAGTACCAGAAATTGGTATCCAGTACCTCGTCAATCGTCGAAGGGTGCCTAAAGTTCAGGGTCGCCTGCGGGCGGAAATTTCCGGGATACCCCATTTCCGCCCACCATGGCTCCCAGATGTGCTTCAGGCTCGGGGTCTTCACCACGCTCTGTCGGGTCACATTGTAGACCTGTTTCCACGGTGCCTGAGCCTTGGCCAACTGGGTGCCTGTCGATCGAGACCCCCGCAAGAGGGTGATCGCCATCTGCACCCACGGAAGGTTTGGCCGTCGCTCCATCCTCCCTACCCATGCAATCGACCATGCCGTTCGGGCCGCGTCCAGATTATAGGCAGCGAAACCGCCATGATCCTTCCGCAGGCGCGAATGCTCCGTCGACAGTCGGACCCGGGTACCACCCCAGATCAGGACCTGTTGCAATCTCTCGATCCGTCCCTGGTTTCGCCGACTCAAATCGAGGTGCTGTATCGCAAAAACCGGTACCGACACCAGCAAGGTCTTCGCGATTGTTAGTCGAGACCTCTGGGACAGCCTTAGCCGGGACCAGTTCGCCACTCGATCGCCCAAGTCCGCAATCATTTCATCCCAAAATTTCGCTAGGGCATCCCCGATCTCAAACCCTACCGGGATCCCCAGGTGCGTGTATGCTTCACCTCGGCGTAGGAGTTTGACGGCACGGAAGTCCCCCGTCAAGCCAGTTATGTCGAAACCTCCGAGGAGCATCAACACCGTCTTGACCCAATTGACTCTTTGCCCCGAAGCCTGTTGAAACACGCCGATGATCCGGCCCACTTCGATTAGCTCCGAGATGTCTCGAGGGAAGGTTACCGTGTCGTCCGCGTACAGACAACACTTTACCACGTCCCCATTCGATAGTTCTATGCCGGCCAGCAAGTCGCTTCGTTGAAAGGACATCGCCAGCGGCTCCATCACCAGATTGAACAGGATACACGACAGGGCATCGCCCTGGCGCACCCCACTGCTGACCTGGATCGCACGTCCTCTTTGGCCGTTCACGTAGGGCACAATCGTCGCATCATGGTATAAGGCCTTGACCCTCCGAATAAAACTGTCCGGAAGCCCAATGCGCCTCATCGCCGCCCATAAGTACGTCCGACTGACCCGATCGTAGGCCTTTTCTTGATCGAGGAACAGGACCCCCGCCCCGTCCTCGTCGTCCCCAAATTTATCAATGACACCCTGTACCAGCTTCACGTTGTCCCCTATGAAACCGACTCGGTAAAAACGCCGATTGGTGATCCCCAAGGACCGACTCAAGCAGCGGGACCAAGCGTTGTGTTAGGGTCCACGTGTACATCCGATAGTCTGATCCCATAATGGATAGGGGCCTGTAGTTCTTGATCTCGGTCGGATCGTCCTTCTTGTACAGCACCGTCAAAACCCCCTCCAGGAACCACCCCGGCAAGGATTCCTCCGCCTGTACCGCCCGGAAAAACACCACCAAGGCCTTCACCACAGCTGAGTCTTCGCAATCATCCTGATCACTACCCCTGTGTGTCATTTGCGCCTTGTACCAATCGTGCGGGATGCCGTCTGCACCAGGGGCCCGACCAAGCTTCCCCTTTAAGATTGCCTTAACGACTGACACGGCGTCAGCCGGGTGGTCCAGCCCTCTCGCATCATTCCGATCTACTTTTTCCGTCATGGCGCTGAAGAGCTCCCGCCGCGCCTCCCGGTCGGAGGGCTTCGGCTGGTAAAGGTCCCCGTAAAAGGCCTCCACGACCGCCACCATCTCACCCGCCTCGGAGGTCACCCGACCGGCGGCATCTTTGAGCTTTGGGATCGCGTGGCCCTTCCCCTTCATCCACTTGACCCGCTGGTAAAAGCTGGTGCTGGGGGTCTCTTCCTCGACGTAGTCTCTCACGAAGGCATTATGGCAGTAGTCGCGGCGGTCATCCTCTTCCATTTCCTTTAGCTCTTCGAGTAATGCCTCCCGCGCTGCCGCCTCCCGGGTGTCTTTCTGGGCCTGTAGTCTCAGGGTATGCTTTCGGGACCGGAGGGCGCCTCGCAGCTTCGCCTCCGACCGTCGTGCCAGGCCCGCTATCTCTTTCTTCAGTTCCAGCCATGCCGCTGTTGAAATTCGGATCACGTGACTCTTGGTGTCTTGGCGGTCACGTGACATGGTTACATGACACGCCTTAGCGCGCCCGTGTCAAGTCGCTCTTTCCTTCCATAGAACTCTAGTTATAGTTAATACAACTAAGTGTCCTACCTTCATATTTTGATAATATCAACGATAGTCGGTCTGCAGTCGTACTGCAAGATGCTCGCAGTAATGAAGGTCGAGCAGCCCTCAGTAGCGTGCTTCAACAGAACCTGGAGCTTGTCGTGAGAGTCTTCTTTGGTCTGGAATGGGCATCGGTACGCATGAAGGTAATACATGTTGGTAAGGTCATTTGCCAGAAATTGGACTCTCTGGCATCTGCTTGTAAAGGGCTAATTACCGAATCATACCCCGAAACTATGAATCCTTACCGAATCATACCCCTAATTACTGAATCATACCCCTACACCAAAATTTGGGGTATGATTCGGTAAGGATTAATTGCTTGGGGTATGATTCGGTAATTTACCAAACTTGCTGTGTAGACTATTGGGAGTGAAGACTGTGTGTGAAACTCATAGACTAAATGTAGACAGGCTAAGGGGCCAAATTTAGCCCACTGTTAGCAGCAGCCCCACGGGGGCCCTACGACGGCCCTACGGGGTCCCTATTTAGGTCCAAATAAGGGTGTCTGGCTATCAAACGCAAAAAAAGCCTGGTCCCGGGGGTGTCTGCGCTTAACAGCCAGACACCCCCATTTGGACCTAAATAGGGCCCCCGTTGGGCCGTCGCAGGGCCCCCGTGGGGGCTCGAGGGTCGGGGACAAAAGTCTCTGCCGACTTTCTCCCGCAGCCCCCACCAAAAGTCGGCAGAGACTTTTGTCCCCGACCCACGGCTGCTGCTAACACCCACTCGGCTTTCGTCTAATATATTTAAGCTGGTAGGTCACCCATTGAATACTGTCGGAGATATTTCCTCTTTTCTATGGTTGCGATTTTTATCATGAATGGCAAATTACCGAATCATACCCCAAGTAATGGCAAATTACTGAATCATACCCCTAGGGGTAGGATTCAGTAATTAGGGTATGATTCGGTAAGGATTCATAGTTTCGGGGTATGAATTAGTAATTAGCCCGTTTGTAAACCAAAAGCAACACTCCATAGCGCGATGGAATGTACTATTTCGCATATGGAAGGATACTCGAATATCGTGGAATTCTATTCCAATTACGTTGAGGACTGCTCTGCTGGATACATTGTGTCCGAAAAGAAGAAATTTCTGAAGCCAAATTCATCTCATAAGACACGTAACATATATTTGTTCGATCATCAACTTTACATAATGAGTAGATGCTCAAGGAGAAGGTAAACGCCCAATCGCACGCGCCGCATCATCTCTGCCGAACCACTCTTCCCCAACAAGCTGATAACGACAGGAGTACACACGCCGGTAGGCATTGCGGACAATCGACTCGCTTGTACCGACCACTTCCGCAACCCGTCGGGCAGTGACAGGGCTACCGAGCATATGAGAAGCCATGAAAAGACCGATCGCTGTCATCCACCTTGGATGAAGATGAGACATGAAGCCCAAGTCGTGAAGATGGTCAGCAATACTGTAACTGAAGTCGACGAATCTGTCGTCCAATCTAAGCTCGTCGGAACCTTCTTCGCAACCTACCCTGAGCAATTCCGATACATGGTCGTACTCTATCTCCTCATCGGTCATGGATGGAGCAGGCCAATTCAAGGGATCTACCTCATCGAAGGCGTTGTCCAATAAGGAAAGGAAATCGGCATCGACGATTTGTTCCCGCTCAGGGTAGATGAGATCGTAGGTGTAGCGGATGTGATGGGCATCAACGTGTGTCACAGCAGCTACTTCTCTTGCAGATCTCGGCTCGCCTGCAAGAAAAGAGGCGATGTAGATACTCACTGCAACGATGCACCATTCGGTGTGATCTTCATTCCATCTCTCCATCTCCACCAGCTTCTGAATTATCAATCCCGAGACCACGGTGATTTGCATGTCAAGTCCGAGCTGAGCACAGACATTGTGATTGAGTTCTCTAACACTCGGCCGATCGCCTTCATCCTCGATCTCCCCATTCTCGTGACCGTCCAGGATGCCATGCTCGAGGTAGGGTCGTGGTTGTGCTGGGAAAAATTCCCGCCGGCAAATTGGGCATGAATTGTGTTCTTTGAGCCAGGTAGCAATGCATGCTGAGCCGATAGAATGGTTGCAAGGAAGGCGCATTTCCACCTCGATGGTTCCGGTCTCACGACAGAGGGTGCCGTACCCTTCCATGCATATGGCACAGGTCTCATCCTTATTCTGTACGCTGTTTTGCATTTGGAGAAGATCGTAGAGGAATGCTTCGGCCATTGTGAAAGCCGGATCTTGGTAGTTGAGCTTCTGCTTTGTGAATGCTATGTTCTGGTCGAGTCTGAGAGTATGGCAACTGTGAGGATCGAGAGCGATGTTCTGTGAATTCAGAACCCTGAACGAGGGAGAGATGGAGAGATAAGATGGCACTCGACTCTCCATGGAAAAAGCCTTTGTTTGATCTTGCGTTTTGTTATGCGAGGCTTTGTCAATTTGTTTGTGACTGACGTTTGTATCAAAGAATGGCTTTGTCACTCTTCGTCGGAAAAGCTTCGAACACTGCTCTTTGTCAAGCGCGGCGCAACAAAGGAATGTTAGCCAAACAACAGATGGCATCTTTGTTCATGAGAAAAGGCATCTCATATGTTTTTGTTTTTGCTCCTAGATCATTTTTCCAACTATCTCCTCTCAACAGTACAACTTTTTCATACCCATTCCAATTCAAGATACAACTCAAACCAGAAGAGCAACAACAAAATGTGTCGCGGAAACCTTCAGTATTTTGGAGACTGTGGCCACGAGAAGAAGTTTCACCCTACCAAACTCTGCCCTTACTACTCTCCAAATCAAGACAAATGTCTCGGCACTCTCACAATCTGCCATCAAACAGTCATACATTCACCGGCCATTTGTGTATCGTGTGCCGTCCGCATCGAAACAGGCATGATCCTGGAGTGCGATCGTGCCATTCGAAAATTCGAAAAGAAAATCGAGACACTGAATCATGCCTTGAGCAAAGACAAAGATACGTTGGTCCATCGTGCGATGATATCTGAGCGTGCAAAATTGATGAAGGCTCTGACTGAATTTACAGAGAGAAAGAACGAGGAGCTGGCGGTTTTCCAGAAGGAGCAGGGAAGAAATGCTCCCGGCCGGGCCGAAGATCTTCCTCATGATTGGTGGAACGACGAGGAGGAGGATTCAGTTCAGCCATCGAGATCCCGTCATGGTTGGTGCGATGATGACGATGAGGACAGATCTCGGTTGGTGGCACCTTTCGATGATCGATGGAACGATGACCTTCTCCAGGCCAGGAAAATCCCTTGTGAATAATGCACTGGTGAGGATGAGAACTGACATCATTTTCGATATCATATGGGCTTGGGGACAATGACCTGTGTGAAAGTAGGCGTTTAAGATAGGGATTGGGAACCCCCTGCTATTGCTGCTCGAGTTAGTATATCCATTTTGATTTCATATTGTCATATTGAAGGTCAACCACTAGGTGCATTTGTAAATAGGCAAGAAAGTTGTAGCGCACTTCTCACGCGACAACGGTGGCTAGGCTGATGACCTCGACGCTGCATTGCATTGAATTCGTTAGGAGCTACCTGTTCATCTTGAACAGGATATTCGGAATATGTTCTTCATCTTCGGTTACCTAGGCTTACCTAAAGCCCACGCTTCAGCGGCCTATTCTCTTCAACATTCTGATGCGTGGGCAGTCTTATTTCCAGAGGCACGCCCGAATCTCCAGATTGCTTGCTTTCCCATGGAGATGACCCCTGTAACAAGACTCCGTCTGCGACGCGCGCATTGCTGGGCCATATCCGTTCTTTGCTGATGCCCGCACTTGCGCTGGCTAGCCTTCGGATTTGTAGTATTCTTTGAAAGTAGAGATAGAGAGGGCGGAATGTAAGGGCATTCGCGCATAGGATGCCGACGTTGACTTGCGGTCTGTTGCGTCAGCTGGCTCAGCTTGAGATTCGCTGAGAAGTGAGGCTGATCTTAGCAATTTACAGCCTCCATGCGACATTTGCAGATATTGCCCCTACGATGTTGAGCAGGTTTGCTAAATCCACAACTGCCATCGTCAAATATAGTGAACTCGCTTGTTAGATCCGGGTCAGTGATGGCAGGAGAGAGAGCCGTGCGCATAGTACAGCATATGGCCGCACTGCAGGTCCCTTTAGTCAATAGCCGGTACTGATTTCTTCTAGCCCCATCAGTACGCATAGACCTATTCTAGTCTTCAGGCTGATCTGAAGGTTTTGGAGGAAGAATGCTGGCAGCGCTGTGCAGATCAGATCTCTGATTATCGACAGGACTGTTTGGCTATATTGTCAACTCTGTACGTTGTCCGCTCTCGGAAGCGACCTTAATCCTTTGCGCAATGATGATAGATGTAGCCTGGCGATTCGAAAGGCAGGAGCCATTAATGCCCACAGCCCAGTATGTCTTCAACGGCCTGCAGATTCATAGAAATAGGGACACGAATATTGCTCTTAAAGAATCATGAATCGAATTAGTCCGTACATCATCATCGTTACCTAGCTCGAGTCGACGATACGTAAGAGAAACAAGCCTATCGAGATATTGGTGAGCGTGAGTGTGATGAAGACTTGCACCCAATCGGCCCAGCCAAGGGCCTGGAACTTCCTCTACGGCGCAGACTCAAGATAGGAATCGTGTCTCCCCAGACCATCGAAGGCTTTTAAGGTAATAAAAGAGGCTCCCATAATGCGATAGTAACTCAGACGAAATTTTTTTTTTATTATTTTTAATAATATTTATAATTTACCTTAACTAACATAAAAAAAAAATTAAATTATATATAAAATTATAAAATAAATAATAATATTAATAATAATAAATTAATTAAATAATAAACTAATAAAACAAAATATTATTATTATAAAAATTAATATTATATTAAAATTATATATTAAAAATAAACTATTAATAAAAATTAATAATAATAATATATTAATTAACAATATTATTAATTAATAACAAAAAATTATAAATTTTAATAAAATAAAAATAATTTATAATAACTAAAATAAAAAAAGTTACAAATTAATAAGTTTTTAAAAGATAACTTAGAATATTATTAAAAACATAAATATAATTTAATAATTACTTAAAGAAATTAATAAAAGAGCTATAAATTTAAAATATTGTTAACAAAATATTTTTATTAAATATTATTAATAAAATAATTATTAAAATAATAAATTTAAAAAATTAAATATATTATTAAATAATTAAATAAAATAACACAATAAATTATAAATAAAATAACTTATATAAACTATAAATAATAAAAAATATATATATATATTAATAATATTAATTAAGTAACTAAATAACGATATAAAACCATTAGTTTAAAACTATTAAAAATATTAATAAAATAATAATATTATATAAATATAATAAATAACATTATAATAATTAACAAATAAATATAAAATTTAATTTATAATTATATAATTTATTAACTATTATAATATAACTCTAAAAATAAAAATAAAATCAAGAAATAGAGCAGCGTTAGAGCAAAGACTTTGTAATTACGCTATTACGTTATTACATAAATTAAAAATAAAATCAACGCTTAACATAAAAATATATAAATAATAAATAATTAAACGACAGTAATTAATAAAAATAATAAGAAAATTAAAATTATAATAAAACCAGATATTATAAATAAAATTACATAAAAAGTACATTTTATATTAAAATAACAATTATAAAATTTAAAACTTATAAATAAATAAAAAAAACTAACAAATACTACTATAACTTAAATTTTTATTAAATAATAAATTAAATAACCGCCTTAATAAAAAAGTATTAAAATAAATTATTAATATTATAAAAAAATATACTAAATAAAAGGAATAAGAAGATTATAGTGGCGAAGCGCTATATACACGTAAATAATTATAAAAAAATTAAATTATAAAAAAAACTATAAAACTAATAAAAATATTAATAATATACATAATAATTAAAAACAACAATATAAAACTAAAGAGTTAAAAATAACTTAAAATATAAATATAAAAATATAAAAAAAAAAATATAAAATATTATAATAATTTATTATAAATACAAATAAAAAATAAATAATAAAAAAAAATAAGTTACGACTATATTAAGATATATAATATTTATCACGGATTAAAGCTCGATACGCCTATATAGCGAATTAAGCTTACTTATCGCTATTAAACTATAAAATTTCATAACTTTTACGGCTTTTAGCAGTAAGTATAAATATTATCTATAATGCTATTTATATATAAATCATTTATAAATAATAATATATTTTATATTTATTATAATCGATTCCTACTAATAAAATATTTTTTATATATACCTATAATATATTAAACGATATTATTAATAATAAGCTCTATATTTACTATACTTTAATTCGCTATTACTTTATTTTAAAATTAAGCCGAGCCCGTCTTTTACCATACAATAATTAAGCGATAAATTAGATATTAAAATACTTTTACCTACCTAACGATAAATAAATATTAATAATAACTATTAATAATAGAGTTCCTTATATAAATAGTTAATATTCTTTATTAAAAATATGTTCTTTAATATATAGATATTATCTAATTCTTAGAAATAAGAACGACTTCGTTAAGGGAGATCTCGCTATAAATAATAGATAAAAGTATAATATAAAATAAGATAATAACCCTTACAGCGCTTACGGCTAATAAGTATTATAATAAAATATATTAGCTTTAAAATTATAAGATAAATAATTAGTAATATAGCGATTAAAATCTAAATACACTTAAGTAAGAAGTTCTTATAAATTTATAGAATTATTTTAAATTATAAATAAGATAAAATATAATATATTATCTCTCAACGTATAAATCAAATATCTTATATACTTACTTAATCTATTACCTTCGCATTATAATAATATACAAACCTTTTATAGACTCCGATCTTATTAATAATAATAACTTTAAAGATTAAAAAATTATTAATAAATAAGTATAAGAAAGGCGTTTAATAAAATTAAATAACTATAAGCGAAAAGTATAATTAATACTACTAATAATAAACTACTAATACTAATAAAACTAACCTATAAATAGATAAATAATAACGAAAGCCTAACAATAAACGATAAGTCTCTTATTACTAAAACTCATTAATTATATAAATTAACACGAGTAAGTAAAGGCATAAAATAAATATAATTATCATTAGATTAGATATATTTTAAATAATACTAATTACCCACTCCTTTATACTACTACTATTAAGATATAAATTAATAAAATAATTATATTATTTAACTATACTAACTCTACTATAAGGAGTTTATTATATTAAAATATACTATTAATATAGGCGTATTTTTACAAAGTAGCTATTAAAGAACTATCTAAAAGCTTTACGCCAGCGCTACTATTAAAAAAGATCGCTACTAAGTATTCTTTACTATCTTAGCATTAGATCTCGAGTTAAGTTTATTGATTTAGTTCTCTAACGAGAAGGTAATTAAAGTATAGTCTTTATATTAATACTTATTAACGTTCGTCGTATATCATAAACTCTTAAGCTTCTTTAGTAACTCGTTTATTCCTTTAATTCTTTATACGCTTATATATCGCTAAAACACAGAGATCTATAATTATATAGAGATAGCCAAGTCGTCTATGTATACTCTATAACTTATACTATTAAATAATCTTTTATCGAGCTTAGCTCGTTAATGAGATACTTTAAAATTATTTAGCGCGGCGATAGCGTTATATTAATTTTTTATCTATATCTAAAATATAGAGGGATTTTAATATAGCGGCTATATCGCCTTGCCTTATAGTTATCGTAAAAAGAATTTACCTGAATATATAATTATCGCCTCGATAAAAGTAAGTCTATATAATAAATTAGATATTAGAACTTATTAGTAGATACGTATATAAAGCATAGTAGTAAAATAATCAAAGTTAGTAGTCGCGTCAGCGACTATACACTCTATTATATTATTATTATTAAAAAGGATATTATAAAATTATTAGTTTACGCACCGACGCGATTAATAATAATAAGATACTTATAATAAAAAGTAGACTACTAGTATAATAAGATATACTATATTTATATTAATATTAATATTAACGTTATAGCCTAAGTAAACACTTATAAAACATTAGAATTGCGAAGAACAAAAATAAATAATTCAAAGGGTTTTATATTTCTATCGCAGCGCTATTATTAGCGAATAGCACTTAATAATGTAAATAAAGCGACGCGATAATATTTTGCTATTATCTATAAAGCGCGTCGCAGCTATCGTTATTATTTTTACTATTATTAATTAATAATTAAAATATTATCGCGACGCGTCCTATCATTACTTTCTTAATTTTATAATAAAGTTATTATTACTTACTTCTATAAACGTAATACCTATAAAATACTTAATAAACTTTTTACTATTAAATTTTAATTTTATTATAATTTTAAATCTAATATATCCTATAGAATTATAATACCTATAAATCAACGTATTATTTTTTTTTTTTTTTTTTTTTTTTTTTTCAACCTTGGTGCTCACCGGACATATATTTACGACTGCCATAATCCCATCATCCCGGCCAAGAATTTGTGTGAAACGTGCGCGAATCCATGGCACGTCTCCGCTGTGCCGTAAAACGTGTGCGACTTGGGGTGCTTCAGCAGATCTGTGAGTTCCGCGCTTCTACTCGCAATCAAAACACTTAGAACAAGCGTGGCTTGCAGAGCATAATGATAATGTGACCCATTTCACCAAAGATTTTCGTCTTTGTCAAATCACATTCAAGGGAAGACATGTGTTTGGCTGTTTCACAGTCATGTAGGAATGATTATGTGCTTCAGCAGATAGGTCGCCTCATATTCCTGAGACTTCGATATATTAAGCACCTGTCCTGCGCTGAGAGGAATATCTTCAGCTCCCGCTTGAAAATACTTTTGACTTCTTCTCTTCCCTCTGATTTCCCTCCCTCTGCATAAAATCTTTTCATGAGCCCGTCAATCTTTCCCATCATCGCCTCTGTGCTTCGATTCATTCTCGCATGACGGGACCTTGTACAGGTACAAAGAATGGGTGCTAAGTATTGAGGGCGTGGCGTCGAGCTCCCAGCGAGGTAGACTTCGCCACGATGATCTTGAACTTAGATCACTTGTCTTCATCCATGACGTCTACTGATGCTTAGCTCAGAGACAGATAGGGGCTCGTGTCCGATTAGTGCGCCGCATCACTCGGTGAATAGGACGTCTTGAGCATGGTGCTGGTATGAAAGCTGGATATCGTTGGCTTGCTTGACGGGACATGAGATTCAAAGAACGATCATGAAGACAAGTGCTTCGATGAATGTCTGCACGGCAAATATGCAGAATGCAAAGGAAACACTCCTGTGACAATTGCAGGCAAATTTCAGAAAAACGTGTTCGTGAGAGATACGGCTCCTGGATGCCGTTTGTACGATCGCAATTTGCATCACACGCACACAACATGGTCATACCTCGCCATCAGAGTTTCTGCATAGTACCATCTGCTGTAATATGACCACGAGAGCATTGTTCGAAGCGCATACTTTCGAGTCATCGACGACTGCAACACCAAAGCCAAAAGGAGCAGAGCAATCAGCCGACTATGAAGTCATTATATAATCCTTAAAAAAAATTATTAGCAGAATACGAAGTAAAACAAAGTGAATGCTAAGCCTTCATGCACTCTATGAGCGAAGTCCCCCCAGTCGCTAGGATAATGGGATGGAGTGCAATGCGTCATTCATCTGAGGTTTTTTCGAGCACAAATCTGCCTTCCGATCTGTGCGGCAATGTGACATGATCTTATGCGCATAGCAACTTTAGAATGACAAGGAATGCGACACCATGAGTTCCAGGCCTGAAGGAATGACTTCATACCTGTGCCACGGTTCCTCCACCAACTCTAGAAAATTAAGAACGTGCGAGATAGTCTCGAAACGTATCGATGTTGGCAAGATACATTTTCTCAATAACACGTGAGATCGGCAAATGATGAATCTGAAAGTAACGAGCACTAGAATGATTATCTTGTGGTAGCATATATGCAGCGAAGAACTATCACGGTCTAGGGCAAAAGAGAATTCTTCATGACATAGATAAAGGACCTCCTCTCAACGTCAACACTAACAGCAGACCAAAGATCCTGTTGCCTCTGTCGAGCTCTTCGCCGGAATGCCTTGAATAGAATACTAAGAAGGGCTCGAAACAGCGTACCCCGACCCTGGCGCGGAATCGGCAGCACCAGCCGTTCCATTCGAGGACGCAGGAAAGCAATTGGGGTCATTTGCCGTGCCGTTGATATGCGGCCCCGTCCAATTCACCATTTCACACGAGTCGTATACGCCGCAATAATCGACGCAACTCGCCAGGGTGTCGGTAACTGTGCTGGAGAGAGCCGCACTGCCGGGAATGGCGAGCGTGTTATCGCAACCGATGGTCCAAGCGTTGCCGTAATCGTCGTAGTATGCTTGATTGTCGTAAGACACGCCTTGGGTGTTGTTTGTCGTGCAGAGATTCTGATCCTCGAGAGTGCCAGGGGAAGGACCGTTGACGTTGACACCGCTGTACAATCCGTCAACGGTAGATGCCGCGTAACCGCCAAAGCTCCATTTTGGATAGCAATTGCTGGAATTACTTGGGGTGGAGGGCGGATCTTGGTAGGTGACAGCAACACAGTCCGTTAGTAGGGAGCAATATTCGAGGCAATCCTCGAAGCTCTCGGCGTGTGCGTCGGAGTCGGCAGGCGAGGATTGTAGGTCCAAGTTGCACCTAATGTCGTACGTGTATCCGAAATAATCACTGTATTTGGTGTTGTTACCGACATAGTTGGCCGAGCTAACACATGATGGAGTCGCAGACTCAAGAGTTTGCTCGGCAGTGCTGGATCCTACGGTTGCAGTGGCACCACCGTTGGCTGTTGCGGTGGCCCCGCCATCAACCCCGTAGACTGATGGATCCATGCCACTTGTGTTGCCCCCATGGGCTGTCGTTTCGGTGGCACCACTGTTGCCGCCGATGGCTGTTGCGACAGTACTACTATTACCGCCGTTGGTTGCTGTTGCGTTAACACCGCTGTTACCTCCGTTCGCTGCTGTTGCGGTGTTAGTAATATTGGCCGTCGCAGAGCCAGGTGTGATAGTAGCCGCGGTTATGGCGGTGTTGGAAAAGGTATAATTCGAGAAATAAGAGCTGTCAGTGGTGCTGTAGACATATGTGGAAGTTGACTCGACCGCAGCGGAGGAGGTGGTGGAGCCAATGACGACCGATTCATCCGAGCCGGTGGATGAGTCCGCGACGACTGAGGCAGAAGAGATGGGTGAGTAAGAGGTGGATGAAGTTCCGATGGTGGAGCTAGCCGATTCAATCGTACTGTAGGGGACTGCTGACAAGCTAGCGACATTCGGCGTAACGTGGTAGACGAGTGCGTAACCGCCAGGGGCGCCGCAACATTCGCTACTATTGCCCGCACAAGGGATGCAGTCGCCGCTGGTGACCTCTCTCTTGTTTTTAGATGGGGGAACAGAAGATGGTGAGCCGTTGGGTGCAGATGAGCCACAATTGCATTCATCTCCTAGCAGTTGTCAGATCCAAAACGTTCGCCGATACGACTCTCACGTATATACCGTTCTCGAGCGCCATGTAGGGATATCCTTGACAAGTGGTATCACAGAGCTCCGTTGTCATCTTAGGGCTGGTGGAGACGGGACCACCCAAGAGATCTCCGTCTGCTGGAGCAGGGTAGTAACCAAGAGCATCAAAATGTCCAGTAGTATTATGTCCAGTAGTGTTGTTGCTAGGCATGATTGGGGCACTGGAAATAAAGTCAGCATGCTTCTTTTCCAATTTATGTTGTCCTAGGGAGAAGTGGTCCTACCCGCTGTTGGTAGCGGAGCCAGTACCGTTGCCAGACCCAATTGAGGCCCCAGATCCCGATCCGAATCCAGAACCACCTGCGCCAGAGCCAGAAGTGTTGCCGGCCCCAGCGGCACTACCACCAAACGCTCCAATGCCTGTACAGAAAGGATCGGTATTGATGGATACGGTGACAGTAGTCACGTATTGAGCAAGTGTCAGCGTTGTATCATTGCTTAGAAGAGCCAACAGCGCAAGGGCAAGCCCATCTCGGGACTTCATGTTGGATGAAGGAGTGAAAGCCCAAGAGTTGAGGAGGATTGATTAGCAGCGATTATTGTCTTTACGAAGTAGTTTGTAGAAGTATTACTCAGATGGAAAGTAGAGACAATAACAAAAAGTGTGCTGAATGGAAGAAATTATGAGCGTGCTAAGTTCGCAGGCTTATAGCACTGACAATCCTTCCAGAGAAATGAGAATGGTCCTTGGAATGATACACATCGCGTTGTCTCCTCGCTAGCCTGCATTCCTCGGGGGCAGAAGAATGTTCAAAACCTTAAATTACCAACCACGCAGCACGCTTCGATATTAGATGCTTTCCTTATTAACTTCGCCTATATCTTCACTTCAGACGGTTGTGATCGAACCAAAGGAATGGATTTGCTGGCGTACGACGCAACGAAAACAACAGAAAGGAAGCGAGATCAAACGGAAGACCTTGTATGAAGTACGTGATACATTGTCAAAGTGAAACGAACAAGACATTCTGCATTTCAGATAGCTGCTCCGACGCATCCCTCCTTGATTACGAGAATAGCTTGCAGTCTCAGCCTCTAACCTAGTTCGAAATGAGCTATAGTGGCGCTAAACATAGCCACTCAAGATGTGCTTTGGGCCATTACGCCAACAATCGTAACATACAGTTGTTTCTTCGGGCCCACGGCCTCAATTCCACCCAGATTAAAAACTGCGCCAGCCGTACACTGAATCGCTAGAGCAAAAGCCGCCCCCTGAATCTCTAGGAGGGTCATTGTGTCTTCCTGGTCGTCGTAAACCATGTCTAGGTTGACGACACATGTGCCACTGTGGAAGGTCTTTGGAAGCTTGTAGGTTGCATGTCTACCGCGACCGAAGGTATAATGTTCCATGACTGACCCTTTCGTTATCTGCATGGCGGCAGCTGCGCAATCGTGGTAGGTTGTTGGGAGGCGGACCGGGCTGGGATATAAGCAGGGGTTATCATCGAGAAAAGTAGTATTGATGATTGAAAGAGTGGGAGGATTCAATGTGACTGAGTTGAACAATGTCGGTAGATGGGGCTGCAGAGGACTTGCCAAAATGACCGGTGCGAGGTAGAATAACAAGATTTGAGCGCTGAGGACTGCAAGTATTGGCAGCATGATAAGATGGGCAGTATACGTAGGGGGGGGGATTCTGAGCAACTAGAAACGCTTTAGAAGGAAACTGGCCCGGAGGCTATTTGCATCTTGCGCTTGATTGTGCTGTACCTTGTTTCAACACTTGTTGCGGCTTTTTCTTCCACGCGCGCATTGGTTCTTGCGAACAAATGAGGCATCAATCTTTACGACTACGATTACTCAACCTGGGCATCGTCCCGAGACCGGAGCCTCGTCTGCCGCTGTCGGGAAAGCCTAAAATAAGGTGCGGGTTGAAGAGTGTCTGTGCTCAACCAGCGGTGTAGGAAAATGGAGAGAGAGCCAAGGAGGGCAGAGGCGACGAGTTGTTGAGAATAGGATCAACGATGATGATGGGGGCTTCGTTTCTCAGAAGCCATAACATCAAAAGCAGATTTGGATGATTTTGACACGTCGCGGCCTCCTGCCTTGGTGTCGAGCCATTTCAGGGCCAGGCAGTCAACCCCACCGGTATTGGAACAACCCCAATCATATGCGACCAGTAGGAACCAGCACATGGTGCTACCGCTGCAACCTTGGAAGTTGCTTCAAGATTCACGACCGGCACTGGATGGGCCAAGCTCCAAATCTGTCCGTCTGGATGGTCCGTTTCGCTGACTTGGATGTCGCCGCTCATTGGTTGATGAGAAGCCGAGCTTTGAGTAAGGCTACTGTTCTTGCTGTCTTGTGTAACAAACAGACAAGGATCGTCGGCTTCGCAGGATTGGAGAGACTTTGGCTTCGATTTGTGGTAGAATCGATGGCTCCCAGAAATGCACCCTTGAAGTCAGCTTACTTAGCTGGACATGATCTTATGCCATGGAAACGTTATTGGCGTATACGCTGCAATGACGGTCGAGTTGCAGCCCCAGAAAGCGTTTCGTAGTGTGGCAGCAAGATCCGGTCCTCCGGACGTCCGAAACACACGGACGAAGTCTTTATAGGGCGCCTGGATCGTGCTTGTATACCGGACAATCAAAGTCGGAGTCGAGGTATCACCCAGGTATAGTAATGTAAGAGATTCCTCAGCAGATGTAAGTGAACGTTGGCCTGATCATTGTCGATGACGGCGTCGCTCGGACGAATGCTGGAAGAATGTTGAGGATCATGACGAAGGAAAGAATGAAGGGAGCATTGACATGATAGAGTGACAAGTTGTCAGGGCGATAGAAATCTGTCTTCCATGAGTCAGAAACCTAAGAGCAATGACTGAGAATGAACAGGAGCGTCAGAAAATGCCTGCTATTTCCCTTTCAGTGGTGTATGGCCTGAGACGAGGGGAAGCTGCTCAGAAAGCAGGGTGGGGGGATAGTAACACATATACAGAAGGTCTGAAACAGGACCTCTCTATTACTGCCACCGTCGTTAATCAGCAACAGTCCTAGGCGCTTAATGTTGGCGCTGGTTGGATGGATTTCCTTCATTCAAGGCTGCGCCATGTCCGTGTCCTTGTGGTAATGATTCCCTTACCGATGGCAAGAGGCATGTGTTGTCCGCCTTCTCTCTAGGCATCCATAGGTGCAATCCGAGGCCGGCTCTTTGTGAAGCGCTCCGGGGGGGTTAAGGGCGTTGAATGCCTGTTATGATTTGGGTAAAGTGACAGGGCATATGTTTGATATTAGCCATGTTACAGCTGCCCGCCGGGCCCCTGCATCTCAACCATCTTTCCTAACCTCCGGAACCGGCTACTCAATCACCTCCAACTAATGACATGGTCATAAAGATGGAGACCAAGTGGTCCGGCTACGATCGGTATCCGTCGTGGCTAAAAGTAGCATCTGTAGATGGGTCTGGGTGCTGAGCAAGGCTGAAACCACCGCGGCTTCACATGACCAATCAAAGCTATTGCCGAAGGCTAGTAATCAAGAAGTCATTGGACATGAGAAAGTCCACCTTGTTTTCTCAAACTTGTATCAGATCTGAAATCGTTTCGAGAGCACAACTTGCGAATTCCAAGTGTCGAAATTCCAAGACTCTTCACCGTTCCATCTTGAATCTCTCCCTGTGGGTTTCATTGGCCAAGTTCTCCAGTCTCATAGGCAAAACAAAGACTATATCATGATGCCCAATGATACGCACGCCCAGGTGAAGTACAAATCTTCTTCCATTCTGCGGCAGAAGAAGTATCGTCTCGTAGTCATGGTTTTGAATGACATGACACAGCAGCAGACACTCATCTGTTTCATGTTACCATAACACTTCGCGTGCTATCAGTCGAATGACTCATGCTCCACTTCAAGAGACTTCCCCAACATATATAAAAGCAGACTGCGTCCCTTCCAAAGAAACAATCATACTCCTTAGACTCGCATATTCCATTCACAGTCACACACTTTCCCCAGCACATACTATCTACAGCAATCTCCATCCACACCCCACATAATCGCAGTACATCTCCAACTCAACTCAACTCGATTCCACTCCATCGAGATGTTCACCAAAGCCCTCCTCCTTCTAGCCTTGAGCCTCACCACTCTGTCCCTTCCAACCACCAACGAAAGCCTCGAGAAACGCAGCACGAAAGCCTGGATTGGCTGCTTCGAGGAAACAGACGAGTACTGCCAAAACGGTGTCTTCAACGACGCCCATCCCCGACCCAAACTCGGTGGAATGAATTATGAGGACTGCCTTGAGTTTACACCAACGACACAGAGATTTGGTATGTGGAACCATCAACTCCCTTCATATCTGCTTGCGACACAGAAGAGGGGTTTTGGAAAGTGTTTTTTCATTGTATCGTCGGGAATCGGGACCTGATCGAATCATGATACTTGCATGCTTATCTCATAGTGACGACGCTGACGTGAAATCACAGGGGGAGTTGGGGCAATGGCTGGTGGCTACGTCAGAGCTTCAATACTTACACGGAGCCAGGTTGTACAGGCCAGACTACCTGGTACGGTCGAAACGGGAGTGACGCCGGGTTTTGTGTGGCTTTCAGTGGGTCGTTCCAGAGCATTCAGTATATTGGATAGAGGCGACGTCTCTTCTGACACCGTGTGTTGCATACTGCATGCGATTTTGGATTTCAAGAGACGGCCGGTGCGAGATCTTTGTGTTGTTGACCAGGTCACCAGAGTTGCCTGATTTTTGAGTACGCATCACAGCGTTTTGTTAGCACAGAATTGAGCTGGGCTCGTTCTAGTAGTTAATTCATGCCATCTGTCCTTCCCCATTATTTTCTTTTCTTGATTTTCATGTGACAGTATCCGAACGCTGGCATTGGGGTCAAACTGGATACTATGTGGGCCGTGGATGAGGTATCCAGTCCTTCATCCTGAGCTGCAGAGAGTTATCAGTGAACAGATTGAGGATGATAGTCAACATGTTTCTCCACACACCCCACCGATCTATATTCACCGCTAGTCTCGCAATATCACTTCCATCGCCTTGCTTGCACCTTGACCAATACGCTCCCCATATTGTAGCCAATGTCGCATTAGTATACGCGATGGTCTTCTCCGTAATCTCACGAGATCTCGTCGGCGACGGTACCAAGCGCTTGAGATCCATTGATTGGCCAACTATTCCTGGGAGAAGCTGCGCAAATGTCTCTCAATGCTCTAGAAGTGTGCTTGCAACAAACCTAGCTTGACGGCCAAGTGTTTTAACGCAAGAAGAGCGACGCCGCAGGCACAGCTGCCTCTTAAGGAGGAGACAAGGTGGAATACATTCTCGAAATTGTAATACTATTCACGGAGCGCCACTACAAGCAAGGATTTTGTGTGGGTACATAGCCGGATTGGTTTTCGCCGTCATCGTACTCAATGCAAGCGAAAGGACATGAGAGGGTTGCCTAGGCAGATAAGGAATTACCGATGAAGACTGCTCGGTCAACGCAAAATCCTGTAGACCCTATCACTGTGACTGACCCAAATGCCATAGCGCTTCATGCGATCACGTTCCCTCGATCTTCTTGCCATAGATCTTCTCAGCCAACAGTCTCAACTTCATCGGCATGGTAGGATCTCCGTAGTGTTCGATGACATCCTGTTTCTCCACCGCGGCGTTCAGATCGCTCCAGTTCGATGTCCCCACTGCACTCTCCTCACACTCCTTCCTCTTTCCATCCGACCACCAGCTGGGCAGAATTCCGCCTCTCGTCTCTGCCATGTCCAAGAACTCCTGAAAGTCGGCCAGTGGGTCGTCCCCGTTGTAGAGTCCACGGGTATCGCCCGCAAAGTTGTAGTCGTCCTCAACACGCATGCGATAGCAGTCAATCAGCTGGCGGAAAGCATCTTTCTTGGGGAATTGATGTAGGTAGTTGTCTGGACAAATACCCTTGAAGAAGTTGCCGAACACTTTGGGCATGGCGTCGAAATTGGTTGTAGCGTGGGGTTCTCTCTGCGCATTGCTCTGCTGCGAAGAGGCACAGAATGCCTTGTGGGCTTTCCAATCGGCTTTCTGGCAGTCACGGCTGCAGTACCACTGGTTTTGGCATTTGGCGCAGCGTTTGAGGGGTATGTCTGCTTGAAGTTTGTGGCATTTGGCACAAGCTTTTTGAGTGGAATCCATGGTCGAGGAGTCGTTAAGTGAGGAAGACAGGGAAATGATGAGATCGCTCAGCAGTGTGACCTAGAGAAGATGGATGCTTAGTAGAGTACTGCTACATATACATTGCGGATGTATTCTACCAGTTTGCTTCTTGAAAGCGGAAAGCGATGAAAGAACAGAAAATTATCTGGGACGCTGCGGGCTACAGATAAAGAGAAGAAACAAACAGTCAGCACTGTTGTTTTACAGGGGTTGACTCCTTGTGAACTGGAAACGCATAGAGGTCTGTGCAGAAAATAGGGTCTGTGCATATGGTAATCTACTCGTTGAAGCTCGGTTACATGTAGCTAGTGGCAGCTGAATTTCCGCTGCCGGATTCAGCATGCGTTCCCTTTCTTTATACAGTACCAGTACAACCCTTGGCTGATCCGAAACTGTGAAAGGTGTAGACTTGGAGTGTTTCGATCGAAGATTTCTTCGTCGCCTACAAGAGAAATACCGCCAAGACTCGGCTCAGACTTCGGATAACGCCCCACTTAAAGGGTACCTGGACAATGCGTCGGAGTTCTCGGAATCGCACCTAGCCCAGCCAGGTTTCGGGGCACTGCCCTATCAAGGCAAAGAAGTACCTAAGTCCCATCAGCCTGGAGAAGATATTTTAGGCTTCCCACAGGGCCGCTTCCGAAAGTAGGGTTAGGGCTGCACTAGGCGGGTGCAGGACTTTCGGTGCAGACCCGATGCAGCACCAGATTCAGCATTGGCCGGTCACAAAATCATTCCCATTCTTCCTCCATTTCATCCATCTCATCGTTGGCCGCTTCATCAGCCACTGTGTTATCAGACCTTGGTACCCACTCCCAAGTGACATTGCCATAATCCCAAATTTCACTTTGGAGCTCCAGCGCCCTCTCAATCAAGTCACGATTCACAACCTCATTCCCAAGAGAATTGATGAAACCATTTCCCTGCCACTTGCGATACCAATCGGTCATGCAGCCGTGCGCATACTTGGAGTCTGTGTGTATGGTGACCTCCATGTAAGGGTTGCCGTCCAGGAATCCTCGTTCTTTGATAGCATGCTTGAGGGCGATAATGATGGCATAAAGCTCCGCTCGTTGGTTTGTAGGTACTGGACGCATCGACTCTGGTAGACGTCGCGCGAAGGTTTCGTTCTGGCCCCATCTTCTCACGACAAAGCATGCGCAGGCACCATAGGCGCCCGGGTAGCCATTGCCTCTACAACCGCCGTCAACGTACATAACCATTTTGTAGACCATCTTGTTGTAGTGGAAAGGTTGCAGACGTCCAGTTGGCAGTGGGTGCAGAGACAATATGGTGGAGTCCTGGTCAGTGATACTGGAGGAGAGTGTAACGAAGAAAATATTCTGGACTGAGCCGGCCTCGCTGCGATGGTTGTAGCAGAAACGCTGCCAGGGCGAGGCTTGCACATTCAGGGTTTGGTTGAGATACGAATGCTCAGGTTGGATGAAGCCCTTACCTCCCAGCTCTCTGGGAGACAATTGTACCTATATACCTAGAGTAATAAGTCGGGTAAGTGGCAATACGAGGTGGGCTGGGATGACTGAGGGCCCAAGCTACTTCTACAGTAGTCGGGCCACTTAACAATCAGTCTCGAATGATTGGGTAAGAGTGAAGGAGCACGGTATGCATTTTGTCGAAACAAGGTTCCCAGCCTCCTCCCAGCCACCTGTTGGGAACATATACCTAATCTGCATGGGATACAGATACTGGAGCCGGGGAATCCTGGTATAGAATAGTTGATGCAATCTACACATCACATACCTGAATTTTGACACTTTGTGGGCGGGCATGGAATGTTTTTCCGATTGATTGTACCAACCGAACGAACTAAATCTCTTAACTTGAAATTTACCGTATTGGTATTTTATGTTTCTGAAATTCCAACGGTCCAACCACAACCCGCCCCAACAAACATCCAACAAATATTCAAAGGTACGAGGGGTAGGAAACGTCAATAATCCAACATGTATCATTCTCCCTCATATCTTCTTCCTCTCGAATAATGCATGCCTCACAGATATTCTTTGGATTGGGCATCGCAAACTGCTTCCTATACAATTCTCAGACTCCTCCGTTTCATCTACCTCTATACTCGCCCATCATCCATAAAGCGATACCTCTACGGGGACTGCCGTAGGGTTCTGGTTAACAGGAGCCAGTGATGGCATCGGTCTTGGCATCGCCTCAGAACTTGCCACCAATGGTTTCAACGTCATTCTGCACGGCAGAAACCCCGAAAAGCTCGAGAAGACCAAAACCCAGCTCGAGGGCGAACACAAAAACATTCAATTCAAAGCCGCCGTACTCGATGACGCCTCCGCTACGAGTCAGCAAATTGATGACTTCGTAGCCAACCTCGACGGTCTCAATCTCACCATCCTCGTCAACAACGTCGGCGGCGGCGCCAAAGTCCAGCCTCTGGAGAAGAACACGGCGGAAGAGCTCGATTCCTTGATCAATGTCAACCAGGTTCCCCGCGCAATTGACAAGGGCCCTTCTACCCAAGCTCGCTAGATCGGACGGCCCAACCCTCATCATGAACATCGGCTCGCCGACTCCGGCGTCCCTTATGCGACGGTATACGGCGGGTCCAAAGCCTTCAATGAGGCGATGAGCAGCTCGCTCGCTGTGGAAGTCAAAGCCGAAGGCAAAAACATCGAAGTCCTCGCCATCCCGGTCGGACGAGTTACCGAGGTGGCTCACTCCAAGGAGCCTTCTTCTTTCTTCACGCCTACGGCGAGGACGATGGCCAGAAGCTGTGGGGATCGTGTAGGCAGTGGGTGGCAGGTCGTTGTGGGGTATGTTGGTCATGCCATGCAGAAATTTGTGATTGATTCGTTACCCTCGATCGTGTTCGAAATGTTAGTGGTTCCTACTATGAAGGATAGGAACGAGGAGGAAGAAAAGAAGAAACTCTAAAGCTTTGATCTCAATTTGTGGAAGGAACAGGGAACGTCTTCCAGATAGTCTGGGATCCACGGTTATTCTATTCAGTCCTTTTCCTTGGGGAGGTTTTTTGGCCCGGACCATGGCGTCAGTTCTTTCCAATTTTGTCGCGAGATACTCTTCCCATGAACTACCCACACATCCTTTTCTTGTCCTATTCGTCACTCCAACTGCAAGCTCCCAGCTCTAAATCAGAGTGGTGTGATAATCGGGCTGCCATGCCGCCGCGGGCGCGGCAAATGCCTTTGATATCTCAGATGGCAACAATATCCGCCGCTAAGAAAAGAATAGTCGACCGGCGATGAAGGGAAGGCTCCCGCCTTCATCCAATTCACGAGCCTTGTATATGTCCTTGAAACATACTACGCATCATCCACCCCAATCACCCACCCGCCACCTCCTCCCCACCCCTCGTCCTTCTCACCATCGAAATCTGAACCCGATCATGCTGCCCAGCCGTGATCGCACCACCCGTAACATCCCCCAAAGTAGCCTTGACTCTGCAATCCTCATTCAGTTTCCTCGCCGCCGCCTTGACGATTTGCCAGGAGCCGCGTTCCGGCAGCGAAAACGGAGCGAGTTGCAACGACAGGTCGCACGTGCCGACCGTTTCGGTGACCGGAAGCTGCCACGTGTCCATGCTGCCGCCAGAGTGAAAGTAGCCGGGGAGACGGCTGGACGATAGGAATTCGATGGCGCTGTTGCAGTCGCGGTAGAAGGGTCGGAGCTGGAAGAGTTTGAAGCCGGTGCAGGTCGCTTGGGCGGTGGGAAGGTGGGTGGTGTTGGAGCTCAAATTGGAGGTCGCTGGAAGCAATGATGACGCGACGCGGCAAAGGAAGATGTTGAAAAATAGAAAGCTTGGGCAAGGAAGCATTTTTGTGAATTGATGGGACAATTAGCGATGTTGGTTTTTCTTGCCAGTTGATACAACGGAGTTTGAGCTCTCGAGCCTCAGATGCAGATGCAAAGAAGAGAAAAGTCAAGGCCGAAAACTTCACTTCCACCGCGCTTGCCTTCTCCTGAAGAGAGGACTGGACTTTGTGTTTGATACCCGTCTTCCACGCGCCATTTGCGTCTGAGAAATGATAGGTGCGTCGTTAAAGAAAAGCCTCATGCATTCTAGCGCACCATCTATGCTGGTCCCGGAACAAGTGACCTTCTCCTCATCGGTTTCCGGCCACGGGGTACACGGCAGTTTCCAGTTGTAAGGCTCCAAGTTTCAACTTGAGAATAGCATTCCTATCTCGGTGAGGTCTTCGTTTCAGGGGCAAAAGTCTACCTGGGTTGCTCTCCGCTTGGCGGCTGGGGAAGGTTGGAAATGAAATTAGGCGAGCGTGCCTCTACAGCAGCCTTTGTGGAAATATGTGGTAAAACACTTAGTTGTATTGGCTACGGAGTTCTAAGAAAGGAGAGAGCGACTTGACATGGGCGCGCTAGGGCATGTCACGTGACCACTAAGCCTTGGCGCCAAGAGTCACCCTCTGTCAACTAAAACATCATCAGGTGTAGTGCTTCAAGTTATGTTCCCGGGCCCAAGACCGATGTTGGACTCAACTCTTGAATCATAGGGTCGTCACCATCTGATAACCCTTGTTTAGAGACCCGTAGTAGACATCGTTTCTAGCTGACAGACACAAGGTTTGAGACCGGAGATAGACGCAACCCGCAGGCTGACTGCCGTTGCGGTTTTGCATTGCTCTGCATTCTTGCAGCCTCAAGACTCCGCATAATGAGAGACACACGGGTTTTTGTCCTTGATATCGGACCTAGATTACTATGTAAGTGAACCGCAAGAGGATTGTTGAGCACGGGTTATCTCCTCTACTCCCTCTCCCACTGCCTACAATCACCCGAGAAGAGTGCATGCCACAGCCAAAAAATTTGTCCTTTAACAAAAAGGAAAAAGAAAGATAAGAAAAAAAGCAAAAACATACAGCAGCTAGTATTCGCTGGTCGTCACCGACCCAACTACTAATTAGCCGATCTGAGGCTTATCTTTGGCTGAGCGGACGGGAAGCCGAGTTCTCAACAGTCTGTGGCCGTATGTGAAAGAAATTATCTTATTGTAAAATATAACCTGCCAATTCGGACGTGTATCGACTACTTTACAGATGTTATATCTCCCCTTCATCGTACTGCATTCCGGCCTACCAACAGCCCTTTGAGTCATCATTCCCAGATAGTTGGTAACTGTGCTACCTAGATCTGAACAGAGACAGCGTCAATTTGTAGTAAGTGGCAGGCTGAGATGATCGTCCCACATGGCGGCTTTCACCACTGGGTTAGAAAGGACCCATCAAGCTCCCTCGATCCTCAATATCCTCAAGTCTGTCCTTTTCTAAGCCCCCTCGATCTTCTCGAACGATGCCTGCCACCAAAATTACCATCGGGCGTTATGGTCCCGAACATCATCGCATCGACTGACAGGGTGTAAGATTTAGGAGTTCAGCCCTAGGGCAAAGGGATTCTACTAGGTACGCGAAAGGCACCAGCCGATTGAGAGAGCTCTTGTTCAAGTGGAACCAAGAGGGCATCAAAATCTATTCGTCTAGTATTCGTGACTTCCAAAATCCACCCACTATGGGACATACTTGGTCAACTCCGAACAGTTCCTCTGTTCCGCATTCTCAATTTTCTTCCACCAATGTGCCGTCGACTTCCCACCCCTTATCTTCCCTCTCTCCTGCTTCTGCAAGAATTCCTCTCGAGACTTGGTCCCGAAGTGATGCAACGCCCACCTATCTCTCGTAATCGGGCTTCGATCGCAGTTTCTAGTGATTAGATCGCCGTTCTCGCCTACTTGTATAGCTTCGTTTTTCAATTTGGCCATACAGTGACAGTTCCACATGTAGCCAAATAGGGCTGGACGCACGAAGGTTTTGACCTTCAGGTTGTCGTTGTGAATATTGTCCACGATACAACGATTAAACGCTTTACGGGGTCCGTCTGCAGGGCGGGTGAGTAAGCCGGCGGAGCTATGGACAAGCCAGTTAACCCCAATAGCACCGACGGTATCATTGCGGGCCCAGTCATGCAGAAATTCCGAAAGGGTTTCGCCGCCGGTCATTTCTAGGAATTCGTCGGCATCAAGGAAACCCATCCATTTGTGTCTATCACCAAACATTTTTACACATCCGGTGTAGTATTTTTCCTGAATGCCTTTTCGCTCGCCTAGTCGGTCTGAGTGAATATGAGGTTGGAAGTAGACCCATGTGATAGAGGAGGATGGGATAGGATAGGATGCAGTAGAGAGAGGGGGCTCGGTACCGTCATCGAAGACGTAGAAGCGGCGGATACCGAGGTGAAAGTAGTGGTGGGAGAAGAATTCGGGGAGATCCAGGGATTGGTCCTTCACTGTGATGTGCGCTTAGAACTCTGCTGGAGTGGCTTCTGCAATAAGCTTATAGGTGCTCACCTGCCATACAGATTGCCATGTACTCTTCATCATCCGGAGGCGGAAGCGGAGGGAACGGCGCTGGTGAGGAAATGCTTATTGAGGGAGACGTGATGTTGTGCGGTAGGGCATTGACATCTGGGGCGGAAATGTTTGTTGAGGGAGTCATGTCGTTGTGTGGTCGGGCATTAACATCTGGTTGTTCTTCGGATGTATTTGTAGGGGGGCGTCGTGAATTTTTGGGGTTGGGCATCGACACTTGGTTGTTCGTCGGAAATGTTTGTAGGGAAAGTCCCGAGTTTGTGTGGTTTCGCATCGACATGTGGTTGTGCGTGGCCAGCCAAGGTTGATGCAGCAGAGGCAGCAGACTGCTTTGCTTGCTTAGAAACAGAACTATAGGTCTTACGCAAGCGTCCTTCGCTACCAGCATTGAACGATATCAAAGCTAAGAGAGCGCAGGCAATGACGAAGCTTAGGACACGTATTGACAGATGAGGTCTCGCTGGTAAAGCCATGATCAGTAGTAGCACGATAATGGACTGTAGGGCTAACAATATAGCATAGCTAAGAGAATATTGAAAAGGAAGAAGGGTTAACAGTCTAGGGCGAGCAATCGCTCATGTCAAAGTAGGTGGGCAAGGATGGTTTAGATACGGTACCTTATCTACATTGCTCTCTGAGATGTTCGGTGCGCTGCCGTTGGTTGCATATTGGTGCATAAACATGCATATTCGGGAACAGCCGAGGCCTAATCGATCAGAAAGCTCACGCGGTCTTGCTCGGAGGTTTGATCAAGTAGTTATCTATGAAAACGAGCCAGGATGCAGAGCGGGATGCATATGCCTGGGGTGACATGACATGGCATGCATGTGCAACTCCGCAATAACGACGCCCTAGCGGTCCTTGATCAAGCCATCAGCTGGGGGAGTGAGTAGTAATTGGCTCGATGCCCGTGTTGCTCTTCTGCTCGGGACCTGTATGAGGCGTATAACTGCTGCCCGTACGAGCTGACATTTTATCGTCGGAACCGATGGTTGCGATCGATGCTTCGAAATTATTATTTGAAATAGATATATCTATCGATGGCGACACAATAGCAGCTACATCAGCTGTCCTGTTCTAACTAGCATCAATTACGACAGTAGCCTGCGTATGGATATATGTTGTACAGGATGTTCGTGCTTTCGGATTGCTGACAATGTGTCCGCGTCTGCGCTTCCACTCCGGACCGATGGCAGCTAATCGTGACCCCGCTATTCGCTTATGAGGGTAGCGAATAAGGTTCCTTAGTGGGGCCATGATTAGTGAGACCCCCGGCCCAAATTAACCAAAAGGAACCAAGAGCTTGGGGCGCATAGCGCAGAATGAAATCGCGGGTCCGGGGTTCGAATCAGACATTCGACCCCAGAAATAGCTTCTTCCTGAGGGGTTTCGGCTAGACCGCCCTATACAAAGAAGTCTTTCGGACGAAGCACCCTATACATTTGGCTCACACGGTCAAATTTTTCGATAGAACGCCCTAGAACTACGAGTTTCTCGGGTACAATGCACGTGTCCGGGTAGGACCTCTGAGGTAATCTACCGTATTGCTTGGGTGCAAGTTGCGCCGAAACGCACCGGGAAGCACACTTAACTTCCGGCAGTACCCTACAGCCGAGAGTCTTTCGGTTGGAAACCCCATCATGTAAGACGAAAACGCTCTATCGTGCGAGCGGCCGAAGGAGGGGGCGCCGTCACAACCTGTCCAGGGCACAGAGTCCCAGTGGGTCGGGTGCGAGATGCCTCGGGGCAGTTCCAATCATAGCGTCTCATCAGCGGTGTACTCGGCATGGCGATACCGATCATTGGAGACTTCGCGGGGAGTGACCCCTGAAGCATCGGGCGTGGTGCCCTTTAAAAGAACTTTGGTTCGGGGTAACTATAACCCTGTAACGGTGATTTCAGTTTCTCTGGCGCTCGAGGAGGAGCCCCGTGAAGGGAGGAAATGACTGTTAGACTTGGGGCTCTGCTGGGGCCTCATAGGGCCAAATATGGGTGTCTGACAAATGAAGCGCAGGCACCCCGGGCATAAATGTTGAGGAGAGAATTGCTATGCTTTTGAGTTTGCTAACATTTGTGTGTTATCCAAAGTCTCGATTGATTGGGTGAGGCGTGCTCTAGATGAGGTATGTATCGCGTAGGGTCTAAGATGAAGAGGTTCAGGTAATCGAGCGCGGATGCTGGATCTGGAATTTACCTGTCAGTAGTTTCGTAACGTCGGGTTTACAGTGGCTTACCCCAACGCTTGGCCGAGGAGCTTGTCAAGACGAGCTGATAGGAATGGTGCCCTACTTACTCGAACCTCGCATCAATGCGGCCGCTTTGGCAAGCGAGTCAGCTAGGTGTGTAGAGATTATGCTCTCAGCCTACTGGAGGAAACCTTGGCCGAGAAGACGTGGATCTGTCTGAAAAGTCTGCCAACGTCTGTCAGGTAGTATTAACAAGGTTTTTGTATAGCTCTGTAATATTTTGCGGGCTTTGGTTACCCTTTTCACCGCCATTGAAGAAGGAACGTGCAGCGTGATCGCAAGGTTTTGACTCTACCCATTATCTGTGACTAAATGTTTTATTTCTCCAGATATCTGTCGTTTGATGCAGTGAGCTTTCCTACTGCTAGGTCTCCTTAACAATTGATGATGACGCCTTTATGTGCGTGAGTCGCAGTGCTATCTAGCTCATAGGATTTAGATGTCCTTAATCATTGTTTTATATGTGTTCTAGTGCTCTATGTGCTCTACGTGCTCAATAGCGAAGACAATACGAGGATCAGAAACGACCTCATCTCAGGCTCTCAATGATCAGTGTAGCAACGGTTTTCACTGCAGTTTACGGAAAGCCTCCTATGAACTTCCACTTCAATATTGGTTAGACTGACTGCTTAATGGACACTTTATCTTTGGAACCACACCATGCCGCCGTACTTGCCAAGAGTGCTGGTTGGATGGTGAGCAATAATGAAGGCACGCCTAAGCTGGCTCCTTCGTGACCAAATCCAACTAGTCTTTAGGCGTAGATGGCATTGGGTAGTATATGCTGTCATCGTCATGAGGCAAGTCATCTTCACCAAGGACGTCATCCTCATCAGGAAAGGTATTAGAGTCCATGGATTGGCTTTTGAGCTCTTGATAGACCTCCCGAATTGCACGACCGAGTTCAGATACACCTGATGTGGTGTCTTTCAATTCTGCTTCATACAATGCAGCCTCTCCCAGTCCTAACGCTCTGAGGATATTATTCGATTGCTGCTGGGACGAAGCGTACCACTCTTGGTCACCGGAGTTATCAATCTCAACCCTGAGATGCAAACCCTTAGAATACCAGTAAGTGCCCTACGCTATGAGAATGTTCCGACGCTCTTTGAGTGCAAGTGCATGTTCTAAGAATTGCTTTATGATCGATAAAGCAGAATATTGAAGCTTCAGCTCGACGGAATAGACCTTGGGGTTGATATCTAATCTCGACGCGAGAGAAACAACTGCCCAAGCCTCTATCTGAGACGACTCTTCCTGGGTTGACTATTCGAAGGCAGTTTGGCAAAGGAAGGGACGTCTAGGATCTTCGAGTATTTCTTGAATGTTACGCCTCCGGAAGGCCCTAACAACCTTGATCGAGGCTTCTCTTGCGGCGAATGTTCACTCCGTCGCTCGCGAAAACTTTCATTATAATTGTGGATCCATCTTAGAACTTGCACCATCTCGTGCCATCAAGCGCTACCGTATTTGGATCCCCACCACCTTTTAGAAGCATAGCTACAAGCTCGAAATTTTTCAATTCTCTCCGCGTCATATCTTGGTCTATTGTTAGAAGCCATAACTCACTAATGACACAGCAGTGTAGGTAGCTCGCTTTGTTTCTATGGGAAAGATCCTGTCCTGTCTCAAAATTTTGCTGCACGTGTAACAGAATACCGTATCGGGCGGCAAGACTAAGAAAAGTCGACGGGACTGGTGGGTATCGGACCGGAAGAGGGCGTTTTCCGAGGCTCGATTTCCGTCTGAGTCGACAACCTCTTCCGCGGAGAAGACAGTGTCTCCACTGCGATCTATACATAAGATGTTGATAGACCCAACCTCTGCACCGATTGAGAGATGAAGCTTCAATTTCCTAGCGCTTCAGCCATTTTGCACAATGTTATCGAGCTGATCCATCAGGGCAATCTGAGCAACAGCCGTCTTGTCTTAAAATTTTTTTTGTTTTTTAAACACCCCCCCCCCCCCCCGTTTAAATTTTTTTTTTTTTTAAAAAAAAAAAAAACTTTTTATTTAATAAAACTAAGTTCTTCCCTCATATTTCCGCAGTCTCAGCGTGAAAAACACTCGTCTGATGTAGTGGACATATCATCGAGAAACTCGAGCCATGTCCGTGTGACACAACGTTGAGAAATTGTGAAGACAACGAGGATGCCAAGTTCTGCTCTGATGTACAGCTAATCAAACCTACGAAAAGACACCCTCCGCATTTTTTGAGATCTCATGAACTGTCTCCAGGATCCAGGTCAGATGTCCTCTTGCTAGCAATTTTGTTTGAGGGAGACTAGACAATCGGTCCGTGGCATATGCTCAGAGATTTTGCTCTGTGAAAGTTTTGCAACTTCAGCTTTTGAGACATGGCCGAGGGCGTCCTTAAAAGCTCTGTAGGAGCGACTAGACAAGCAAACTTTGACGTTGAGACTCTGTATCCTGTCTTCAATCATCCCAATCAGCGGACGATAATCTCCAATGAATTCGTCCCGCCCGTTAATAAAGAAGCATGCGCGAGAGGAAGTCATTTCACGAATAATGCGCTAGGTCATCTAAAGTCGCCATTTTGTCCAATCTAAAACCGTCTTAAGGCTGCTATCTGCTGGAGTAGATGGCCCTGATGGAGACTCGGACTTGCCAGAATCATCGAGCAATGGTATCAAACGGCGGAAAGTCTCCATGATTTGACAAATAAGGGATCTTAGCAATCCTACATTGCATCGGGCTCCTTGGGTTCATAGAAAAGTCTTCGAACAAGATTGCAAATACAAAATGGTCGTTTGGCAAACCGAACATACCTTGAAGCTGACGCGATTTTCGTGTATCTAGATTATTTTGATACTGATCCAGTTTCTTTTGGGTGTCCTCAATGGTGCCTGTCTTCCACAACCCTTTGAGACTTCTGGCCAGAGCCTGCCGTTCCCGGGGTGGGCCTTGTATCTGAAGCAAGTGAAGCTCCTCGATCAATCCATCTGAAGTCTCCGAGCATTTGATCGCTAGATTCTTGAGTTCCTTCTCGTCATCGAAGATTTGCTGCATACTTCTGGGGCTAAGAGCAGTGGTTGACAGATTCAAATCAGTACGAAGGTTTGAAAGGTGTTTGGCCATCGACTCGATCTTTTTGTTCTCAACCAGAGACCCGTTCCAGTAGGTTTCTTGGACTCCTGGATAGAGGTCCCATGCCAAAGTCCACGACCGGATTACGCTCAAGCAAGAGGAATGCAGGAGTGGGCCATCGCCGGAGGTGCCACTTCCAGCGAGGCACAACGGTGATGATGTAGAATACATGTAGATTCAGTGGTGGGCCATCAGCTATTATGTAGCTGATGGAGAACAAAGCACTGCTATCTATGGCTAACAAAAAGGGACAATGATGGAATTACATGGAAGGATGTAGGAAGGACGCAGCATAGAAGGAACTAGACACGGACACCACTGACAGCTCCCAATGCCGCAGATACTGGTAGCTGCCCTTAGCAAAAGCTAGATAAGAAGATTTAGAGGTTGAGGATGAGATGTATGACTGTGGCTTTCACCCTGATCTAAGTATAATGCTGGGGTTTTAAGGAGGACCAAGCAGTCCACCAGGGGCCAGGTTGCGCTTTTGCAACGTAGTTTGTACTATCAAAGAGAAAGGTAACACGCTACTCAGTAGCAGTGCTTCTCTTCCCTGCGCCGGCCTCTGGGAAGATTCTCACACTTTGGCCAAATCACAGAGGATTACGCAAAGTCAGAGGAATGCGAGCAGATCTCGCCCAAGGGTGCATTGCCAGAAGATACTTTCTTCATCATCACTGACTGTATGCGTGGATCATTCATTGAGAATAGTTTTGATCTCTGCGGTCTTACCTGTTCGGTGTCTTGTTCCACATCAGAATTCACATATCACTCCCCACAGCCTCTGTTCCTCATCCTGAACCTCCTTCACGACAACCCTCAGCTACCCACTATAACAAGCTCGATCTTTCGACCGTGTGACATGCCTCATTACATCAAGCAATATTCATTGCTAAACCCAAGTTTCATCATAGTACCCGTTGCAGCCGCAATTGATGCGTCTAAATCATCCCACGGGTCTGTGCAGTTTTGTCGGCTGGGCGGGCCGCAGAACTCTCACTACACCATACTCAGCCCCATTCTCTATCCCACGCGCAAACAAAACTGCCTGTTTCAAGATATAGCCGCATTCGCTTGACCCGCTATCCGCCTTCACTTCCCACGCTCTCACGCAAGCCACGTTTTTCATCATTGTTGCTAGGTAGGTAGCTCTTGAAGGCCGCCGTGCTGGTTGATTTCTGCTGTTCTTTTGGATGATTGACGCCATGACATGCAACTTCTTCGGATATCGTGTCCAGCATCACAACTGGCTTTACTCTTCTTCCTACTCCATTTGAGTGCCCTCTGCACTGCGATCACACTCCCCCACGATGTCCATACCGTCGCATTCACCAAACTTGTTCGCCACGAAGAGCATCCCATACAGCCGTCAACGCAGCCATTCTCAACCCAGCCTATCGCCAAAGCCCTCTCCACTACCAACACAACGAGCCCGACCCCACCGCTGTATATCTTTCACCTCCTAGACCTTCGCTCCATCGTTGCGTCACCAGAAACAGAACACAAAGTATTCAGAGCCATGGAGCGCACCTGCGAAGTCTTCGCATATTGTCTCCTCGATCTCGACCTTCTCGACCAGCAAGACCTAGTGTTGCGCCTCGGCGATTTCACCCTCGATTTCCACGATATGGCGGAGCATTTGAGCATCCTAGCTGTGAAGGCGGTTGTCATGAAGCTGATGCAGATGATTATAAAGGGGCTATTCGGGTTTGTCCAGGGAGAGATGGTTGATGCGCACGCGGGAGTGAGGATGATCTTTGCGTTTGGCGTCTTAGGTGTTGATTATGAGAACCGGGCATTACGAAAACGGAGGGCAGGCGAGAAGGGAATGACCCCTTCTTCCAATGGTTAATGTCTAGACCCGGTATTCAGATAGGTAAGTTGGCTAGTGAGCCTCATACCTCGTTCGATACCGCAGTTGTCTTTTCCCGCGTGTGCTTTGCAGACCCACCATTAGTCTGGATGTGGACCCCTATGAGCTTTTGAGCATGCATAAATAGTATTAAATCCGTTACCAGGTCAGCAAAGGCATCTCCCAGCATACTCAACACCTACCGACTCTGGTTTGTGCATCGTCATCAGTACTCTGCCAAAGAAAGGTGTAGACCTCAGTCATAGCAGGTCTGATTGTCAAAGCCACGCATCCTGCCTGCACAACAACATGTTTGGGTGATTTCGCCCATTGGAAAGCCATCACCGGCTAGAGATCGCCGAGGTAGTTTGGGATTCTCCATTAGCGGTCTTGCATAGCGGGATTCGTCGAAAGAACGGTACGAAGTATTGGAACAGAATGTAGCGACAACTAAGACAATAGATAAGGAAAGTAAGTACATGCATGACCGAAAGCCAACGGTTTTGATCATGGTAGAGCCCCCGAATCTGACCAATATGATCAAGAGAACCTTTCGCAATGTGCATCAGGGGTATAAACACAGGCAGATCGTCGAAATGGACGATGAGACGGCATTGTGACCTACAAGCGTCGAAGATCGGGCTAGGGGAGGGTGCGGGACGTGCAATAACACGGGCCGATGAAAAATCGCAATTGCTGAAAGCGTCAAGTACCAATGAATGAGTGTTCCAAGGTGCTTAGCAGCGTTTGCTAAAAAGTTCAGGACGAAGGAGTGATGAAGAAAATTTTGCTCCCAGCGGGCGGCGCAATGGTAATCGTTCCGTGGCAACCATTATAGTATCCGTGTCTCCAGGCTCCGAACAACATCGTATATTTGATAAAGCTGATACAGGCAAAGCTCGTAGCGCTCAGAGGGCTATCTCCAATATTTATTCTTGTTTGGTGTATCAGCTGTAAAATCTGGCTAAAGGGAGGAGCGGCAAACAGTGTCAAAGATACCAAAAGGGTAATGGGAGGACTTGAAAACAGCCTAATGCAAACATCGCTCTTAACAAGTACAAGCTCGCTTTCCTATGCAAACAAAATGCGCGAGGGCAGGTTGAAGGTAGCCTCCCATTGCAAATCGTCCGACTAAAGAGCCGGGATAGCATACGTAGCATTTACAAGCATAGTAGAATTCTCGGCTAAAGTGGTATTCACCCCGAGCATTCGTTCTGGCGGCCGCTGAGGCACCGATGATACGGTGATATTACCTCCCGGTGGTAGAGCATTCAACCCTGTTGTGATCAGTCATGCAGTTCTTAGAATTTTGCGCTAGAACTCTACTTACCACTGAGATCATCATTATCCTGTCGCTTCCCCCAGCGAGATCGACGGCTGACCACAGGCTGAGGCCCGAAGTAAGCCTTGCCTCCGGTGCCTGCGTAATAGGGAGGGTTGACGCAAATGTTGAAGAGGGTATCCAGTGCTGTGCGTATTTGGCGCCAATTGAGGGTTATGGTGGTTGCTGCCGTGATAGCGACTTGACAGGTACCTGGCATACATCAGTCAGGAAACCTCGCTCTTAAATATAAGTTCTTTTCGAACACTGACCCGATGAGAGGAATTTCACTACCCCTGCTCCTACCGAGATAATATCGTCGTCCGCGCCCAGTTCCCCGTACTCAACCTTTGCGCAATCTACCGCTGCGGGCGCACCCAGCTTTGCGTCACATTCATAGGTCATTTCGTCAGCAGAATCAGGAACCTGCTGCCACCATGGCGTGGTACCGCCGGGTCTCATCTTCTGACTCACGACTACCATACGGTGAACACTTGCGCCAAGTATCGCTCTGACCTCGTTGCTGGCGCCCTTCATGACGCCACTTAGGTACTCTGCAATCAACACAGCAATTGAAGGATGTGTATTGCCTGGTTGTGGGTCTCCAAAGGTCCGTGCTTTCACCGAGACAGTCAGGAAGTGAGCAGATATTGCTGTACGATAGCGCGTTCATAGTCAGTCTCGGACGCATTTTCGTAAGAAAATGTATTATATTGCCTTACGATATGGGAGACTCAAGTCAGTACTGGGATCTTGAAGATAATTGGCCAGATTCGATATCTTGTTCGTAGCAAAACCGCCAAGATACCCTCCCCTTTGGACACAGTCATTGACAACATAAGCAGCTAAGCCCCGAAGCTGGAAAGGAGAAGCCCTGATGGTAAAGGGTGTGTTCGTTGTTGCTGGATCATAGAAAGCCTTTGGACCCGCGACCTCAATGGAAATGACACAATTGCCTTGAGAGAATTTAGTCCAAGTCCCGTGCGACAAGTTGGATCAAGTATACATGCCAGGTGTTCCTGCACCAGCTTCGCCCTTAGGAACCGTCCAGCCAATTGACATTGGCAGATGATACTCCTGTGCATGAAAATTCACTGCCCATTCGACCTCGGCACTTTGTCGAGCCCACGGCATATTCTTCACTGCCTCTTTGCAGTCTCGCTTGGCCAGCTCCCGTCCGAATTCGGGGACACATCGTGCAAAGTCCGGAGTTGTAGGCTCAATCAATCGTGGATAAGCTTGTAGTGTGTAGGGGTTGTTTCTCGCCGCGGCGCCGAAGCCGAAGCTGCCCCCAAAAAAGCTGCTCATATTTGATTGAGGATGATGTGATATCCTTTGGAAATGAAACGAGTGTCACTAATTGGCGCACCTTATGCTTGTCTCGTGCTTGAAAGGGTGTTGGAAGATGTCAGAGATAAAATTTCATGGCAGAATAGCTTCATGGCTAATTTTGCGGCTATGAAGCGGCTTAGACAGGAAATGGGTTGCGCCAAAAGTACACAAGCGATAACAGGCTGCGGAGAGTAGCTCTTGGTTCTGACAGTGGCACGCTTAATTTGCGATGTCGGTAGATTGTGTACGCACTACAATGAAGTTCTTCGGGACGAGATATTATTTATACGACATGTGTATCGTGCCTCACACTGGTGCGAGATCCTGGTGATGACTGAGACTCTTCTTCAACCATGATTAAGGGTACGCGACCTATTTGTAAGCTAGTCGGCATTCAAAGTATCATCTTTCTCAAAATCCCTTAGAGGTTGGCCATGCGACATGAATGGAAGGAAATGCTGTGCCAGAACAGTCCGTGTTTCAAAGGATCCAGTGTGATCAGGCAGCAGCGATGCAGCTTCCAGACTTCGTAAGCCACGACATGACCGCCTTGGTTGATGCTTCACTTCTTGTTCAGCGTGGATCGTTGGACCAGTTGAATCATAATCTGGGAATCTCATTCCAGAATGACCATGTTATCGACATTGCCCTCAGCTTCACATCCATGATATCCTCGTTGCCAGGATAACACCTGCAACGAGCTTGGTTCCTCCAGGTCTTGCAACCCCGCGTGCTTCTTTTGGAACAGTGGAGCCCAAAGGCAACCAAATGTAGAAGCCAGGGTTGGATGGACGGTGAAGTGGCGTCACTCAAGACTGCCGTCTATCGGAGAATTTTGACCACTCAGACAACCTTCTCGGCTTCCTCAAGCAACTCTTCCACTTTGAAACCTCCATCACCTTGGCTAAATTGCTCAAGTAGTTTCTTCCTTTCCACTTTATGCTCCGCCCCATAGAACTTTTGTAGACACATCAGTAGCCATTTGCCTTCGTCCACCGTGATACCTCTGCCATCCACCACATTTCCTTGAAGTAGTACCAACCCCTTGGAATCGGCAAGATCGAGATGATGTGTGACTGTTGTGTGTGGTTGGGCATACTCGCCTCTTGACTTGAATTCTGCCAGATGGGTGAACAGCACGGTGGATGTAGTGGGTGATGGGAAGGTCCATTGCAGGAAGTGTATCTCTGCCCCTTTGCCTCCTCTTGGAATTGGAAGTATAAATTGCGGATGTCGCCGAGCCGTCGCCTCGATGCTATTGTAGGTGGACCGGGGAATGACAGCGCAAAGCGATTGAGGATCAGAAGCGTGGCGAAGACGCCATATGTATTCTATCTCTTTCTGGGGAAGCTCAAGCGTCTTGGGAATGTCGATGTACGAGGAAAGAAGTTTAACGCCCGGCGGAATTGGGGATTTGTTGGAGGGAGTGGTCTGGGATGATGCTTTGGGTGTCGGATGATCAGGAACTTGAGGCGGAGGCGGCGGCGCAGGGAAGCCAGACGATGTTGCTGGACTGATGGAATTGGGTGCAAGTGCTTGTCTCCGTTGGCTCCGGATCTTATCTTGATAGACAGTCTTCAACTCATCCACGTCTTTAAGACCTTGCCTGGGCAACTTATTAGATGGAGAACCGGGGTGGAGAAGACAGATGCAAGCCTACTCCTTTGCTTTTTGATACAGCTTCTCTTTGTATTTCTCCTCGATAATCTTGTCAGGCTGGCGGTGCGTTACTAGGAAGCGTACATCGTGCACCTGGGCATGCCTTCGCTGTATCCCCCTCAGATAGGGCGATGTTGTATTTCCAAAGGCATGGCGGAGAGCAGGAAGTCGGAACGCAGACATGTCGCAGCTATTGTAGCAGAGGGAAAGAAGAACTGACCGACAATGCAAACAAAATCAATGCTTTTGATGCGACGAGTGTTGTCGAGGAAAGGGAGAAAAAAGCGGGAGATGTTGCTGGCCAAAATGCCGGTCTGATCGACGGAATTAAAGTGCCTCGGCAGCAACCCCGGAATTCCGTCCCCACCGTCATTATGGTCTTCACCTCCTCCTCTTCCTATTCCTCTTCCTCCTCCCCTCCTCATGCTCAATGAAAGAGGTCATAGTCTTCCAATTGTTTTCCGATCCTATCCTCAGCAACCCAACCCTAAACCAAGATGCCTACAGAGTCGCTCTATCCGAAAATCGATATCCCAAAAACTGACCTGTGGGGCTTTCTTTTCGAGCGCAATGACAGACCATATCCTGACGACAAAAGTACTACTTTACTGTTCCCTACCAATTGCCAATCTCATTGCTGATTTGTCCGTAGTAATCTATAGAGACGCCGACACCGGCAGAGCCTACTCCTACGCCCAGGTCAAAAGCACAGCCATTGATTTTGGCAAGGGGCTCAAGTCCGTATGGGAGTGGCGGAAAGGGGATGTTCTGGCTATCTTCACCCCCAACTGTATCGATACACCAGCCATAACTTGGGGCGTGCACTGGGCGGGAGGCGTAGTGTCTCCGGCAAATCCTGGCTATACAGCAGAAGAGTTGGCATTCCAATTGAAAGATTCAGGCGCCACAGCATTGGCAACTCAGAAGCCGTTCCTCAAGGTCGCGACCGAAGCTGCAATGCAGGCTGGTATACCCGAAGACAGGATTATCCTCATGGGCGACGAGAAGGACGAGTCGATGAGATTCAAGCACTTCTCGTCTATACGGAATCTTGCGGGGACGAGCAGATACCGCAGGACAAAAGCCCATCCAAAGAATGATCTTGCATTCTTGGTATATTCTTCGGGTACAACAGGTCATCCAAAGGGGGTCATGTTGTGCCATGAGAACATAATCTCAAACATCCTCATGCTTAAAGCAGGAGAGGGCGGTAACTTGTCTTGGGATGGGGGAGCTGACGGCAATGGCGACAACATTATAGCATTTCTTCCTTTCTACCATATTTACGGTGAGTATCCTAGACAGGGATACAAGTTGTCGATTCTGACACCACCCAGGCTTGAATTGTTTAATATGTCAGAGTCTCTACAGCGGCCTCACGCTAATCGTGATGCCAAAATTCGAGATCGAGAATTTCTGTACCATTATTCAAGAACACAAGATAACGTTTGCGTACGTCGTTCCACCAGTAGTTCTGTTGCTCGCAAAGCATCCTATAATCGACAAGTACAACCTCAGCAGCCTCCGCATGCTCAACAGCGGGGCTGCACCATTGACCCAAGAGCTTGTCGAGGCAGTACACACGAGACTCAAAGTCCCTATCAAACAAGGATACGGTCTCAGCGAGACAAGCCCAACTACGCATACTCAGGTAGGCAAGCGCCCAGGAATCATCTTTTGTATACTCTAGGCTTACAAATGACGAAGCCGTGGGAGCTCTGGGATAAGACCATCGGCTCTGTAGGAACTCTTCTCCCCAATCAGACCGCCAAATACATGTCACCCGACGAAACAGAGCTTCCGATTGGCGAAACCGGCGAACTTTGGGTCAAGGGCCCTAATGTCTTCAAAGGCTACCTCAACAATCCCGAAGGTACCAAGAATGCATTGACCGAAGATGGGTACTTCAAGACTGGAGACGTGGGCCATCAGGATAAAGACGGCAATTTCTACATTACGGATCGCGTAAAGGAGCTGATCAAGTACAAAGGATTTCAGGTGCCGCCCGCAGAATTGGAGGGGCTACTAACTAGCCATCCCACTGTGAATGACGTCGCCGTCATCGGCATCTACAACAAAGATCAAGCTACGGAGGTGCCAAGAGCATACATCGTACCCAAGCCTGGAGTCGAAGGCAGTCCGAAAACTGCGAATGATATTATGCAATGGCTTCAAGCCAAAGTCGCGAACCACAAGAGACTCCGAGGCGGCGTAAGATTCGTTGACGAAGTCCCGAAGAGCGCTAGTGGGAAGATTCTACGGAGACTGCTGAAAATCAAGGCCCAGGAAGAGGATGAGAAGGGGCAGAAGGCCAAGCTATGATCATTGATCACATGGTAAATTGTGAGTTGCGAATATATGTTGGTTGGTCACAGTAGACTTGTATAACACAAATGCTACACGATCACGTCACTCTAAAGGTACGTTGGCGGTTCTAGGTAAGCAAGAGCGTTCCGCCACCGGCGCCAGACCACCGGATTATTAGCCCCTATAAGGCGTCCCTTCCGAACCTTTCCCCCCCATGATTGGTGCCGACGAGCAGCGCTGCCTATTTTCTTGTGCCAAGTCTTGGGGGCCGACCGTCGTTCATTTGCTACCAAGCACGGCTTCTTCGACGAGACCTGTCCAAGGCCTTGCGGCTGGTAGCTGTCCAATTGTGATCCAAAGTGACCACTTTTTTTAACACTACTTTAGGTCACGAAGTTCTTACACGCCCAGTCACTAAAAGTGTGATTCCCTAAGAGTGGTCACATCGAGCCGAATTGGCCTACCACTTCTCTCTTCACCTAATGTCATAGTTGGGAGCGATTTATTTGATGTCAACCGTGACTTGCCCCTATCAACATTTGCCAAAGTCCTGAGGTTGGCTACCTTTCAGTCTATGTCAGATGCGGCGTCCCGAAGCTTGCCAAGTCGAATGTCATTGGCTCACATTCTACCTGTTCCCCGATGTCCCTGTTTGTTAGACATTCCTTCGATGCCACCCGAGCCTACCTCCTATCAGCATTTCCCAAAATGTTGGGCCTTTCAACTCCGCGTTTCATGCAGACGCAGCATCTCGGCAACGGATCAAGTCGACCAGTAATAGTCCATTATGTATGTTGATTCTAAGATCACGGGTCGACAGCATCACTACTTCACCCCGTGACGGCGAAGGTGTTCTCCACTTTGGCATACGACGTAGAACTCCAGCCACCTTCGGCTGATGACTCCTGCAGTTCGAGTCTCATCTTGCTAGAGTGTATTTGTTACCATCCATTCGTACACTCTGCTGTTGCTGAGGTTCCATCTGGCCATCCAACACACACAATCGCCGATATTCTAGCGACGACCTAGTGCTGTCGCGGTCTCATCTTGTCACACAACAAGTCCTCAAACCCAACATTCTTAAGACTCCTTCACTCTCAAAGTCCTCGTCTTGCCACCAAACACCAGCTTCAATCCGCGTCTTCTTAACGAGCTTCAACCCATCCACCTGTCAGGAAGCACCGGGTATCAACCATCACAGCCATACTTTTACTACTCCAGCAAGGTTTGTGTCTCGTCATCTTCCAACGTTTTATGTTTCAGATTCACCAGACTGCCGAATAAGAGCCGTTACCGTTTGCTTGACCAGACTACCCACTTTGCCCTGCCCAGAACCTAGAATTCCTATAATCGAGTGGTCGACGATCCAATACTCGCTCTACATAGCTCAAGGATCGACCATTGCATGAGGATCGTATCCGATCGACAACCTGACCCACAATTTCAAACACTACAAGCCAGTCACTGCATGGGAATTTGACACCATCGAACGATCCGAAAGTCACTCCCTAATTCTACAAATTACTTGTGCAAAGGAACATTTACCTGCCCAGTCTTCAGTATGGAAACCATTGGTCCCACTTTTCCCGCCGAGTTTGCACGCTTGTATCCGTCAAACAAAGCCGCTGCTTTTGCCTTCGACCAGGTCGCATCAAAGTTGAAGGACGACACAAATTGGAACCAGCATGCTCGAAAATACATAACAATACATTCCGAGAAGTCTGGCATTGAGTATTATGGCAGCGAAAGTGAAAGCGAAGGTGGCTCAGGACCCCAACGGCAGAAAAAACCGGTTTGGCGGGGCTACTACGAGTTGAGCTTCGATGTACCTCCTAGGGATCCCCGCTTCGGATGGGTTCTTGGGGGTGGAAAGTATGCACTACCTGGTGACGAGAGTCCTGAGCTCGTATTGACCGAAAGGAAATCACATGACAATGTCTTCGGTCGCCATGCACGACTGTTTCACAACCACTCATCGGGAGCACTGATGCTTCATCTTGAAAAGCAGAGTTTTGCTGTAGTTGACGGCAAGAAAGTCAGTGACTCGACCACCATTTGGTCTGATCTTACACATATCACCTTCGGAGCTCTGAGTTACCAACTCCAGCTCGATGGTGCCAATGACAGTGCCCATCGAGGCCGACTGACCGGCTACCAGAAAATACACGGCTTGACGGTGAATGATTACCCTATGAATCTCTTGTCAACGCCAGCCAAGTCTGACTACATCCACAAAGACTATGTTATCAAGAACGCGATCGGCCATGGAAGCTCCTCAACTGTCTTTGCAGGTGAGCACATAAAAAGTGGGAATGCCGTTGCAATCAAGAGAATGACCCGTACTCGTCAAAACGCTGGCCCAATCGAGCGGGAAATACAGATGACAGCCTTTCTCGGTCGTCATGTAAGGCTCCTCCAGTACCCCTGGTTACTATGATCTGTATCTAGCTGACAATCCTTAGCACAGCCTCTGTCACCTGATCGATGGGATGTCCCCCAATGGAGACCGTCGAGGCCAATATTCTCGAAATGGCGCCTTTGACGAAGTCTACCTCATCTACAGTCCATTGGTAACCACAACATGATTTGCTCTCTGTGAGCCAGGACCAACAAGTGACGCCTACTACACTATATGCACCAAGATATTCTGGCAATGCCTAAAAGGTATTGATTACATTCATTCAAAGGGTGTCATGCACAGAGGCATCAGACCAGGCAACTTGGCAATAGTCTCCTGGAATCCTCCACAATGCCGGGTGATCAATTTTGGAAGTGCCCAAATGGGTATCAATTCCAACGATGTCAATGTTGGGACAACACCATACTGTGCACCAGAGATGTGGAGGCTTTCGAGAAGTGGTAAGAACTCGGGCCTAGGATACAACGAGAAGGTTGACATGTTCGCTGTCGGAGTGAGTGCATACCAGATCTTCTGTAAGCAACCGCTATGGTGGGGCCACGAAGCCGATGAATACGTCTTGGACGTAATGAAAGCAGATTTGAAGTCTCAGGGGGGCGCTCCACTCGACGTCCAAAACCTTATCAGAAGCCTGCTTGCGGATGATGCTGAGCTACGGCCTTGTGCGAAAGATGCGAGAAAGTCTCTTGATAATTGGCACGGGCCAGAAAATCAAGGGTAGAGCAGACTCCCAGCGCGAGGCCTCATTCTGACGTATATTGTCTCGTCTTGAATCACCAACATGCGCCATAAGCCAGAGGAGGTACATAGGTGATGAGTGAACGGTCGCGAATAGACGAGAACCACGAGGTTGTATGAGCATCCATTTGTTTCTAGCGGTTGCGGGGGTAGTGCATGAATGATCGTTTTAGGAGCGGTGTATTTCATCGGGCTAGTCCATGTCTTTCATGTCTATCGTGCCATTTATTTGATCCGTCCGACGTATTTTATTCCCTCACATCTTGAACAAAGATAGAATCATCGTCAGATGCCTACCAGACATCAATACCATCTTCGTTGAATCTTGAGGGGAGTGTGTGTACGTAGTAATTCTGTGGGTAGGTCTAAGATTCTACAATAACCTGTCGGGTAAGAAATAAAAAGCACCGAAACCATTGTACCAGCGCCATTAGGAATCGAATCAATACGAACTAAATACCTCCAACCACAGGGTACGCACATCATTCTCATGCAACCGAGTTCCTCCATCCATCCCTCATCGTCCTCCTCTCACCTTCTTCCTTTCACCCTCTTCATGTCATCTTGCCTTCAAAATATTGTCAACATCGAGAGTACCATATGGCCGCCTAACACAATCTTTGAGAAGATCTGGGCGCCAAACTTCGTTGAATTGCTGTTGCTCCGGCTTCGCAGTGTTCAGACCGAGACTGAGCCATCAAGACGGGTCCTATGGAGGCAAACACACGGTGGAGACGCTCAAGACACAGTCCCTTGGTGGCACGCGTGGGCAACTCCGCCGGTAACCTCGGATCAGAGTCTAGATATTTGGACGTCCCTTGCCAGGCTACCGACTCCAGATTTCGAAGAAATTAAGAAAGACCTCGCACAGGACATGCATCGCGCCTCGGGTGATTTCAAAGGAGCTCAAAAGTGACCAAATCCTAGCAACGAAGAAGTAGAAGATTCTCAAATCCCCTTGCCTTCTGCAACACGAGACACACCAACTCCATCCTTCTGGTTACAAGAAACTATTACCACCTTGTTCCCCCCGAACGCTTTCGACCAACCATTCTCAGATTCATCGGTGGAGCTAGCTACACACAACCTACCCTTCCAATTCGACCAAGGCTACTCTGCATCCTGTAACTCCCAATTCTATGCTCAACATGATAACCTTGAACAAAATTCCCCTGGAAAGTGTTTTTATCTCCATCGCCCAACCTCGCAAGCTTCTAGCAAAACAAAGCGGAACATAGAGAAAACACGAGGGTGCGCCGGGCGCAAACCTGAAGCAGTGGTCCTGGTGGTCCCTGCGGACAGACTCAAAGAGCAAGTGGCCGGTTCCCAAGCTTACCTCCCAAAAGGATGCCTCTGTGGCTGCGGCGGCGATGCTATGCACTGTCACAGACCTCCATCACTTTTTACCTCCTCCAAAGAAGTCAAGGCTCCAGACATTGCGTCCATGCTCGAAACGAGGCTTGATGATGCTGCGACAAATGATGAGCTTTCGAATCGAATTTGGTTTGGAGAGGAGTTTAACAGCCATACCTCAGATAGAGAATCTTTGGATTCGTCGATATGAACTGTTAATGGCGACGAACGAGGCAATATCCTCAAAACGTCTTCTCGCTCCCTTAACACCGACACCTACGATATAAGAACCAGGAACGACGATCGAGTGCAAGCGTCTCGCAAGCGCCGGCGCTCGACGAGTCCACCAGACACTCCTATTCGCAGTCCGAACGAAACTGCGAATACATTCCTGTATAGCTTTACGCATGGGCCTAATCATGCGCCTCATAGTATCCCTCTTTATGCATCTGGTGAAAAGGCTATCAAGGAATTTGCAAACTTCGAAAATACTCTAGTTTCCTCTCGCCATTCGTTCACACGGGCACCTACTTCCCCTCCCGAGGCCAACCCATCAAAAACACCTGCCCCCTACATTCCTAATAGGTTTCTTCCGTTGAAGACTCCATGTTACTCCGAGATATTTTCCTCTCGTGCGGAGAGAGAGCCGCCAAGAGAAGAGGGCGCGGACTGTTGCGATAAACGCTCAAAGCTATGAGGCTGAAAAGAATCGTCGTCTTGGCATAGAACATGATCGATTCAGTGATGTAGCTGGTGGGAGCCCGAATTCTACAATAGACTCGGTTTCTGTCTGTAACCCATGTGAAAAGTTAGCCGAAAGGTTCGCAATTGACCGGCCATATGCAAATGACTCAAGCAGGTCTCTCTCTCGAGCACAAACTGTCCTCCAAAGACCAAATCTCTAATAAGTCCAACTCACTATGTCACTGAAGGGTTTTCTCCATTGGAGATCTCCGGCATTTCTAATCACAACCACTCTGCCACCAGGGAAGAGAACCTAAAGTAAAGGAAGACGGACAGCTTCTGCAACCAGGCCTGCCGAAGCTCAAAGCGATGAGACCTGAAAGGTATCATCTCTATGACACAACCCATGAACGAGATAGAACTTCATCTGCTGAGGCTCCACCTTCAACTTTCCAGGCCGACGATGTAGAGGAGGACGGAGGTGGAATCTAATATCCAGATCTAGGCGAAGCAACCAACAGCAGAGGAATTCCAATAACCGACACAGTCTTGGTACCAAAGGACCGAAGTAAGAAAGTGGAGAAGGAGCCGTCGTCGTCGGTCACAGCTCTTCGCCCGACTGGCGCTAACCGCCGCTACGTGGGAGATGATACGCTAACGACACGGCAGGTCAAGCTGGCTCTCCTTTCATAATCAGGCTCTGGAACAAGGATGATAATTAACGTTCGATAGGTTATCTCACTGTGTCGTTTCCGTTGCCCTTGGTCTCATAACACAGTACTTGAAAGCTGGATGTCTACAGCAGACGATTCATGTGGTTAGTCTGGGTCACCAGTTTTGGTTCATCTGCACATACTACTTCGTCGATTTGATCTTTGAGATTTCAATCTCAACTCGCTATTGTAGATAAGACGCTTAAGATTCCATGGGTGTCGAGGATTGTATTCGTAGTGATCTTATATTGATCAGTGCACGAGGACAGCAAATTGATATATCGACACTGAATGGCGAAAGCAAACATGTAACACCCGAGATCGATTCTCGTCCTTTCTCACCCACAAAATTTCGTTGCATTACCAGTGACCTCACCCATGCGCACACACTATGGTCTGTCTCTGTGGCTATGACGCCAATAACGACCACTGCCATCTTCTGAGCATGCCACCGTCTCCGAATGATTTCTATGAGAACTTCTGGGCACCAACGTTCACGAAATTGCTTGAAGGCGGTCTTCGCACAGTTCCGGCAAGACATGAACCATCGAAACGAATTCAATGGAGGAGGGTCTTTGGAGACGATGCACAGGACGAACCCCTCCTCGATATGTGAATCAATATCCCACAGGGCTCTTGTCTCCTTCCTCGGAGAATTCAAGATGCCAAATCGCCATTACCAGCGCCGTCGACCCTCAATTCCGAAGAAGTCAACCCACTCAGCGAACAGAGATACGATTGACCGCTATTAGCTAAGGAACCTTCCACGCCCACCGACCAGCGTAGTTCTAGTTTCTATAACCCTCTATGAGACTCTGGTCGTGTGGAGCAGAGTCTGCTCAGCAGACCGAAGAAGATCTACCACGAATGGGCATCCGCATAGCCCAGGCTTCAAGACTACGATCTCTCAGATATGAACTTCGAAGGCAAGCTGGGAGACACATCTACCCTTTTCAATTTACAGAGTCCTCCTCCAAGGTCACAAAACGAAAGTTCTGGCTGGGAGTTTCCGCCGGAGCTATTTGACTCCCCTCCACCATCCATTCCACCGTTGTCTATTCATGAATCGGCCAGAGGGAAAATACAGCCTTCAAACAGCCAGAAAACTGATCACCCGCAGCTACCCTCTCAGGAACACTACGATGTGCCCATCCGGCCGGAGCAACTTCTGGCGTTACAAATTTCACCTGCAGGGAAACAACAAGCCAAGTACAATCGAAAAACATTCCTTGAATCCCCTTACCGATCAAACAGGCTGTCAGTAGACAGGAGCCGCCAGAGAATGAATTGCAAGCATCACTCATGCGCATGATGGAATGTCAGCTCAACTCTGGTAACGCTGTCTCTCTTGTCCCAGACGTCTTCCATTAACCAATCTCAGACTTGACACTGCACATACTCTCGACTTCCAATCTGATCAAGGCTACTCTTCATCCTGTACTTACCCCTTCTATTTTCAACATGATCACTCACTCGAACAAAACATCTGATCATTAGTACAAAACGTCTCTATTGGGCATCCTTTCCTCTTTACCCCAACTCATGCGATTTTCGCAGTTCACTACGTACGAAAGAAGAGAATCGAAAGCCCGCCAGGGGCAAAGCTGAAGCAGTAGATGATGTCATGGACAGACCAGCTTGCATCTGCGGTTGTGATGTAGATGATCATCTGCACACGACGCTTCAACTCCTCATTGCCTACAGCTCGCCGCGAGTACGAATACAGTAATACCTAAATGAAGGCGGCAGGTTCAGGAACGTCTCCTTGGTGTTCCCGAGGACATTTCTTGTCAACTCAGGGCAAAACGCAACGGGGCCGATCGCTGCTGCTTCTCGGCCGAGTCCGCAAGGCCAGCTCATGTCCCTCCACATCGTGATGGGAATGAAGGGCAAGAAAACTCTCTCCATGCCGCGGTATTCGTCTTGCTGTCAGCATTCCTTCTACTCAAATTGGATCATATACGCGCAGAAGGAAGCTGTGTCTCACATCCTCTTGTTCCCGGACGCCATTTTGGATGATATAACCTCACCTACACGCAAGGCAGGCATGTCATGGAGCGGACATGCCAAAGCGGTAGTCCTTCTAAGTGGGGATCCCACACAAAAGAGCGCAACGCTCTGAACAGCCGCGTCCTCTATAGCGCACAGCCTCCAGAGCATGGCGCACATCGCACGTACGTTGTCTCGAGCAAAGGACACCAAACGAAGAAAAACATCTACAAGTCAGGGATATCGCTCCATTTAGTTCCCTATTGGGATACAACATACTGGCTTCTCAAGGTCTATCGCTATTGAGAACGAGCATCAAAAGTACGGGAAAGTGCGTTTGCTCCTATCCTGCAGCAGCTAGCACTTTCAGTGATTCTGAAGATCCTGAGAATGAGATCTTGTGGGAGGAGTTGGAAATTAATGCTATCTGTCAGTCGAACAACGCAAAAGCCCCTCCCTTCGTCCCAAGGTGCAACTTGCATGAAGCAAACTCAAATCCTGTAAACTCCATCGAGGACAAACGAATGTCTTGGCCACTGATCCATCAGCTCGTCTGCATCTTGTCTAGCAACCTAACCTGTTGTCACCATACCCTCCTCGTCATCCTCCACGCTTCCGGTTCGAGTCCTACTTGCTTCCGCCTTGACCCTGTCCACCTTGACTCCCGCTAGATTTTCCCTCCAACACTGCGGCAATCGAATTGAACTCACCGATCCGGCGTCTTTTCGCAGCCGGTGTCCCCATGGCATCTTGCCGAGCGGCTAACTCATCGTCTTGCTGTTTAGCCAAACTAGATGCCCAATCAGTTGAGGAATTTGTCACAAGACGTAGTGATGATACTGACTTCGTTTCTTCAGCATAAGGTTCCACACCACGTTTATAAAGGGATGAGATCCATTCCACAAATTTATCCTTGCTATGCTCAGCGACAACCTTCACAGCTTTCGTGAGATCATCCTCTTCGTCGAGCAAGCACATGATCACGCCATTGAGGTCTAGATGCTGATATTCGTCTTTGTCGAGCTTGAGGCTGGCGTGGCCGATCATCTGTTTGATCTCGAGGTAAGACCAGCACGTGTGCTCGGATTTCCCTCTCCAATGGAGACATGTGTATATTTCGCAGAGGTCCGATTGCTGGAGAGTGACGGCACTGTTGACCTGGTAGCATGGCCCTGAGACTATATCCCCTTCTTGTTCTTCCTCTTCTTCCTCATGTTCTTCTTCTTCTTCCTCTTCTTCCTCTCTCATCACTTGCTTGACCCCTTCCATTTCTGCCATTGATGGAGTCTAGTTAAGGGGATGTGAAGCTGGGTCGTTAGCCCTGAGGACTTGCAGATATTCGAGATCTATTGTGCTTGTTCTTTGTCGAGAGGGTTCTATGACGAAGGAAAGTAGTAGATGAAAGGAAACTCTTAGCTTTACAAGAGCTCAGCTTTATGAAAAACGAAACAAAGACTGCCTGATCAGACCGCTTGTCATCCCGTTGACTCGTACCGCTTTGCCAGATTGTCGGAGACCTCAGATGAGGTCCGTTTGAGAGGCAGCACTCAGTCAATACCATACCGTTGGGTATGACCTTGTGGGCGGCGTGACGTTTCGTGGATGACCTCCATGCCGTTTCCCTCGAAATAGTCTGCCAGGGTCCTTCGAGGAAACGCTGAAACGCCGGAACACACCCATCAGCTCAAACTTTTGGGCAGTCGGTCGTAGAGCTATTCGACAGAAAGATGCTCGCACCCGAACGTTCGCCCCGAGGTCTGCCTGTCATCTCATGCTGCACGTGAGTCACTTTACCACTCTTATTGCCTCGTATTTCAAGCTACCATCAATGCTAAACTTGCCCTGAAACGTATTAGAATAGATCAACATGTCCGCCTCAGATCGGAGTCTTGCCAACCAATTATTCTCACGGAACCATTCCATCGGGTTTTGCAATTTTCAGACCTTCATCATGTCACCCACATAATTCAGTCGCCATGTCATGCGGCGTTCGATCTGAAAGGATAAGTCCGCCCGTATGTCAACTTCTCTGAGACGCTCACCGTCCATAAAGTTTCCGCACGATTGCCCTACTGAAGCGGATGCTGAGTGATAACAAGGCTGTCGGTTGGCCCAAAGCTCGCCCTCTAGGCTGCTGACCCAGACATATGCAGCTTTGCGCTGAGGCAGGACAGTTTCATCAATTCGGATGTCTGCCCAAGCATTTTTCTTCTACATGATAATGCACATCCGACAGCCTCCACTCTTACTGCCCCAGGCTTGATGGAATCCTACATGGCGAAACTGCCCTGAAACGGGTCGAGTCAAAACAACGGACTACAAATTCCTAAACCAAGAGCTACAGTCCTGGCAGCACTCCACCATGTCTTCTAACCTTTCAGCCTCCAGTTTACCATGCACATGCTCGATCCGCCACGTCATACTGCGTCTGGCTTGGAAGGTTAAGTCCGTCGGCGTTCTAGCATCTCGAGGGCGCCAACTGCCCACAAGATTACTTTCCACGGATAATGCATGGCACCAAAAAGCAAATTTGAGGTCTTGATTGGTGGTCCTCTTGAGGAATATAGCCGCTGTGCCACCATCCTCGGGCCTCAACGTTTCAGACGCACGTCAATGAGCTTCCTCGCAATCGCATTCTCCAAGTGTAGGGCCCGAAGATCGCGCTCCATGCTTGGGTAGTACACGGGTTTCGTCAGTCAAGGCGACAACGTCAGATCTGTAGGCTGCCTTCGTCTTTGCGAGTGTAGCTCCAACGCAACCGCTTCTCTGAATCCCTACATGAGTTTTGATGCCAGTATCGTCAGCCCAAATTTACATGGCGTAGGCGGACTGAGCGTTGACCTATGCATTCTCCAATGCGCAACAGGCGTGAGGCTTGCAGGTCACGTGGATTGGGCGAGATCCGCTTTTCAGTATCCCTCATGCCGCCCCCCTCATTTAAATTCTAGGTGAAACAATGTAGCGGATGTTGTTCGCTGGCAGCTCTATTGAAGAGTTGATGCCAGGCTACATCGTCTGCCCATCCAATGCAAGGCGAAGGCTGCTCTACCTTTGTTTTGGGAATCGGGGTTACAGAAGGCGTTAAATTCCCTACTACCAACGACAGATCAGTGGCCAAGGCGTAATTTCTCCTCCTCCGAAAAAGCAAAGAAGGCTCTGCCTCCTTCAAAAGGCGGCCGAAACTTAGGTATCTGGTGTATATAAAGCAGTTTTCCTCTCCTCTCAATCCTCAACATCGTCACAGAACATCCACCTCTACAATCCAAATCAATAACCACATCCTCATCATCCCTGGCTTGAGTTTACAGTGACAAGCTCTACCATCCAGTACGACATCAAAGGTCAAAGCAACCCCCCCGTCGATCAAAGCAGACCAGCCATCTACCCTTTTCCCACAAACGTGAGCCACCCAAATGCCGACTTTCTAGTATCTCCCTCTCTTTGGTCACCCCATTATCTAACCAATATTTTAAGAAAAAAACCACAGAAGCCAGCCGACAATATGCTCGACCCGGAGCGCTGGTATTATGGAAGAGTGGAAGAAGTCCATCCACATTTTACCTATGTGAAAGTCAAGCTAAATGACACGGGCGAGATCTTCACACACGATAAGGCCTACAAGCTTGTTGAGCAGGAAGTGACAGTAGAAAGAAACAAGAACGTCAGGTTCAAGGTACTCCCCGACCTCGACGACAAGAAGAACCGAATCAAGGAATTAGAGGTAGTTTGGCAGGTAGAGACAGGTGGGGCAGAGACTGATAGAAGTGGATGATGGCTAAGAAGAGTCTTCTCACTAAGGGGCGGTCGGGGTCTGTCAAGAGTTCTGAGGAATGGGAAGAAGGCGGTGGGAGGGAGCATTCGATAACGTCTTTCTCATATGAGTTATCACAGGGGCCATTTAGAAGGAAAGAATGGGCAGTCTGGTGGGAGTAGCAAAGGTCTTGCGTACTTGTAATCACTCTTTTGACGGCCACTGGGCGTTTCAGAAATGGGGATGGACCTGGAAATAGCAAGGTCACGTGACGCTCCTTAGCGCGTCCGATCACATAGTCGCTCTTTCCTCCGTAGCACTTTCAGACTACATGCAATCCAAGCAAGTGTCTCATCTCATATTCGGACAGCCCCATCCCAAGTTCCCAAACTCCCAAATACTCTTAAGCCTTTACTGCCAGGTCAAGACATTCAGACCTCAAATGAGATTCGCGGCTTCCACCCGAAGCAAAGATGTTTTGACCCGCATGACCTTCTCTGAATGGTCAAACACTTCTTTCCCTAGACGCCTACTCAGATTCTTTGACCCAAGCCTGAAACATACCCGCCAGCTCAGCCTTTGCGCTGCTCCCCACCGAATAAATCAAGTCACCGCCAGTTAGCGCCAAATAGCTGCCCCGTGTCGCGGTAGTCTTTGATTCAGCGATCGCTTCATGCATGCCGAGCAGTCGAGGACACAACTCGTAGGGCCATGGGTCGGTGTTCATGATAAGTCCCCATCAACGCTTCTTCGGCTCCCGTTACCGCCCGTTCGAAGTCACACTGTCGGGGCGGGCAACTCTGCATGGCTGGAATGTAACTATTCCACCCGACATGGCTTCTCTGAGCTACCTCCTATTTCACAACAATTCCGAGCATCCCGCCTTTACAGAAACCAATAGTCAGGAAGGGCGATGAATTCTTCATCATTTGGCCCAAAGCTTGCAATCTACGCCTGCGGCCTATGTCCGGCTTTTATTCCCATTTGACTTGACTCGCTAATGTCCCCAAGATGCGCTGCCTCCTTTGAATATCTATCCTCTATTGAACGTCGCTCATCCTCGAATCCTAACCTTAGGTCCAAGATCATAAGCAGAATCACAAGCTCTAAGGTTCACACCCGGCACTACCTTACATGAAATCGCCCTCACAACCTGACAATTCCACAATATAAGTCAAGGTAGATAATATCATTCCCGTCCGACACCATTCCGCATCCCTTCTTTCCTTCGCGCTGACGCGCTTGTTGTAGGATCATGACATCCAGCTCCGCAAGCAGCTCCCATGGCACCCGGTACGGGGGCAGGGTGACGACGAGGATGTTCGAGAAGGCAGTCCGTGGTCCATCCCTCACGATCTCGCTCGACGAGCCCTACGACGATTGCATCGACGTCACAACGTCCCGCGCCGAGGTGGCACGCGACGCCATCGAGAGGGGCATTGAATTCTCCAGCAGGGTCTACGTGATCTTCAAATCGGACGAGGCCGGGAAATTCGAAGTGGCGACGGTGGAGCTCGACACCTCGGATCGCACGCGGCACCCGGGCGTGGTGAAGACGAGGATGTTCGAGACTCCGGAGCGCCCTGCATCCCTCACGATCAAGCTCGACAAGCCTTACCATGATTGCGCCAACGTCGTAGCGAGGGCCGCCGTGACTAAGGCGGCGTTGCAAAGAGGCGTCGAGTTGAATTTGCCTGTCTATGTTGTTTTCAACACTAGTAAGGACCGGTTTATGGAAGTGGATGCTGTGGAGCGGAGATACGAGTGAGGCTATAATGCCTTTGTGACGAGTGAGGAATGCTGGAAGATTCTGCAATGAAGAATCGAACAGTTCGATCAAGTTGTGCTGGTAGTACTTGCAGGAGTGATGGACGCTACGGTCGGAAGAGTCGAACCTCTGTACAACAAGTCGGGCATTCGGACGACGATCTTTAGCAAGTAAAACCCAAGAAGTCAGACCCACCTCGGGCAAGTAGACCAGTAACCATCACTCGCACCTCAGACTCAACTTTTCTCCGACCCCCCCTTCTTTACACCCACCCACCCTCCTTCCAAAACACACCCCGTACAACCCTATTTGAGTCTCTGGCAAGGCCAATGCTTCTTACCTGATCACTCAGAGGCCACCTCCGAAACACCACCCAACTCCAGCCCCCCAGTTCCCATTTCAAACCGTTTCATCAGCGCAGCACGCAACTCAACTCAACTCAGATCAACGACCGCGCAATCCCTGCCAACTTCTCCAAAACGCCTCCACCTCCAACCACACCCACCTCCACATAACCGCAGCTCTGTCACCGATCCACAGACCCAAGTGACGCACCGACAGCTACGCCACGACTCCTGCCTACCTGCCCGGCTCGAAATAGGGCGGTGATGACTCTGCAAGGACTAGGTAATAAAATGCCCGGCCGGCATTGATCCCGCATGTGCCGCCCGATTGCAAACGCTCCTCACGAAACAAGGCGGACTCGATACAACATGATTGGCTGATCGCTGTTGCACGGGAAGATTTCTGAGACGACGCTTTTTCCTTTCCTTCTTTCTTCGAAAAAAATAAAACGAAAACAGCGGAGGATGAGAGGTGCCCTGCTCCGCCTCTTTCAAGCGAGCGTGTGAGTTCTGTTCATCTCAAAGCTTTTTGAGCATGTAAAGAAAGAGCCAGCCCATTTTTTCATCTTCTGACTCAGACCCATAATCGAGAACCGCGATACCGAAATCATACCGCACTCTTGTCCAAAGCACTCGAATCGTCCTCCGCACACCATCTAGATCGCACATCTCCCCTTTCCAAACCGCGCCGTCCAAGTCTAACTTGCCTATCCATATTCTCTCCTCCCCCTCACCACCACCACCACCACCTTCACCCAAAACCCAACCCACCACCCAAAGTCCCCCCCACCGCCATGCCCCGCACCCCCTGGACCAGTGGCGTAATCACGAAGATCGCCCCAGACCGGAGCTCCGTCGTCATCCGAGCCTGCGCCGGCGGCCGGCGCGCCCGCTTCGGCGACGCCGGAACGATCGAGAGGCTGGGGTTGGACACGGGAGCGAGGAAACGGGTCAGGTTCACACGCAAGCGGGGTGGACGAGCGACGACGACGATGGGGAGGGAGGGAGGTTGGGGAGGTGGAGGGGGATTTTGAGCGCGGGGTGAGGAAGAGGGGGAGGTTGATGGGTGGGGAGGGTGGTGGTGGGTAGGGGAGTCTTTCGTTTGTCAAATGTGGGGGGGGGGCAGTAATGGGCCATTTGGGCGTAGTGTTCAGGGTGTCATGGATCTGCGGCCTCGTTATTAGCGCTGCGTGCATCGGTGTGGGAGATCTGGAATTTGGGGCCGGGGTGAAGTGATGGGCGAATGCTATACTGTACAGACAGACAGACAGACAGCACCCACCCACCCACTCACCCCTGCAACCCCTGCATAAACCCCCACTCGATTTAGCTACAGCTCACCTCACTTTGGACCCCCCCCCTTCCCCCAAGCCCCGGTAGCCCTCCCTCACCCGTCAACTAATCAAACCACACACACACAACACACAAATCACATATCTCACTCTCCCCAAACACCCACGCCAACCGCCGCCACAGCCCAGTCCAATCCACCCCACTCCGCTCCAGCCGACCCGACCCATCATGCCCGCAACCCCGACCGACGAGCTCCGCTTCCTCCGCACCCTCACCCCGCCCCCTCCTACCTCCTCCACTTCCAACCCGGACTCGGACGACTACGATCCCTACCGGTCGCCCTCGCCGGAGAACACGACGGGCGTGCAGTTCGATCCCCGGGATCGCATGTGGCGGTGTACGCGCTGCGGGTGGGAGGTGGAGACGATTGATGGGGTGCAGGGGGTTTGTAGGGGGCGGCATGAGGTTGGTTTTTTTGCCCCCTCACTCTGTTTTTTTTCTCACTTTCTTTGTTTTTCTTTTTCGGGGCTTTTTCGGGGGGGAGATGGGAGATGGGATCAATCCAGAGCAAATCGGGTTTTCTGATGTGATGTATGTGTCGACAGTCCGATTTGACGCGGGTCGATGGTTGGTTCTCGACTTGTGAGTGGGATGTAGGCATGTGGAGTGATCAGGGGGGCGAAGATGGAAGCTTTGATGGGAATGAGGGAAGGAGTGAGGACGAGTTTATTTTCTTGGGGGAAGTCGGGGAGATGGTGGTGGGGGGCAGTGGTGGAGATGATGACGAAGAGCGGGAGGATGTTGTTGACGATGATGACGATGATGGTGATGATATGGGTTGGATTGTTGAGGATGAGGATGTAGAGGATGAGGTGTGGGAGGGGGATGATGATACTCGGATGGAGGACGAAGGGCCTCGTGAGCCTGGGCTTGGTGCTCTGTATCAACGAGATGCGATGGAGAGTGGGGAGTAGGGAAGGGTATTGGGCATGGAGGAGAGAACTTCGTAGATGCGCTCTCAGTTTGCGAGAGCTCGGGGAAGTATCAGCAGTATGGTCGATCAAACATCTATTTCCCTCGCCCTCCCCGTCCCCCCCTTAAACTTATCTTGCCAGTTAGTCTGCCGGCCTATCCAATTCTCCACTACCGTGGTCTTGCGACACGCATACCCTTTATACTGTAATTCCGTTATACTGGAGACAATTGTTTTGCGACCCGATTGCGGTTTCTCCGCGCTCCTCTGACATTTTTCGCTGAGCTTGGGACTTGTAATGAAGCTGCGAATACAGTTCATACGTAGATAGTATGGCATGTGTACATGGGCTCTATTGTACCCTCGCGGACTTTGTGAATCTGACATTGCGGTTCGCCTTCCCCGAAGACAGGCTATCCAAATTTCTGCGTAGAATCAGCTTGAAGCTATGGTGATATGGATTGATGGGCCAATGCCACTCAGCAGATGGCATCGACCACAATTTCTCAATCGTTATGTCGAAAAGCTCGTGGGTGACATGCCTCGCAGGGCGACAGGTTTAATGTCATCCAGCTGCCTGTACCTCGTGTCCCCGATCGATCTGCAGCATGTGTGTTTACTTTTCGTGGGAGCTGATGACTAGCATCTGCTGCGTACCTAGTAGCAGGTGAAACACGATCGCCATAGATTAGTCCCCTTTCGCTTTTGTCGTATCTCATACCACAATTATGATATTTGCTCGGTATCGCGTTCCCACGAGATGGACATCTTCTCGGAAAATCCATTGCACGCTTTGCTTTATGACTTGGCTGGCCGTTAGCGGCACGGCTTGAACATGGTGGTGGTAGGTGTGCCGTTTGTCTAGGACGAAAACAGACGGAGTTCAGTCTAGAAAAGACAATTACTATGGACATGGCGAAGACCAAAGAACGGGAATCACTGCTGTCGAAAGAAGAAGATTTGCGGCTGTGATCGTGTGGGAAACTCGTGGGCATAAAGCGGTCTGCCGGATGGGTGAAGGATGTTACAACCTGGACAACGCAATCCTTCGACATTGTGATGTATTTACCAAGCGACCTATGGGTGGGTGGCAGTGGTAGCCATTGGAGGGTCAGGCGTAGCGACTTGGGTATGTGCGGGTGCTTTAATAATAGTGATGGATACATTTCATGTTACCAAAGACTTCATTTTGCCAAGAGGCCATATCTGCTATACTCAATCTGGTTAGCTCGATGTGGCTTTTGTCTGAAGTTTAATCCGCCAACTATCTGGAACTAGAAAAGGACGCTGGACCGCGCTCAATGCACCATTGCACAACCCCACCATGACCCGAGTGGAACAAACCTCGCTTTTCGCACCGGGCGCCGGCGGCGTTTCCCTCCAAGCCAACATGTCCGCCGCGAAACTGCTGGGAAAGAGGACCCATCAGATGCCAGGAAGATTGAACGTCTCCGAGCTGTTCTTTGAGGTTCCCAAAGACTACGCGAAACCCCAGAGCGGCAGTTTGCGCCTGTTCGCGAGGAGTGTCGAGAGGTTTGAGAAGCCGGTGGATGCGAGTAAGAAAGAGGTCAGGCAGCCTCCATGGTGTACGGATCACTCCCCTCGGAACGGCCTAATGCGTCGTTGACACGAGACTTCTTTTAGTCCTCTATCTCCAAGGCGGTCCTGGGATGTCATGTAAAAGCCCGCAGAGTTACGCTGTAAGCCGATTTCAACTCCTAAGCGCGTGTTGTGAGTCGAAATATTATCGAGAAACAAAATCTGTTGACTCCAAAACATGCTAGTGGACAAACTATGTCCTTGACAAGGGATACCAGATTCTCTTCCTCGATCAGCGTGGTACAGGGTTAAGCAGTACCATTACGGCGCGGACACTAGCCAGTGAAGGCGGACCCGCACAGCAAGCCGATTTACTGAAGAACTTCCGCGCAGACAGCATCGTCAAGGACTGTGAGGCGATTCGTAAGACCTTGACATCAGACTTTCCGGAAGAGAAGAAGAAGTGGTCGATCATGGGCGTGAGCTTCGGTGGATTCTGCGCCGTGAATTACCTCTCCAGGTTTCCGGAGGGATTGCAAGAAGTCTTCACCGTTGGTGGTCTGCCTCCCCTCGTCCGAGACCCGTACCCGGTGTACAACAGGCTGTTCCGCAAGGTCAAGCAGCGGAACGAAATCTACTACCAAAAGTATCCCGAAGACATCCACCGGGTCAAGGATATCGTCCGCCACATCCAAAAAGAAGAAGACGTCAAGCTTCCCAGCGGCGGGACGCTGTCCGTGCTGCGCTTACGCCAGCTCGGCATGCACTTCGGTTTCCACGGCTCCATGGACAGCGTGCACGACATGATCACACGCTTCACCAGCGACCTGAACCAATCCGGCTTCTTCACCCGGCCCACCCTCGCCGCCTTCGGCGCCATGATCCCCCTTCGACACGGCCCCGCTGTACGCCCTGCTGCACGAGCCCATCTACGCCCAGGGGACCGCCCCCGCCTGGGCCGCCGACCGCTGCCTGGCGCACCACCCCGACTTCGCCCGCCTCCCCCCTCGACGGGCCCGACCCCGTCCTCTTCACCGGCGAATCGGTCTCGCGCGCCATGTTCGCCGACTTCGCCGAGCTGCGCGGCCTCGCCGACGTCGCGGACCGGCTCGCGCGCTTCCCGGACTGGCCGGCGCTGTACGACGGGGGCGCGGCTGGCGGCGAACGAGGTGCCCGTGTACGCGGCCACGTTCGTCGAGGACATGTATGTCGATTTCGACTTCGCGCGCGAGACGGCGTCGCGGATCGGGCGCTGCAAGACGTTTGTGACGAACGTGCTGTATCATGACGCGTTGGTCCACAGGACGGATGAGTTGCTGAAGCAGCTGTTCGCGTTGAGGGACGATACGATTGATTGAGGGCGATACGATTGCTTATGGAGATCGACTTGGTTGCGGCGCCTTGCCTTGGAGTTTCGGAGGCTTCTGCCGAAAAGAACACAGTGTTGATGATGTACACCATGTTAATTACGCATGTGTCAACAGCTATCTAAATCGGTTTCTAAATCTAGCGGTCTTACCTATCAAGGCTTGAAAGAGAGAGTACACCATGTTAATTACGCATGTGTCAACAGCTATCTAAATCCCGGTTTCTAAATCTAGCGGTCTTACGCATCAAGGCTTGAAAGAGAGAATAGCCCAGGGAGACAGATAAGTATTAGAGAACTGTTTAGGCATATATCCATGACTTCAAATCTCAAGGTTTGGATGATGACCCGTCTCCGTCTGTTTATTGTAATGCATCAGACAATCTCAACCCCGCCTCATCGGTGCACTCGTCATGACGCTGCGATGAAGACTGCGACTTAGATACATAACGAACGAATGCCTTCTCCCACACCGCCGTTTCCATCTTCTCTTCCCCCTCAAACCGCACAGACGCAACGATACATCCCCACCTCCCTAGCACCGACAATGCTTCGAAGCCCACACTCCCTCCTCCTCCTCCTCCTCACGCTTCAAGCCCGTTCAAACTCGCCAACCATCACCAACGACTGCCCAAAGTTGTCAAACCCCGTCCCTCTGTTATCACGGGCTCCAGAATCAGCGGATGTAGACCCCAGAGTTGTACGATGGCATAGGGCACGGGAAAGATTAATCTCAGGAATTAAAACATATGAATGAAACCCTCACGGGTCGCCGCACCGGAGGTGTAGCGTCAGGGTATTGACTGAATTTCTCATCATAGACAAAAGCGGCAGTGGCGGGAGAACGAGGACGGGGCGGACGTACCAGAGTAAGAGATGTGGAAGCGGTTCGGTAAGGTGGTAACATGCTGGACAACGCATCGATATCGCGGGATGTGATGTGTGTGACGTGTATCTGCGTCGTCGAGCTTCGCTATATGTTCAATGAGCGTTAGATGAGTGTCCACGTACCAAAGGGTCACTGTTGTGCTCATTTGGAGGGCTTGATGGCTGTAGTGTCCGATGCGGAATGACTCTTGAGTGATAACCGGTTGCAGGCCTTGGCCATCGAGGTCGACACGGTAGCAGGGGGTACGATGGCTGGGGAAGCCTTTGCGCCAAGCAGTTTGTGGCACTATCACTTCCACCCACCACATAAGATGCAACTCATGCGTGGAATGAACTCACTTGCTAAGAACAATGGTCGGATTTTGGGTATCTGCACGCTATCAATGTGTCACACAACGCCTCGCTATCCCTAAGATCCGTCAGTCATGATGAAACAGATTGCCAACAGCTGTACAAGCAACCAAAAGACGCAACCAGGTCACATCGTATCTCCTCCATGTTTATCGCGCGGTAGACGCAACAGTAGATCATCCGAAGAAGTCTTCCCCAGTGACCAAGGTCTCCCAGGGCCGTCCAGTCTCCCAAACCTTCTCCATGAGGGCCCTTGCCTTCCTCACATGGCTCATACCCAGTCCTTCCATCCTCTTCAGTCTCTCCATGATCCTCTCACGCTGCTCCGGTTCCTGCGCGTCGCAACCCGCAGTAAACATTGGGAACAGCAGACAACCTTCCGCAGTGCCACCTTTGCGCACTTTGTACAGCGCGCTGACGATCTCGTGGACTGCAAATTGTACTTCCGGGTCCATGGATGATTTACCCAGCACCCTGCGGTTCACGTGGATCAGGCCGGCGTGATGGAAGGCTTCGTTGGTGGTGACAAGCTCGAGATTGTAAGAGCTGTCCTCGATCTGCGTACTTGCTCGTCGATGTGGACAACCTTGGTATCTGTGCATCCTGGCTTCCATTAGATCAGCTTTCAACCTCTCTGCCTCTTTCCTAGTCTCCACTGACGGCTGCCAGTCCTCTCTGACATAGCCAGCCGGATCTATGCGCTCGTTTTCACAATTTCGAGCCAGTTCAGCGATCTTAGCAAGGATGGACACACAGCGACTGGTAAAGCCGAGTAGGCAATCAATTTGGTAGTCTTGGTCTTTATCCGAGCTATCGGTCGCCCAGTAGTCGCCGCTGAAGAGAGGTCGATCGTTCCTTCCACCACTCAGGCTACCCATCACGTCCAGGTAGGCGAACCATCGAGTGAGAAAATACGAGGCTTTGTCCCTACGGTGCACGGAATTGGCACCGCCTCGAGCTAAGATCATTCGTCGGGCAATGTGGAGATGCTGCTGCCAAGGGACTTTCACCTCAAAAGTGCTTGGGTTCACGATCTCGAGCGATGCTAGCAATATAGCTGTCGCAAGATTGCTGTTGGATATGTGACCGCTAGGGTCGCTGAGTGTACGTCGAAGAGCAGGGAAGACGTCTTGAACCCAAAGTGCGATTCTGGTTATTGGTTCAGGATGATTGAGTAAGCGCGATCGATGACTGGCGGAGTATGTTAGTATTAGATTCAGGAGATTCGTGTCGTGTATAGCCACTGCGTGCGCTGTCAGCTAGCGAGCTCAAGCAGAGGTGTCACTGTACGCACTCTGGGGCAGGATGCTCTTGAATGGATTCTCGGAGCAATCGTGTGGAACGAGCATCCTCGCAGTGTGGTTGACGAAATGGTGAAAGTAGAGTAGGTTCATTGGATTGTCTTGGAGCGTTGGCGGTAATGGTTCCAAGGACCTGGAAATGCTGACCGTGACTGGGCTGGCGTAATAGCCCGAACCTTCATTGAACCCTTCTGATGCGTTTAGACCAAACCCAAACTCTGAGTACAAATCTTCATTGCCGAGATCAGCTTCGTTCCTGTCAAGATCGGCTATGCCCATGGTCGGCGTCACACCACTCAGTGCTATCATGTCATTGTTGTGAGGCAGATCGAGATCGGGGAAACCACGATCAACGCCGTACGTTGTCTTCTGGTAGTGGAAAGGGCCAATGTTCAATTTCCCGGGGAAGACACTATCACTGCTGCTCGCTGAGTCGGCTGGCGAGTCTTCCGACAGTAGGGACTTTACAGACAAGCGGCGGAAGTCATTAGAGTCTTGTAGCTGCTGTGGCGAGGGTCCCGTCATTGATTGATGGATGTCTTCAGAACCCGCAGACGAAGCTGCTGGCGTAAGAGGCACACGCACACTTCCATTGGATGGACTCGACGACTGATATCGCATGGACTGCGGAGATATCATCGGACCCAACTTCATTTGTCTCGCCGCGGCGAAGTTGCTGGGTGGGAAGGCCGGATTTTTTGGATAAGCGTCTGATGAATCTATAGAAGGGCTGAGACGTAGTTTCTTCGCTGTATGATCTGCAAAGGCTGCACCTGGAGTCTCATACGGGTTGATGTGGTTCGGGAAGGAGAACTGTGGGCTCTGGAAGGGGGGAGGCATCCCACCATTGGACAAGGAATGATGATGGCCGCCGTAGGGTAGATTTGAAGGATTCGGGAGAGGAGGGCTCTCCATGCTGGAGTCGGCTGGAGATGGATATGTGCCGGTGCCTTGATCGCGGATGCGGCTCAATTGTGCCGTTGAGATGTGGTCCCGGTAGGGAGACGACTGAGCAGGATGCGAGCTCGTGTAGTTTGGACTGGCATATTGTGTGGGCATGAAGCCGGTTGCTGGGTTCGGACTGAGTTCCCTTATGGTCGAGACGGTGGAAGTGGTTGAGACAGTATCTTGGGAGCTGGGCGAACGATGAAGCTTGGCCGGCGGAGAGGTTGCGTTGGAGGAGGCCTGAGTTTCATTGCTTCCTTTCCTCTTTGACCGCCCTTCCCAGTTCAGACGTATGCTGTAGTCACACGTCTCGCCCTGGCGTTCACAGTTGTCACATTTTGGTCGTTCTTCTCCACACTTGATCTTGCGGTTCTTACAGGGCCTGGCGTGTTCAGCAGTGATCGGTGTGATGTAGATTCTTCCCAACTCACCAGCAGCCATTGCGACTGCGCTTCTTGGGCTCCGCGCTTCCTGGCTTCTTAGGTCGAGGCATGGCAATGTACAGCTGGAGATGGAAACTGATTTGAGGCTCTTGGTAATTGCAGCTCTAGGGTTTAAGCTAGGCTTGGTGAAAGATCCGGGGTGGATTGATCAAGGCGGAAGAGTCATCTTTTTGGTGGGGTAAGGCTGATTTGATGAAGAAGCTTGATGGGGGGGAAAGAAGGTATATTCGAAGGGTTTTTCTTCTCTTGTTTTCTTTTTTTCTTTTTTTCTTTCTCCAGGCACACGCGGTAGAAAGGGATATGGACAGACGGAAGGGTTGATGCAGCGGCAGGAGTTCATGGTAAACAGGTTCGGAGGTGAGACGAGCGCGCACCCGCAGCCAGGAGCACTAGTCTTTTGGTCCTTCCAAACGATAAGGGCGCTCAGGGCGGTGGGCCTGAGTTGGCTTGCATTAGTTGAGGGTCTAGAATACTTCGAAGGTCTTGTCGAAAGAGAGAAGTTGCAAGAGGAGCAATTCGCAAGGTCAGGCTAAACATTACAAATATTCAACGATAAATTGATCACTTGCAGGAAGATGGATGCAGAAATATGTTGGAAAAGGTGGTTGCATGATGGAGTAATGCATTACATTCTATGCAATTATGCATCATCACTTCCCAGCAAACCATTTTCTAATATGTCCCCCCGGGAAATTGGGAAAGTCTTGGCGAGATTAGATTAGATCGCTTAGCATACATGTAAGTTGAGAAGAGCTATTCCCAATTAGGTTCCGGCTAATGTATCTATTGCTTCCCGTCTGTGACTTGTCCTTGCCGTCCACCCGTCTCTCTTCCTCCGAATAAGCTGCCGAGCTCATCCTCACCTTACTTACCTTACCTTACCATACCTTACTTTATTCTATTGTATTGAAAAACAATCCAGCACTGGTCTGCAGCTCTTCCTTGCCCCCCCGCCGATAAGATAAAAATGAGCGAGAAGCATCCTCTCCAGCGCCTCTCCTCCCCCGCCCCCACTTCCCTCTCCGCCCTCATCCACGTACCTTACCTTTCCTTTCCTTTCCCTCCCTTCCCTTCTTCATCCTCTCCCCTCTGCCTATCCACTAAACTCTTCCCACAGATCATCGGCCTCTCCTCCTTCTTCTACTCCTTCAAATACCTCTCCGACAACCCAAACCCAATCAATGATTCCTACGGCTGGCACTTCCAATTCCTGACCATCATTGGCCTCGCCCTCGCCGTCCTCACCTTCTCCACCGGCGCTCTAGCAGATTTAAGCTCATCCCCCACCCTCTTCCGCTTGAAAAACACGCTGTCGATATGCACCACGCCACTCGAAGTGCTCATCAGCATCCTCTACTGGACCCTCCGCACCGTGGACAAGAGTTTAGTCATACCGGACTGGGCGCAGCTCCCTCTCCTGGCCGATCTGAGTTTCCACGCCATCCCCAGCATCCTGCTGACCGTGGACCTGCTACTCTTCTCTCCACCATGGACCGTCTCCACGACCCAAGCCTTCGCCTTGTCCAGCGTTATCGCCTTTTTGTACTGGCCGTGGGTTGAAACGTGTGCGCAGCATAACGGATTCTATCCCTATCCGATCTTCGACATGGTGGGTACGAAGGGCCGGGTGGGGCTCTTCACCATGAGCGCACTGGTGATGACGGGCAGTACTGTGATGTTGAAAGCTCTCTACGAGACGATCAATGGGAAGGAGAAAGAGACCGTTGAAAGGGAAGGGCATGGGACGCCGTTGGACGAGAGCAGTCTTCCAGAGGCTGCCAGTGGGATGGCGAAACAGGTCGGATGGATGGCCGAGGGCATGGTAACAGACCGTGAGGAGCCGGGCGCTTTAGACGAGGGTAGCATTCCCGAAGCAGCAGGCGGCATGGCAAGGCAGGTCGACTACATGGCCAAGGGGATAAGAGACTGATGTCATATCATCTAAACCTCAAGCGAGCACTTTTTGGAACCTACTCAAGCTACGCAAAACAAATCGCGAAATACCTCCCATACTTGGATACCGTAAAACCTCAATACGATCATGGGCACTCAATCCAAGCAATTGACCATTTATAGCCATGCGAAAACCCTTAATAAATACTATCGAACGAGAACTCAACCACCCATCCATCCATCCAGCCATCCATCCCCCTCCCCCCCAAACAACTTCCAACCCGCTCACCCACCCACCTACACATACTCATCCAACCATCAATTTCCTCCGCCCCGATTCTTAAATCCGACCATCATGTCCCATCTCCCTCCCATCTCCCTCCCTCTCCCCCCATCTCCCTCCCATCTCCCCCCCCCTTCCCCACCCCCAACAAAACCCCAACCCTCCCCCCACAAAAAAAACATCCACCCCGTCAATCCCCACCCCCTTCACCACTCCCAAGTCAGGTAAAGTCCCAAAACGAGTCTGTCCACCCACCCATCCATCCATCCATCCATCGCGCAACGCCCATAACCAATGCCAGCTGAACGAATGAATGAATGAATGAATGAATGAATAAAAAAAGGGTGCCGAACTAACCCACCGAGAGCCTTTCAATGGACAAGATAGGAGCTGTACGTGTGACGAGGGCAGGATGGGCAGGTTTGGGACAGGGGCCGTGAGAGGTGGTGTAGGGAGGGAGGGTTGAGGGAGTTGGGGGAGCATTGGCGGGATGGAGGGAGGGGTCAAGGGGATGGATACTTGAGGATGAGGAAGGTACTTTGTTTAAGGAATGATAAACGGCTGCTTTTTTTTCTGCTATCCAATGTAAGATTTGGCGTACTGGTACATGCTCACATCGTCCCACTCCTGATATGTATCCGTACACAGAATACAAGTGAAAACAAACAGAAGCATGCTAGCACCGCTATACTCGACTTCTCCTTGTCATCCCTCGTAATACTTCTTGAACCGGTCCCTCTCCTCCCACTTCAATTCCTTCACCACGCTCCAACAAGTCAACAACAAGCTCGGAAACTTCCTCGACCAAAAGCCCAGGTACCCCGCAGGTAACGGTCCCACCCTCTCTTTGACAGCGTCTGGCATGTCTTCGTAGTGGTTCTTCTTGTTCCGCAGCGCTCGTAATAGATCAAGCAAACTTTCCCCTTTGTACTTGCGCTGTTTGCCCAAAGTATCTTTGAAGGGCTGAGGCAGTGCGCGCAGAAAATCGCCGCCGTGATCTTTAGTGATGAGAGGAGCGTAGCTTTCGAGGTATGCGAGAGGCTCGGAGGGATCGTCTTCCCGCTCGTTGTACTTCTCAGACTCGAAGGCATCGCTGACATGGCAGAGAAACTCCAGACGATCTTCGGCACCCCAGAAGAAGGGATGCGTCAGGATGGTCGCGGCGTCAGGTCTTTCCTTTGGATTGTGACTCAACATCTGACCAACGAGCACTTTCGCTTCCCATTGATAGTCTCCTAAAATCGTCAAAGCATCCAAATTGTACAACCCTTTTACGATATTGGCTTCACGCATGAATTTGCCGTCTTTGTCGAAAGGATGGGAGCCTTGCGTGAGGCAGTAATAAAAGACACAACCGAGGGAGAAGATGTCAATCGCGCGGGTTGCACGGCGGTTGGTTTGCGGGTCGACAACGAGCGGTTCGGAAGTGTTGGTCAGGTCTGCCGTCGCGGGATAGAGGGCGGAATTCGTAGACTTCAGCAGAGGGTCGTCATCGACAAGCAGCTCGGGGGCACGCCAGCCAGAAGTACCGGCGGCGAAGGCAGTGGTCGCACGGAACGAATTCTGGTCGCCTTCGAGCTTCTTGCAAAGTCCAAAGTCGGAGATGAGTAGGCGCGGTGGTTGGGTCGTAGACGGATTGGCAATGGTGACTTTGGGGGCGGAGACAAGGATGTTGTGAGGTTTGATGTCTCGATGAACGATCTTGAGGGTGTGAAGGTAGTGTATTCCGGAGGTGATTTGCTTCAGTATATTGGGCGTGTTGAGTCCGCCCGAGGGGACCAACGCTGGAAAATCTCTCGGTCTCTCGATCACATCCAGCAGTGAGGCAGGACAAAGCTCGAGAGCGATGTAGAGGAAACTACCAGCAGTCTCCTTGTCGAAGTATCGTATGACATTGGGATGATCGTCATGCTGCTGAAGGAGACTAACCTCATGAGAGGCGACATCATAGAACTCCTTGAGCATACGCTTCACGGCGACCTCTCTACCGCCAAATGAGCCCTTGAACACCATTGTTCCGTGACCGCCATGCCCCAAGGTAGCATCCAAATTGACACTCAAATGTCCGATGTTGATGATTGGTCCAGTCACCTCAGTCGTATCCGTCACAGCTGGCGGAGAGGATTTGATGGCTTCCGTCTGTAGTGCTTTGGCTGACGGTGCTTGCGAGACTTGTTTCATGGTCTCCTCTGCTTCATCTTTGGATTCCTGCTTGCTGTCACCTTTGTTCTTCTTCCTATGCTTGACTCCGCCTCGTCTTCCACGGCGAACCTTCTTCTTGACTGTCTGTGAGGATCCTATTTCTTCGGATTCGTCGGATTCGTCAGGACCAGGAGATGGATCCCGTATTCTAATACCATTCTCCGCCTCGTTATGGCCACGATCTTGCAGGGAATTATGCCGGCTGCGCGACAATTCCGGTGGCGGCTCCAGCAGCAATGGGTTGGCTTCCGCAACGTCTCCCTCTGGCTTAATCGCAATTTCTTTGATTTTGTCATTCTCGGGGGGTGGAAGGTCCTCTGGCGCGTATGGCGTTGCTGTGACGGGAGATGATGGTACAGAAGCAAATTGCGGCTGCACAGATGGAATAGTCTGCTCCAACTCCAAACGCCTTCTGATGTGCCTGAAGATTGGCCTCCAGTTGATGTAAAAGAATGTACCCACAGCAAAAATGAAACATAGAACAAATATGTCAGAAAAGTTGTCCACAGCAGTCCCAATGATTCTACTGCTACCTATGATTGGCAGTGAGGGCGACAATGACGATTCTTGGTAGACTTCGACGGGGGAGTCATTGGCCGCTGGGGTTTCCGGCCCAGAAATAGTCAGACCACTACCTTGTCTTGTTTGCAGCTCAGAAAGTGCATGTACGCCGACGAAGCCTTCCTGACGCTGGGCGAGGGTCAAAGAGTGCGTTGAAGTGGTCATCTCCATCCAATCTCTATCGTAGCATTGGGCCGCTTTTGCTTTGCCAGTTACTAACGGATAGGTATTCTCGGACATAGCGAACCACCCTCCAGCTTCAGTGTGATTGACGAATATACGATTCTTTGCGCTAAAAGTATCATAGATCTCATTGTTGAGAGGACCTACAGGCTGGGGCAATACTATGAGTTGCGGATCCTGGTCATCGACATGCAACGGACGGGCTACATCGAAGACTCTAACGACCGGAGACGAAAGCTTCTGAGTATAGGACTTCTGCCTGTCCATCATCTGGCTGTAGTCCCAACCGAAGATGCTTCCGTCGTGTAATGGATAGACGTACTTATTGTCCATGGTGCTAGAGTACTGGCTATGCAAGTCCCCGTCTCGAGTATTGGGTCCCCACTCTGAATATCTTAAGATACAGATCGGTTCTGTAGTACCTCGATTTTGGATTGTGATTGTGTATTCGGTCCGGCCCAGGACAAAGGAGCCTCTGGTGGCGCACTCTTCATCATCAAGCACATCAAGGCCGCCAGGCTTTGGGCATCTTGGCTCTTTGCTCAGGGATCCTCCGGCTCCAAATACTTTGCTGATGGTGCCTGTCGTTGCATCCACGGTATAAAGTTTGGTCTTCTTCTCCCCATTGTAGACCACGGCAGGGTCTACGCTCTCATACGGTGACATGTCAGCCACCAACTGCTTCACCGTCAGGTGCAACTTTTGTAAGCCGCCAAGGCCGCGTTGGTTGTAGATGTAGATATCTCCGTCCCTGCTGGGCTCCACAATCCAAAGAAAGTCGTACTCCGGCTTCGATCCATCAAGCAATGAATTGTTCGGGACATGGTATGTCGTCTCGACCATCGGCCTATCCACCTCCAGCTTCCATCTCGGTGCTCCTGTCTTCCTGTCTCTTGCGTGTATCGATCCGTCTACGGTGGCAAGTAGAACGAAGTCCTCCACCTCCCAGTCCTGCAACGAGCGCGCATTAAGCGACGCAGAAAGCCCGGCGGATTTTCCGGAGCCTCGAGCAGGTTGGGCAGCTCGCACGGCACGGTCTTCACCGGCCAGAGCTAGAGGGTTTGTAGCGACGGCGCTCGCTTTTGGTTGGTTCAGCGTTGTGTCTTTCAGATGTTTGTAATTTGTAGTTTCCGATGTGCTTTCATCCTGAAAGCCAGATGATCCAGCGTGTGTGTGGTGGTCAATGGCTGGGTGCTCGTGTGGTGATTTGCGATTTTGTTGCCGAGGCGGCAGCTGTGAAGCCACCAAGAAGGGCAGTATCAGCAAAGATACTGTCAATGCTGAGACCACCACCGTCCTGGCAGTACCCGGACGCCGACGCATGATGGCGGGGATGAACGCCAGTCAGATAGGTCAACAGGCAGACTCGATAATTCTGATGTAAGAAGCTGGAAGACTGCATTGGCCTAGCCTGATGGACAGGCTAGACATTGTTGGACAGAAGCTGATTCTACATGAATGGTTTAATAAATGATAATAAATTGAAGAAGGAGAAGAAGAAGAAGAAGAAGAAGAAGAAGAAGAAGCAATGATGTAGGTAAATGGGAGAATGTTTGAAGAATGTAAGGGCTGTCAGACGAAGGCGTAGCAAAATAATCGCAAAGTTGCTCAGCCGTGTTGTTGCAACCTTTGCCCGATGTGATCTAGTAATTCGTAACAGGTTTGGCCGTCCAATCAGAAAAGACTGCGTCGTAAGCCGCCTCGGCCCGTCATATAGCCGCATATATATTCCAGGAACGACGAGAAACATGATGTACTTTTAAAGTAGGAGTACCGTACCGTATGTATAAAGTACCTAAAGATCATTAATGCGCGCTAAAAAGAAGTGACTTCCAAACCATCGTTTCCATTTGTTGTTTCATCAGCCTTTCCCAACATCAAAAAGTAGCTACCTACTTGAACTTGGTTGGAACTTGGTTGGCAAGACATTCATGGAAAAAAAGGTCAAAGCGGCATTTGCAGATACTAGCGGGCGGAGCTGAATATTTTCATCATTCATGCCATGCCTCTTTGACGCCTGCAGCAGCCGGATGAGAAAAGAAAAAAAGAGGCAAAGCTTCAACCAGGTCAATGATCATTGAGGACGAAACTCTATTTGACTACCTGGCAGCGCTCAAACTCCGCTCCATGCAGGTCACTGGATATCATAGACTTCTCCTCCTATCATCCTTTACATCCTCTCTCTTTTCCTTGGTGCGCTTCGAATGATGTTGTCAACCCGTAACAGAAGCTGTGCAAATGTCAGTCACACCACCACCGTTGCACCTTGAGGATCGTCTTACCTCTGCTGCTTCGCTTGCAGAAGATACCACAGCCCGCTTCAACTTGTAGCTCTCGATCACTCCCAGCTCCCTCATGTCTGCAATGCCACCCCCAGCTGTTAAAAGGTCCAATCCCGAACTCGTCAGCCCTTTGTAGATCGCCGTCTTCAGCCTCGCAACCAGATCGCTCGAGTCAAATCCGGCGTTGTCCGCAAGGATGGTGGGAAGCTGCCGCAGTGCCGTAGCAAAAGAGTCCACCGCGATCGCCTTTTTGCCTGTAACATTGGGTGCCGCCTGCTCAACCGCCTTAGCCATGACCATCTCCGCGCATCCGCCACCAAGCGTAGTCTTGGGTTCTCGCACTGTCTGGGATAGCACAGCCAAGGCGTCGTGCAATGATCGTTCAGCCTCATCCAGTAACTGCTCCGTCGCTCCCCGGAGTACTATGGTACAAGCTTGTCCCGCAGCAACACCGGAAAACTTGATTAATGTATCTTCTCCAATGATAACTTCTTCAATGAGGTCACAATGGCCCAGCTTCACGCTCTCCGGATGGTCGAAGGTTGAGGCAATCTCTCCTCCTGTCACCAACGCTAACCGTTCAATACCGTCAAAATCTGCATGTTCGATTGATACGATTCCAGCGTCGGAGAAAAGCTGCTCCGGCCAATTGTATATGAGCTGCCGATTGACGAAACAGTTGATGCCATGACTCTTGATCTTCTCCACCTTCGCTCTCATCTTCTCCCTCTCAGCCTTTTCAAGTTCGGCTAGCTTTCCTGTTGACTCGACCTTGACTCTTGCCCCGAAGATCTTGATCTTGTCCGTATCCATGGCAGTATTGGCAACCAAGATTTTGGCATTCTCAAGTCGCTTGGGCTGGTTGACTCCAATCTGCTTGTCCAGGATGAAACCCTCATCCAGATACGAGTCATTCAGCTTCCCGCCCGCCTTTTTATAATTTGGATATGACTGAGATCCGTTGATCCCCTCATTCGCAAGACAGCATCACACGCAAGCTCTGCGAAATGATTTCGATCCTGACTTAGCACCTTCGAGCTGAGCGTTGTCCGTGCTATTGCCATAAGATCATTGCGGAAAGCTTCCTTATCTTTGCTGTGGTCCACGGCCGTGGCTTCCAGGGCCGCCAGAGCCACATTACTTGCTATCCGATACCCTTCAATAATTGTTTGCGGATGTATCTTTTTCTCCACCAGCTTCTCAGCCTCGCGTAGTAATTCTGCCGCCAACACTGTCACAGACGTAGTTCCATCCCCAACTTCATCATCTTGCACCTTGGATATGTTGACCAGCACTTTCGCTGCGGCGTTGTCTAACGCTATTGACTTCAGAATTGTGGCACCGTCGTTTGTGACCATTATTTCGCCTGTTGAACTGGTCCAAGTCAGCATGGTAGCCTTAGGACAGAGGCTGGGGCGCACAAACGCTGATTGTAATATTTTATCCATCCCCTTGGGTCCCAGTGTGCTCTTGACCAAATCGCCCACGGCGATCGCGCCGACAAACGCCGAGAGACGCGCATTCTCGCCCTTCTCTTCCGTGACCTCGTCGCCGAAAATCTGTGTAGGATTAAAGGCGGTCTAGGGAAGATTAGTTCACGCGCGAAATGCATCTGAGGATCACGCACCATGATCAGAACGGCTGAGTGGTAGTAATACTGGAAATTCCTTTCGAGGAAGGTGTTCTGGAATTTTGGTCAGTCGCCAAAATCCCAAATCCCAAATTCTCAGATTCCCGGATCGTCGGGAGACGCTCAGACGCGTTTCTCCCGGTATTTTTGGCAAATTCCGGTATTTAAAGTCAGCGCTACCCTAAAACCATAGATAAATTACTCTAGCCAGGCACCCAGGGTACCAATGGCACCGGGGCATCATCAGCAAGCATAAGACCAACACCACTTGATCTCTTCCCCTTATTACTCCACAGTCTTTTCTCCGCAGAACGTCTCCTTGAAGTCGGTCATTGTCTAATCATTGTTGTGTAAATAGTATCATTATCCAACAGGTTCAAAATTTGAGTTCAATATTTGATCATTCACCTGCATCATTCCCTTGCAGAAGATTCCCAGCCTGAGGTCCAAGGTGTGCTGCACATTTGCCCGGGCCACCTGCTCACGCCTCAAGAGGATTTCACATCCTTTTTCAGCTCAACATATATAGAGCCAGGCGGTGCTTCTCGGCCGAATCCATGCTGCGTCTCACCTAACATCCAATTTGCTTTTTATCTCTGTACATATTGTCAGATGCTTGTATATATCGTCTGCTCTTTGCTCTGTAAATAATTTTCTTCACACTACCGCACCAACTGCATCCTACAGGATCAATCCACGAATACATCGAACCCTATCTACGGAGCAACATTTTCGGTCCCAGCGCAATGGCTACCGTCAATATTGCCCTTCAGAATCAGACGAGCTCCAGCACCGTGTACGCCTACATCACTGGCCAAGCGCTCGACAATAACAACGCTCTATTCCTACTCCAATCCGATGGCAAGACTTACTACTATCCAACATCGCCTTCGTCTGTCGGCTCGGCCCTTGGTCAGGATTGCGCCATCCCTCGTACGTATTTTCGGAGCCCATATTTTCCCTGTTGGAGCAAAACTTGAGTCTTGAGACATATCTCGGGAGTCTTTACCCTCGAAACATGTTCCATGGCTCTATATTCCTCCTCGCATGGGCAATACTGACAGCGAAATTGTAATTTAGTGGGCGCACCTGGTAATACCACGACCGTCACTGTTCCCCACCTTGCTGGAAGCCGTATCTGGTTCTCTGTCGACGGGACTTTAACTTTCCTCCTCAACCCCGGCCCTGCACTCGTCGAGCCGTCGGTTACTAACCCCTCAGACCCGAATACAAACTTATCCTGGGACTTCTGCGAATTCACTTTCAATGCGGCCGAGCTCTTCGTCAACATCTCCTACGTCGACTTCGTCTGCCTACCCATCTCCTTGACCTTGACCAACACCTCCCACGCAACGCAGTATGTCTCCGGCATGGCGTCCAGTGGACTCGATACCGTCTGCCAGGAACTAACAGCTCAAACCGCCTCTGACGGCGCAGGCTGGTCCTCGCTCATCGTGCGCAATCCCTCCGGAGGCAACCTACGCGCTCTAAGCCCCAACAACGGCATCACTCTGAACTCCTCTCTCTTTAACGGCTACTACCAGAACTATGTCAACCAAGTCTGGTCCCAGTACACGTCCCAGCAGCTCTCCATCGACACTCAAGCCTCCTGGGGCACTGTATCCGGCCACGTCGACTCTTCCTCCCTCCTCGACTTCGGCAACGGTCTAACCTTCACCAAGCCCTCCGCCGCCGACATCTTCAGCTGCTCCACCGGTCCCTTCGCCGTCGGCTCCAACATCGAACTCGGCGCCCTCATCGCCCGCCTCAGCGCCGCTTTCAACCGCTCCACTCTGCTCATCGACTCCGTCGAGCCCACAGCTTCGCCGAGCCAGTACTATCAGAACGCGACCACGAACCACTACGCGCGCATCGTGCACGCGGCGAACTTGGACGGCATCGGCTATGCGTTCCCTTACGACGACGTGACGCCGACCAATGGTGTGAACCAGTCGGGGGCGGTGCAAGATCCGAGTCCGCAGTTGTTGACCGTGGCTGTGGGAGGCGGGAACGCGTCTAGCGGGCTGACTACGCAGACGTAGCAGACCGATCAAGTAGGGCTATTGGCATGGGTGGTGGGTCTTGATCTAAGACGTGTTGGGTAGAAGAACGTTGAACGTCATTTGGGTTGGATTGCGCTGCCTCGATCTCTCGTTTGTGCAATTGTTCTTGCAATTCTGTATCTCCTTCTACTTTCTATGTCGTTGGGCACATGATCTTGTTTAGCAATTACTTTGTCATTAGCTGTACATACGTCTCAGTCTCTTTGCCAACTATCATTTCTTCCGATCACAGAGTACGAAATAAACAGCCCTCCGAGCTAGCTAGGCACATGTTACATTTCAATTCTGAAAAAGCAAAGCAAACTGCAAAATGGGTATCTTGAATCAGTACAAGCAAGTGCTCCAGCGCCAGACAAGCCAAGCCAAGCCAAGCCATGCCAATTCAAGCCAATCTAATTCCGCATTGACAACCCATAAATCTAACAACAGTCGAGCATCTTGGTCTCTCCTGTACTATCTTTCTGTTCCCGTAACGACTCGTTATCGACAGCTTCTGAAAGCGCATTGAGAGCTTCATCGATGGGACACGGGTCCTGCGTCGTGTACATAGCTAGAGACAGGACAGGCAGACGCCGTAGGGTTCGCCCACTAAAGTTCTGCGGGCGGTTTCACATTAGCATTCTGGACTGGCTGCTGGATGCCAGTCTATCTTACCGTACTCTTCGCTGCGACCTTCCATAATGTTCGAGGCAGAGACGCTTCGTCGGCGGGGAAATGCAGCATCATGAGGTGGTGAGGCGGTAGATCTCTGTCGTCGACGACATGGAAATCAACTTGAGACCTAGGAGCCTTGGTTGAGTGGTGCGGAGGTGGCGGGCTGCTGTTGGATTGTCAGCATGTTGAAGACATTAGGACCCGAATATGAGACCTAAACGGAGTGTAGTATCTATCCGGAGAAGACGAAGAGGATGAGGAAGGTATGAGGGAGGCCCACCCGCTCGCGAGCTCGTCCTCATCTCCATCCAGCAGCATTTCTTGTGATGGTTGCTCGAGGGTAGCAGCTTCTAGGGGCTGACGGACTGGAGCTATGATTCCGCATTGACCAAGTTCAAGATAGCAGGAACGCAGAATCTCGTATCTAGCTCTTGGACCAGGATTTGAAATCTGTTGTTTCATGTCGATGCGGTCAATAAATGCCGGATCCTAACCAATGATTGATATGTATATCCAATGAGCGGCGTAGTGATTCGAATTACGCACCACAGCCTCGATCAAGTTGCTCGTGCAAAAGAGTAAGACGTTAGGTCTGCACCGTAGCCGATCAAGCGCGATCAGCAATGCATTAACAGCCTGGAATGTCATCAGCTTCCAGTCGCTACAAGTATATAAATCGTCTTGGTGCATACTCTCAAGGAGTCTTGCGGCTCGTTAGAGCTGCCAGGGTACTGACGTTTGCCGGCTAGGCTTTCTATCTCATCAATAAAGACGCAAATCAAAGCGTTTTCATCCTCATCGAGCATCGATTCAATCATGGCGAAGAGTTTGTTGACGACTTTCCCACTCTCAACAAAGTCTTGGCTGAACATTGAATGAGCGTCAAATTCAACGAGCTTGCAGTGTGGGAAAGTGTTGCGCAAACGGATGGATAATTGCTGGGCTAAGGCTCGGCAGAGGCTTGTCTTTCCAGCACCTGGCGGTCCATAAAGTAGGACGGCTCTGCTCCAACAGGGCAATGGTTGGCGACGTTGACGAGCGGAAAAGGACACTGAGGCATGGTAGCTGTGGTCCCTTTAAGAGACAAAGCGAAAACACTGACTCATGCGGATGATGAATTTGAGGAGTCGAGATTGAATGAAATCTTCGAAAATCAACCTACCAGAATCAGGCACAAGTCCATAAGATGCTGCGATGCTGCAGTTTGCAGAGCCTTACGAATCCCAAAGACCATGGAAGTTCCTATTTGGAAGACTCGTGATTGTGGCTTGCGGCCCCTGAATGTCATCATTGGCGTTTGGAGCGATCCGGGTAAGTGTGGCCTCGGAAGGCTCGATTTGCTCTTCGTCGCCGTGGAGCTCGAAGACGTCAACGGTGATATCTACATGTGGAAGACGAATACAGGTATTTGACTCGACATCTGTACTAGAAGTGAGGTCTGCAACAGTGATGAAATGGATGCCGGGAGGGTCGAGGAACCCATCTATCCAAGCATTGTTAGCATCATGGAAGAATAATTGGTAGTCATCTTACCGAGACATGGAAAGGTCTGCTTTAACTTGACTGTGGCATACTGGTTTCTGAGCCATTTTTCAACTCGATCTGCCAGCTTGATGTGACAGCATTACTATTGAATGCCATGGAAAGACGAAAGGTGCTGGAATTTTGTCTTACTGTTGGAGGCAAAGACTCCGGTTGTTTGGTACAGCACTCGACATGTAGCGTAGGCTTGCCCTTGGGATACAAAGCTTTCGCTGGAGATGTCGCAGTGCCGACCATGCTCGGCTCCGTCTTGCTGCAAGTTAACACACGTCTCCTACCCTCATCTAAGAGCCTTGAGGGTGGAAGTCAAAGAAAGTCCTCATGGTTTATAGGTTCGGGGGAGATGAGAGAATGGCCAAAAGATGCGGGCTGTGGCATTGAGTTCTTTTGGAGAAGTTTACAGTACCTACTCAAGTATCCTTAGCTAGTGTGCGTTTTCTTGGCAAGGGTCCAGACAACTAATCCATCGCTTGCATGTTGTCTCAAAACCTGCAGGTTGATAAGAAATACATTCTACCGCAATGCTTCCCACGCCGACATAACTCCCTGCCTTGGTGCCCCATAATCACGCAACTATGGCGTCGGCTTGGACTATGGCGGACCGCGATGGCTACCTGGACCAGAGCCAAAATCATAATCAAAGAGACCTCTACACCCAACTCGCCATCTCCATTGCTCTCGGGTTCTTCGCCTTTCTCGCCTTTTGTTTCTTGAGACCAAGATGGACATCTCTCTATGCTGCGCGGAAAAAGCAGAAGAATGCAGCCTCCACTCTCCCAGAGCTCCCAGACACCTTCTTTGGATGGGTCCCAGCTCTTTATCGAATTACCGAAGATCAAGTACTTGCTTCGGCCGGTCTTGATGCTTTCGTAGTAAGTAGCCTGAAAAGAATGAAGAGGTTCAATGTCTAAATGAATCGCAGTTTCTTCACTTCTTCAAGATGGCCACCAAGTATATAACAATCACCCTCTTCTTCTCACTCGTTGTCCTATTACCAATACACGTACACGACACAGGCGACTATGGCCTGCCTAAATCAGGGAATCTTGGAAATCACACAGCCAACAGGACCTCTACCTTCGGGGCCTATGGCAATGTGTCTCCATTGCTGGAGATAGCAGGATCAGGGAAGGCTACGAAGGGCGAGGATAAGCCGACTGACTTGATGCTCTGGATCTACGTGGTCTTCGTATATCTTTTTTCTGCCCTTGCCCTATACCTCATAACCACAGAGACCAAAAAAGTCATTCGCATCCGCCAGGACTACCTTGGCAGCCAATCCACGGTCACAGATAGGACCATCAGGCTCTCTGGTATACCCGAAGAACTACGCTCGGAGGAGATGATCAAGGAAGCGATTGAAAATCTCCAAATTGGTAAAGTGGAAAGCGTCTTATTATGCAAGGACTGGAAAGAGCTGGACGATCTTGTCACGCGCAGAATGAGCATCTTGCGGAAGCTCGAAGAGGCTTGGACCGTACATTCGGGACGACCAAAACATGCGGGCAATAGGGTCCTACTCCAAGCCTCTGGAGGAAACACAGACCACGTCGATGAGTCTGATCATCTTCTCGATGGTGACAATGACGACCAGCCTCACGTGGATACGGCTACATCAGATCGTCCGAAGACACGGATATGGCACGGATTCCTGGGTCTACAAAGTCGACGTATCGATGCTATCGATTACTATGAGGAGAAGCTCCATAAGCTAGACGAGAAAATCCAGTCATCTCGCAAGAAGGTCTACAAACCCACTCCACTGGCCTTTGTCACACTGGACTCGACTGCTGCAGCAGTAAGTAATGTGGTCCGAAGAAGTCCCAGCAGTGCTAACAATGCGTAGCAAATGGCTGTACAAGCTACGATGGATCCCGAGCCAATGAAACTGCTTGCTAACGTTGCCCCAGCACCATCGGACGTGGTATGGCATAACACGTATCTTTCAAGATCCAGTAGGATGCTCAGGGCATGGTCCATCACCTTGGTGATTGCTATCCTCACAGTCTTCTGGTCTTTACTTTTGGTCCCTCTTGCTGGACTGCTAAGCCTCGAAAACATTGGCAAGGTCTGGCCACAGCTCGCGGATGCCCTCTCCAGCCACGACATTAGCAGATCCTTGGTCCAACAAGGTCTTCCTACACTACTTATCTCCCTCTTAAGTGTGGCTGTACCGTATCTTTACTACTGTATGATCTCATCTGCCCAGGTCATTCGAATCGAAGCTGATGACATGCAGGGCTGTCAACGCTACAAGGCATGATGTCGCAAGGTGACGTCGAAATGTCGCTGATATCCAAAAACTTCTTTTTCACCTTTTTCAACCTTTTCGTCGTCTTCACCATCTTTGGGACGGCGTCAAATGCTCAGGCATACTTCAGCCGCATCGGAGATTCTCTCAGAGACACCACTAGCATCGCAATTATCCTGGCCACTTCCTTGAAGAATCTCGTCCTATTTTACATCAATCTGATCATCCTTCAAGGGCTTGGGCTGTTCCCCTTCCGATTGCTCGAGTTCGGCAGTGTCGCAATGTATCCGATCTTCTTGATAGGTGCTAAAACCCCTCGAGGTATGAGCCCTAGTTGGATATCAACCAAGCTCTCCGGCAGTCGCTGATCGAGGGTACAGATTACGCAGAATTGGTCCAGCCGCCTGTCTTCAGCTATGGCTTCTATCTTCCTCAGACCATACTCATATTCATCATTTGCATCGTGTACAGCGTCCTGCCCGGCTCCTGGCTGGTCCAATTATTTGGCCTGCTTTATTTCATCATCGGAACTTTCATCTACAAATACCAGCTCCTCTACGCGATGGATCACCGTCAGCACTCGACCGGTCGAGCATGGTCTATCATTTGCAATCGCATCGTACTGGGCCTTGTCGTCTTTCAGCTTGCGATGACTGGTATTCTGGGTTTAAGTCTGGCAGTGTACCGCGCCATCTTGATCGTCCCTCTGCTCGCATTCACAATTTGGTTCATGGTCTTCTACCAACGCACCTATGACCCATTGATGAAATTTATCGCTATCCGCAGTCTCACTCATGACCCGCCTTTCGGAGCGTTGGCCCACGGCGAGTCAAGGTACGAGAGTGAGACCTCGAGGGGTCGCGATGTCGATGAGGACCGGGAGACAGGCCTGCGCTACATCAATCCTAGCTTGGTCACCCCCTTAGAGGATGTCTGGCTTGCAAAGAAGCGGACGAATGGTTCGTCTCGGCATGGTAATCATGGTGCCGAAGAGGATGTGTGATTCCTTCGAAAGAGGCTGGGTTGATTCCATGATTAATGCTATGCATAGCGAACGTGTTATTCTTCATGGCGTTTGGACTACTGCATTAATTGGGAGTTTTGTTTTAGAAGAGCTTTATACCCGTCCGCATGGGCCATGCTGATCTTTCGAGGCACATCTTCAAGTGGTCGTTCTTTCTTGTTTCGACCGGAAAAGAGGCGCTTGCGTCTAGTGTGCTAACTCGTTCAGAGGTCTGCGTCCACTGACAAGCAGCTTATCCTAGGTGTAGACCAACCACATCCTTTACCAGCACGGTCTTTCAGGCGTGCAACAGCTTTAACTACGTCTTCGCAGATCCTCCTCTCACGCGGGGTCGCCGGCCTTGACCCTGAACAAGCAGATTGTTTGGACTCCACTTCAGCCGCTCCACTGGTCACTATCCTAGAAAACGCATCTGTTCATATCCTCTACGTCGGACCTTCCTCTGCACCTGAAGTTACCCGATTGATTGGAGACTGTCCGACTCGCTTCGGAATGGGTCCCTTGGAGCTGGACTCTGCTACGAAGCCTGGAGCTCTTGCTGCCTCAAACGACGTCAATGCACCTCTCAGACCTAAAGCCTCTCCTCGTTCGACGCCCTCCAATTCCGTCCGCAGCAGCTTTTCATTCCAGGTTGCATCCGAGCAATCAGAGTCAGCCATACCATCAAGTGAAGAGGGGAGCCCCATTAGAGGCCGCACGCTCGTTCGGGTCCCTGCGCATGAACGCCTTGAGCCCCGAGCCATGACTAGACCTCAAGCAGGTCCAAATGTTGATGATCTTGACATTACAATGCGTCAGCGATTTCTGAGCCGAGATCTCTCCGAGGAACCCGAAGCCATCGACGGCTGTTACATGGAGCCCTTACCATTTGAGAGGTTCCGTTTATCTCTCTCGGAAGAGCTACACAAGGCCGCAACCTTCAGTAGCTCAATCGACTTGACCAACTTCGGAGGTCATCGCGATACATTCGCTGTACTTGGTCTTCGCCGCAAGCAAAACCGAGGGCCTGAGCTCCCGGCGACCTTCTTTCAGCGACTCTTGAACTACATTCACTTCGAAGAATACCTGGCTGTTCGCCTTTCATCCCGCTGCTGGTCAGCCGGTATCACTCTCGCTCGTCCTGTCGTCATGCCGTCTGTCTACAAACTTCCTGCCGAAACTCTTGAGAGAGTCTACGTCTACCTCTCTCCTGTGGATCTGAATGCCGCCAGGCACACATGTAGAGCTTGGATGATCGGCAGTCTGGAAGAGAGGCTGCTAACAAGGGTGCTGAAGGAGGGTGGCTGGTGGAGGGCCGGAAAGGCTGACATGGATGTGCGTGAAGAGTTGAACGGGCATAGAACTGCCGACAGCATCAATGAGGAATGGATCTTAAGCAAGCGATTGGCTACCGAGTGCTCTCTACGACCAGGTTGGACCGGCAACGGGCTCTCGGGAAATCTGTGGTCATCGTCGGGCAGACAATCTAATCATACTGGTGTTGCCCTCACATCCGAGACTGACTTTTCTGAACTGAGCACCGGCTATAACCCTTCTCGTATAGGAAACTGTCAACACGGATCAGCGGTTCACTTTACAGTCAGCGTCTGCTGCAAATTTCTTCTGGTTACTGAAGGCTGCCTGATCTACATCTACTCTCTGCGTGATAATACCTCGGGCCCGCACCCTCATGGAGGCCATCTTTCGCCTGTGACCACCGTCCTCTGCCCTCACCGCGTTCTGGCTGTAAGCATGGACACGTCCGCTCAGCGCTTTGCCGTCGCAGCTCTCCTTGAGGGTCGGGTAGGCCTAGTCTGCGACCTCCACGAGAACACCCGGTTGCCATCACAGAAACGATCCAATCCGCAGGTCTCGTCGGCTGTCACGCGTGACTGCAAGACCTCTATCTACAGTTCTGTCTCCTCTGGTGAGCCTGGCGTTACCGAAGCTACTCCACCCAATGAGCACGCTTCCTTTCGAGCAAGTCCCAATGACCGTGCCTTGGCTCGAGCGATTGCAGAAGCAAGTCACCCCGAAGTCCACGGCGCCCGCGACATCCACACGTCTTGGAGAATGGATGACCCTCTTGTTTCGCCTGCGCCTGGACCTTCCCGACTCTCTCTTTCCTCCAACACGGGCTATATACCTCTCGAGACCGGTATACGTTCCATCTATCGCAACCTCTGCTCCGCCGAAGACCCGCCTAGAAGCGTAGCAATCTGCCCACAGCGCCGCTGCGTTGCCTTCGGCTGCTCCGCGGGAATTGAACTTCACTGGATTGATGCACTGACGGGGCAGGATCTTAATCGCTGGTTCCCACTCACTGCGCCAAGCGACTTCTTGTACTTCCTTCCGCCCAGGCTGGCGGTGGATTCGGCGAAGAAGCTAAGGCTGATCAGCAGTGCTAGTCATCCCGAGGAAAAGGAAGGACTTGGGGGCAGATACTTTCCCGGTACGAGCACTAGTACCGCTAGACATGAGGGTATGACTTATGAGGAAGGGTTGTCTGACCCTAGTAGTTGGGACAATGCCTTCAGAGGTTCCGGATGGTGCGATCATTATCGCGCTGTGCCTATTAGTGATGGATGGAATGTCTTGTTCACTGATCCCGTAGAAGGAAACCTGTGTTTGGGCACAGATGCACCGCTTGGATCCGGAGCTACGAAGCTTATCAGGAGGTTCATTTTCAAAGGACCAAGCGAACTTGGGGAGACTGTAGTGCCCAGAGTCTACGCAGCTGGTGGCGAGTTGCAGTGGGGTGTCAGAGTTGTGGTTGGGTATGGCGAAGCTATTTGGCTATTTGTTGTGCCACCCGATGCTTTCTTTGGTTATCAAGACAAGACAGCTAAAGGGCAAGATGGGCAAGATGGGCAAGATGGCCAAAAAGCTAACGCAATTGGAGAGCCAATGAGGATCGAAGGCGTCAAGATCGGTAACATGCAGGGGCTCGTTGACGTTGCGGTCGATGCATCCGGTGGAATCCTAACCATCTGGACTTTCGCCGTCAACGGCATGGCATATGTTTGGCAGATTGCCGGCCGGCAACAGTCTGTGGAGAAAAGGATCGTACTCAAAGACGGCGCGGTCACAGCCCTGGAAGACGCAGATGGCGACACCTATATGTTCAACACCTCCAAGGCAGCCGTGCACTTTGATGGCGCCGCACCGCTACGCCCGACGCGTACCGGCGCCACGTGCCTTCACCCTTCCTTGCAATCATCCATCCACAATTTCCTCCACGGCCTCCACGACCGTATTATCGACCGCGATCGTGACATCGACCATGACGGCGACATCAAAATGCCCGATGCTGACGCTGAGGAAGACGAGGGCTACGCTTCAGGTCACGACGAACTGGCGCAGGCCGGCGGTGCTTTTGCAATCCATGTCCCCCCGCTTTGGGGTAGATGGAGTGAGGAGGATGCGGATTGGGTGCCTGATTATTTGGCGCAGAGGGGAGGGGAGATTGAGGATGAGGGGTTAGGCATCGATGTGTTGGAGTTGACGAGGTTGGAGGTTGAGATCTTGAGTGGATAGAGAATGCACTTGGCGACAGACGGACGTGTAGAGGGTGGAGGTAGAGAGAGAGCAGCGTAGCCTTATTATTACTATTGGATCCAGTGTTCTGGCTCCAGTCCTAAGCTTCCGAAGCAATCGTCGAAGTTAATCTGTTGCAACAACATAGAGAGAGGGTTCCATCGTCAACGTTTCCCCAGCAATCATACTGTTCTATAACGATGCAATGGTGTAGAGTCGGTGCTTGAAGCAGGTAGGACACTCGACTTCAGTACAAAGAAAGATTTAGAAGAAATCAGCTTCATGACAATATTTGAATCTACAGGACAGACTTCAACTGGCTGGTAATCAAGAGATCACCTCGTATATCCAAAGAAGAGGATACAACAAACATTCAGACAAAAGAAGCTCTCTGATCAAAGGACGTATATAGGATATAATAATCATTCTTCATTACCATTATGACCATACCTAGAAAGCGTGACAACAGCTCTAGATACCCCTATTTACATTTACAAGCTGCAAAGCGTACGTAGCACCTGTTCAGTCCCAGATCCGCAACCTCCTCATCCCTCCTTCCACCCAAAATCTCATAAGAGCAGGAGCGTGGGACCGGCACTACTTCTGCTGCACATGATCAGCCACTGCGCAATGCCCACGCGCGGAAGAAGACACAAGTGTGGTAAAAGGCAAGTCTCATGTTATGTGGGTGTGAGAGTCTCCATGGGACCGGCTGCATACACACAGCCTCAGATTTCAACAACAATTTCTTAATCATAGACGGATATAGAGAAGCACAGAAAAGGGAACGACAACGTACCGTTCGGGTATATGTTCTGGATTCGGTTTCCGACCATGCAGTATTGGGGACGAGGTACGAGGGGCCGGTCACGGCTAGCTGTGCGTATCAGATGCCTAATGTTTGTGCGAATGTGTTAGCTTCAAGAAAGCGTTACTGATGAACTGATAGGACGGGGGCAGAAGAATGTTGTCAGAGTCTAATTGTAAATAGCATCATCGTTTTGCATTTGCAAACGCTCAATGATTATTTCTGACGTGTTTTTCATCATAGAATAAGGAAAGCGGACAATGGGTCAGGGCACCCCTTACCAAATAGTCTACAGCTGCTCGATCCCAGTGACCATCACATCTAGCTGTATATTGTTTTGGTCGGAAAGCATCGAATGAAGAGACCGAGACCTGTGCGCTGAGGTTTAGCGGATTGATGGACAATTTGATGCAGGATAACTTACAAATGACCAAGCTGTTTCTCACTAGCCTCATGTTCTAGCTCTTTCGACTTGACTGCAGCAACATCGAGGACAGACTCTGGGACATTGGCTAGGCGGGCGACGTTCAAGCCGTAGGACCGATGAGCCACGCCTTCGCCAATCTCGTAGAGAAATGTGATCTCCTGGCTAGCATCGCCAGTTTCCTTGAAGCGCATATGTACGTTCTTCAGCTCGCCATTTTCGAACCCCTTGGCGAGTGCGCTGAGATTCTGGTAGTGGGTGATGAAGAGCGTCAAGCTCTTCTTTTCTCTGACCACATGATCCAGTACAGCTTGGGCAATGGCGACGCCATCGTGTGTCGAGGTTCCGCGACCGAGTTCATCCAAAATGATCAACGACTTTGATGTCGCTTGCTTCAGGATGTCCGACGTTTCGGATAGTTCCACCATGAAGGTAGACTCTCCCGCCATCATGTTATCAAAGGCACCCATGCGGGTGAAGACAGCATCGAGCATGCCAAGCTTAGCGGACTCGGCAGGGACATAAGATCCAATCTGGCCCATGATGGAGATAAGAGCGACTTGGCGAACATAGCTTGACTTGCCTCCCATGTTTGGACCGGTGATGAGCAAGGCTCTCGTGCGATCCGAAGCGAGATCAGTATCGTTGGGCACGTAGGTATCAAGGAGAAGCTGTTCGACCATGGGATGTCTGCCCTGCTCAACAGATATGCACGTCTCGTCCATGTACTCTGGCTTGACGTAGCCTGGTTGACCGGCGATGGCGGCAAGAGACAGTAAGCAGTCAAGCGTGGCAAGAGCCTGAACGCAATCTCGGAATGACTGATACTTGGATGAGATGTCCGCCAATAGTCCGGCAAATGCAATATCGCACGCGGCAGCCAACGCTTCTTTATGCTGATCCCTTTCACGAATGAGACGCACAACTTCCGGTGTGTGGAATCGTGAAACCTTCTTTGTACCGCTGATCTTTGCCCATGAAGCTGGGACGTTTTTCAGTAGTGCATTATCCACCTCGATCAGATACTCTATGCCAGCAACCGTGACATATTCTACCTTCACCTTCTTAACCTTTGCAGCGGCGACGGGTCGATGAGCGTCAAGCTCCTGCTCAACACTTGCTATACCCATCTTGTGCTCCATGATGTCTTCACTTTCCACCTCTTCTCGGAAGAAAGCATACTTGTCGTCTGCCTTAGCGGCTTCTGGGTTGATTTGGTCCAAATATGAAACTACATCCTCCGCGATGGTTGGAAGAGCGGCAATAGCATTGTTGATGATTGATGACTGGAAGCCAGCATCCGAAGGCCTTTTTACTGAGACGAACTCAGTGGCGATGCGTTGCATAGTCTGCAAGACAGTCAATAGCTCCGGGCGAGTACACTGCACAAAATCAGTAAATGGCAAGGACGCTGGAAAAGAATGTACTGACTTTGCCATAGTAGATGCGTATCAAACTCTTCTCCAGATCACTTCTGATCTGAGAAAGAAGGTGTTTGACCTTGTCCGCTCGCACTGTCGGCTGGTCATCATTGAGCTCTTCGACAGCGGCGATGCGTTCTTCCAGCTCAGCCTTCCGAAGCAGCGGTCGGCCTACCCATTTGCGTAACAGCCTCTGGCCGAAGCGTGTCTTAGTCCTGTCCAGGGTCCAGAACAGGCTCCCCTTCTCAGTATGGTCTGTCTGGTTCTGGTAAATCTCAAGGCTAGTTAGGCTGGTTCCGTTGAGCAGCATGTGCGATCGAGCACTGAATGACTGGAAATACTTCGTGAGATCGAAAACATGTTCGAGGCCATAGTCCGTCAGATGCGTGATCATCGCAGAGAGACAGATTGTTACACCCTCAGCGAGCTTTAGCACGTTGTCCAAGATCTTGCTTGCTTTCTCATCATCTTCCGCAGTTGAGGCTTTCATTTTCTCGGCGTAAAAGTTTGAAACGTGACTGTAAGCTTGCGCTGCCATGGTCTTCGGCTTGTCGAGTCTCTCCAATCGCACTCTTTCCCCGAAGACGTTGGTCTTACTTCCCGACAGATGCTGTACCAATTTGTCGGTTGCTTTTGAAAGATCGCCGACAATCAAGATCTCACAAGGCGAAATGTGAAGTAACCGAGTCTCTATTTCGCTTCTCATGAAGCCATCTTCGAAGTCATCGTGTATCACATCGCCAGTCGCAGGCTGCACAGCGACCAGACCGATGTGGACCTTCTCGTCCGTCCCCCAACCTTTGGCATTGCTTTCTGTGATGCACACGAGATAGCCTGTAGCAGGCGTACCGCTGGAGGGTGCCCCTACTGATGCTTCCAGCCCTTCAACATCGTCGATATATGTGCCCTTGGTGTAAAGATTGGTAAGTTTCCGAACGAAGGGAGCATTTCGATTGTCTCCAGCCGCTTTCAGGGCTGCTGTCTCCAACTGCCGGATAATGCCTACTTTATGCCCTGCACCCACTAACCGCTTTACATGTACATGTAATCGATGGGTCGGTATGCTAGCCGATGCAAAACGGTCCAGATGGGCCTCGGAAGGGTGCTCGTCAAATCTAAATTTTCCTGGTATGCACACGATACTTAATTCCTTGGCAGCAACTCGTGCGTCTTCTCCCCAGAACTTGAACTTATAGCCAACTTCCATAATCATGAGGGTGTCCAGGTGCTTCCTTTTTATGTCCAGGAATTGCTTCTCCATTGGCGTGAGCTTGCTTGCGCCTTTCTTTGCAGTGACCCCTTTCCTCCCCCCTGGAGACAAGTTTGGACGTTCCGTCCTCCTCAGCCTCTTCGTCATCCTCGGCATCATTCTGATCTTCCGCAGTCTCTTCGCTGATCACCCAATTGCGCCTCTTGATGTCGGCGATACTGTCGGGTCGACCCAGCTTCTTGACAAACTTCTCGTGTAGCGTCTCCTTGCGCCGCTTGGTCTCGTCATCGTCCTCCAAGTTCTCCTCATCTCGAAAGGGGGAGCTGGAAAAGGCATACTTGGATGTGTGCAGTGTTTGTTTGGGCTTTCTGATTTCGTTGGCGGTTGTGGAGATGAGGTGCTTGTCAGAAGTCGTACCTTGGCTGTCCTCGTGTGGTTTTGAAAAGCGTACTCTTTTGCGAGCCGGTAATCCTATGGAGTCGCCGCCGTTATATTCTCCGCCCTCGTCGTAGACGTGCTTAGGCGCCGGAGAGCTCCTTTCCCCCTTTGAATGTATATCAACATCAACGTACGAGTCGACAAAAAGGCTCTCGTCCTTGTCGCCGAGCAAAGTGCCGTTGGAAGCTCTGGAGGTGCTAGGAGTCAAAGCGGGCGGTGGTTTGACCGCAGCGTTCTTAGTGAAGAAGTTGGAAATTGACTGCTGCTTTTTGGCTGAGGCCTGCGAAGAACTCTGTGAGCCCACCATGGCCCCCTCTCTGCTTCGGGCAAAGTATTGGATGCACTGATTGTCAGCGCATGGTGGTCACCAAAAGAGAAACAGCAGAGATTTCCGCGTAAAGTGCTTTCCGCGTTCGCGCTAGTGATCCTAGCGTCTTGGGACCTCTATTACCTCGGTCCCTCGAGACTCCTTCCCGCTCCACACCTCTGCGGGAATTGATAATAATGCATTGAGACAACCACTATCGAGGAAGGTGAAGCGGGGGTGTGAAGAGGAGGGTACGTGGAAATTTGGAGAGCGTTGCAGTGGAGTGGTGCAAGTGGGGCAGCAAATCCACCAGATCTCTCTCACATTTGCCTTCAGGTAAGACCAATACTCGATTATAGTCATCTGAAGCTGACCAGTACTATCAGCACGTGCACCGTGACCATAAGTGGGTATGGCTACTACAATTCGAAACCTTCCAGACGAGCTTCTGGTAGAAATTCTTGGCAAGCTTGATAAGAAAGACCTGAAAATGGCTCGCCTAACTTGCGCTTTATGGAGCACTTCTGGAGCCAAATGGATGTTTCAACGAGTCTACTTTGCACCTCGCAAGGCACCCATGAAGATCTTCTCGGATATAGCCGCAATCCCTGCTTTTGCTGGAAATGTGAAGGAATTGATCTATGATGGGAGGCTCTTCCTGCCCGAACTCGGAAATTTCGACTCCTACTGGACAGCTTTTCGTGCTCGTATGGTAGAGGAATTTGACCTATACGAAGACCATACGAGAAACGCATCGTCTCGTGCTGGCATGTACTTTGCCGATAAAGTGTACCAACGTTCGATATGGAGCATGTGGAAGCTAGGGGCTGGTGACAACATGAAAAGGGATATTTCCGGTGACAGTAAGGATTTTGAGACAAATGTCGCAAACAGTCTCATCCGATATGCACGTCTGCTTGACCAGCAAGAGAGCATTTTCAAGAAAGGCAAAGATTTCAAAGCTCTGTGTAAAGGGCTACGGTCCTTTCGGAACATCAGTACGGTTGACACTCTCGTCGAGTTCGATCATTACTCAGACTATAATATCCGCTCAGGAGATAAACATGACCGGTTTATCGACCCTCACGAATGGTATAGTTTCCGATCTCAACTTGAGTTCGGCCTCACCGTGCCACCTTCAAAATGGTGCCCCCGGCCCGAATCCCAGGATGGAGGAGAGCAAGACCAAGAGAAGCACATCAAATGGGACGTTCGTGGTGTCCACACCCTTTTCCGAGCTATATCAACACACTGTCCGAGCCTCAAAAAGCTATGTATAGCCTCAATGGACTACAAAGCTCCAATGACTATCTTTCAATTGTCCGATACCGACACCGACAAGGTTCGCATTATGGCGCGTCGCCTTACAACCCTGCAACTCTACCCGTACGTCACCAAAAGCGCTGATGGGCCCGAATACGCGAAACAGTATCATTGCCTAGAACTTCTTCTGCAGGAAGCTAAGGCATTGCGCATTCTGTCTTCGAGTAGATGGTTTCTTGACGAAGAATTAGGAGAATCAGATGACGGGAATGAGGATTTTGTCTCAAGTGAGCGTACCGATTTCGGCATGTTCCTGGGGAAGGTGTGGCCGCATCTCACCAAGCTGATCTTGACGTATGCTTGGGTGAAAGCACGGGATTTGATGTCGATTTCTCGAGTCCACAGGGGAAGCCTCCGCGACCTCAGACTGGCGAGCATGTCTTTGCTCGGTGCAGATCGATGGGAGCATCTGGGGAAGGAGATGGGTCAGATCCTTATGCTACATTACGTCCGGGTGGACAGATTACACGATGACCTTACTAGGACAAGGAACTCTTCGTGGCCCTTGATGGATCAAGGTCTTACATTTGTTCGCGATATGATGCAGTGGGCGCTTCCGGACCTGCTCGAGATCGAAGAGGACTGTGGCAAGATTACGGGAAGGCTGAAGGCTGACTCGTCATGATTTGTGTCCAATCATACCCAATGGACGAATCGTGAACTCGCTACTACATCTAGCTTGCATTCTGCTGTATCATAGCTGCTGTGACATCTCGAGACGCTGATGCTGCACGATGAAAATGATTGCTTTAGCTACGTACAAATGAGAGAATAAGCTAGGTAGCATAAGCTAAATATCAAGGACAAACCCGATTCATGCTGGAAAGACTAGCCAACTCTCTATCTCTCTGTGGGTGATTTGCAAACAAGAGTCTTATTACCATTGTGATGCTACAACCTAATCCTTCCAACACCCACCAACGAACGGGTTCAACAGCATCGACGAAGAACAGCAAGATCTCAAGAGTTTCCCTCATCCAAACCTCAATGAGCAACAAATCAACAAAGAATTTAGGGCTCAGACTAATCATCTGAGCCATCATTCCACACACCTCCAATGAACAGAAGCGGACGCACAGTACCACCACTCAGCTGGATAACACGCCTCTCTGGTGTCGTTACTGTACGGGTTTTCATCTCTTGCAAGTCCATGACTCATTGGAGACAGCGGTGTATGACCAATGGCGCGCATCTGACTTTTGTTCGGGACGGAAACGGTCCAAACAAGACGTCATGGACAGCTTATATATCAAAGCAGGTGTCCTGATCTTGCAGCAGTGACCTGGACCCCGCCAAACAGTCACCAAAAATTTCATTTTCCAGCTGTGGAAAGAAACTTTTCTTCTCTTCGAGCAATTGTCGAGCCAGTCCCGAGACCACTAATTACCGCAGCGGACCTGGTTGCCAGTGCAAAGGGCTACCCTTTTCAACCAATCAATGTCTAAGATGCGATCCCACGACAAGTGGAACGGCGACAGTTGTGTGGCCAGTGAGAACGGCGATAATGGAGCTTCCAAGGTACATCAGATCCTCCGATCGAACGCGAAGCTAATCAGGCATTGAACAAGCGCTGTGAAAGACCGCCGAGAAATGTCACAGAGCTCGAGATACGCGTACACGACGCTGATAAGACTTCCCAGAGAACGGAAAGCTGGGGGAAAAAATACTTGGAGGATCAAATAGGTAGAGATTGTGGGAATTATCCACTTGGCTGGCGGCTGCCGTCCGTATTTATCATGGTAAAGGAACGATGGGATCGAAAGCGAGACTTAGCTTCACGCACTTCTCCGCTGGATCGAGGAAGAGTTTCCAATTTCTCCAGCTTGACGACCTGAGGCACTCCAGCATGTGTTGGCATACGCTCTTCGAGAACGGTGTCATCGCCGTCCCATTATGGTCAAAGGCTACGCTTGCGGGGTCCATTCTTTGCTCCTGCAAATATTAGAGGCGAATTGATCGATCCCGAAAGGAATTTCGACCGCTCTGAAACCAATGGAAAGACTAGAAAGCGGAGCTGGGAGCCAGTGGCATTTCGTCGTGAAAGACTCTTCATATTCTATCATCGCCAAGGGGGTTTGTGCGCAGACTGACGAACGTAAACTCTCGCTTCTCCAAACCCCCAAAAGTCAGGCACGCTTCTGAACAATAGAGCATGATACCTTGGTTGGTGCAAAGTTTCTTTAATCTTGCTTGGTAAAAGTGAGTGCGACGACATCGAAATAATTGGATCAACTTCGTCCGACAGCAATGGGACAACCGAATTGAGTATATTTTCGGTCGGCCTAGCTCCAGCTGAGATGGGAATCGATCGGGCTATCTTTCATGAATCTGTTTCACAGACATCGAACGGGAATTTGAAAAGCCGCCTCAGGATATCCGTTGTCAAACCCGTATTGCTTTGCGATACGATACTTTCGGTCATACTGGCTAGCAAGTGCATAAAGCATACCTTCTACCTCACACAATACATAGCTGAGTCTGTGAACTGCGGAGATATCTAAAATTGAAAGATGATGCTGAGATCGACATGTCTTTCCCCAGTATCACTCAGGAAGAGGTAGAGAAAGCATGTTATGACACACTGATGAGGTATACGGACACCAATGTCGATAATCTGTTTTGAGTTTTCAAAGTCTGACAATGAACACCAGCGCGATTCTTCATCGCTGTGGACATGGCTCTGAACAAGTACCTTGCTACTACGGACAATGTGGCCCTCTCGTCCAAAGTTCTGAAATGCATAGATCCGAATTGATAAGCATGGTCCTCGCCGACTTACTTCAACCGTAGGGAAGTTCAGAGAGTGGGGTGGTTGGACGCCGGTTGCAGAAAAACGTGAGATACAGGTCCCTCTTTTCAATCTATGCTTGACAACGCAATCCCTGATATAGGGGCCAATATGCTCTTGCAGAAATTGGTCACGCGTTCCTCGTGACTCTGACCACCATTATACGTATGTCCCTTATCTCATTGACATGCTCAATTCGCCAAGGTAAGCACGGCAGCAGCGCGGCGGCTGCATGATAAAGGCAAATGGGGAATAATTTTACAGAGACTGCCAACACGAGAAGACTTTTAAAGGGTTTCTCGTCTTCAATTTCTACCACACTAAGACGATTTCTTCAAAGCTGGTTAAAAATCGGAGCAACTCCAGTAGCTAAAACGCAAACGAAAACCCAATGAAGCGTAAACAGGATGTAGAGTGGCATCTGAACAGCTGCACGCGGCGTCGATTTGGGGGACTTCTTTTCATCGGAGAGACCATACAATAGTATTCAAGCACAATTCAGAATGAGAGCAACGGTGCATGAAGGAGGAACGCTCTTGCGAGGATTTCCGGCGTAGCTATTGCTAAGCCAAGGAGGAGCCTGGCCCCCGTGGATAGTGTACTCTTTGCTTGCCACCATGATTGGCGGGCTCTCTGTTCCAGGCGAATAGCTACAGAAGTCGAAGTTGAAGGGGTAGAACCGTTCGTCGAAGGTTGGATATATATTGTTGTAGGGTGGATTGAAATGGATCAAGCAATCATTCCTCTCTGCTTTGTTCTCAGGCGAGGCGAGCGAGAGTTGCCAAAAGCGCCAAGACGGTAAAACGTTCCCCCGATTTGGCATGTTTAACTTCCTCAACCCCCCTTAGTAAACAGAACCTTCGCAGGCACGCAACATTCTGTCTCTGGTACAGTATACCTCCAACTACTCATGAGCTTCCTGACTCTTGCACAGTCAGAAAACACATGGCTCCTCGGCTTCAAGACCTCCCGGAGGAGTTGCTCGTAGCAGTACTCGGCTACCTGCCAAAAACCGATCTCAAATCCGCTCGCCTCACATGCATTCGATGCGGCTACATCGGAGCTCAAGGGCTCTTCCAACGTGTCTACTTCGCACCACGCAGATCTGCCATCGAGACTTTCCTCAGCATCTCCGCGAATCCTACGTTTGCCAGGACTGTGACAGAGCTGGTCTACGACGGGAGGTTGTTTTTACCAGAGCTTACGGCTTATAAGCCCTACAGGAAAGCTTTTGATGCCCACATATGCTACCAACATGGCGAGGACAATGAGGACATTGCCGATGCAGAACAAGCAGGGGATGGAGACGGATCAACTAGCAATGTCGGCGATGACACAACAACCCGGCGCCAGGCAGTAACGCCTGGGTGTTTGATAAAAGGTCCTGATCTGTATCATGAAACCCTCGCTGACACTTTGGTACGTTACACGCGCCTTGTCGATCAGCAACAGAGCATTCTTGAGGATAAAAAGGACTATGAGGCTCTCTGCACAGGTCTCAAGAATTTGCCAAACATTACTACAGTCATCGCTCTGGACAAATTTGCTGAGTGCTGCGACTGGGTGCCTCTCCGGGCAGACGATCACTCACGGTACCACCAGCGCTCCGAACTTGAAATTGCTGTCCCTATCGCACCATCATCATGGGCCCGAGCCAAGACCATCGAAGATGGTGAGATAAGAAAGTGGGATGTTCGTGGTATCCAGAGTCTCATGCGAGCGGTTTCTAAGCATTGTCAAGAGGTGACAGGACTATATATAGGGTCAGAGCTTTCGAATGCACCCATGTCCATGTTTGAGATGGATCAGGATGATTATGAAGACGCCTGTACAATGGCCCAGCGTCTCACATGCTTAAAGATGGATTTGTACGTGTCCAGAAGTGATTCCGAGGATGAAGGGCAAGAACAGTACGACTGCTTAAACGGGTTTCTGTCAGAAGCCACGGAGCTGCGTTGTCTCGCGACGAGCGGGCGTATCGACAGCAGCTTGTTCAACGGCAAGGTCTGGCCGCATCTCGAGATCCTGATTTGGGGGGATCTCGGCCTTGATGAATCGCACCTTAAGGCCATCACTCGAGCCCACAAAGGCACCCTCCGCGAGCTCCAATTACGCAACGTCTATCTGTTCGGTGCGGAAGGATGGGCCGATGCCGCAAAGGAAATCGGTAAATATTTGAGGCTACGTCGCGTTAGTGTCTTGGGAGTTTGTGACGAGGTGACGAGCGAAGCGGCTGTAGATCCCTATCTCGAAGACGACATTAACCTGGCGGTGGCGCGCAGCTTCATGCAATCGATCCCCCGGACCATCCTCTTGGACGAGAACAGCCACACAATCATCGCATGTCCCGGGGAGGACTCATCGCTGGTCGAAATCGGCCATTCGCAGAGTCCTTGAATCTCTCGCAGAGCGACCTCCCTTCCATCCCTCGTCCCGGCCCCTCTGCGCCTTCATTCCGCGAGAAATACCCTCGGACGAGATACCCCGCTAGAAAAATCGCACACGTCCCGCACCTTGGCGATGAGAAACCGGACCCTTCTCTCCGCCTGGCGCAATCTCGCGCTCCACTCCCGTCCGTAGACTCGGCGCGACGAGGGTAACCCCAGAACCCGAGCATCGACCCGAGCGAGCAAATCCCCAATACCGAACCCCCTGACCCAAAACCCTTCGATAGGCCCCGAGTTCAAACGAAATGGCACATCCGTCACTAACGCAACCGTTCGTTCATTCAGCGCTCTCCATCCATCCATCCATCCATCCATCACTAGGAAAAACCCCAGGCGGATCGACCATGAGCCTTCCCTAATCAGCGAGAGCGTCGATAGCTTAGTATGGTGCACTCATGCGTCAGCACGACCGGTAGGAGCCGTGAGACGTATGCTAGAACTGTTGATATGGTGGATGAAATATGGCTTTGGGAGTGTCGAGCATTGTTTTCTGCTGCTTAGCAGGAGTATGCCCAATGTCTGTTCGCGGTCATGAATCCTGCGGATTTGCTAGACGGGCAGGATCAGGGGCTCTACTCGTACACCGCATTGATTTACCCTAAGGAAGGCGAGTCTCTAGATTCTCTTCTGGATTGAAGTTACCGCCATCTTTAATTGGACGCAGAAGATAGGGAAGCTTTGCAGCATAATTGTTTCTAGCCTTATCATATCTCTTGTGTATATATACTGTCCAAGCTATGCCCGCTATCGAAGCAAATCAAGCAAATCTCTAAACGATGACTTCTTAATGATATAGCTACCGCTGTTCTGTCCGAACCCCACGGCCGAAAAACGTCCTAATCTCCATTGCAGCGGCGAGAGACCTTGTGGCTCCAAAGCTGCCAACGGAAAGCACAAATAGGGTTGCTTGTATGTAGGATGTAGTATGTTGTACATGAACTGCGAATCGTAGTCGTTAAAGCCTTTCCTTAGACAGGAGTGTTTTATAAAAGGCCTTTGGCCTCATTGCTATCCTCATCCTCGGCTAATGCTAGCCGCCCAGACTTGCCGATGTCATCCTGACGGCTCGCAAATAATGGAGAAGCTGGGTGGTGAAAGAGCACGGGAGGATACTGTGGTGGAAGGTGGTGCTGGCGAAGATATGGATTCAACAAGTTGAGTGTAGATCCGGGGTATTTCGGCTCCGCAAGACCACCAAAGTCCATGTGAGGTGGTAAGGAGTTGAAGAACTGAGGAGGCTGGTTTCCTGTGACGGAAAAATAGCGCTGGGTGATCCTCCCATTGTGGGCCTGTGAGACTTGATCATCAACCCGCCCATCGCCATCTAGAATTGGTTCGATATTCTCACTGTCCTCTTCCGCGGTAGATGGCTTAGAGCTGTTTGCAAAGGACCTGAGCTGAGCGTCCCAGGGCAGTCCGTCGGGCTGAACTCGTTTTTGATTTCCGGCAGACGACTTCAAGGGCGCGAACGGATTTCTCCAAGCTGAAAGGCCATCCGCTTGCGAGTGGGGAGGACCCTGGTGACCGTGTGTATTGTGCAAGAAGGGATAGCCTTCTGTCTTGGCGTTGGGCTTCGCTGGACGTGTTCCTGGGGTTGCACTTTCCAAACCCCCTGTGGCCACATTATCGTTGAAAACGTCGAATGCCTGCCGACGACTGTTGCCAAAATTTCCACTCGTCAATCGTCGCTCCAAATCTTCTTCATTGGCTGCATCGTAGCCCATGTGAGCAGTCCTGGGGTAAACGAACCGGGGCGGTGGAGGATCCAATGTGGCAAGTGCCTTTTTGGAAATACTGCGTAGGTCGGAAGCTTGTGTAGCGGGAAACTGGCCTGGTGCCTTACGTGCTCGGCGAGTCGGTCTTGGAGCGTTGGTGCTGATGTCTGTAAGCAGAGTCTTCTTGGCTTTGGTGCGCTGTCGCTTTGGCGGAGGTGTAGGTTCCTTGAGTGGGCTGCTCTCCACATTGCCAGTGATAAGCCGTTCCAGTTTCAATGATCCGTCTGGCCAGTAAATTCGCTCCATCTGCTCAACCACACCCGAGTTGTGCTCCATCTGCTCCAGTATAGAGCCGTCCTTCTTCTGATTGCGGAGGCGTTGTGCCTCTAAGCTGGCAGAGTCGAAGATGGACATACCAGGCCACTTGACTCCTTTGAGTAGTGGTGGCTGTATGGATTCTACTTTCTCAATTTTTCGGCAATTGGGGTCAGGTGTCGAGTTGGCATATTCCCCTGCCTGCTCAACCGTCTGAGGAGGCGAAAAGCCAAAAGGATCACCGAGAATGTCGGAGGGGTCGGGGTATGCTGTCCTAGTTGGGCTGCGAATGAATGTATTGAAGTAGTCGTTCTCGCTATCCGTACCCGGGCCAGGATCCTGGAGAAACTTCTGACCGCTTGGAATCCTTGAGGGTGTAGATGCTATGTCCGCTCGACGGTTTGCGTTAACATCCTGTTCCTCACACATCCGAGGGATATGGTACCGGTGGTCGAAAGCCTGGTCATGCTGTGGCAGCCCGCCGTGCCCTGATAGACTAAGAAAGGGCGATGGACTCGAGGGTGGGAACCAAGAAAGCTGAGGGTCGATAGGTGGCTCTTCGGACTTGACGGGACTTGCTTCAGGGAGTTTTTCAGAGGTTTTGGCACGCCTCTTGCGCGGCCTTACGGTCTGGGCTGAGGCTGAAGGAGGCGATTTGACAGAGCGTTTGGCTCTGCTACTGGTGTCTTTGGATTCCCTGAGAATGAGACGTTGGGATAACAACTTTTCGAGTTGATACTTCTCGTACCAACGGTCGTACGCGTCGAGCTTTTCGCGGATTGAGGCATCTTGACGGCTACGAACCTTCGCTTTCAATTCCTGTGCAAGATGGCCTTTGGAAGCGACGTGAGTGAGTAGATGGGAGATGTCGCTGAATTCTGGATCCTTGGGGCAGATTTTGCAAAGCAGTGGAATGGAAGTCATGATGGTTGCAACTGACTTTGTAGCAAGACGCAGGGGGACAGGTTGTTGCAACAGCAGTGGACCTCGACAATCAATGTGTAGAGGAAACAACGAGGTGACAATGATTGCTGAAGGTGGTGAATGCCCTTCCCCAGAAAAGAGTGAGTGATAGATAGGTTGATGTGAGCAAAAGCAAGAGGAAAGGCGCAACGAAGTGAAGGAGAAATGGGCATCAGGCAAGAATTAGCGCCAAGACTTCGTTCGCTTTTGCAAAATTTCTAAGGGAAGGCACGTCTCATCCAGTCTCAATGAGCAGGCATGTTCGTAATTGTAAGGCTATGGCTTCTGACGCCTGCAACCTCATATCATTTGCCATCATGATCAATTTACGACTTTGGTGGCAGGGGAATTGAGAAGGAGGTCCAATTGTACGTGCACATCAAAGGAAAACACCACTTTGTGGCATTCCGCTTTGCAGCTGACCTGTCAATGTCCGACATCTTTGGGAAGCGGCCCTCGACGCCGACCAAAAGATAGAGTCGCGACCCCATCGAATGTCCAAATTGGAGCAACTTGGACCTTTGATTTCTTGCACAGCTGGGTCCACCACCATTCGAGTTCACACCTACCCCTCTAGATACCTCCATACCTGTCAAGTATTGAGCTTGCTCAGTAGACGTTTGGTTACTTCTCGAGGCATGCAACTGTAGCCGAATCAATTCCCAGTAACATGAATCATAGGTGAGTAAGGCTCACTATATCGGATCAACTGCTATCAGCCCTGGAAAGCCGATCAAGCTCAGACCTGCAATGCCGAAGTGGGTGTGAAATACATCCACCATGTCCCCTGGTCTGTCCGCAATGCCGCCTTTCTCTGGATCCTATGGACAGGTTAGAATAAATCATTCTAGACCCATGAGGTCAAAGATGCTCACCTGGCATCGGAGAATAAACTGGGCTAGCTTGTCTCCGTTGATCCAATGAAGACGATCAATCATAGCCAAACTACTGCCTACCCACCAGCTGTAGCACACATCCTCCACCTTCTCTGGTCTGCCGTTGAGACCGCCGTTTGGGACCTGCCGTTCGCTGAGCCAACCGCCAAGCCGGTCCTTATCTACCAAATCGAGTCGACCAACTATCGCCAACGCCGCCACGCAGGTGAAAATTTGGCCCGCATGGGATTCTGCACCAGGGCTGACTCCATATCCACCGTCGAAGTTTGCGCAGGCTTGTATATGAGTGACTGCCTTGGAGACATTGACGAGGCGAAGCATGTGGAGGAGTGAAAGAGCGTTCAAGGCCCCGTACAGAAAGCGAGTATCTGTTTCGCCCCACTGATCTCCGGCAAAGGACCCCGTCTCTTGATTCTGTAGGTCTGCAATGTCTGTACATTTCTTTTCAGCATCACTCTTGTTCAATATATGATTCAAGCCCACATTTGCCAACCTTCTCCGTTCCAGCTTTCCCACGCCGATCTAGCTCTTCTAGTGCATCGACGGTGCCGAGAATCTGGACTGCGCTCACGGTGTAAAGCATGTGGGCATCGTGACCGGGAGCCGCTCCGAAGCCACCATTTTCGTGTTGACAGGAGAGGATAAAGTCGATGGTTGCGAGACGAGATAAGGCGTCGGGATGGCCGAGTAGATGTAGAGCTGTCAGCCCCCAATAGACGCCATTCAAACGCAGGTGTTCCGTCAGCCAATATTCCAGCTCATCTTGCCGCTGTCAGCGAATGAGCTTCCGCGTCGTTCCTGAGTGGTTGCTGCAGGACGTACGGTGTCCAGGCTCTGAATGTACTCCACGTGCTTTTCCACCACCAGTTTGAGTTCGTCTGGCACATGACCACCAGCGGACGCACCCCCTCTTCCCGGACCAGAAACCAGTGACATGATAGTGTGTATACTCCTGGATGATAGTGCTATCGGATCAGATGATGATGGTTGGTTGTTGAAGATGAAGATGAAGATGAAGATGAAGATGAAGATAAAAAAAAAAAACATTTATAAAAAAGGGAAAGGTAAAATGCAATGGGTTTCGATGAGATTATCTGACCGCTAGATTTGATACATGTATCGTGGATGGATGATGGAGAGAGAGATGAAACAAGCGAGCGAGCGGAAAAAGGTTTGATTGGCAGTTGAAAAGAGTGGGTAAGACCAAGGACAAGGTAACATGGTAAGGTAATTACGCTAAGAAAGTTATGCCCTGCATTAGCCTACTTTTCAGGGGACGCCTCGGGACAAGGAAAGTTTAAAGGAAACATTCCAAGCCGTGTCTATTCCCCGCCAGAAATCAGCATTCAGCAGCATTCAGCGAAAAGAGACCCTTTACAACAGCTTGTCTTTTTTGCACTCATCAAAACAATATCTTTGACTCTTTCTTCACACTGCAAAAAAGTGTATACATCAAATTTGGTGGCATACAATATACATGTTCAGGGTAGCACCGCAACTGTCTTTGGATCCTCTAGGAACCCGGCCGCCGGCCGAGATCCTCGCTGCGATTCATTGACGAATCGAGCTTACGCTACTGCATCCCACTGCATAAAGAGCCGCAAATTCCATACGGACGCTGGTCGTCTGTCTGAGGTTCTTGACATTTTTGGATCCTTGTTGTATTCTACACTGCCCTTCACCTCAATCTCTGGAGACCAGCCTGTCATTGCCCACAAGTCGAGCCGCCTCGAACCTTTTGCCCATCGATTTTGGCCCGGGAGAAGATTGATCAGTTGGAGCATTGGAGGAGCTCAAGGCCCGAGGGGAGGAATCTCATGCGTTGGGTATGACTCGATTTATTCTTTCCCTTCCATAACGCTCGAACTGTACGGATAGCCCGTGGAGCGATGTAGTGTCATGCAGACATACAGCAGCACCGAGTTTCTTTTCTGGAAGCGGAGCCTAATCATTGGAAGACACATCGCTAATGCTCGGTCTTGCGGCAGAAATCTTCAAAAGACTCCAGACAGACCGCCTGGTGCTTCATCTCTCATCCCTCTCGTCCCACCAAAGTCTACCGTGAGACCTTCTTAGAACACTGCCTGGCAATTAAAAGCTTTGGCTGATAACAGAAAGAATACATAAAGGTCTTACGGCTAGGCTAGCGGAGCCGTTCAACTTGGCACCTGTGGGCGTTCTGAACAAGCGAGGATTGGGAGTGAGGTATGGGGCGTTGTTATTGAATAAGGGTTTCAGTGGTAAGGTGTTTCCCGGAAGTCTTATCTACCATCTGCAATGGATATTCACCCTGCTAGGATATTGAGACAATTGTCGTGCTGACATGTCCCATGGTAGATTATATGGTGAGGCAGGAAACTGAAACAGGTGCCTGACTGGGTTTTCCAAGTGAACCGAGACACGCTACCTGCTTTACTATCTCTTTGTCCTACAAGCCAAGACATTCTTCATGAGACGCTTTACCGGCCTGATATAAGATATGAAGAAGATAACTAGACCGGCCTCTCTGTCCTTACCCTTGCCAAAAAGTGCATCGCCGGTCAGCAGGACCATCACATCGTCCACGGATAGGGGGAGCACATCACCGTCGCCGAAAAATTTGCACACTAGTAGCGCCGAGAACGCACAACCTTTGGAACCTCACTCTGTAGAAGATCCATCAAATTCACCAGATCTCACATCACTACCACCATTCCCATCTTCACCAAAAGCCACGCCAAACCATGCCCGTGAGCCATCAAAAGGCTTCTTCTCAAACATGAAGGCTTCCAAGTCCTCGAACAAAGTGTACAATATGGAACCGACTATACGACACGTGTCTGAAGATACAGCAAGAAGCAATGTTGATTCGACTGAGAAGTCGCTATACTCCCTACGCAAGGCTACAGGATCAACTCCTGAGTTGAGTCTATTGACCTTACAGAGCAGCGTAACAGAAGATCGTGAGGGTAGGCTGTTCATTCCGGACCTACAAAGGATCAGGTACTGACTTTGCCTAAGGTCGCCATATCCAGGAACAAACAGTTGCTCGCCGTCCAGTGGAAACTTCTGCGCAATTAGATAGCAGCAATGCAGCCAGTCCAACTGAGCCGTTGCAAGGGAGAAAGCCCAAGCCAAAATTCGGTGGCTTCCTGACTCGCACACGATCAATTCGTATGGACGATGGACCTAGGAAGTCAAAGCCGACGACGCCAATCCTTACTACGAATCCAGAAATCATGGTACAATACGACGGCTCTAGTCAGGCCGAGGACAATCAGAGAGCTCCGAAAACGGCACCACTGCAACAGGACCGTTCACTGCGTGACATGATGAATTCCAATACACGCAATCGTTCTGCGGACCGCCAGCCCCAATCTAATAATAGTCAAGAAAACCTTGGCCCACGTCGTGAGGACAGACCTTCTGGTCAAGGGCTGTCGACTTCTAATTCCAGAGTCTTCCGTGAAAGCGGTGGAGCACATGGCGGATCTCACATCTTCTCTAATATCAAAAACACCTCTAGCAAAGCTGCAGACGGCCTTGGCAAAGCAGGCAAGGGAATCCTTGGGAAGATCGCTCGAAGCGGCAGCAGCAACGCAAAAGAAGAGGAGCGTTACGTCTTACGTGTCATCAATCTACCTCTCATCGATCAAACTCGACGTACGCGCATAGCCAGACGGCTCGAGGACTCGAAAGATAAGACAGAGTTTTGGATGCCTGCCTTACCCTGGCGATGCATTGAGTCAGTCTACCTCAAGTCCAAAACTGAAGCATAAGGCTAACGCTGCGGTAGCTATCTGAACTTCCGAGGATGCGAAGAAGAAGGCCTCTATAGAGTACCAGGCAGCGATGTGCAGATCCGTCATTGGCAGAAGCGCTTTGATCAAGGCAAGTGGTAGTCATGGACTGTTCTGTAGCGTATCCAGCTAACAGCAACGCAGAGAGCGACATTAATCTTTTCGACGAGGAAGAACTCTACGACATCAACATCATTGGGTCTATGTTCAAAGCTTGGCTTCGCGAGCTTCCGTCCGAGATCTTACCAAAGGATGTCCAAGCTAGAGTTGCTGAGCAATGTGCAGGAGCCACAGAAGTCCCACAACTCTTGAAAGATGAGCTTTCGTCGCTTCCTCCATGGAACTACTATTTGCTCTTCGCAATCACCTGCCATCTTAGCCTCCTCACAGCCTACTCCGCCAAGAACAAGATGACTTACGGCAACCTCTGCATCTGCTTCCAGCCTGCCCTCAAAATCGACGCACTTTGTTTCCACTTCCTCGTTCAAGATTGGCGCAACTGCTGGCAGGGATGCTGGACGGAGAAGGACGCCCTTGAAGCGGAGTATGGGGTCCTTAACGGCGGTCTACCCTCGTCAAGTGGTAGCGGCGCAGGCAGTGGTGGAAACAGCTCAAGCGGGTCAACAGCTGTTGCTGAGGAGCGCTCGTTGGCTTCCTCAAGCAGCCATAAGCCTTCGTTGGGGGGACGTTCTCATCAGATGAGACCACCGCCACTGTCACTCATCAAAGTCAGCGACGACCACTCATCGGGATCTACAACCTCTGAGGAAGGAGGCAACCAGAATGGCTACGCACATACAACAAGCAGGACACGATTACCAGAGCTGGCGCCTGTCATGCCCTTATCTCCTATTAACATGAGCCATTGAGCATCCGACCAATAATACACATCTGTACACGGGATGCAACCTTTTCGGAAACACCATCCACGGTGTCCATCTTACGCAATGACGCTACCTTCGGTGACCCTTCGCGGCCACGCAAATGTCCGCAACGGGAACAGGAGTCACAACACGGCGGCATCCATCATTTTTTCCATTCTAAACACTGTCTTATTCATTAATCTTCCGCAGTCTTGAGGCGACTGAGCAGGCATCTCAGCCTGAGCGAACAGATATCCTAGCCCGTTTACCCACCGTCGGTACCGGCTTCACTTTCCTCCCGGGGCGCGACCCCTTTATCATTGGTCCCAGCGAGTCCTTGAGTTTGGCTATCAGATACCAAATAGTCCTACGTTTACCCCGCGGGTTTGATTGATCCTCACGTCGGCCCCTACGGGCGGCCGACGGATGAGATTGGCATGAGCGCGATTTTCGAAAAAGGCGTCGTTGTATGATATCCTACCAAGCAGAGCCGGGTTTTCACTCAATTGAGATAATCTATTCTACACACTATCATCCATCCCCTCCCTGCATTCCCTTGACCCGGTGCTCTCGGCAGATTATTCTCCCAACCCCCCCCCCCCCTTTTTTTTTAGATGATCCAACGCCCTCGGTAGACTTGACCTGCTGCACTCTCTAGGCTTATCATGATTGGGGTTCCTGGCCGCTCCGTTCGTTTCTGCTCCGGGAAAAAGGGAAGGGAAAGGGGCAGGAGGGCGAGCTGGGTCGTGGATGAGAAATTCGACGTCGCGATGCCTCGGTCGTAGATAGATGGACCGTTAAGGATCATCGGGGTGGTTGGTTGACTGACTGGGATATATTATGAAGCCTTTTTTTTAAAAAAAAAAGTGTGTGCATGATGGGCGGATCTTTTCTGTGCGATGAATGCTGTACAATATGTAGATAGAGCTGCAACAACCATCCCAAAGCCCGATCCATATTCTGTACTACAAGTCGCACATGTACTACACCCTCATCCTGACGACCGCCCTTTCCAACTCGCCCACGCAGCCACCGCCGCTCAGACACCATTTCTCCCCCACGAACCCGTCGTCAACCCTCTGCCTCACGACGCCACTGAGGGCCCAATACTCCATCAAGCCCCTCGCCTCCTCCTTGCTCAGCCCGCCCATCCGCTTCACCTCCACCCCGCCCCCTTCGAACACCCCGAGGACCCGCTCGTCGTACTTGGCGAAGGGATCTTTCCGCACGGCGGAGTTGCCCTCGAGTTGGCCGAGGGCGAGTTTCAGGGCGGGGACGACGGGGCTGTTGGATTCGGAGGTCGAGGCGAGGACGAGGCCGGCGTTTGGGAGGGGTGAGGTACCGGAGAGGTGGTCGAGGAACCATTTGATGATGGTGAATTGGTGGGCGTGGATTGGCTGATACGTGTTCGATATGTAATGGGTGTTCCTCATCGCATGCGCCAGTCCATCCATACACAGCAACAATGGTGGTCGGTCCGGGAGTGTGAGTTCCCGATATAGCAGTTCGAATATGGGCCAAGCGATCTCAGGGTCTTCAGCACCGAGGAGAGCGAGACGCGAGAGAGAGATGTTCGGAGGAACGGGAATAGGGATCTCATTTTCCGCAGGCGGTTGGGAGAGCTGTAGGGTTTGGAGGATAGGGTTTGCGCGGGATATGGCGTTAAGGAGGGAGGCGGTGTAGGTGCGTTGGGTGTAGAGGGTTGGGGTGGTGGAGGGGAGGGGCCCGTACTCTGTTTGGGCGAGGATGAGGTCTTGGGCTAATGGGAAAGATCAGCAGAGCGAAGGAAGAAAGGATCGACTCAATGCTGTAAAGCGAGTCTCCGCGTACCTTGTGGGATGTTGATTACGACCCAGTCTTTCAAAAAGGCCATCGTCATAGCTTGCAGCAGCATCGTCGTCTTCCCGCTCCCTCTCTCCCCCACAAACACCCGTCTAATGGTCTTGTCCCCTATTCCCAGGCTTATATTTTCAATCTCCGTCGCCATATCCAACGTATCCTTCCTGATCAGCATGGACGGCCTCCTGAACAGCGGCCATCCCTGTGTGACCTTGAATGCCTCGACAGCCCTCAATTGATCCACCACCGGTCCTGGTATAGCTAAGACGTGCCCACGTAGACTGTCATCGATCATTGATTGAGCGGTGATGTCCTTCAAGCCTTCCACTTCTAATGCGTTGGTGTTACTGAGTACGACTCTCTTCCGTAGAGCTTTGCGTTCGCCAACTGCTGGCTTTTTGCCTCTATCGACCTTTTGTAACTTCTTTTTCTTCTTGGTGAAGGTCTTCTTGGCTCCTTTGACGTTCACTTCTACCATTGGAGACTTGGCTTTCTTCTTCGGTGGAAGGGCGCTTAGAAATGGGCTGGTCGTAAAAGCTGCTGTCGATGCTGGGTAGAGGGTGCATAGCTGCTGTGGGGGCCGGCGCGTTGGGCATGGTTGACATGAAGCTCGGGCTATGCAGCGCCAGCAAGTCTGGAGGCTCATTTGTTATGTGAGTTTATGTAGTTTCAACGCCCGAAGCTTACAGACTGGAGGGCGAAAGCAGGAGTGTTGATGTCGAGAAATCTTCATCGCTGCTTTAACTGCGGAGGAAAGCCTTGTGTAAATTACGAGTAGCGTATTCAAGAAGTATGCAATTTATTGGCAATCGGCCGACCTCGAACACTGCAAGGCGGGCTACGCTAATACTCAATCGAGTACAACATTTTCTTGACAGAACAAGAGTATCATCCTTTGCTACCCACACGAAGACATAGCCACCATCTCATTTCAATCTTGTAGAGCTTCCATAAAGGCGTCCCAGGCTCCTTTATACATGAAATCTGCTCTCATTCGCCTTCGCTTCCAACTTCGCTTCCCGTCTCCTCCGATTGTTAAGATTTGTAGATGAGGTGTAACGCATGAGAGGGTTAACCGGAACAGAAGTACGCCTGTCTGTATCACATTTGTTGCACCTATATTTCCACAGGATGAAACGACCCGTTGTGCGCTCATACTGAGGATTGAGCTCCTTTTACGAACTGTGCGGCATTGAGAGCATATGAGCTCAACGATCTTCGAATCTGTACCGAGCGGGCCACGCATTAGTGGTGCCAACACTGAAGAAGAACCGTAATTTTCGTAAGTCTCCTGTAGGCGGTATTGCTTGAAGTGTTCATCGTCATTCAATGCGTGTTTGCCTGGTAGCGTTGCCGAGACTTGACATAATCATCAGAATGGAGAGCACGAGCGTCGCGCCGGGCGCGATCATTGCTTCGACCTCATTCCTATCAGTGAAGCCCCTTCGCGATAGGTAGTTCTTGATCGATTCTGGCAAAGTCTCAAAGGTGTGGGCCACTCCACCTCTTTTCTCCAGCGCACGCTCCATCATGAGGGTCTTCAGTGGATCTTGACCAGCGTGTTCCTGATAGTATTGTAAGATCTCGGGATCATCTGTCTCCTGAAGAAATGTTATAGCTTCCTCAATGTATTTCGCTTCCCATCTGTTGCCCTGGCTTTGGAGTAGAGGGGATAGAACATTGCAGTGAATGTTCGGAAACTTGGGCTCAATCTCAAATTGATGAAGAGTCTTCGCTGGTAGCGTTGGGAACAAGAGAGTACCCAGCTTCTCTTGAATATTCTGTATAAGCTCCAAGATACCATCTGAAAGCCCCAAATGTATGGGAATACGAGCGAAGCAGACTGTTTTCAGCGGTCTATTGCTCGTATAGCGATCAATCATGTGATACTGTAATGATGGGTGATGTTCCTATATGTTGGATCATGATGCTGTCCGACTCGTCGTTGGAGATTCGAAGCTTGACCAATGTACAGTCGGAAAAAAGCAGGGTCGTCTCTGGCTCCTGCTCCAGCGATACTGATGAATACTGCGGCGCCATTATAGTCGAGGTTGGATTGGATTTGACCGAGCCTCCACAGAAGTGTCAGTGAATGCTGAAAATTTATAAATGGAAAACCTCACTTTTCAATATCGTAGGGTGACCCTTTACTCCTTTCAAGACAATTGGTAAAATCTGCCGTAATGGTGTCTAAGACAAGACTCCTGACCATTGGGGTGCCGGGACGCTGTAGAATCGTGTTGAGGTATTCGTAACTTGTTCCATCTCGATTTTTTTCAGAGAATTCTGTCCAACCAATATCTCGTATCTTGTAATTCTATCGATGGATAAGCCACTTTTGTTTTGGGCTCTCCTTCTCGTCGCCACTGAGGCCAGGGAATCCATGGGCAACCAATTCGAAAGTTCCTTCCCATTCTCATGGAAATGCTTACGCTTAGGCTTTGTAGACGATGTCGCTTGATCTTTTGAAGAGGTCATCAAAATGCTCGCAGTCGAACGGATTCGCGTGCTGTCAAGTCCATTTTCCTCATTATCCAAAGCAGGATAAGTCTCCAGCAGATCAAAATTTCGATATACTTTCGACGCGATCATGTTGAAGGTGGCCAAAATATACAGACCACTTCAAAAAATCCACGATGTTTGCTAATACAGATATATCTTTTGCATTAAGCACAAATAATTATTCCAGGTCGCTTAGCTCAGTTGGTATTTATAACCAATATAATCTGGTACCGATCAATTTACTGATTTGTCTTGATAGGTTAGAGCGTGGTGCTAATATCAATTGTCAACGCCAAGGGTATGTAAATTTGAGTTCCGATTCTCTGATCGTCCGATGTCTAACGTCTACCAGTCGCGAGTTCGACCCTCGTAGTGACCAATTTTTTTTTTTCCCTCTTTTCCTCTTTTCCTTTCGCTTTCCTCCCATTTTCGTTTTTATTTATCGTTCGTCTGCATGTATTGTATTTGCGTCTGAATGAAGAATGAAAGGATAGGCCTCCTTCTGGCAAGGAATGCGCGAATGAGAATGAGAACAAAAAGATCGACGTCCAGGCTATAAAGTGTGGGGCAAAGCAGAGTCTTCACTTCATGATAAACATACTCTAACCCTCCAAGCAATTCTCAATCAATCCCACATTTCATAGCGAAAAAGGCCACGACTTGTTACGGCTGCTGGGGCGGGCGACCGAGCTACAGGCTGACAAAGCAAGTTTCGCCGTCGTGCCTTGAATCAAGTCCAATGCCCATCATCCGGTCAACTCTCCTATCGGTAGCCATACCACCAAGCACCTATACCCAAAATCACTACGAGGTCCTCGCCCTCCCCTCCACTCCTCCAAGAACACAGACATCATAGATCAACATATCCATCTCGCCCACCACCGCACCCTCCTCCTTTGACTACCTCGATAAATCCCGCCCTTCCCTCACCTCACCGCCCACTTCAGATTATATCATAGACCACCAACATTCCAGCCGAAAGCACAGCCTTTCCGCAAACATAAAGGGTGTAAAGGTAGTTGATACGTGTGCGCGGAGATTTCGATGCCTAGTATGGTGTGAAAGGGGTGTCAAAAGCAGCGTTGAAGTCTGGTGGATTCGAGTTTACAAATGGAGGACAAGGGTGCGTAAAAGGGCTGTAGCCGATCCGTTTCCTATAAAGTACCTTAGAGTATTCGTTCTATTCTGTATCTTGGCGTCCACACAAGATCGCGCCCCCATCTAATTTCATCTGTATAGACCACCCACAATAGATTTAATATAGACCACCCACAATAGATAGTGTTAATCCTACGCTACTCCTTTATTTGAAGAATTAGATTCATAGCTTAGTCTCAGTCTACATAGATTGATTACATACAAAATCAGATAGGGGCGCGGCCTTGTAAAGTATAGACGCCAAGAAATTGCCTTCTTTCTGAATACGCTAAAAGCGGCTCTGCAGAAAAAAAGTTGCAAAACTCCATCCATAGCCAGTACTTTTGATATCGAGCAAATCTCTCAACCGACTCAAATCCAACCCATCTTCGGGATATATCCAAAAAGCTCCCATCATGCCCGGCGACTCGACGCCGGCAGCCTCACAAGCCGCGTCCACCAGCGCCCTCAACTCCGCTCCCAGCGCCGCCTCGCACCCGGACCCATCGTAAAATCCCACCTTCTCCCCATCCCCAACTCACAGCCGACCTCACTGACCCCGACCCCCCTTGCCCCCCAGCTCCGTAACGGTAACGAAAGCCATCCCCCCAACCTTCGACCTCGGCAACCTCCTCTGCCACGACCCGACCCCGCTGCCCCCCTCGCCCCCCCCCCCTCCTCGCCGCCACCGCCCGCGACTGCGCCCAGTCGCTCATCAACCAGCTCCTGAGCGCCTGCCCCATCGTCACCGTCACCGCCGGCGGCGGCGGCGGCGGCGTCCTGATGGCCCTGCCGCCCGCCACGTTCCCGCTGCCGCGGGAGAAGCCGCTGCCGGGGAAGAAGGCGGAGACGACGTGGGAGCGGTTCGCCAAGAAGAAGGGGATCAGGGATCGGAAGCGGGGGGAGGGGGGGAGGGAGTATGATGCCGGGAAGGGGGAGTGGGTGCCCAAAGTGGGGGTACAAGGGGCGGAATAAGGAGGGGGAGGGGGGTGGATTGTGGAGGTTGATGGGGAGAAGGAGAGGGGGTTGGAGGGGGAAGGGACGGGGAAGACGGTGAGGGGGGAGGGGAGGAGGGATAGGGTGGAGAAGGTTAGGAGGAATGAGAGGAAGCAGAGGGCTAATGAGAGGAAGGGGAGGAAATCAGGTGGTGGAGGATAGGCAGGAGAGCGGTTGGTGTGACGCATTCACGAGCAGCGACTTGCGTTGCTGGCGCTCTGGCAAAGGCTACGGAAGGATCGATAATCGACGACTTCGGGCAAAACATATGGCTTTGTTCGCTTTCGTGCAGCGAGGCATAGTAAATCCAAACTGTTGGGAGAGATTATGTGAAAATGGAGGTTTGAAAGTATTTTCCATGGCTGAGATACCCCCTACATGATCTACATTTGCTGCGATAGGATAGATTTCATCGACGGCGAACATGATACCTGCTAGATACACATGCAAAGTCTTGCAAAGTGGTGTCATACAAAAGCAGCAGCAAGTAGCAGATATTCAACTATCACTTCCTCCACTTTACCGCTTTCCCATCCTTAAGTCACTCAGCGCAGGCTGCCATTGCTGCGGCCATCTTTCCCATCAGAGCCTGCTGCCGTATTTCCCACTGCGCTTTCATATCTTGAACATGCGATTTGACCACTGCTTTGGAAGTCGCCGCCCGGTCTGCCTGCGCTTTCTCAAAGGTCTTTACCAAGTTCGCATGTCTCCGGTCATTGTTTGCTCTATGTGAGTCAAGTTCGTCCTGAAGCCCCTTCTCATAGCTTTCGACTAGACTATTACCACGGCTCGCAAAGTCGGTGACTATGTCTCCGACGGCTGTCTCTTTGTCGACCAGATGTCGAATCAAACGCTGAACCCCGGATTAGTACCAGACAAAACGGAATGTCAGAAGTTACTGCTTACATGTGAGATCGTCAGGAGACACTGGAGCATATTCCCCTGGTGCGGCTCCAGTTCTTTTCGCCATCTCGCCTCCCCATCACTTTCTTCTTCCGAAGAATTATCGGGCTGGGATGCTTGTGTGGAAGAGCTCGATTGCGTACTGGAAGAGCTAACTGATATATGGACTTTTTTGTATTTTTTCCTCTTCTTTGGCTCCACCAGTGTTTCGTCGGGGTCATCACCCACATTAAGGGATGGGCGCATTACCACACTGCCCGATCCTCTTTTGTCATTGGCTCCGGGATTGGGACGCTTAGCTGCAACTTCGGTTGATTTGCGGAGGGCATTCATGAAAGGATTCAGGGGGTTTTGTGTGGCACCAAGGAAAGGATCTTGAAGGTTAACTGGTACGATCGACTCCCTTGTCTCTGCGTTCACCATCTCTCCGTCGTGGTAAATGTGGTGAGGTGGCATCGTGCCAAAAGCCGAGGGAGCATGAGGTGAGCTGGGTACTTGTTTGCTATTATTCGAGAGACTTTGATACGCCGTAGTCTTTGACTGAGAGACTGAGACAAGAGGTCGAAGAGGAAGAAATGGCTCTGGTAACATGGGATTATCGTCTTGCAACACGATCTGCTCATCAAGCCGAACCTCCGCAAGCGCATCGTTGCCTTCGTCCTCATCTGAATTCTGCTCTTCAGCTGCTATGTTCTCATTACGAGTGATAAAGAATGGCATTGGGCTGCCATTCTCGTTGACTCTTGTGTTTTGAGAGCCAAGCGGTTGAGATCTGTCATGAATCATAGCAGGACTAAGATCAGGGAGCATTCTAGGATGATGATGATGCGCAGTAGGTGGAGTTTCCATATCTCGCTTTTGACGCTTGGAAAGTTGCTCATGCTCCCACGCTGCAGGGTCATCGACGGGCGCGAGTCTGCGCTTTTGGGCTCGATGCTTTTGTGTACTTGCCTCACGAGTCGCAAGCGCGTTGCCATTTTTGAGATGCTCGGCCTGTATCCGCTGAATTGAACCGCGGGCTTCCTTTTGAGCATCTCCTGCGTCTTTGAGTTCATGTTGGACATCTTCTGGAAGTATTTCAAGTGCCTCTTGTACTGGAGCGAAGCCTGCTTCCCCCTGATTGATCGTGGGATTGAGAACATCGTGCATACGCAACTCCACTGCAACGGGTCCGCCAGTTCCAACATCCTTTGGAGGCTTTAGCTTCTTCGTGGAAATAGTGCCTTGGTTCCTTGGGCCAGCTGTGGAAAACCCGATCACTGATGGCCTGTTGCTTACAACTGGCGGCGGCGTCTTTCTTGCGTCGTAAGCAGGTTTCCTTCTTGCTGAGACCCCCTCGAGTCGCTCCCGAGGCGCAACTTTGACTCTCTTGTGGCTCGTTTCCCCTACTTGCTCGGATTTTCTTTTGGTTTCAACCCCTGAAGCCGATCTTGACTCGCCACCGGCTTTCAGCCTCTGGATTAGTGAGTCCTCACCCTCGCCATCTACCTGCATGGCGGACTTCAAGTGCTCTTGAGGGTTCCGGGCTTGTTTTCCCCCTTCGATCGATTTGACTCCGAGTTTATCAAACGCTCTCGCTTTGGGCTCTCGCAAAGATCTTACTAGCTCTGCTGATTTGGGAGTGCTTGGCCCCTTACTCTCGACGTTTGCATCACCTAAATCCTCTCTGCTCTTGACCTTGGCGTTGATATCTTTCGACTCTGGCATCGAAGCATTCAACTTCGAACCAAAGGGGTCACGTCTCGTGGCAGTGGACTCGGGTAAATGTTTTTGGGCTGCTTCAGCCAACCGCGGCGAAGTCCTTCTCTGTTGAGATTCGACAGCTATTGGGGCTGGTGGGGCTGATGAGGCTTGAGGGGGGAGCGACTTTTCTCTCAATGTTGTCCGATTTTGAATTAACTTCGAGTGACACATCATCCTTGTAGGGCAGTACGGGTTCAACTTGGTCTTGGTCCCCAGGGTTCGCCGGTTTTGTAGCGTCGAGATCATCATGCCCTTGCTTGACATGGTTATCTTGTTGAGGACGAGCGGGAGCTGGATCGGTCTCGGTGACAGATTCATGTTGCTGCGGAATATTGTCTATTACTAAGTTAGCGCTGGCTTCGCTCACTTCGACAATTTCTTCCACGGAAGTAGAGTTTCGCTGATTTGAGTGGTCGCCGAGTCCTGCGTGTGGTAGTATCATCGAAGTCTCGGCAGCGCTAGTCTGTTTCTCCTTTTGCAAATTGTCCCTCGTATCACCAGGAGCAGCTCGTGAAGCTTCCGCGGGCGCGTCTCTGACGAGATCAATCTGCTCTGGGCTGCTATCAGCCTTTGGGTCTGATACTGAGTCTGGTATTTGCTCGTCTAAAGAGTCAGGACTGACGCTATCCGGAATGGAATCTCTTTCTAGAATATGTGCGGTAGGAAGCTTCCCGCCGGATGTTGTTCGGTCGTCTCTGCCGTCTCCGATCTTATGATTTCTAGGCGCTTTTGCTGCATCTGAAGATCCTTGTCGCTTGCTGCGTGCAAGCGTCGGTACGATTTCCTCGTCGTCCACGATTTCGTCAGATTCGTCGAGGCCCTGAATTTTTCTATTTGCCTTGATAGCTGCAACGCGCCGGGTCCGTGGCTGAGACAATGCAGCTGGTGCAGGCTTCGCTTTCACGACACGAGCTATTGGGGCTTGGGTCTGGGCTTTGGTTGCCTTGTCTGCTTTTGCCTTATCGGAATGTAGCTGAGTTTGAGCCTTGTTTTTCTTGGTCTTCGGTACGCGAACCTCTTGCTTCTTTGCTGTTTTCGCCGGTTGGCGTGATTGCCTCAGAATTTGAGGTCTTTCCTCGCTATGTGCTAGGTTAACGTCCCAGATAGCATCATTATGCTCATCAACGTTCCTGCCACTCGGACTGTTGGTAGATAAGTCGTGATTTGAACTGTTCATTTTGGGTTTCTTCTCATGAGTTCTCTTTAATCGTGGTGCAGGGCCTATGGATGAAGTGGTAGTGGCAGCTTTTGTTAGCACGGGCGTCGCTTGCTTTTGATCGTTGCACGCCACCCTTGTGGCCTCTAGCTGAGCAGTCGTCGCCTTTATCTTGTTTCTAGAGGACTTGATGGTGGAGTCTGCGCGTGTAGGTGATGGCGCTACATCGTGATTATCAAAAGAAGCCTTCGGGGGCTTCTCGGTAGCGTTTGCTTTCCCCTTGCTTTGTGCGAAGTTTTTTGTAGGCTTTGTCGACTCTTCCATTACAGTCCTTGTCTTCGCCAGAACGGGTGCTTTGATTTTCTTTCTATTCGTGCTAGCCTTGACATCACCAACACCGTTCTTCGTCGAGGCGGCGAGGTCTTCATCTGCCGTCCGTTCCGTACGCGACGCCACGACTCCGTCGACATTACGAAGCTGTCTACTCAGCTTGGTGGGTGAAGCTGTCTTGGCAATTGCTTGCTGAGCGATCAGTTCGAGTTGCCGTTCCAGTTTTGGGGGGTATTGTCTCGTGCAACAATTCTTGGAGACCTTCGCTGACCGTCTTTGACTTTTGGACTAGCATGCTTTTGGGGGGTATTTTCTCGTGCAATAATTCTTGGAGACCTTCGGTGACCGTTTTGGACTTTTGGACTGGTATCATAAAGATTATCATGCTCTCCATCCCGACCTTTTCGGCCATATTCGTTCTCGACTAGCTTAACGGCGGACGAGACTACCTGTTGAGGGAGTTGTGCGCGAGACTCTGGGGCATTCTGAATTGAGCTGAAGCCCGTATGGCGTCGTGACGACCTTGGCAGTCTAGTGTCTGGAGTTTGATCGAAAGGTCTCATGGGTTCTTGCGTCCTGTTACTATGAGCTTGAGAGTAACGGACCCGAGCGCTGGACGAAGCGTTTTCGAGAATACGAGCTTGGATATTTCGGTGTTGACTTTCTTCGTTGCTCAAACCGTCAGTTTCGTCAGTTTGAGAGACGTCGATGCCTTCAATGGCCTGCTGTACCAAACCATCATTCTGTGAAACGCCAAACCCCTCTGCCCCCATCTCCATACCATGATCGACCGTTTGAAGATCTTCATCATGCTCTGCCACCGAACTTGACGACTCTTCTTGAGGCTCGGTAGAAGTACGCTGAGAGGTGTAGACACGCTCAAGCTTTGACCGATCGATCGTGTTCACTGGAATTCTATGAGGAATGATGGCACTGGCTAGGGAAGCGGTTCTCATTAAGATTTGACTGTTGCTTAATGCACGACCAGGCGAAGCAAGTTCGTCGTCTGATAGAATCGGCTCCGAGACGTCAATTGCCCCTGATTGGCTATGTGGCGGAAACGCGTTCGTCCGAACGTTCGTTGGCATGAGCAATCTCCTGAGTGTGTCTGCATCCTTTTCTGAAGCGAACGCAAGTGCCACATGGCGTTCGGCGTGCGTACTGGCGTTGAGGATGCAGTTGGTTGCGCCTCCACCCATCAACTGTATGATCAGTCCAAAAGTAGGGTTTGGTGAGTCTGTGACGAATGCTTCCTCAAAGAAGACATCTATTATAGAGTCGAGTGGCACGTCGATGTAAACTGCCGGTTGAGCGTCGTTTGCTGGCACGATTATGTTGAGCTCTTCGGAGAGGGTGACTAGTATGTCTGCCGCTTCTTCGAGGTCCCATTTCCGGTCTCCGACATAGACAGCTTGAGCGAACATTACGCTCGAAACCCTGCACGAGTTGTTAGCCCAAATGGGGAGATTGTAGAGGCAGTAGCTTACTCCTGCGTTAAAATCTTCTTCAGCAGCAATTCATCGACGAATTCTTCAAACGATGTGACCCATTGACTGTTGTGATGCTGGCTTTTGGGAAAGTTAGAATACACAGTCCCACTCGGCCAAAAGGCATCCGGCGACACGCCAGAGCTCAACATCTCGCGGATCATCGAGCCCGCAAGAAGTTTCAAGACTTGGCAGCTTTCGTGTTCGATGACCTCGCCGAGAAATTGCCTAGAACGGTACGTCAGATATATTGTTAAGAAGGTCCGCTCGAATCACAGCTCACCAGTGTTGCTCTTCAGGTGAATCCGACTGCAGCTTCTCTGTATTTTCGGGGCAGTCTTTGAGAAGTTCCAAAGCAAGTATCCCAAGCTGGTAAGAAGATCAGCTGGAGTGCATCAGGGCGACGAGTAATGCCTACCCATCTTCGAAGCTTGTCGGAGGCATCATGCTTCAGGAAGCCTTTGATAAGTAGGGTCAAGGCAGCTTGTCCCACTGCCATTTTCTTCCCCTGCTTGTGGGCTGCCTGATGTACGGAGTCGTGCTGATCCTGATGCAGAGCTTTCTGTACGTAGTGAGTGACCGTTGGATCACAGGTTGTCGACAAACTTACCGCAAGCAGGCAGAGACCTCGTTGCTGTGCAAGGCATACCTGCGAGTATACGAAGATGCTGCACAAGATAGTAAGGCTAAGTGAGTCTAGGCGCTCGCAAAATGTCGAGTCACGGCACTCAAGTGCGAGCACAATCGCTTGTACCTCCTGCATGTTATACTCTCCTCCAGGGGGCCGAGTCTGTTTGATGGCTTCTGAAGTGTTTGCTGGAAATCTGTTTGTTGCCTCGTCAGCTACTATATGCTCAGTCTGAGAATGCCAACCTACGAGACAACCCTGTCATCTCGATGGTGCGAGGTCTCTAACCAAGATGCGAGCACCATCAGAGGCGGAGCACCCTGGCTGGGCCGAGGGATAGAATTGCTTGACATGGCTGTGACGGATTGATGGTTGAGATGGCTCGTGATGATTCAGTTCAACGGTAGATGAAGGGACAGAGGCTGCAGTTGGCCAATGTGCATGAGATGAAATGAATGTAATGCTGCGCACGCCAGGCTCGACAGAAGAATCACGAATCCCCAATGTCTGAGGTAGAGAAATGGCAGAACGGTGGTTTTGGAGAATGGGACAATTTGGAAAAGAGTACCGTCCCAGGATTGAGAAATTAAGATTGCCCTGATATTTCTACATCTTCGCTTCAATTTCCAGCATTGGGTACGGAGCCAAAAGGAAGGGTTCAAACTTCAAAGCCCATCTCAAATCCTCAGACCTTACAGTGCTAATATCAGTCGTTAAGCCAGGTCCGGAAGGAGGCTGGAAGGAGGGAAGGAGATGATGAGATTGATTGTCACGCTTTCCATTGTGAGCTTTCACGGTCTCACAAGTCAATCGCATCAATTTGGTGCTCAGACAAGGACAGGCTTCATCTATGGTTGCAGTCATCGATTTTGGGAGTCAGCGACTATGGGGATCCTCGACATCTCAGGCTACGGGCACATCAATACTTCTCTGGCAAGGGCTAGCTCCTATGTCTCGCAGCACCTTCCTAGCTACCTCGGGCGGATTTAAGCGTGATCATCGTCGTCCATAGAGGTAGTCGAGGGGGGGTACAGCTCCGTTGTTACCCTTCTTGCAAGGGATAGACATCCCGCTCAACATCGAGCTCCTTGAACACAGATAATGCCATTTCCACGCTTGAAGACGAGGTTGCAATCATGTACTCTTCCCGAAAAGCCTGGATCTCCAGCTGGACATCCGTCACCCTCTTCCCATAGAACCAAATCTCAACACCACCACAAGTCTGACCCCAATCACCTCCAATCTGCGCACTTGCATGCATCTGGCTGGCAGGCAATGGCACCTGGACATTGCGGAACTCCAGATCCTTGAGCCAAGATGCTAGCAGTGCTTCGCCTGTCATCTTGACGTAGGCTTCCTTCAGACACCAGTGTGCGTAGAAGTGCCGTAGCTTGGCTCTGATCTCGTCCTGCTGATTGCCTCGTATTGGCGGTACGAACCCTGCAATGTCCTTGATCTCACGAGCTGAAAACACCATTTCGTAAACATTAGCCCAAGCTTCGAAGCCATCTTTCATTACCGTAGTGTAATCTTTCTCCCAATTCATCTTTACAATATCCACCCCTAGTTTTACCGATTCTCCAGGGCATCCTACTAACGCGACCAGAGAGCCATGGTGGGAGACATTGAACTCTAGGCTCTTGGAGCTCGGGACGAGAGGCTTATAGCATGGCTTCTTGTTCGCACCTTCGCTGACAACAGCCTCAGACCAAGGGACTCGACAGGTATTTGCTATTGCCCGATGTTTGAGAAGGTTGGACCCGAGAGAGAGCTTCGCATCACTCGGTCGATAAAAGCGAAGAGCTCTGGCGCGTTCGCCGTCTGCGAGAAGGCCCAGAGCATGTTGGGCCGCCGTGCCAGTCGCCCAGTGCGCTGTAGATTGAGCGCTTTGGCTTCCTCCAACAGGGGCAGGCCACAGCGGCTCGACGTCAAGGAGCCAGCGAAAGACTTTTGTCTCCTCCATAATAATCACACAAATAGCATCTCATCACTGAGTGCCTGTCGGTAGCATGGAAGATCCTCGAAGGGCGATCAAGTTACTGGAGACCTCATACTTAGAGGCTTCCTTTGAGGCTTCTAGGAAACATCAAGCTGGCTTGGCTCGGCTCGAATTTGTTCCGGCTTGGCATTGTCGAGACTGATACAGTAATCAACAAACAACCGGTGAAGAGGTGACCTTTATTAGACAAATGGTTCGTCTTCCTCACTGTGATTTCTCTATGTACGGGTTTGCTAATCGTATATTTAGCAGATTGCTCAAGTCAATAGTCTGATATGATCAAACATTAACCATGATCACGTCAACAGAGCCTCGGATTGGCGCCTCTGCAGGCGAGCAAGCGGCCATTATCTACAAGAAGATCAGGAAGGTCAGCGCAGCTTCTAACGACTCTTGCACCCGCAGACGCTGGAACGCCCCCCTTCCCTGCCCTTCAGGGCAGCGTAAGGCCCAATCACTACGAGAGCAGCCATTCCGCTTAGACAGTGGTACACCACAAGAACTCGGAGCTGGCCCAGATCATCCAAATACAGTCCTCTACCTCGCATATGGCTCGAACCTCTGCGCGCAGACCTTCCAAGGAAACCGTGGAATACGGCCCTTATCCCAAAGCAACGTTGTGGTACCAGAACTAGTCATGACCTTCGACCTCGCTGGCCTGCCCTACGTTGAACCCTGCTTTGCAAACACCAAATATCGCCATGTCTCCCCTCCTACCTCTACCTCAGAGAAGTCCCACCTTATCCCAAAGAAAACGCCAAGATACCACAAGAATCGCTGGAAGAAGGGTCTTGTTGGCGTCGTTTACGAAGTAACAAAAGAGGATTATGCCCACATAATAGCTACCGAAGGTGGAGGTGCTTCGTACCAAGACGTCCTTGTCGACTGCTACGAGCTCCCTCATAACGAAGACATAGTGCCCGAGTTTCCAGCCTCCCATGCTTTCAAAGCGCACACGCTCTACTCTCCCATCCTACCTCCAGGCGAACCACCGGAAAAAGGCGGACGCTTCTCACGTCCAGATCCAGATTATGCGCAAGCATCAGTGCGATACCTGAAGCTGATCACCGATGGTGCGGACGAGCATGCTCTGCCTGGGGAATACAAAGACTATCTACACCAGCTACGGCCGTATAGAATGACGACGCAAAAGCAAATGCTTGGAGGCTGGATCTTCAGCATGATATGGCTACCACTGATCAAGGCTGTGTTCGGGTTGAACAGTACTTTTTCTGACGAGAACGGGAAGGCGCCAGCATGGTTGGTGGCAGTGACAGGCGCGATATTCCAGGGGATGTGGACGAGCTATGACGGAGTCTTCTTCAAATTGTTCGGGGATGGGGAAAGGACCGGTGATGAGGATGAAGACGAAGGCGATGGGACTGTGCGGGTAGGGTCTTCAACAAAGTACGACGCCGTCGGTGAGAAAGGCAAGGGTGGATACGAAGACGTTTGAGAGCATCTGTGAAGAGACTTGGGACGCGCGGGCAAAAGAAATCGTGGAGCATGATGCATCCTGTTTTGTACCACGAACGTCCATATATGAAGACCTTGACCTAAACCAATCTAAGCACACAAACACTTGGTTTTTCCACCCTGACAATCCCCCCATCATAGAGCTCAACACGCCACGCAGCAACCGCATTCCCACAATCCAGAAACTGTAGAAAAAGAAGAAACCCCCCCGGCCCCTCCCCCTTACCCAAAAACCTCCCAACGAATCACACCAGAGGACGAGATTCGCCGAAGCCACCTGCTAATGCAACGTAGGCCTCGAAGCGCAGCGGGTGCGGAGTCCGAATATTGAGGAGAGAGGGAGGAGAGGAGAGGAGAGGAGAGAAGAGAGAAGAGAGAAGAGAAGAGAAGAGAAGAGGGAGAGGGAGAGGAGAAGAGAGAAGAGAAGAAAGAAGAGAAGGAAGAGAAGGAAGGGAGAGGAGAGGAGAGGAGAGAAGGGAGAGAAGAAAGAGAGAGAAAAAAGAGGAAGAGAAGAGAGAGAAGAGGAAGAAGAGAGGCATTGACCCTCCTGCTCGAGTTGCGCCGATATGGAATGGTGGTGTTGGATTGGTGGGAGGTTTGGAAGAGGAAGGAGACGGGTGGATGGATGGATGGATGGATGGATGGATGGATGAATGGACGAGAAAAAGAAAGAAAGCCAGCCTTTCAGTATGTTGTAGACCCCCGCATTCATCATCACGGAGCCAAAACCCTCGTCGTCAAAAGCGTCGTCGTGAGTTCCACATACATACATCTTTCCCACCCTCCCTATCTCTCGATCGATCATTCAGAGAAAAACGAATCTCCCATCCCACCCTCAACCCCATCCATCCATCCATCTTCCTCTTCCGACGCCAAGGTCCGAGCCAGCAAGCTGCTTCATCTGTGCCCAGCCGAATCTGTCCATCGCGGCCATGCCCACGATGCGGATCCTCTTGTCCAGACAGATAGATAAATAAATAAAAAAGGCCACTGCGAGAGCGGTCATGAGAGAGTGTTCCAAACATGTCGATCGGAGAGCGAAGGAAGACAGAGGTCCAAGAATGCCTGCTACCGTGGCCTTGCACCGGATCCGTTGCCGATCGTGGGGATTGGAGATGGGGTTTTGGGTCAATGTTCGGATTGCGAGGTCAGGACGGCAAAGTTCCTAGTGTCGCGGACTCGATCGGGAGACGTAGCGATGCGTTCGTTGCCCGTGTGGAATTTTGATGACTGTAGTGTTCTGAAAAATGCTGGTATGGGGCAACTGTAGTGAAGTCAGACTTAGACTGCGAGAGCGTGTGAGCACAATGTGGTCTTTTGTCGATAAGCATTCTGTGTAGGTGGTGTAGACTTGTAGGCATGTCGTGTTCCTTTGTATGGTTCCTTGACATGGTTTGTGTCTGGAGAAGCGGGATGTTTGAGTCCTAAAATTGAGTAGGAATGGCTAGCGACAATTTACATCGTACCGAGACACGGTGATGCTGCTTTGAACACCATCAAAGAATCAGGCGTCTCAAGCTGTCATCCAGTGGTGTGCTCATGGTGGTCTCCGGTGGCAGAGGAAAGACCATGTTGCCAGCCGAACTTTGCAATGGCAGCGATGACCCTAAGGCCATTATTCAGTAAGAAACTGGAGGATTCTGAAATTTATTCCCCTGGTTCGTTCGAGGCAGCGAACACCACGGACAAGGTTGGGCGCAATATTGTCATGGCAGATAGGATGCTTAGATGGGAAGACGATCAAGGCAACATCGATTCGACCTGCAGGTGAGGGGCTGGGCGCTCGAGGAAATGCAACGATGCGAGCAGACAGCCTAGCAACATTCACCCGAGGACGGCTCCGTATGCCAGACACTACCAGCGAATGGCTTGGCTTGGCTTTGAGGGATTTTCGAGAACAAGAGCGATTCTTCTAGATAAATAGGGAACTGGTTGGTGCGTAAGATTGGATCTTTACTCCGTAAACGTTGCTGGAAAAGAAACGTGTACCCATGCAAGCCGGTGGCCAGAAATGCAGGAAACCACATCGAGAGTAACGGTCATGATCGGAGAAGCACATTCTAGACCACTTCGCCTCTGCATTCGTCTGCTTCTCCGGTGTCAGCAAGCAGGTGGTGGCTAAAAGGATGCTCTTAAGCACCCAATGAGGGATTAAAATGTGGGGGTCTTCTTGTTGGAACTCATGCTGGAATTGTGGAGTAGCGCCTAGGACTTGACCTGCATCATGGGCTAGCTTGCTAGTCGATTTTACGATTCTCTTCCTCTGACATTTTGGGAAGGATGCAGCGACGACGGAGAATTCGGAACCTCAGATGAAAAAAGCGATGCAGACATTCAGTGGCCTGCATCAGGCGTCCGAATCATTATTGCAGTAGATCCTTCGAGACTCCCATTTTCAGTTTGACCCGAGAGATCTAGAGATAGATTTTCGTTGACGCCCGTAGAAGAGCTGTAAGGCGACTGGAGAGCTTTCGGTGACAGAGCATCGACCTCACGCTTGGTGTGCTGATTGTGTGGAATCATTACAATCGCAGAAGATCGCTTGGGTCCCGGAGAGGCATCCCTATCGCGCCATAGCTCTGCGTTCAGATCCTGGAAACTCGTTACATGAAACGTTGGTATGTCACAAGCATGATCACGTTGAGGATTCTGTAGATGCTAGGCAGATGGCCGAATGAAGTGATTGAAAGTGGGGTGGACCGCATGTAGCATTAATGAAACTCGATACCCCAGTTCCAGCTACCTATCGAAGCCGTGAAAAGAAGCATGACAAATCTGGAACATGAGAAACCGCATGGAGTGCCGGAGAGTATCTGTGATCGCATCTTTCCGAGCTGTGAACCAAGCTTTTGCTTTTGGGACTGCGCACTCTCCTTTGGGCCGAAGGGGCCATGGGAGTGTGGGAGGCGTAAGCGTAAAAGTAAAAGAAGTATATGCGATCCAACGTCCAACCCCCCAAACCTCCATTCTGCTTGTCAGAAGATCGGCAGGGAGAGATCAAAATTCCGAGATCCAGACACTCGGTTGATGGCACCAGAGAAGCCAATGAGACTGAACACGCATACATTGAATCTTGGCATGCATCTGTTCACAATCATTTTGAGCAAGCGCAGCAGACAGGGCTGTCGGTGACCAAGCATCTGCTACGATGGAGCGATGGAGGATGGGACGAAAAGTGATGTGGTGAATTGCTTGGTCGAGATTATGGTACGGTAGGTAGGTAGTGCAGGAAGGTTAGCCCGACCTACCTGCAGCTTGCGCGTGGGGGTAAGATGGTGTGGGAGTCGGAACGAGGCTGGGAGGCTGCATGGCTGCATCGGTTGCAGCCAAAGGGGTGAAGGCTAAACTTGACCAATCTGCCATCTCCCACTCTCAGTCCCACTACTGGCGCGCGTTAATGCGCTGACAACGTTTCGATAATCGCCCTGTTATCGGCTTTCGATTCCTATGGCATCCTTTCTTCCTCGACGCCAGGCCTTCCGTGGGCACTCGCTTTTGCGAACCTCTGAGGTAGGGCATGGCATGGACATTGATAGCACCGCTTTTCTTCCAGAGCTCCTCGTTTTGTTCTCCATGACCTATTCTTCCACACCAAGAGGCCCTCTCAATAGAGCTAGGTACTTTAGTCTGGAAGAATTCGACGATGCAGCTGATGCACGACACCACCATCCTTGCCTTCTCGGCAGCCTGCTGCTTGAAGAATTGGTCGCGCTACAGCGCTGACAATGGAGGTAGTGGTTGATTGGAGGTGAGGCGCAGAGAAGGAATTCTAGCGTTGCGACCAGTGCAATAAAGTACTTCTAGCGTACTTCTGGAGCATTTCCCGATCGAGGCAATGCAGTGGGGTAAGCTGAGGATCGAGGTGAGCCGGGATGTTGATTGCTCCAAGGTGCGCGATGGCTGGAGGCAGGCGGCTAGGCCAAGCTACTGAGCTCACTCATGTTGAAGCGGCTATATCAGCTCAAGTCAGATGTCTGCGCTTCTACCCTTCGGGTATGCTACCGATCCACGGTTAAAGTTGCACCCTCAACGCCTGGCTAGGTACCTAGCATGAACTCCAAGCTTACCCTTAAACTTGACGAGACTTGCTGATCATGTGCATCTCGTAAAATAATGCGAGGCCCGATGGACGCGACCAGGCGCTGCAAAGGATGCACTGGACTGGTATGCACGCCTTGCGACTCGCGCATTCGACCAGAGTTCAAGTAGCGCGCCGGCAGATACCAGTCATGCACTCACACCTTCTCGCGGTTCCAATGGACATGGTAGATTGATCCCTGCTTGCCGTCCACATATCTCCTACCAGGCGTGTTTCGTCTTTGCCCCATGGGTCTCCACATTACCCCAATGTGGGTATTCAGGCAAGAGAGTCCTCGCGTGCGTCGAATTGATATAAGAAGCCTCTCCCATTCCCCACAACATTCGTAGTTCAAACCGCTCTTCTCTCTCTCTCTCTCTCTCTCTCCCTCTCCTACACCTCCCCCTTCCAGACTTTACTCCGACTCTGCTTCTCCAAAGCCAAGCAGGGTACCAGTCTGTTCATTGGTCCACAAAGCATCTGACACCTCGACGCACTCCGGATAGTCGTCGCCATGGATATTATTCCCAGGTCCAATGTGGTTCACAAACTTGAGAAGCGTAGCCTTCTCATCGCGATCAATTGTATTGCTGGTCTTTCCATCTTCTTCTTCGGATATGATCAGGGTATGATGGGTGGTGTCAACGGTGCGGTTGACTACTATGACACTACCATGAAATTCGGTCACCAGGATCCCAAAACAGGTGCCCCAGTCATCGACAACACCCTTCTCCAAGGTGGCATTGTTTCCATCTACTATCTCGGTACTCTCATCGGCTGTCTCATTGGTGGTTGGTTTGGTGACCGTTATGGCCGTATCAAGACAATCGGACTCGGAGCTGGTTGGGCCGTCCTCGGTGCTACTCTTCAAACATCGGCTCAGAACCACACTTGGATGATCTGTGCCCGTCTCGTCAATGGATGGGGTACAGGAATGCTCAACGCCATTGTTCCGGTTTGGGCCACCGAGACTGCCGAACACAAATCGCGTGGACAATTCGTCGCCATCGAATTCACGCTGAACATCTTTGGTGTCGTCGTTGCTTACTGGATCGAATAGTGAGTGTATTGCAAACTCATGCAATGTCTGAACTGGTTGTTAACTCTCTTTCAGTGGCGCCAACTTCTACAAAGGTGGAACTGGACAATTCACTTGGAGATTCCCAATCGCTTTCCAGATCGCCCCATTGCTTCTCCTCTTCGCCATCTGCTGGCTCTTCCCCGAGTCACCTCGTTGGCTCGTCAAAGTCGGTCGAGAGGAAGAGGCCCGTTATATTCTCGGAAGACTCCGTGGTGAGACGGGTGAAGATGCGGGCAAGGCAGAGGCCGAATTCCAGGATATCCGCAACATTGCCGAGCTCGAACGCAAGACCGCCAAGGCCCAATCTTACATTTCCATGCTTTTCGGTATCGGCTCCGGCAAGCTTCATACTGGTCGCCGTGTTCAATTGGTCATCTGGCTCCAAATCATGCAAGAGTGGATCGGTATTGCCGGTGTGACTATTTTCGCTCCCACCATTTTCCGTACCGCTGGTATTGCCAATGCACAGGTGCAATGGATTTCGGGATTGAACACCATCACATACATGGTAAGCTTCCCCTTGCGAAACTTCCCCTTGCGTGTGATGTTTGCTCGGGATACTGATCATCTCTAGTTCGCTACCCTCATTTGTGTCTTCACCCTCGATAGAATTGGTCGTCGCTGGACCTTGTACTGGGGCTCAGTCGTCCAAGGTATCTCTATGTTCCTCGCTGGCGGTTTGTCGACTGCTGGCCTTCAACACCCAGCTGGCTCTGCTCTCGCTAGAGGCTACAGCTCCGGTGCCGTTGCTATGATCTTCCTCTTTACGGCTACTTTCGGCGCCACCTGGCTCACTGTCCCATGGCTCTACCCAGCTGAGATCTTCCCGTTGGAGGTCCGTGCCAAGGGTAACGCCTGGGGTGTCGTTGGCTGGTCTATTGGTAATGGCTGGCTCACACTTCTGCTGCCCGTCATATTCAAGGCCCTCGAGCAAAAGACTTACTACATCTTCGGTGTTGCCAACATCATCACGCTGCCCATGGTCTACTGCTTGTATCCCGAGTCCAACCAGCGCACTCTTGAGGAGATGAATCTTCTCTTTGCCTCTGATAGCATCTGGAATTGGGAAGCTGAAAAGAACTTCGCTATCCTCAAGGAGCAAAACCCCGAGCTCGTCCAAGCTGCCCAACGTGGCCAGTCAGTCATTGACCCTGAGACTGGCCTTTCCAAGTCTGGACGACAAGGCAGCGTTTCCAGGAACATGAGCTTGGATGTCAATGCCCTTACCCACCACGAAGACGCCTACGAGGAGAAGCAGACCTTTAAGCATGGATAGAGGTGCAGAGGCTCGATGATGTTGATGAAGACTGTTGACTTAAGTCGACTCAGCAAGGTGCTTTGTTTTGGCGGGGATGGAGCTGGAGGGTTGTTGACATTACTTGATCGCTTGTTTATAGACATTTTGAGAATATCTAGCAACACATCATCTGTTATGATTACCATTGGGCCCCGTATTACTCTGAGCAGCGAATTTTATCAAGTGAACGCATCCGTTTCCACAACAATGGCTTGCCAGCAATAGCAAGCAATGAGATTGCATAGTCAACTCCAACTCTTGGAAGGCTCGGAAGGCTCGGAAGGCTCGGAGGGGAGATCTTAACGCCGAGGCTAAAACTTGCGGATCAAACGGCGGGCCGAACCGTTCAAATGAAGTACCTTACTTAGGTACCTTAAAAGTGAGCTTTGACAAAATCGCGTACAGAAGTTCACCCTCACCCTTAGACTCTTATCCCTTTCTCACAGCTTCAATTGAATTCTTACATCACATCTTCGCCTGCAGCTTCAAAAGTATGCTCTAAAATATTATCAAAATGAGTCGCATACGGCTTCAAATCTGTGTCCTGCCCTGGGAGCAGCCACGCCCGTCACCCTTCAGTAGTGCTGAAACGCGTCAAGAGACTGTAAAGTGGTGCGAACCATGCACTGAAAACACTCCGATGCAGGAGGTCTGCGATAAAATCTACATTTCATGGGGAAGGATGTTCGAGGGTTCCATGGGGTGAGTCGCACCAGGGAAAGCCCACTTCCCTTCTCTGCTGACTCGAGTCCGCCATCAACCAGGCCATTGAATATTCGATATCTCAAGACTGCCTACGGCGATTTTGTGGATCTGGAGCAGCGAATCGTTGGCGACCTCTTTGACGATAGAGGAAATGACGGCAATATCCGAAATTCGATCCTGGAGGTCCACAGGTATCCACCCCAGTCAGTCGAACTCGGTACTCTACAACGCTTTACCTCGCTGGCCCCAGATTCATCCGCAAGACCGCACAAACGGCCTTTTGAACAATCTTCACTGTCCTACCCTTCACAGCACTCACGAAACATACATCGTGAAATACCAAGTATCGAAGAGTCGGATGCTGAGCCCGATAGGCCGTTCGGGACAGCAACCAAGCGGCAGCGCACGTACGAATCAAGGCTTAACAGGACATCCGCTGCCCACCAGCCGTTGAGAATGGGCGAGGGACAGCGGGATGGGCTGTATCACTCATCTCAGACTTCCGGGACGCAGGAATCGATTCATCAGGTCCTTGACTCGCAGATATCGCCTGGAAAGAAGCGTACGTCTTGGTTGTCGCATCTCCCTGTTTGCACTGTTAAATTAGCATACAGATTTAAACCCGTACGGTACCCCAACGTCCCTTACCCTTGTCGGTCCACAAGAGTCTATCCCTGGCAATGAGGTCGACCTCGCCGCGATACCGGACTCACCACTTGGCAGAGAAACAACAGCGGTCGGCAGAGCTTTTGGAGGAGCTATGCAACTCGATCGTGAGAGCACAAAATCAGAATCACCAGAGCTCAGAGCGTCGGTTCATGAAGTACCACCCGCGGGCACAATCAATGCATCTGGCGAACAGCCTACTACCAGTGCAAATCCGCCAGAACCTTCAACGACCCCCTTCATCTTCAGCTCGGCATTGCAACCAGTATCAATTCCGCAGATTGTCGACGAGTATGCGAAGAACCATGGTATCGGTGTAAGGCAAATAGGGGAGAAGGCAGCCAACGTCAATCAAACCCCTAGGCACCTACGCTCGACAGCAGAACCAGAACACGCACAAAACGTCGGGAGCAGCAGTAGAACTTTGCGCAGCTCAGATCCCATCTTTGACCCTATCGAATCAGACACTGAGAGCTTTCATGAAAAACAGCAAATGCAAAGTGCGAAGCGCCTCAAATCCAGCAAAACGACTGCCGCAAGCTTCACATCGCCTAAGGAATCGGACGAAGCAGGAGCAGATCGCAGAGACGGCCAGTTCCTCGTGCCCACTTTTCCGCAATCGCGTAAGAATGGGGCTTCCATATCCCTAAGTGAAGTCACCAGCCCAGCACAGTGCGAGAAAATCCAAAAGCCAAGACGAGACCCCAGGGATGAAAACATGAGCGATCAGAATGTTCCGAAGCGGCATGGCAAACATGATGCCGAGCCTCTTGAGCACGCACAGTCTGAGCCTTACGATAATGACCGAACAAACTTAGATCGAGAAACACCGAAAGAAACTACTGTTCATAATGACCTTGTGGATGCGACCCAGACCTCATCTCAAGCTAACACTGCCTGGTCGCAAGATTCCAATAAGTCTGCCAATGGCACAGCAGAATCAATTGTCCAGCAAAGAGGCAATCACGTATCAAGCCAGGGGCAGAAACCAGATGAAACAGTGTGCTTAGATCATGATGCCAATGGTGTAGTTCGCAATCCGGGTGACAATCGCTTCGCTCGAGAAGCAGAACGACTGGCTGAAGAAGCCGAAGAACTACAGGAGAAGAAGAGAATTAGAGAAAAGAAAGATGAAGAGAAGAAACTAGCCCGAGATACCTTGGAAAAGGAAAACGTGGCAAAGAAGGAGGTAGCCGAGCGCAGAGCCAACGAGGAAAGACTAGCAGACGTAAGAGAAGCAAAAGAAAAGAAAGCCAGAGCTGAAGAGTCAGCGCAGGCAAAGAAGGCAAAGGCAAAAGAGGAAGAGCTTGCGGAGGCCCAGCGCATTGAGGAGAAAAGGGTGAACGCAGCGCGACTAGCAGAAGAAAAGAAGATCACCGAGAAGCTGGCTCGCGAACGGCAAACCAAGGAGACGGCGTTAGCAGAAGAAGCTAACAAAGTGATGCTGGCAGCAGAAGGCGCCAAGCAAATTGAGGCAGAGAAGAAGGAAAAGGAAAAGGAAAAGGAAAAGGAAAGGGGAAAGGGAAAAGGCAAGGCTCAAAGAGCTGGCAGCCAAGAAACAAGCTGATGAGGCAAAAGCCGACGAGAAAACCAGAGAAGCGCAAGGCAAGAACCGTGAGAAGAAAGCTCGCGAAGAACAGCGTGCACGAGAGAACCCCCAAAAGCCCGCAGACATCGATTCCAAAGACACCAAGCATCGAGCCCATCGAGCCGGGACAGCGCAAGAGACGACGACGGCGTTGAGGGAGCAAGGTTTAAAAAAATTAGCAGACGGAGACGTGCAGACGCTGAGAGATTCTCCGGAGATGCGAAGTCGAGCTTCAACAGATCCTTCAGCATCCTCCAATATTGCAGGTCGAAAGCGGTCTATGACGCCGGTCATACCCGGATGTTCTGTCACCAAATCTTCTCCATACGAGGGTTCCTTGAGGTCAAGTCCTTCAAGCAGCCGATCTTCAGGGAACATGGATGCGCCACTTCGAAGTGCCCTTCGACACACTCCAAGTGCGCTGCGTCGGTCTGTGTCTTCTGTATCTTTCGACGTGCCGCCACGGGCCAAGCTCAATGAGTACATTCCTCCGACCTCGAAGTCCAGGTCTCTCAAAGGAATCAACAACGAGCTTGCCACCAAGTCATCATCCGCAACAAATCCTCCGAAGAATCCTTCCAGAACAGCATCCATCGCGCCTTCGGAAACGCCCATGAAATCTCTCATTCCCAAGAAATCATCGGACAGCAAAATCACGAAAATTCCTGCCAAGAATGGGAAGGTCCAGACGAAGCTCAATGTGACCAGAGAGGTGAAGAAGAAGAAGGGTCGTGCCGTTGATCCTCCAATTATGTCCAAGCGGGCGCCAGAGAAGGAGATAGTTCTTTCATCTGGCGAAGATACAAGCACCTCAGAGGAACCAGTGTGGCAGACCGGCAATGCCGAAGCTGGGCCGAGTGCAAGGAAGCCCATCTTCCCCGTCACAACTTCTCAAGAAAAGAAGACTGCGGAAGTGAAATCTTCAGGTGTAGCTTTAGACCCTGTTCTCCGCAACATCAGAGTCGAAAAGCACAGAACAGCAGCTCCAGCTACTCTCCCTCGCTCCACATCTAAATTGAACACCACGTCTCTGCAGAAATCAACCTCTCGATCCCCGGCCCTGGCTTTGTCCGAAACGTTGTCGTTGAGCTCTGGTTCCGCTTCCAGTATAGCTTCGGATTCAGAGTTGGAGTCTGACGCATGGGTACAACTCCAAGCGTCATCATCTAAGACGCCGACTGGGGCAAAGAATGGCAAGCTGGCACCTGTCACTGTGGAGGGGTCCAGCAAGGCCGTCAATGTCGGGGTAAAACAACCGGAAGGCTACTTACAAAGCAAAGCGTCTTCGCAGTCAAGCCAAGCCTTGTCTACTTGCTCACGCAGCGCTATCTCAATGCATGGTGATGGCAAGCACGTCGATCAAGCGGCGGATAAACAGTTGCAGCTCGAGTCTCAGCAATCGATACCAAGACCTCGCGTTAAACAGTCTTCTTCAACCACCAACGGCGGTGCAGATGGCAAGGTCATCAATCAAGGGCTAGACCATGCCGGACGCCTTCCTAACGGTATCCGCCCTGCCTACTACAAGTATCCTCGTCTCTCGGAGCTCCAGAAAGTCCCTCAAGCAGTCACACCAGGGGTGAATCCGAAATTGGACACTTCCTCATCGCAGCCACTTAGCGCTTCGCCTGTAGGAAAGTCTGGATCTGACAAGTCAAGCAGCGATAGCGATGATAGCAGCAGCAGTTCAGACGAGGACGAGGATGTCGATGAGCCACCCAGTCAGGCTAGCTCCAACAAGAAGTTCCGTCCTTACCCGGGTATGGGAGGAGTGATGAAGCGTAGGTTAAGCAGACCCTGATGACTACGCAAATTGCTGATCTAATGCATAGTCGCAAATGCGGTTCGATCCAAGTTTGTTCCTGCCCAGCAATAGAAACATATCATCGTTGATTGTTCACGGGAGGTGGAATCGTCAACATCTTCAATGTGCAAATGTTATCGTTTCGAATCTTTTTTAGTAAGAGATACCCCCCAGCGTGTTTGTTCAGAAGAAGTCAGGAAATCACCGTTTCGATAATTAAGCGCTACCCTGTTGGTTGAAGCAAGGGGACAATATTTCTTGTATCTACGCCACATTCCGGATTGTTCGATCGTGTGCATCAGAAAGCTGCAGACTATATTCGCCTTTTCATTCAATGCATCAAAACCAACGTGCAGCAAATGTCATGCTCGATCACTGCTTGCTGTCGTTCACTGTTCTTTCAGCTCGCTAAAAGGTGGTTCCTACCCTGACTACTGCGTGGTGGTTCTTTCACCTGTTGTCTCACCCTTCCTCAAATTCCATTCCATAAAAACGTGATGCTTTTCCCCACGCGTTTGTTTTTCTGTTGATACCCACGAAACACCTCGCTTGATCTCGCTTGACCTCGCTTAATCTCATTGATCTCGCTTCCCACATGTTTCACGGGCCCGCGAAAGGATTCATTCCTCTCGTCCGATCACAACCATCTGTCGAAAAGATATAGACGGAGTCATGGTGGCTTTGACTGGTCAGTTACAGCCCCATTAACCCCAATCCCTCACACCGCCGAGCGTAACATGGCCCGTCTTTGGTTTCTGCCATTGGTTCTAGTAGCACTGACACATGTTCCAACCAGCAGTGCTCAGGAAGAAAGTGGTAAGTCGATCTCGGGAGCGAAGGATCGAGGTCATGCTAAGAAAGGTGCTAAGTCTGCTTCCTTACATCGAGTTTGGTCGAGGTCGTTGTACCTGTTACCACCTCCTTACCTTCAGGTAGTATCACAACTGCGATTGGCTCGAATGCCGGGCTCGGCAGTTCTGTCTCACCTACCTTAACAGATTTAAGCTCAGGTATAGCATCCTCTGTCCCAATACTAACATCTCCAAGTTCGACGAACAGCCTTACAGCTACTGCTAGCTCCACCAATAGTCTAGTATCTATCCCCAGTCGAATCGCCATAGCAGGGGCAACGTACGTGTACGTGGGATGTTTTGAAGGCCAGTACATACAGCCCGTCGCTGCCAGCTATACCGTTGGAGATGTAGACCAGTGTGGACTGCTCTGTCTGGGCTCGACCTACTTCTCATTGGAATCTGGCGTTGACTGTGGGTGACTACCAATCCTTGAGAAGGATGTAAACACTGACAACAGTGCAAGGCACATGCGGAGATTCCATTGTAGCAGCTCCGGCGCGCGGAGCCGACAGCGTGTGCAATGTACCCTGCAAAGACGATCAGGACGAATTTTGCGGCGGTCTGAAAATGTTGAAACGCGCTCAGAAAGCCTTAGCAGCGTATTCCTCCTCCACCTCCACCTCTAGCACTTCTACGGCCACAACGCAAAGATTGTCCAACGTGGTAGCTTCGTTAGCTTCTGTTACTGGGGCCATCAGTTTGTCTTCACGTCAATCTTTCTCCCACTACGCCAACACGACAAGCTCCACACCTGCCAGCTCCCAGTCGGTGACCGCATCGAGCACCAGTTCCCTACCCTACGGATGCACTGATCTTGCTTGTGTGTCTGAGTCCAATGCAGGACGGGCCGGGGCCGGCACCGCCTCTACTAGTTCTTTGCCATTTGGTTGCGGTAGTAAGCTTATATCTCCTACTTCATCAATGGCAAAGGCTGACTTCGGTTTCTCCAAGACGAGATCTGTGTGTCATTGTCCTTAGGTGTACAAGCCAGCGTGACTTTGGGACTGAACGCGTTGCCCACAACAAAGAGCGCCACGTCTACGAGTTCAGTGACTACGAGATTGGTGACCACGAGTCCTGCGATCTCGAGTTCTAGGCACACAATTTCTACGTCTACCAGTCCTGCGCCCACTACAGACATCCTACCTACCAATATTCTCCCTACCAATATCCTCTCTACAGGCATCCTACCTACAGCATCTACCTACCGATGCTCTCCCTACCAATATCCTCCCTACAGGCATCCTGCCTACAGACATCCTACCTACCGATATTCTCCCTACCAATATCCTCCCTACAGGCATCCTGCCTACAGACATCCTACCTACCGATATTCTCCCTACCAATATCCTCCCTACAAGCATCCTACCTACCGATATTCTCCCTACCAATATCCTCCCTACAGGCATCCTACCTACAAATCTTCTACCTACAAATCTTCTACCTACAGACATCCTACCTACCGATATTCTCCCTACCAATATCCTCCCTACAGGCATCCTACCTACAAATCTTCTACCTACAAATCTTCTACCTACAGATCATCCTACCTACCAATATTCTCCCTACAGGCATCCTACCTACAAATCTTCTACCTACAAATCTTCTACCTACAAATCTTCTACCTACAGACATCCTACCTACCGATATTCTCCCTACCAATATTCTCCCTACAGGCATCCTACCTACAAATCTTCTACCTACAAATCTCCTACCTACGAATCTTCTACCTACAAATCTTCTCCCTACCAGAGCATCCTACCTACAAATCTTCTACCTACAAATCTTCTCCACTACGACATCCTACCTACCAATATCCTCCCTACAGGTATCCTACCTACAAATCTTCTACCTACAGACATCCTACCTACCGATATCCTCCCTACAGGCATCCTACCTACAAATCTTCTACCTACGAATCTTCTACCTACAGACATCCTACCTACCGATATCCTCCCTACCAATATCCTCCCTACCGATATTCTCCCCACCGATATCCTCCCTACAGGCATCCTACCTACCGATATTCTCCCTACCAATATCCTCCCTACAGGCATCCTACCTACAAATCTTCTACCTACAAATCTTCTACCTACAAATCTTCTACCTACCGATATCCTCCCTACAGGTATCCTACCTACCGATATTCTCCCCACCGATATTCTCCCCACCAATATCCTCCCTACAGGCATCCTGCCTACAGACATCCTACCTACCGATATCCTCCCTACCAATATCCTCCCTACCGATATTCTCCCCACCGATATCCTCCCTACAGGCATCCTCCCTACCGATATTCTCCCTACAGGCATCCTACCTACAGACATTCTACCTACCGATATCCTCCCTACAGGTATCCTACCTACCGATATTCTCCCCACCGATATTCTCCCCACCAATATCCTCCCTACGGGCATCCTGCCTACAGACATCCTACCTACCGATATCCTCCCTACCAATATCCTCCCTACCGATATTCTCCCCACCGATATCCTCCCTACAGGCATCCTGCCTACAGACATTCTACCTACCGATATCCTCCCTACAGGCATCCTACCTACCGATATTCTCCCCACCGATATCCTCCCTACAGGCATCCTGCCTACAGACATTCTACCTACCGATATCCTCCCTACAGGCATCCTACCTACCGATATTCTCCCTACCGGTATTCTCCCCACCGATATCCTCCCTACAGGCATCCTACCTACCAATATTCTCCCTACCGATATCCTCCCTACAGGCATCCTACCTACCGATATTCTCCCTACCGGTATTCTCCCCACCGATATCCTCCCTACAGGCATCCTACCTACCAATATTCTCCCTACCGATATCCTACCTACCGATATCCTCCCTACCAATATTCTCCCCACCGATATCCTCCCCACCGATATCCTGCCTACAGATATCCTACCTACGAATATCCTCCCTACAAATATCCTACCTACCGATATCCTCCCTACGCTTGCAATTCCTACAGTACTACCTACCGATATCCTCCCTACAGATATCTTACCTACCAATATTCTCCCTACCGATATCGTCCCTACAAATATCCTGCCTACCGATATCGTTCCTACAGATATCCTGCCTACCAATGTCCTCCCTACAGGTATCCTGCCTACCGATATTCTACCTACAGTGGCAATACCTACAGCGCTCCCTACAATATATTACCTACCGATATTCTCCCTACCGATATCCTTCCTACAGATATCCTGCCTACCGATAATCTACCTACAGCTGCTCTCCCCACGGTGCTACCGACAGATATCCTCCCCACCGATATCCTTCCCACGGATATTCTCCCTACAGCTGCTCTTCCCTACGGTGCTACCGACAGATATCCTCCCCACCGATATCCTTCCCACGGATATTCTCCCTACAGCTGCTCTTCCCACCGATATCCTACCCACCGATATTCTCCCTACAGCTGCTCTCCCTACGGTGCTACCGACAGATATCCTCCCCACCGATATCCTTCCCACGGATATTCTCCCTACAGCTGCTCTTCCCACCGATATCCTACCCACCGATATTCTCCCTACAGCTGCTCTTCCTACGGTGCTACCTACAGATATCCTACCTACCGATATTCTCCCTACAGTCGCAATACCCACGGCGCTCCCTACCGATATCCTCCCCACCGACGTTGTCCCACCGATGTTGTCCCTACCGACATCCTTCCCACTGATATCCTACCCACCGATATTCTCCCTACAGCTGCTCTTCCTACGGTGCTACCTACAGATATCCTACCTACCGATGTCCTCCCTACCGCGCTACCTACAGACATCCCCCCCTACCGACATTATCCCTACAGTTGCAGTGCCTACGGTCCTCCCTACCGATGTTGTCCCTACGGATATTGTCCCGACCGACATTGTCCCGACCGATATTGTCCCTACGGATATCCTCCCTACCGCGCTACCTACAGACATCCTCCCCACCGACATCATCCCTACAGTTGCAGTGCCCACGGTCGTCCCTACCGATGTTGTCCCTACAGACATCCTCCCTACCGACATCATCCCTACAGTAGCAGTTCCTACTGTCCTCCCTACCGATGTCCTCCCTACCGATGTCCTCCCTACCGATGTCCTCCCTACCGATGTCCTCCCTACCGATGTCCTCCCTACCGATGTCCTCCCTACCGATGTCCTCCCTACCGATATTGTCCCTACAGTAGCAGTTCCTACTGTCCTCCCTACCGATGTTGTCCCTACCGATGTTGTCCCTACCGATATTGTCCCGACCGATATCCTCCCTACCGACATCATCCCTACAGTTACAGTGTCTATGGTCCTTCCTACCGATGTTGTCCCTACCGATGTTGTCCCTACCGATGTCCTCCCTACCGATGTCCTCCCTACCGACATCATCCCTACAGTAGCAGTTCCTACTGTCCTCCCTACCGATGTTGTCCCTACCGATGTCCTCCCTACCGATGTTGTCCCTACCGGTACCTACAGACATCCTCCCCACCGACATCATCCCTACAGTTGCAGTGCCCACGGTCGTCCCTACCGATGTCGTCCCTACCGATGTTGTCCCTACGGATATCCTCCCTACCGACATCATCCCTACAGTAGCAGTTCCTACTGTCCTCCCTACCGATATTATCCCAACAGAATCCTCCCTACCGATGTTCTCCCTACCGATGGCCTCCCCACCGATGTCCTCCCTACCGATATCCTCCCTACCGAGCTACCTACAGACATCCTCCCCACCGACATCATCCCTACAGTTACAGTGTCTATGGTCCTTCCTACCGATGTTGTCCCTACCGATGTTGTCCCTACCGATGTCCTCCCTACCGATGTCCTCCCTACCGACATCATCCCTACAGTAGCAGTTCCTACTGTCCTCCCTACCGATGTTGTCCCTACCGATGTCCTCCCTACCGATGTTATCCCTACAGACATCCTCTCCACCGACATCATCCCTACAGTAGCAGTTCCTACTGTCCTCCCTACCGATGTTGTCCCTACAGACATCCTCCCCACCGACATCATCCCTACAGTTACAGTGTCTACTGTCCTCCCTACCGATGTTGTCCCTACGGATATTATCCTACAGACATCCTCACCACCGACATCATCCCTACAGTAGCAGTTCCTACTGTCCTCCCTACCGATGTTATCCCTACAGACATCCTCACCACCGACATCATCCCTACAGTTATAGTGCCTACGGTCGTCCCTACCGATGTTGTCCCTACAGACATCCTCCCCACCGACATCATCCCTACAGTTATAGTGCCTACGGTCGTCCCTACCGATGTCGTCCCCACCGATGTTATCTCTACAGACATCCTCTCCACCGACATCATCCCTACAGTAGATCCTACGTCCTCCCTACCGATGTTCCCTACCGATGTTATCTCTACAGACATCCTCACCACCGACATCGTCCCCACAGTCGCAGTCCCCACAATCCTGCCCACCGACACCCTCCCCACAATCACACTCCTCCCGGCCCTACCCATCTTAGGGGCAGCAACCACCGCGCCGATCTCGACCCTGCTACCGTACAACTGCCCCGACGAAGCCTGCGTCAGTCTCGAAATCTCCATCCAGAACTCACTCATCCAAGCCACGCTCGGCGGCACGGTCCAGCTCCTGCCCAGCGTGACGGCGACGGCGCCGAGCACCTTCGTCACGGTCACGGTGGCCGCAGTCTCCGCGACGCCGGTCGCGGTGACCCCGACCGGGTTCACCACGGTCGTGGTGACGAACGCGGTGGCGGTGAGCACGAGCGGTGGGGCGGTGGCGCTGGTCCCGGTGGTCAATACCGTCGTTGCGGGCATCGGTCTGTGATTTGCTTCGGCGTGCTTTTTCGGCGGCGGGCTTGGGGATGTGTTTATTTACCAGTTTTTTTTTTTCATGTTATCAAACGATTGCTCGGGGGAGGGGGAGTTGGGTTTGCATCGCTTGGGAAGGGAGTTTGGTTTGGGAGTTTGGTTACTTTTTTAATCGCTAAGGTTAATGATAATATCAATCAATGAGTTGGCTCAACTTGAGAATCGAGGCAGTCGGTCCCGTCATTGCTTGTACAGTTTGAAGAAAGAAGAAATTTGCTTTACTGCTGAAGGTGCGCGCTCCAGGAGACAACGCGCGCGTCCAGAGATGTTCGTTTTAGCGATGCTTCCAATCCATGATCATGACTGGCATGTAAGCAATGGGGAAGAGTGTGAGCTGGTTGCATCTTTGGAGGGCCCACTTGTTGGGTGAGATTGGAAACCTCAAGTCGACTCTGAGCCTTGTTGCATATTTAGTGCCCCTTTCAGCCTGACATTATTCCCGTAATAGGTGAGCTCCTAGGGTCTAGCGGCCAAGAGGGAGCATTGTCAGGGAGAATAAGAAGGTGCATAGGGTCATAGACCTTTGGGAAATTTATTAATGGATAATCATCATGATATTCTATGAGCATAAAAAAGGTCTGGAAGCATTCATGCCCATGTCGGACAAATAATCTAACATACCCCAACGCCGCGCTCTGGGTATCATGCTACCGTCACGTGATCATACAATCTTCGTCGGAAGTTCCCCCTATGGCATCGATCAGAAGAAAACCACAATCTCCCCCTTGTCGTTCCTCCTCAGCCTCAGCGCCTTGAACAGCTCCTTCTCCTCATCCGCCTTCTCCAGACCCAGCCCTTCCTCTCCTCTCTCACGGTGATACCTTTTCAGCGCCTTGTGCAAGCTATAACCCTGCTCGCTTTCGGGACCCTTGGTCACGAATGACGTGAACAGTTCTGCTCTGGTCTTGAAGAGTACGAGCTGTTGCTGGGAGTCATCGGGATCGGTTTGGGTGTGGTATTCGATCGCTTTGCGCTTGGGGCGATCGTGGTGGCTGTGTTGGCTATGTCGATCTGACTCGTGATGTGAGCGACGCTGCTTGCGCGGTCGAGACTCGTCTGAGCTCCGCCTTTTGCGGACCTTGACCAGGACCGATTCTGCTTTTCGGCCCCGATCTTTCTCCTTGGCGGCTGGCTTTATTGTCCGCTTCACTGGGCTGGGTGGGTCGCGGCCACCGTTCGAGAGCTCAGACCTCGGTGGAAATTTGGATTTTGTAAGCAGGCGGCCAAGACCGCCTGTGAGACCAGAGTGTAGTATTGGTGGTGGTGCGTCGGCCATGATGTGGTCTGATTCATGGCTGGGACGTCGAGCTGCAGTGAATTCTAGCTCTTCGGCGTGAACACGTTTGCGCTTCTTGTCCGTTGATCTTCTCTCCGAATCCTCTAGATTGTACACCGAGTCCGTGCTCGGGTTTTGCATATATACCGACTTTGGTGCCGGGGTCAAGTACTCGACCTTGAACCTCTCTTTCGCAACGGGTATTGGCTCAGAACCGTATGTGAAGCCAAGTTTGTCGTAGGCTTCGTCGTAGATCCCTAGTCCTGCTCCCTGATGGCCATTCCCAAGGATTGATGGCGATTGCTCCACCATTTTTATAGAATCGTTCATACCTTCAATATTAGTCTTCGAGGCATTAGGGGTGTCGCCCGAGACGAGGAAGTCGAAGACGTTGATATGTTGATCCTGTGTAGAAGGGATAGCAGAAGGTGGGGTGGGAGCAGCAGGAGGAGCGTTGACGATGGAGACGGCGTTGCCTGTCTCTTCGTCTAGAGCATCTTCTACGTAGGCTTTGCGCGGGGCGTGTGATGTAGGCTCTGATATCTTGACCGACTTCTTGGCCTTTTTCGCCGGCTTCTCTTTGTACAACGTTCCCTGGTATTTTTGGTCTTCGGACACGCAGGACTAATCGAATGGAGGGGGAGTTAGCAGATTCGGTTGCGAGTTGGGGCCAGGCGAACAGGCATCTATTGTAGGCTATGCGACGGGATTGACATACGGTATGAGTCCTAAAATCCGTTCCGCGAAAATGCGTCATGCAATCCAGGCAAGTAAATGAGGAACCCTGACACTGGCGGTGATGAGCGTCGAGCTTCTTCTTGGTGAGGACATCTCCGCAAGCCTGCAATAAGCCACCAACGTTAGCATGTGTAGTGAAGCCCAGTCAAGGGGCATGGGTACCTCGCAGGAGAAGGACACCATGAGGGTGATTGAGCAGCAGCGCCGCTACCGTCGCGATACAAATTTTGAGGCGATAGAATGGTGGTGTCTAGCAGTAAGAAGAGAGCGGAGAGGGGATGGTGGCAACGGCATCAGTTGGAAGTGGTTCTCGTATTCCAGGCAGGGCGCAATTGTTTACTATTTTTGTGGCCTGTGACCGAGGACCCTTGCTTGCCGCTCGGCAACGATGACCTGCTCAATTATACGCGTAGCTTGGGTACATCTAATAATAGACTTGGCGTGACTATCAACGCGCCCTCGCCTCGCTAGTCTCAGAAAGGCCCCACGCAGCATCGTTTGGCAGTATCCTACGCTCTCTTGTGATGATCACTTGTGCAAAGCTCCAGGCAAGCTGCCAGAAAAATAACAGTTTTAAAAAGCCTACCCAGTAACAGCCTCGTTCGGTTCTAAACACAGCTGATACCCCGGTCGAATGAACCCAACCCAGGCACTGAATTCGACAAAGAAAAGATCTGCGACTCATACTCAGCAGTCTCAATATTTTTGGGACTCGAACAGCTGCAAATGCGACATTTTCGGGCAGCACGCCAATCACATGCTTTTCCTGGACTGCGAGACTCCGCCAAAAGTGACAGTCGCGGTAGATCAAAACATATCAGACGGCCAACAATCGGGAGACTCGGAGTCAAAAAAGGTGTCGGTCTGATGTGCTGGAATTATTGTTTCACCGTCAAATTAGGGCTTCAGTCCAAGAAATTTTAAATACCTGATGACGGGAATTGTGTCGAGAAGAGCGGGACACAAGAGAAAACATCACAGTACGAATGCTTCTTGTGGACCGCAGTCTTGAGATGATGTGGAATCGATGATAATGTATTGCAATTGGGGCCCCCACTTCCGCCCAAAGCTTTCCCCAACGTTCTCTACACCGTGGAGAAACTACCGAGAGTAGTAGCCGGGTGGAGTGAGGACGCACAACGTTCTGCCACGCCTGTGGTATACATATATGTCTATTACCGAAGCAATCTTGGGCGCCATCAAGTGGTATATATGTACAAAGGTCAATAACCAGATGCCTCTCGTTGTAGCATCCGGCACTGCTTTCCTCGCTTATTCGGCGACTAGCTTGATGGATGACATAGAACCTCATCGACTCCAGCTGTCATCAACAACACATTTACTGACAACCTCCACTCGGGGTTGAAAACAAAGAACAGGTGCTGGAACGCCCAGCGACGAAATTCGACAGGTCGACTCAAGGAGGGAAAATCGCATCGGTCACGGCTTCGGGTTGCAGTCACAGTATCGTTGAGTTTGCTGAAAGGCTGGGATACTGGCGAATCGAAGTCCTGACCGTTTGAAGGACTCAGAAGACAAGTTTTCGAAGGAGAAGAGTCTCGAATCCCATCTGGTAGGGAAGAACGATCGAGAATTTGATATCCATCGTAAAGTTAGCCTGTTATTGGAACACTGACAGCGCCCATGGTGCTACGCGGCACACTCGATATATCGATCAAGACCTTGCCGCCTCGACGCCATACCGTTGGAGCTACTCGCTCGCATCCAACAGCTACCGGAAATCGGGTAAGTAGTAAGAGAGTATAGCAGAAGTCATGCACAGAGGGAATTGCAAACTCTCCAAATCCTAGGAGGAGAAAGCTCTCTTCCTTTTCATTTGCGCATACTTTTGTGGGTATCGACCAGAATAAATCGGCTTTTGTTATCAGACCATGTCGAATCAAGAGGACTAAACGCATAGAAGAAAAAACCCTTGCAGGTAAATTGACGAGATTCAGGAAAAGTTCGTAACCATTGTCACTTTATTCTGGCAACGCGCCGGAAACTGTAGACCTTCAACAGCTTCGTTCGGAATGTTCGCCCTCTATGCATGACTTTTACTGCATCTCCATTCTCTTATGTCGACCAGCTCATCCGCGTGATAGCAATGGTACCTGGTCTGACACGGGCAGGTCTTGCGCAGCAGCAAAGCTTTCTGAATAGTGGTCTGTGCTAGACGATAAGGCTGTTTTCAGTCGGTAGCCGCAAGAACAGAAAACCTGGCTGTTTCGGCCATTTGGCTTTGTGTTGAGGTCTCCGATAGACCTTCTCTTATCAGCCAACTCATCGAGCTCCTATGGTGGGATGATAGCGCGGGATTTACCTTCTGATTTGGATGTCAAGGATAAGGCATCCAGAGTCCACTTTAACACGACCGAGTCTTAGACATCGACGGAAGCGTGGTGCTCTGATTCTGATTCCAATATGACTGAGGTTTTGATCACCAAGTCAAAAGTGAAACCGTGTGAATTGACCACCCACGGTGTTGTAACTCGGATTTTAGGCGAGAAACTCGTTGACGAAGCAGAAGGTCGGACTGTGGACTGGATTACCGCGACCCGTGTGAATCTGGTGTGAGGGTGACTGATGGTGATTCATGTTTTCAAGGCTTGTCACTTCCAGTATGAAGGGACTCACACTTCGTGATTCACCACTGAGAACTGGAGCTGAAGCTCCATCCATGTGCTAGTCGGGGCGTGTTGGCGTGAAGAGGAGATTTTGGAATCGGAGACCGAAGCGTTGGATTTGCCCACTAAATAATGGCTTACCAGTAGGTATGACAATCAGTCCTCTCATCAACCGCCCACCCCTGAGCTCATGGAAGTCCCAATCGAATTTTGTCAAACTTTCCAGCGTTCGGATGATCTCGTTAGCATCAATGGACGAAGCCTGCTCAGAGATCAGGTATCTGGCTATGGCTCTGGCTCGTCATCATCAAATAGCGACGCTAAGCCATTAGATCGAAGTTGCTGACTCCTTTGGCCGTGTGCCGATCGAACCGAGGAGAACGTCGTCAGTTCAACGGAAATGGCATGTTGTTTAACCTCCACCTTCATAAGCAGGTCGTGAAGTCAAGTCCAGGGTATCAAGTTCCACACACTCCAGCTCGTTGTCTCGGGTACAATAGCCTCTATCTCCGCAATCTTGCCATCGCCGAAGATCTCCCTCAAGATACTCACAGCCGTGAGCTCCACTGGGACGTCTACTTCAATAATCCCTCCTCGAGTGACCACTCTTCGATACTTTGCCGTCTTCACCAGCGCAGCCGCCTCCGCCTCTAAGTGGTTCGCCATTTTTTCTCGCCGCGTAGTCTCAAGCTTCAGCTTCCTATCAGCGCCTTTTCTGATCATCAACTCCGCCGCTTTGAACCAGGTTTCTTTGGCTTGGGAACTTTTGATATCCTTTTTCTCGTAGCATGAGAGCAGGAAAAGCGCCCAGACGGTGATGTTGCCGTAAATCGATACCTTTTCGTTGGGGTTGGCTCCCTTGTCCAGAAGCAAGCGAACCATGTCGAAATCGATAAACTCCACAAGTTGCGGAAGTCTAGTCGGGGTTACAATATTGGGTCGCAATGCGTAATCCAGAAACGGGCGGCCACTTTTGGCGCGCAGAAGGTTAGGTTTGCTATCGAGCTTCTCCTTGACATACAAGCCTAGGCGACTCTGAACTGCCAACGCGAGAAAGCTGTTGTAGTTGTATTCGTCGAAGTACAAGCCTCTTGGTGGATCGCGAGCATTTGTCCAGTGATAGACCATACCGTTATCAGCGTAGTCCGAGATGACTCGATCGAGTTGTTCTAGTAATTTGGTCTGTGGCGCTTTCTGCTCTATTTCAACTTCGTGGGCATAGAACATGAGTGTGTCAACGAGAGAAAACACCACGTTGAGTCGGTTTTGAATGCCATGTTTGAGAGGCAAGCTCTTCGCTCTGGCCAGCTCTACGTAGCAGAGTGCTTGATGAGCATCCCATTTGGCTGTGTTGTTGTCGGTCGCGCGTTGAACCAGGTCTTGGTACATGTCCTTTTCCATGAGAAAATCGCTTACAGTTCTATGGAGGAAGTCCACTTGATAATCAAGCCTTTGGTCGGTAAGGGTCTCATTCACCTCGAGCAAGTCTTTGCACAGGAAATTGATCCGATCCCTAACATCCTCGTGTACGAGCGTCAGTTGTTCTGGGGACATCGGCTCGATCACCGCTTCAAGCGCGTAGCCCGGTTCGCGATGCTCTTTCTCGAGATAGCGATAGCAGGCAACAGAGAGTGGCTGCACAGCATGGGTCGTCAGAAGGAACACCTTGGCAGATTCCGTCCGGTGTGCTGTGTCAATTCCATCGAATATTTGCTTGAAATAAGATTCCAAGTCTTTCGGCATTGTGTCGAGTTTTGCTTGGAGGTCTTCTAGTTTGTTCCGCTCTCCCAATCCTTTCAAGAGCTGATTGACTACCAAGAACACCCATAAGAATACACCGAGGGCTCTTTCAATCACTTCATGGACAAACAAACCATATTTCTTGTCTATTCGCTCTGCTTGGGTGAATCTTTTATCTTTCTCTAGTATATCCTTCACGAAGCGCTCGATATCACGCTTCGTATGTCTTTCGAGCAGAAGTGAGCCATCACAGTTCCCTTCAGCGAAAGCTGTCCTGAATGGAGTCCAAGGACGACTGGCGAGACACATTTTGATGTTTTCAGCTTTTGCCAAAAGTTGGAGCCTGTCTATAATTTCGGTGGGTCGTCCATCATATTCGTCCAAGCCATCAATGAACATGCAGAACAGTATCCCGGGCGTGGGCTGGTTTGATATGATGACAAAAGCAGCGTCGAGTTCCTCAAGGGTCCATGGATCGCTCTCTTCGCCGTATGCACTATCTTCTTGCCATCGACTTTCGCAGACAATCGGAATGAGATTAGGGCATCGTCTCAGAATCTGGAATAGCAGCGACTGAAAGAGACCTTCTTTGGACTTCTGCATAGCCGATCCAACAGCCCAGAAAAACCAGGAGATCAATACAGGTTTTGCAGAAAGACCCGCCCAATCTTGGAGATAGTGGCTAACGCGTGCATTCTCGGCGAGGAACTTCATGAGAGTGGATTTCCCAGACCCTGCTTTCCCAGAGATCCAATAGATACCATTTTTATCTTGGAGCCACTCTTTGAAGCCTGTGGGTGGTATGGCAGGGTCCTTGGAGTCTTCCAACATCCAATCGAAAGTCTGCGTGTGAGCTTTGTGAACATCATTGAATCTCCGCTTCCACTCGGTGAACTCAAGGCTCTTGAGGACTTTTTTCTTCATTCGCCACTCTGTGACCTTCTTCGGCCAGGTCGCCGAGTTTCTGAATTAGGATCTGGGCGCGATTGCTGTCATCGGCCTGTCGCGCGGCGTATCTCCGAATGTCAGCCTTTAGCTGCTCCATGTGGTGAACGCTCTCGATCTGCATTAGGGTATGCTCCTTGGAGATGTGGTTCATTCGCTTGGATAGTTCAGACTGCTGGTTGCTAAAGCGAAGGAGTTAGTCGAGTAAACTGTATCACAAATTTGGCGATACGTACGTCATCATTACTTGTAATCGAGAATCAATCTGCTTCTGTATCTTGAGCAATCGTGTCTCAATATCCTTGACCTTTCCTTTCTTTCGTGCACTTTTGATGGCGTTCTTGAAGCTTTTCCATTGCGTTGCATCTGGCGGCACCTCCAACTCCGCCAGGAGGTTCATCAATGCTTCTACTTCTCGCATGCATGAACCGACGAGCTTTCCAAGTGCTCTGTCATCGTCGTCTAGCATTTGGAAGTTTTGGTCCTTACTGGTTAGATCCTTGTATAGGAGGTTGATATCCTTAGTAATCTCGCCACTTGTCACATTATCTTTTGTCGCGCCATTGGCGGAATAGTATATCTCTTGACTTTGTGAAACTAGCTTACATCCGAAGTCGACGATCTGGATGACAGAGCTCGCGATACTTAAGGCGGTCAAAGGGTCAAGCATTGCAAGAGAAGGTCTCTGTCCACCACAGGCATTTAGGTGAGTCCGTCTGATCTTTAACTTATAAATTATAGATTACAAGTAAGACAAGTATAAAGTAACCAGCTATAAAGCCTTAGAAGTAAGCATCGCTTGGCCAACAATGACAGTGTATGGTTGTTATATTGTTGAATGAGCGGATTTGGGGCTGGTCTTCAGCCTTACGGTTTAGTCAACACGGCTACCTTACTTGGATAATCAGGCCAGCAGCACGATGTGGGGGCGGCAGCTGCCTTTCCAAACGATTAGGTAAGCCGCCCTATTCATCATGCTAGTCCTATTGGAGTTAGCCAAGTAGCTTTGATACTTGCCTGTCTACTTCATAAGGTACGTACTTGACTCGTAGGTACGGACCAGGTATATGAGGCTACTTGAAAAAAGTCGCTGCCAGTCCCAACACATTACTTGTGCTCCTTCTCTAAATCTATGTCAACCTGCGATTGAGTTCCTCTATCCACCGCCGCCTTAGCGGCTCTAGCACATACATATGTGTATTGATTGCGTGCGAGGGGCCTGATCTCCAAGTGTCCAGGGATGTCCGACAGTAAGGCACGGTCGACTTCTTACTCCATTCGTAACCCACCTTTTCCAAAACTAAATAATTATGTTCACAGCTAGGTCCAACCGGTCCAACCTCAGGAAACTTGGCCATTCAGCTGGCGGCTGGGAATGGACAGCATCCAGAAGACCTCGAGAGGAATCCACACCGATTCTTCATGGAGAGGACGCAGATACAGAGCTGTATGGCAATGAGACCAGAATGCTTGGGGGCACAGAAGCCGCATTCCAAACGCCTTGGCATAGGGATAATAGGCGGTGGGTTCGGTGGCCAGCACAATTGTGGCACGTCACCGGGCAACGTTTTGTACCTCAGGCATGTCTTTCCCAGGTCGTTCACCCCTCTTGACTACCAGTACTTGGGAAGGCCATGTCTCGGGGGCGTCTGCTCCTACCGTACTCCGCAAACATGCCATGTAACCAACTGCACACCGTTTGATAACGTCAATGATGAGTTTGCTCTCCACTGTTTGGTACCTTGGTCACAGTCCTAGATTCAGGGGCATTTCCTCGTGGCGTACTCCCTTAGAATGCTTTGTCACTTACTGAAAGTTTCCCAATCATGGCAACGCTGAATTTGAATCATAAACCAGCTGCGCGTCTTCGGGATTGATCTTTTCCTCGTTCATATCGGATCTTGGGTTGCAGGCCAAATTCCGCGCGCAATTTCTCCCGATATCCAGCTCAAATATGCATCATGACTCACTAGAATACTGACTCCTTCGTGTAGGGACGAAAGTCGGCATTTCGACCAGCTTCTTACTGGTGGTCACGTTGGCTGGGCTACGTCTGGCGGATGTTCCAACGCTCAGGAGGGTATCGGAACCTGTTACAACCTTTGCCACAGAGCTACCTGAACCTGTTACTGGTCTTTCTTCCTCTGGCACTCGTCGCTGTTGTTACTCCCTTGGCCCCAGATGTCGTCCTTATATTCAATTTCTTGGCTATTATTCCATTATCTGGTCTCGTGCACTCAGCTTGTGAAGACTTGTCAGCGAACTCGAATCCAGCTCTGGGAAGGTTGCTTGTCGCGTTTTCGGATAACCTTGTTGAGTTTGTTGTATGTGTCACACCTACCGCTATTAGGCCATGGGTCTTTATTGATTCTGCCAAGGTTGGCATAGTAGCTCTATGCAAAGGTGAAATACGTCTGGTGCAACTCAGTGTAATCGGTAGTGTTTTGTGCTACTCTCTCCTCGTATGTGCTCTCACGGTGACTTCTTGCCGCTGTGGTTTTTTGCTAAAAAGGCCAGATAATGGGCTCGTGCTTCTTTGCCCACGGCATGAAGTACAGCCGGGGATCCTTCAATTCATTCACGACAAAGAGTATTACCTCACTCAACCTCCTTGCCTTGTGTTGCCTCTTGATACCATCAGAGCTCTACACGGGTACAGTATCAGAGACCTACGATACGGCTTACGGTGACAATCTCATGCTGCTCATAAGCCTTGGAATTGCGATAATACTCTTGGCTTTGTACATCTTATACCTTTTATTCACACTCAAAACCCACAGCGATTATTTCTACGAGGACCCAGAAAACTATGAGGAAGATGCTTCTGCCGACGCAGCCAATTTGTCGCTTGGCCCCTTCGCGGCCATCACTTGGCTCGCTGTCAGCCTTACGTGCATCACGCTCTGTACGTTGGCCCTGGTGTCGAGCATCCAAGGTTCGATCTGGAAAGCACACAAGTCTTTTCTTGGCTTTATACTCTTTCCCTTTTTGGGGAATGTAACAGACTACCTGTCTGCTTGCGTAGTCGCATGGAAGAATAATTTGGATATCACCATTCTCGTTACCATTGGGAGCAGTATGCAGCTCTTACTCTTCACTTTGCCCATCTTGGTCATCCTAGGGTGGATAATAAACGAGCCGATGACTTTGCACGTTGACTTTTTTGAGACTGCAACTGTCTTCCTTGGTGTGTTCGTCGTTAACGGCCTGGTTCAAAACGCGAAGAGCAATTACTTGACTGGCGCAATGTGCATTGCTCTGTAAGTCTCTGACGCTAAAGCTGGTACTACTCTGACATCGCTAAAGCTATGCCATCATCGCTCTTGCGACATTTCTCCATCCAGACGATGTGTATTCCAGCCCAATACCCATCTGAGCGGGTTAACGGCATTGCAATCGAATCGAAGCGTCCTTCTAGTGCAGATTCCGTCTTTTGGATTGGAAGATAGGAAGCAGAAGCTGAGCGACTGGCTGACTGCCGTCAGTGGGTGCCGGAAGCCAATATCAGCGGCAGAAATTGTTACTGAGAATAGCGCTGCTAGAAAAAGTCGCAGCTGCTGCGGTACGAGTCCTTAAAAATATAAAGACTTAGTATTACGAGGAGTTGATTTCCACTGGCCCAAGGCTCTGTTGGAGCTGGACCTCGTTCATGACAGCACAAATTCTCGGCTAAATACCCAAATTTTGTGTCTGAACAGACAAACACGGCGTTTGAGACTGTCACTTTTCTGGATGACCAAGGTTCAGCATATTACCTCCAGTCAGAGTTGAGACGGAAATATCAGGATGATCCCAACATAGAGCTTCCAGTACTGGAGTTCATGATTGCTCTTTGAAGGGCTGAGTCCCCGTCATGACTGTGATGTACAGAAGCACGAGTGGCAGTGGACGTGAACTAGGCAGCATCGGTTCAAGCATCCCGCAAGCGAAAAGGTTTCCGCAGGCAAGATGACGACTCTCTCAATCTTGCCAACGACCTTTTTCACATCCTTCTATGAAGCGTATACCCAATGAATCCCGTTACTGACGTTGGACATCGTCGCGCAACGCATCCGAGCCGAATAGAGAGCCCTGAGGTCCTCCATGGAGGCAGGCTTGCTCGTGCATGATGCTGTCGTCTGGGCTGGGCTTGATCTTCAGTCAGGCGTGGCTACCGGCGAGCTTTTGGGTTGAGAGTCAGCTTTTACTCGTCATTCTGAATGTAGTCTTTGTCAACGGTACCGTTCTTCGCCTTCTTCGCCTTCTTCGGCTTGGACTGCTGCTCTGCTTCATTCTCAATGCCCTTGGTTTCCCCCACGGCTCCTTTCCTCTTTTTGCCGGGCTTGGCAGGCGGCATCGCTGTCCCCTCTGCGGTTTCTCTACTTTGTCCACAACGTACCGCTTCGAGCCCGGCTGCTTCTTTACCGAGCACATACGCTTTTCTTTCCCAGGTCCAGAATGCTCACTCCCTCGCCATTCTCTTTCTCCAGCCGCTCTCGCAGCGTTTACACGTTTTCGAGCATCTACTTTTTCCCCCCCCCCCCTATTTTTTTTTTTTTTTTTATTTTTTTTTTTTTTTTTTTTTTTTTTTTTTTTTTTTTTTTAAATATAAAAAACCACATATCGTCCTGACCGTGCGCTCTGTCCGGGCAACCGTTGCATTCTACGAAAAGCTATTGGGGATGAAGCACCAAGTGTTGACGTCTGCAAGACATAGAGATGTGGAACGGTAACCAGATCTCCATGCTCCTCCTCCTTCCAGTCAATCCAGTCGGAGAATAGCTCGTAGGGCGTTACCACTGTGACATTAAATACCTATCATCGCGCATTCCCGCCTTGCCGTGTACTCTACAAATGCTCAAAAAAAATTCAAGTTCCGAAATTCTCATTGCATAATGACTTCACCAAGCTTTGGTCTCTGACCGACCAGGATACGATAGGCACGCACTTGTCTTCGGCTCCCAAAAAAATCAATCTCCACCAAGCTGGCCGCGAATTCGGGCCCAAAAGCCCAGAATGTACAAACCGGCAATGGGGATCTATGTTTCTTGACCGATACACCCGTGGACGAAGTTCTCAAGACGTTTCAGGAGCAAAAGGTGGATGTACGTCAGTTTCTCGTCCTACGCTACGATGTCGAAAGCTACCTTGGTGAGCGGGCGAGAGACTAGTCAATCATCTTCCGCACACGCGAGCGCCTCGTAAGCGGAGACTGACATGAACTCAAGGTCTTGAAAGGTGGAAAGGTAGCCGACAGGACCGGTGCGGTGGGCCATCTCCAGAGTAGTGTATGTGCGGGATCCTGATGGGAATTTGGTAGAATCGCAAAATCCTCCCCCTTCCCCTCCCACCATCACCCATCTCCTCTTTCCCATCCCACTCCCCCACGTCCAGAACACGCCGCCTCTGCCTCATCAGCCACCCCGCGCCGGGGCTTATCCCACGCATTCGGCACACAACGCCCGCACCGCTGCCTTCGCCTATGCGGAATTGGTGACCGAATCGGGCCTGGTAACGTAGACGTCACGGTCACGGGCGCGATGTGGTTGAGCTTGGTGTTGTTCGTAAGCTGGATGGATGGGGATGATGTCGCACGGACGGGCGAGCTTGAGCGGTGATGGTCGGGGTCGGGGTCGGGATTGTTGGGGTGGGTTTTGGGGAAAGGGTTGGGGGTGGAGATGGAGATGTCGCGGGGGCGGATATTCGGTCGGGTTGGGTTGTGTGAGATGGGCGGAGGGGAGGTGTTCATGATGTAGGTGCGTGGGAGGGGTTTCGGGATGGGCGCCTGGCGGGGTTTGATAGTTGGTCTGGGTTTCACTGGCTTGCACTGTTGCGATGTGGGTTGGATTGGAGTCTGCGGAATCGGACGTGGATTTCGTAAAGTAGAGAGTCACTAGAGTAGACGTATTATATTCTAGAAATGCGACTTCTTTTTGTCTGGCGGTGGAGATGAAGACGGTTTAGAGAGGGACAGAATGGGTCGAGGGACGTTTAATCCATAAATATATTCTTTCAGAATTGGTGCTGTGACTCACGGACAAGTAAAAAAGAGGAACATTGCTCTCTTAGCGTGAGTATAAAACCAACCGCAGGAACATCGCATCCGGACAAGGGAATGGACAGTAGGAGAAAGCCTTTTGAGATGGTAGGGGGCTTTGAGGGAGATGAAATGAGAGAGTGTCATGAATATAGAGAAACCTGCAAGCCACTGGAAGCTCATAGGCCAAAAATGACCTGTAATCACTTTTTGAACTAAGGTAGCTCGTCTATACTACCGTCCACGCCGTTCACGCCGTCCGTTGACGCTCCATTGATGCTCGGGAACCCTTTAGGTTCTTTCACGTAGTCCAGCCAACCGAAGGGGTCCTTTATCTTGCCTTGTTGTATTGACTTCAGTGTAGTCAGGAGCTTCTCACACGCCGGTCCAGGCTTATCGCTTCCGCCTTGATATATAAATTTGTCGTTCCTCGACCTCATCGTGATAGACTTGATAGGTACCAGCGCCGCAGCCGTGCCAGCGGCCATGATCTCGGTGAAGGTGGATATTTCATCGTACTTTATTGATCGACATTCCACCTTCCAGCCTAAAGACTTTGCGATCTCGCAGACGCTGTCGGATGTGACGCTCTTGATCACACTTTTGCTGTCTGGCACAACCACTGTATACTCTTCTCCTTCTTTATGCACTCCAACGAAGCCAGATGTTGAGAACTCGTCAACCTCGGTCTTTGTTCTGCTATCTAAGTGCAACGTGATACCGAAACCGTCTTTCTTTGCTCTTTCACTCCATTTCAGGACAGGACCATAGTTTCCTCCTAATTTAGCGGATCCTGTACCTTCCGGCGCAGCTCGGTCGAACTCCTCAAGAATCAAGGCGTCGACGGGATGAACGCCATGGAAGACGCCAACCGGTACCACAAAGACAACAAAGGTAAACTCTTCCGGGCGGGGTTAGTCCGAGATGTGCGGAGCTTCCATATACCAGGGGCCGGATGTACATGGAAGCACCGGTGCGATGAGGAGGGACATGTTCGGCGTTGAGCCCTACTGCTAGGTGACAGCATTTGACGAAGTGTGTTTCTGGTACAGGGGGTATCGCGACAAATCCGGCAGAGTGGGCCATTCGTTTTGCGTTGGCCATGGTGCGGAAGATAGCTATCTGGTCGTCTGGTGTTCGAAATGTTTTGATCCCTTCAAATGCTTGCTCGCCATAATTCAGGGCAGGTGCCATGCCGTGTATGCGGAGATAAGGGTCCGCGATGAATTGGGGTTCACTCCATTTGCCGGTATTGACGCTGTAATATGATTCGATGTGGCCATTGACTGCGTGAGTTATAAGCTCGAAATATGTGTGATCCTGCATGTTCGCACATACCATCGCGGACTTTGAAGCCTATGTTGTCCCAATCTGCATAGCTGTCAGAAATGACCCTGAAGCTTGAAGCCGTGTTACAATACCAATGGATTCTACAGGCGGCGGAGGAAACGGCATTATGGGGGGGTTGATGGGGGCAAATTGTATGTAAATTGTCAATGACTAGAATATCAAGGTGAGACGAAGGCGAGGAGGTGGAAAAAAAGTTGCGGAGTGTTTATGTGAGATTTTGGGGCTTCTGGGAGCGGCGATATCGGTGAAGCTTAAGGTACCTATGCATGCCCGAGTCCCTGCATAAGTAAGCGCATAATTCAGCCTTACAGAATTGTGAAGGCTCAGAACTTCGTCTGATGTTCTTCGTAACCTCTAGGTTAGGTTCCTATTCCATTTTCCTTCTTTGATGATTGCCTATATTTCCCTGCCAGTGAACCGCGCGAATGCTCCACGGGCTTTGAAATGACCGCCTATGGAACCACCTGACCTTACCTGAAGACCCTCCATCGTTCTACCCCCCCCCCCGCCTCGGGCGCCATGCCTACCCCGGGCACGGTACCAACCCGACGCTTCATCCTCCTACTAGTTACAGCCGTCGGTCTTGTCTCGCTCCTGACTTGGACGTTCTCTGGACGAAGGAACCTAGATGCGACCTTCAGCTCCATTCCCATACACCAGGTCAGCGTGGACGATGATGTGCTGAAAGGGGATGCGATCATGGGCAAGATTGGGAATGAGACAATAAAAGCGGAATTAGGGAGGGCTGCGTGGAAGTTATTCCACACGACCATGGCGAAGTTCCCGGATAAGCCTTCGCAGGACGAGCAGACGGCGCTCTTTTCCTACATACATCTCTTTGCACGGCTTTATCCATGGTAAGTGTCAAAATATTAAGACAAAAGTTTCTTATGAGGGGCTTGCTGATGTTGGTTCTAAGCGGCGAATGTGCTGGCCATTTCCGTCAGATCCTCAATAAGTTCCCTCCGCAAGTCTCGTCGCGCTCATCCGCTGCGGCTTGGGCATGCCACGCTCACAACGAAGTCAATAAATCTCTGGAGAAAGATCTCTTCGACTGTTCTAACATTGGAGACTTCTACGATTGCGGTTGCGCTGAGGAAGATGAGAAGAAGGAAAAGAAAGCGACGAATACGGATAGAATTGATTTGCAGGTGGAGAAGCTGGGGTAAAGACTGCCCTTCAGAAGTGCCGCCCATACGCTGATGCTTTTCTCCTTCTCCAGGCCCACTAAGGGAGGTTAACTGCCCAGCTTGGGTTGGCCTTTTTGGAACTCTCGCGGATACCCCATTGCATAGATATGGCGTTCCGGAAACATGAAAGACCTTTCAACACCACTTTGGAAATCCATGCATTTGAAAGTGAAAAGTGTGTGAAGTTTGAGTAGCTCGGCTTAAGCTGCGAATGTTTACGACCGTTACTATTAGCTCTTTGCAGCAACGTAGGAGATCTCAATATTTGTTCCAGACACAAACACTGTTGGGTGAGTCCTTTGTCGTTCTACCCCCTGGCCCCCCTTGTCTTCCCCCTGTTTCTGCCCAAGTCCAGAGCTTCGAATGAAACATCTGTCCTTGCTCGAAGAGCTGGTCTCAATACTCCATTCGGGCGTGTCCCCCTTTTTTCCCTCAAATTCCCGCGAAGCACTGAGTATACTATTACATCTTGACCGAGGAAAATCTGCTCAAAGCACCGTTGAAAGTGGCCCAAAAAGTGACACAAACCAGCTCCATATGCCCAAGACTATCGATCCCTCCATCAAAACATATATGTCCGGAGTTACAAAGCCACGAAAACTGACCACCAGACGCCCCTTCCCCCCTCCGGCTCGCCGAAGCAAGACGTGTTGTAACGACGAAATATTCAAACCCAACCGGGTTCAAAACCGACAAGACGACATCTCCAACCCCAAAGACTCCACCCCCAAAACACAAGTCCCACGATCCGTCCAATGGGCTCCTCCCCTACTCGTATGGTAACTTTTTCGAACTCGACTCATGTAGTCGAATAGGAACAATCTACTCCAATCCACACTCACCCACGGCACTTGGAATACGACCCCCGCGTTGGAGTTTTTGGAGGGTTTTGGACCGAACGACGAGACGAGAGGCCGGCTGAGGCTGGGCTTTTTGCCTTTTCGGACTACTTTGGGCCGACCTGCGTAGGATGTTTTCCGGCTTTTGGCGTAGATGGCGGTGTTTTTACAGTAGCAAGATACAGTTCAATATGGCGGGTAAGGTCGAAGCCGAGGGCTGATATAGACGGTCGTGCTTTTTCTGTCTTCGGTAGTGTGATGGTTGTTGGTGATGCGAGATGGGCAAATGCTACAACATGATTGACAATGCTGCTGGTATTTAATCGCTTGCTGTTAAGCCCAATGCTACCTCAGTTTGTGCAAGCCACGGTTTGCTTGCTGCAAAAGCATCTAAAACGCCTGGCTGCATAGCAACGTGAAGTGTCAAGCCACTCCGCATCACAGACCGTGGACTCAAGCGGCCATGCAAAGAACAGACCATATTTACAACGCTTTGCACAAACCGTCGACCATGTTTTCGCCGTCATCCATGATCTTCGGCTGTGCCGATCATTCAGGAATTCCCTTGCGTCACCCTCACAGCCCCCAATATCTGCTCCAACATGCCCTTCTGATCCCGCTGCTCCTTTTCCATTCGCTCAATCCTCGAGATAATCAACTCCCCGCTCTGCCTTTTCGGGTCTCCCAGCGCGCCGCCAGTGGATGCATCGGGAGTCCCAGCCGCTGCAGACATGGATGCGGTAGGAGCATTCTGGCGTTGAGAACGTAGACGGGAGGGAGTGGTGTTGGCTTGGTGGTTGGAGAATGGTGAGAGGGTGTTAGAGTCATCGTCTGCGTTCTGAAAGGAGGGGAAATGCTCAGCGGGACCGTTTGCGGTAGGCTGACGTGGATAGGTGTTAGGTGCGGAATCGTATTCTCCGTATCGGAGATGTGTTGGCTGAGGATGATTTTGATTGAAATCATTGAGCAGCTGTTGACCAGCTTCTGAAACAGGTTGCTGAGAGGCAGAAGAGATACTGGGAGTCTGTAGCTGAGGATCAAGCGCTGAATTCACTGCAGTTGGTGGTACAGGAGCCGTCCTCCTTCGCTTCTTAGACTTCTTGTTCATCACCTCGTCGCCATCCTCAAGCCAAGCCCACCTTCCGTTAGTACTCGGACCAGGGAACACGCCATTCGGATCCTCAAACGGCTGCTCTTCCGGCTGACCAGCAGCCAGCTCAGTCAGCTCTTTCTGAGTCTTATGCTTCTTCCTCGCATTGTAGATGTCCCTCGTCAACACCTTGATATCTGGCCACAGAATCCTCAACTCCTCCAAAGTCTCGGCCGGGCTCCTACCGGCATCACACATCTCATTCACCTTAATCACTTGCTCATCCGTCATGCGCCTCAACGTAGGATGCGCGCTCAAGTCCTCTGAGGGACCGTGATTATGCTCAGCCACCTCAGTTTCGACCTTCCAAGCCCCGTCTCTCTTCACATTTGCTAGCATCTTGAACTGACATCCTAGCAGACGACTCTCGCCCCGCTTGCGCTTTCGTTGTTCGGGAGTGAGGTTGCGGCGGTTCTCGTACGTGCCGCCTCGGTCGCATTTGAGCCAAAGGCGATTGAATCGTGAGCGAGCAATGACCACTGCGAAGCCTTGGTGAGCAGCCCAATCTTTGCAGCCGGCGAGCAGCTCTTCGCGGGAATTGAACTCGCTGAGGGGCATTGGGGCAAGGGAGCGTGGTGGGGGTGGTGAGGCTCCGGGAGAGATTGGCATGCGCTCTCGTTCAGGAGTGCTGGGACGTAGTACACCAAACATGGTGGCGGGCCTGTTGAAAGGTGCTGCCTTCTGGGAAAGGAGGCCGATGCCGATATTGATGTTGATGATTTGCCTGTCTTGAGCTGGACCGTGTGTGCGGAGTAAGAGTGTGTGTAATTTGAAGTGTCGTGGGACTAAAGACGGAGTCTCGGGATACGATTTTTTTAGCGGGTTCCACGTGACTACCCGTATCTCTCTGTGACAAAATATCGAGGAATACACTACTACCAGCCTCAGCCAACAGGACGTCGCCATCAAATTAATATATTGCACATCGCGGCGTCCCATTGACTTCTACCAGCGCTTGACGTAATCGCTGCTATCCCCTCAAGCCGCCTTACAGGCCCCGTATCCAGCGTGTAAACCGTGACTCGAAAGGACTTCGAGCACCACACAGACCCAAAAGGCAGACTCGCCCTTGTCGAAGTCCACGCTTCCCTTTCATCCGCTAACGCAGCGGCAAAAGCCCACCTTCTTGCCCAATCATGTAAGCCCGGAGGACTCGATGCAGACATAGAGGAGCCGCAGAAGGACGGTAGACATGATGGATATTGCTATACGCACGAGGACAGGCGTGATCACTTTAGATGTGAGGTCAGAAAGTTGGTGTTGAAAAGTGGAAGGCTGGCCACCAGTGGAGCAGCAGCGCCAGCTTGAAGCCTTGCAATATACCTGCATATCATGTTGCTACAGCTATTGACTAGCCAGTATTTTCTGCAGTATAATCTGCAGTATGTTTTGCAGTGTGTCCCGAGGAGTTTCCCTGATAGCGCCGACGCTCAAGCATGCAACGGCAAACCGATGCGACCACCATCATTCGCTAGATCGATGTGCCTTTCACTCAATTCTCGGAGGGCTCCTCGAAGGCTTCTGGCTCGAATGCTTGTGGCTCTGTGAGGGACTTGCACTCGATCTGCCCACGATCAGCAAAGACATTTAATACATGGGTCACGTCGAACACTTACGACCTCCGCCTCTCTCCTTCCTTTCTAAACCCCTCAATAATCCTCAGCATCTCTTTCCTCCCTTGCGTAGCATCCACACTCTTCCCTCCCATGCTCATACTAACCTTCTCCTTCGCATGCGCCATCAGCAGCTTTCTCAATAGCAAATGTCTCATCTGTATGCAAACAAAAACCCCACAATCACTGCTGTTCTCCTGTTGCGGGGAATCCGCCAGATCGATGAACTGGAGCTGTCTTCCCAACAACTGACCAATCTTTCTCGCTGCCAACCCAGCTTCGTTCCTATTTGCGGGGTTGAGGCTATCATAGTGAAATGCCACGCCGTCGACGACGCTCACAAGGAGCAGGGACCAGTGTGAGCCGCCTTCGGCGATTGAGGGATTGCGGCAGTCGTTGATGGGGAGGAAGATGTGAGTTGTACGTGAAAAATTGGGGAGGGCTTCTTTGAGTGTGTGAGGGTCAGGGGTCTGCATGAGCATGAAGGACATGGATGGGCGGAGGAGGACGATGTGGGCATTTTTGTATTGATTGAGGTATTCGCGTTCGAGGTACCTGTAGACGCTGTAAGCCCGCTGAACGAAAGTTCTTTTTGGTGTGGCCGTATAGTGCTAGGACGAGCCTAAGCCTGGTGATGGACGTACTCTTCCCAGAATGATATGCTCTGCACGATCCATTAGCCATGCCCAGGTCTCGCAGGTGTAACCCTTCATACGTTGTCCGTCAACCAGTCATTCTTCAGTGTGTCGATATCCTCTTTCATCACTATCAACTCTTAGCCGCAGTCTCCATGATCGAGTCTGTACGGCCGCACACACATCGTATATCGAAGTCTACCCTCCAATTAGCCACTGCAGTACACGGGTCGGGCATGTGCATGTCTAGACTCACAGCTCAGATATGCAGCGTCTGGGCCAAGCTACACGCAATTGATCAGCTCTTAAACCCCTCTAATATCCAGCCTCTTCACTCTGTATACGGACGTCATGTCGCGTACCGTCTCGCCGAAGTGCCTACTGACTCGACCCTTGAACGGGTGGAAGCCGGAATCCCGCATCCTCCTTGCAGACTCGAGCTGAACTCGAGCCGTGTGATTATCGAGGTGAGTGATGATTTGGTTGTGTCTGACGACAATTGATTGGTTTGCGATATAGAAGGCTTCTGGTGGAAGAGGGGGGCAATCAAATTTCGCAGCTGCTGATTTGAAGCTCGCTTTCAGCGCAAGAATTTCGTCGGCAGGTTTGCTGCAAGGCGAGTTTGGCTATAATGTCTGAGGATCGAAATGCGTTATATCAGGCAGAAAATTCACATTTTGTTGTACCTTGCATCGTCAAGAAGAATTGAATTGAGATAGGCCCATGCCACGCCTTCCCGAAAACGGCGAGCTTTGCTTTTTTGTCTTCACCTCCTTTCCATCCACACAGTGGAATAGCGTTGTTGTAAAACGCTTTATTCTACATGGATAATACTACACCTACAAAAAGTTCCTACCTAGAGAGACATACCTCTAGGCGCACGTTTGGGCTACCGCCTACCATGAATGGCACAACGACTAGACTATCTGTGTTCGCGAAGTTGGTGAAGTGCCTTGTGCGTATGGAACATGGCCATCCTTTCCTAAAAAATATGCATCGTTGACCCCTTTGCGTCAGGTTGAGGCCTCACGTCCATATGATGTTAATAGAGAGATCCTAGGGTCTCTCTCTGAACACGGATGCCGATGCTGTTTCCTCGGGGCTCCTGAGGGTATCATTATCCAAATCGGTATTTCGGTCTGGTCTCAAATACATTGCCAACTGCTCGCTAATTTGTACAAGCTATAATCTTGCAAGTAGCAGTCAAATGAAGCCAGACGCCATGAATAGCACTCCATCTAGAACATATCATCGTCTCCATCCATGTCCATGTCCCCATCAGCATCTCCAGACTCGATGAAAACAAGACGAGTACCTTCCGCAGCCGTTTGCCATACCTGTGGAGCTTCTTGTCAGCGATGCCTCCACTGGGCAAAGGGAATGGGTGGCTTACGTCAAGCAAAGCATACTCATCCAACGCCTGGCTGAACTGATCCTCCGTGAAACCTTTCGCAATAATTCTTTCCCTGACCTTCTTAATGCTCAACTCTCCTCTACTCCCATCTCCGATAGCCGCCGCCCCACTATCCTTCATCGCCCTGACAAGATTGTAAATCTTGCTGCTTGGGCTTTGATCAGCCGCTCCTCTTGAGTCGTTGTACAAGCTTGCTTTGCTGACTTCTACCAGTCGTAAAGCCTCGTCAACATCGTCAGTGACAACTTGTGAAGAGAAGCGTAGTCGAGCCAATGCTTGCGAGAGTCGAAGGACACCTAGAAGTGTGCGAGGCGAGGTGTGGGTGAAATGCTTCTGGCCACCTTCATCACGTTTCTGCTGTTGGCGCATACGCACGTATGCGCCAACCATGTACTCCGAAACCTCCTTGGGCACCGTTGGCCGCCAACTTCGAGCTTGAGCAATGTACTGGCGAACTTCGTGAGGAGTGAAGATCACGCCCGTGGTTTCTGGATGCTTGTTGTTCATGTGGACATAGGTCACATGTTGGGCTAGCTCTTCGTCCGACTCGCGACTGGGCTGGTCAAGCATGAGGAAGAGAACATCAAAACGTGAAAGGAGTGCGGCGGGAAGATTGATGTTTTCCACGGGAGAGATTCGTGGGTTGTAGCGGCCATAGAGGGGATTGGCTGCGGCGAGGATTGATGTCCGAGCATTGAGGGACGTTGTGATGCCAGCTTTTGAGATCGAGATTGTCTGTTGTTCCATGACTTCGTGGATGGCTGTTCGGTCTCCATCGTCCATCTTATCGAATTCATCGATACAGCAGATACCGTTGTCTGCCAGGACTAGAGCACCTCCTTCCAGCACCATCTCGTCTGTGACTGGATCTCGCATGACGGCTGCTGTCAGTCCGACACCGCTGCTTCCACGTCCGGTAGTGTAAACACCCCGAGGAGCTACTTTGGTGATGTACTTGAGAAGTTGAGATTTAGCCACACCAGGATCACCCATAAGGCAGATGTTGATGTCTCCACGTATTCGCATTCCGTCGCCCATTTCTTTGGTGACACCGCCGATCAGGAGCAGTAAAAGCGCCTTCTTCACATCTTGATGACCATAGATTTCCGGAGCGATGGACCTCGAGAGGTACTCGTACATGTGACCTGAATGCTTGTATTGCTCGATTCTTCGGAACGTCTTGGCATCAAAGACCAGATCATCGTATGCCTTTTTGTGTTGATTGACATGTTGAGCCTCGAGGTAGGTATCTGTCAGAAGACCAGCACGGATAGCTTTGAAGCCTGTGTACGGCGTTGGGAGGAAGATTCCCGCCACATCAATGACATCGCCAGGGTTGATCTGTCTCGTCAAGGTTCCATGACAATGAACGGTTAGTGTCCGAGGGATATGGCCAACAGGTACTTGATCAGCCATTTCCTGTATCTTAACTTCTTGGAAAGGCAGAAATTTCGATGCCCGCGTTGATAGGAATAGTTGACCCTTGGAGTTGTTCTGCTTGCATTCATCTGAGGGACATTCCGTCATTGGGGTAAATTGCTTTGAGGTGACAGGCTGAAATATCTCGCATCCACATCGATCACAGGTGTACGCGTTGACTTGTACGGAGGGTTTTACGTCAGAAACCCTAGTCGTGATACCTCTAACAGTGATAAGATGGCCTAGATGCTCTCCTCGCACATTCCGAACAGCAAGCGCCTTTGTATTTCTGTCGCTATCCGATCCGGCAGGACTGATTGGTCTGAAAACCAAAGTGTATCGTCGTGTAAGCTCAGCAGGAAATATTGCTTCAGGCTGCGAAGGGTCGAGCTCATTATCTGCTGCCAGCATCACGCTCTCGTTCCTCTTCTCACGCTGCGACATGATGATATCAAGCACATCGTCTTTGAATGAAATCTCCTTCGTCTCTTTCGGCATTACTTTGTCCACTGCATGCGATAGAACGTCGATGTAATGTTTCGCATTCTTTTCGATCGAGTCGACTAATCGTAAGCCCGTACCCTCCTCACCAAAGCTTTTCTCATACTATGTCGGATGATCAGTGAAAGTAGAGAACAAAATCGGAGGGCTCACTTACATTGTCCAAATCGTCCAGCTCTATTGTTACTTCCCCTATCTGTCGATCTGCCACCTTCTGTAGCATATCCATGTATTTTCTCTTAGGCTCTATATGCTGCCCAGCATGCCGGGCTGCCTTCCCATCTACCACATCATCCATAAAGTCGTACTCATCGCTCGTGCCATCTCCGTCAATGTTGAGATCTTGAAAGGCGTCAGTCGCTGCGAGGTCTAGGTCGGTTTGCGTAGATTTGTAGTTCAGTAGGAAGTCCTCGAAGGCAGCTGTAGTCCTTGTCAGTACTTCATGTCCGAAAGGCCAGTAGAGGAAAGGGGCACTTACTTTGTTGTGCAGCGTAGTCCACGGGCGATCGGAAGGTGAGAAGCGCCATTGATCCAGCTGGAGAACAGTTGTTGGTTTGCTTACGAGAAGGGAAGGAGATCTAACACATGAGTTTTGCTTGCTGTGGAGCATTTCCAAGTGCTCGATATGATATGGAGAAGGCCAACCACTTTGGCGCGTGAGACGCGTCGTTTCGCGATCAATTAGTATCTTTTCGGGTTAGCGCTCCCGAAGCCCGTAAATGCTTCCGAACCGCTCGGTCCTGCCTCGGCTGTTGAAAAGCATAAGGTACACAGTTTCTCCAATTCTGGTTGTTGAGCAATAAGAGAAGTTCGCTACTAACCTCGATGGTTTCATAACGCTCTTAAGTCATCTTGGACGGCCACAAGAGGTTCTAAAATCCAGCTATGGCGCCAACTCAGGCCGAAATCAAGCTCGTAGAGCTCAAAAACTGCTTTGTTAACGTTCCTCGGTCAATCGTTGGACTGCTTGACAATGCAAAGGCTGTAAGCAGTCAGGTTACTCTTTATGGACATAATACTTATACATTGCTAGGTCGTCCAGAATGTTGTCGTCGAGCTACAGTACAAGGAGTCCTCGACTGAACAAGTCTTAAAAAGGCCCAATGGCGCTTCCCAACGCTCTGTATACGTCGGATGGACAGGAATGGCAAGTACAGCAAAGTCAACGTCAATCACCGACAGAACTGGAAGAAGACCCAAAGACGAAATTGGAGTGGTGGAAATTGATGCAATGTTCGGACGTATGCTGGGTCTCATGGATGGCCAGAAGGTCAGAGAGATGGGGTGATTGCATTAAAGGATGCTAAGGTCATAATGCAGGTGGGTATATCTCTACATCTGGATCCTCCCATGGCACATACAGTTCATATTGAACCGCTGACTCCAGCAGACTGGGAAAGCAAGTGTGTCCCGCGCTCATATCTGGGAACGCAAGCTAACGGCTGCCGCAGTTATTGAGCTCCATGCGAGTTTTCTCGAATCCAATCTATTATTCCAAGTTCGAGCCTTACCCAACCCCTCTTTCGCTGCGTCGCCTTCCGCCCAGGCTCAGCAAGTTCATCCTTTGACTATCCACCTGTCGCCAACCTCCACGGCAAATGTCATCATTAGCTCTCTTACTCCGCCACAACCTTCTTCGACTCCATTTGCGAAGATCTCGCCGGACGGTGAGGTCATTGTGGCTCCTAAGACACGACCTCGCCTATCGCATAATGACCGTACCACGAGTCAGAGTATTGCTAGCACTGGGCGCCGAAGTGCTGGCGGAAGAAGTGGAATGGGGGCATCAAGGCAACGCAGTCATCGAGGAAGTGCCGGACCGAGCGCAGTCTTCCTCCGTGGTGTGGATAGAAGCCGGTGTGCTCATTTGTTCGACGAACACGATGAAGGCAAGACTCATGATAGAAACCTCGGGCTATGGGTAGACCGAGAGTTGCTAGCAAACAAAGCTCTCAAAAGTCTTGAATACGTGTGTGTGTCTGTCGTGAAACCTGGTGGGATCGAAATTTCACTTGATCCGCAGCAGCAACAGAGAAGTAAAGACATGGAAGCCAGCGAGTCTGGGAAGCCTGCGTCGAAGATTGTTGCAAAGCTATTCGCCTGGGACGATGCTCCTGATTCTCGTCATGTTGCTCTTTCTTCGGCCCTTTGCTCTGCTCTGAACAGTGAGGGCATTGTTGGAGGCCTTGTGCGTATTGAAGCCGCGCCACCTCCAGTACCAAGAAGTGGAATTGAGAATCTAAAAATCTTCCCTATTATCGGGAAGTTCGGAGAAGTCGATGGCATCAAGTTTGGCGGGCAATCCAAAGCAGGCCGTGAAGCAGCAGCTGAGAAAATTCGGGCTTATTATGCAAGCGTGGAACAGGATGAGGCAGGCATGCTAGATGGGCCCCTCACGAACGGCCTCGTTCTGCCCAGAATCCCACAAGACATTGAAAGCCAGGATTGGGAAGGAGGACTTGTCCGGCTGGAGGTACCTTCGCACGACGGCAGGGAGTCTGCTAAGGTTTCTGTGAAGTGGTGCATAGGCTCAGAGATCAAGGGTGCCATCCAAGTGCAACAGGGAATACCAAATCCTTTTAGTACCTCAAAATCAACCGCTATCAACGCTGACCCACTTCCAATTGAGTTCCCCTCCATAATCGGCATTGACAGCCTTATCAACCAGCTCACCGCCAACCTGTCGCACTGTTCGTCTGTTCTATTGACTGGTGGCCTCGGCTCTGGCAAATCATCTCTGGCACGCTTACTTGGCCATCGACTGCGCACGTTCGATCTATTTCACACAAGCTACTTCCCCTGTCGCAAGCTGACGACCGACGAGACCCGAGTCTCTACAATCAAAGATAGTCTGAGTCGACTGTTCATGACCGCATCTTGGGGTGCTAGATCAGGAGGCCGCGCGCTTGTCATCCTAGACGACCTTGACAAACTCTGTCCCGCCGAGACAGAGCTTCAGACAAACGACAATGGCCGCAGCCGACAGATCAGTGAGATAGTGTGCGCTCTCGTGCGCCAGTACTGCAGCCTCGACTCGCATGTGGTGATCTTGGCAACGTCGCAAGCGAAAGAAGCGCTGAACAACGTCATTATTGGAGGCAACGTCATGAGGGAAATAGTAGCGCTGAAGGTGCCAGACAAAGACGGTCGGCGGCAAGTGCTGCAAGCTCTCACCGGTCAATCTCGCGATGGAAGGTCATCAGCCAATGGTGCGAATGGCCACTCACGCGGCAGTAGCCAAGATATTGAGGCCGCTTGGATGGGTGAATCCTCTCGCTCGGAGCTTGCAGATGGATCCGAAAAGTTCCAAGTCGATCGCAGCCTAGACTTCCTTGAATTAGCAGGGCAGACTGATGGCTACATGCCGGGTGACTTAGTGCTCCTTGTTTCTCGAGCAAAGAGTGAAGCTTTGATCAGATCCGTTGACACAGCCTCAGATCCCGCTGAAGAGTCGAACATCGTCCTCAAGAAAGTGGATTTCGAGAATGCTCTGAAAGGCTTCACTCCCGCATCTCTCAGGAATGTAACCCTGCAGTCATCCAAGACTACGTTTGATTCCATCGGAGGGCTGCTAGAAACTCGCAAGATCCTCCTCGAAACATTGCAGTACCCTACCACCTACGCTCCGATCTTCGCACAGTGCCCTCTCCGCCTACGCTCTGGTCTCCTACTTTACGGCTACCCAGGTTGCGGCAAGACATTGCTTGCAAGCGCGGTAGCTGGCGAGTGTGGCCTGAACTTCATCAGCGTGAAAGGTCCAGAGATCTTGAACAAATACATTGGTGCTAGCGAGAAAAGTGTCCGTGATCTCTTTGACAGAGCTGAATCAGCGAGACCATGTGTGCTTTTCTTCGACGAATTTGACAGCATCGCACCGAAGCGAGGCCATGATTCTACAGGCGTCACGGATCGTGTGGTGAACCAGCTTCTGACGCAGATGGATGGTGCAGAGGGTCTCTCCGGGGTCTACGTGCTGGCTGCGACTTCTCGACCTGACTTGATTGATCCTGCTCTACTAAGACCAGGTCGCCTTGATAAGTCGCTGCTCTGTGATATGCCCAGCTTGGATGACCGACTGGACATTCTTCGAGCGCTAAGTAAGAAGCTGTCCATCAGCCAAGACATCCTGGATGCGGCATATCAGCACAAGAGTCTCTCGGAGGTTGCCCATCGAACAGCAGGCTACTCAGGCGCCGATCTGCAGGCTGTCATCTACAACGCACATCTCGAAGCAATCCACGATGTACTAGGTGACCATAGTATCAACGGTGACATCAATTCCAAGAGTCGTAGAAACAATAAGAAGTACAGCAGCGCCTCGAAACAAGATATTCTACAATTTCGCTTTGGCAAGGAGGACACCGTAAACGGCGCAGTTCCCGCCATGAGTCGCGCAAAGCAGGCAACAGAGTACGCAGCAGTCATTGCGAAGCTGGATGCAATCAAGCTTGCCAAGCGAAAGGATCGACATGCACGACGTGGAATCACTGAGCCATCTTCCAAGGACAACGCCAACAGGGATGGTATACAGGCGGGGTCGAAGCAAGAGGTCGTGATTGAGTGGAAACATATTGAAGCTTCGCTTGCTACAACGAGAAGCTCGGTCGGTGCAGATGAGAGGAGGAGGCTGGAGCGCATCTATAGGGAGTTTGTCGTTGGCAGGAATGGCGAGATGCCAAATGGGCAGGGACCTACAGAAGTTGGGGGAAGGAGTAGCTTGATGTGACATGATTCAGATATGAGATGATGGTGCAGATATTCCAAAGCATCTAGGTACAGCGGCAGAAGGTATTCACAATCTTTCGTTGCCGTATGAGAGATCTAGACTCTGCTGGGCTAAATTCGAAGACATGCAGTGATTGAGGAAACCTTTCCGCCCGTATCTTCTTGGTTTGGCCTCATCAGGTTGGGGTCATCGTTCCTCACAGGGTATCAACAAACGGTAACGAAAAACCGCAATCTACGTACTTTGTCACCCTAACTATGCCCGCAATCCATCCATTGGCGCAGTAATAGCCTGTGTGACCGTCAATCTTGAGCTCGATTACTCCGCCATGTCGGCTCCGCAAACACATCTGGGAAACCCTCTTCAGCCTCCACGTAAGCGGAGCCCTCAAACACCAGTGATATATATCATTATAAGACCAACCTTTTCTCTACTGGAAATGATGAAACGAACGAATGAAATCACATTGGTTGACACGCGCGTGGTCTAATTGTTTGCGCTTACTGAAAACAAAAATTGTCAATACAGAAACCTGATCCAGCTGCCTACTTAACCTTTTTTCGCGGTTCGAGGACTCGAAGTTCAAATATCGACCGTCTCATTGGATTTTCATCTGCAAAGGAATTTTTGTCCGAGGATTCATGTACGGCAATGCTTGAGAAATACTCTCGCCAGTGCTTCGATGTTCGTATGAACTGCCTCGCTTAGAAGGCGCTAGTGTCGATCTTATGGGCCCTGTGAGGACGCCGCAACATATCTATCAGACCTACCTACTCGTCTGTTCGAGGGGCAGAATAAGGGGATACTCCGGGCATTCATTCACAGAAAATAGGTAGCAGAATTCGGCGTTGAGGTTAGTGTTGATATTTCCAAAGGCCCGATTGGCTCGAACTCCTCAGTTGTTTGTTTATTTGGTATATAAGTGGTGTAGGATGGAGCTTTTCACTAACCAGCTTCTCTAGCCCAACATTTAGACTTTGAAAATTACCAGCCAGCCAGCCAGTCAACCTTTCACCTTTCCCTTTCCCTTTCCCTTTCCCTCGTAGATCCCTTCTCCAAAAAGTTTCCCACACCCTGCCAACCCGCATGTTACGACAAAACTCACCATAACGGACCCCGAAGTCGACGGGCATCAACAAGTCCGGTCTAGTCATTCTAGATGAGAGTGGGGAGGCTAGCTCGTGATCTGCCCCCTTCCCGTAGGCAGAGATGTAGGACATCTGTTTCCGAGGGTAGAAAAAGATCGAGAGGAAAAAAGAAAGAAAAAGGGGAAGAAATCAGAAAAAGCCAGAAGAGAAGAAACCCAAATAAAGACCCTGACAAAATGTCCGAACTCTTTTATCATTTACGATGTTCAAGATCACTAACATGAACTGTTTTGTTTCTATGCAGGTTTTTTGTGCACGCGGAACCACAATAGTTTACAGGTGTCGTCAATCCTATTCATCACTGCTCCTTCTTTGCGTCTATCCTACGAAACTCCAGCTCACTATCCTCTCATTCAGGCTGTGACAACATTTATCAAGACACCCGCATCGTGTCTTGCAACACCGCCGACAGCCCGTGATCATCAACCTTGGCTCAAACACAGTTCTGCCCCTCCTGCCTCACCAATTTATCAGCGTTGTTGATGTGGTTGATCTGGCCGGAGCCTAAAGAATCATCAGAATCATAGCGGCGCTGCCCTCATGGTTAACATATGTAGGGGCAAGAAGATCTAGGAACCTTACCTTTCGATCGATAATGTTCCCAAGTACAGTCCTCATATTAACATGTGGAGGAGTCTGAGTCGGCTCTACAGGGTTTGCTGGCCTCTGATTCGGCGTCGCGACGGGTTGACACAAGGTACACCACCCCACCGGATACGCTGGAAACTCCCGGTCTTCGTGGCCGCCGTTCACCGCTGTCATTTTCGGTAGCCATGCAGATGAGGCATTGCAACGGACAGCAACCTTTCGCGTGATAAGTTCATTGACCGTCTCAACAACGACGTCGGTCTTTGGGATGTAGCCGTTGTTCGCGAAGAAGGGTCGTACCGAGTCTTGGAGGTTGGCAGCGGACTGCAGTGGACCAGAGCCCAGTTGGTAGACTGTCTCGTTGGAGCCATTCCATTCCAGGATGTCCACTGCAAGTTGTTCCACCTTGTCATCCCCAAAGTCAAATCTGAACACTCGAAGAGATACCTGGGCTTCATCCCTCAAGTCAACGTTGGCGAATACTGCAACCAAGGAGGGATCATAAGCTGTGTCAAGCTCTATCCTCACGAGTCCGAGGACATGTGGGTCAGAGTCCCCAATATGGATGTGCGTTCGCTCCACCGACGCTGCCTTCTCTATTCGTGAAGGCAGAGATACCTGAAGAGCCGTACCACCGTGCACGAACTTTGTTACATGAAGCTCCGTCAAGTTATGCATCTGGAGGTGGGCAGTGTTGAGGTCGGGTGGGTCCTCTAAGTGGTAGTGTTCCCAATTCGTAATGCCTGGTGGAAGCCCCTTCCCAACCTCCCTATACCATCGACGACGGGCAACTGCAGACTCGTAGTCTTGCCTTGCGGCACGAAGCCTTGACGTACCGTACCGTTCCAGAGCCATTGCGCCGTCGCGACAATCGAACTAAACCCTGTCAGCTTACTGATAATCATGTAGCACCCCATTGCCAGTCTTACCTGCTACGACAACTGCTGCTGAAGCCCCACTGCTCCAGGAAATCGCTGAATCGCGAACTTGACTACTGCCGCTTTTATTGCATCTGGCGAAAGGCGTGCCCTCTTGTTAGGATTGCACGCCACCACACCAGAGATGAAGCGTGATATATATATATATAAAAGCAGTCCATCACTCGTGAACTGCTCTGGAGTTACCAGCGGCAAACAGAACTCGTGGGTTTTGAAATTTAAACACAAGATGGCCGTATTCGAGTGGCTATGGGGCACATTGGCCTGGGCTTGGTATGGTTCGTCGTCGAGAAATCGCGTGAGGGCTTTCCAATCGGGGTGCTCTTCCCACCTAACTCATTGTCAGAAAAGTGGTCGAAATTTTGTTGCTCGGGCACCTACTCGCTGGAGCGCCTCTCTGTACTGGACTTTGAGGGTCGCCGAAGGGTGTTGCCATGTCCTCAAAGTCACCACCCGGATATAGGCGTCGTTCACTACTGAACTGGTTATCTGGACGCCGGGTAGGCCCGGGTTGTTTGCCCGTACCGGCCACCGAATATGGAAGGCGGCATGTTCAGGAGGGCGGCATCGCTGAGCGCAGGGCATATGAGATCGGTCCCATCGCGCGTTTGGAGAGGCATTTTCGAGCAGGACGATGCCGGAAGAACCTTCGGAGTGCGCCAAAAAACTGCGTATCTGTAGAGAGAGGGTTTTGCTAGTATGGGGTGAATGGTGCGGAAGAGGAGTTGTAGTTGTTGATGCTGAATGCTTGCCAAGAGTTTGGAAAGGAGCAAAGTGTTGAAGCGTTCGGGACGCGCGCTTGCCGCTGGGTCGAACGCGGTGTGGTAAAGATCCAGTACCACGCATGACATACCCAATCACAACTCCAGCCTACTCGGACCTATTCGCGACGAGGGTAACTTCCATCTTGCGAGCGCAGTATCTGAGTGAAGGCTCTGAGAGGAGACTACCTTCCTCTGACAGGGCACTCATTGTGTCGCGGGTATCGACCGAGGAACAAGCAGAGTCCCTGACACAAATGCACGTCCACCGGCTCGGACAGGGCCCAGCCAATGGTCCGAGGTCCACCAAACTCGAGGTTCTGGGCGCAAACAACCGCCCCATTGTCATATCGTTCGACAACGATACTGTAAGAGATATGGCTCTTTCGCATATACAACAAGCAAGATTTCACATCAGAGACGAGCGAAATGTCAAGCTTGATGTAACGCGGCTGAGCGAGGGCACAGCCACGAAAACGAGCTTTGTCTTAGACTCTCGCCGAGTGGAATTTCTTAGGCTGTCTCGATGATTTCCTGCGGCCGTTCTTTGCTAGTGCTCTCTTGACCGATTGGATGATCCCACTATTTTGGCAAGCGCTGGTAAAGCTGATTGGTGGCAAGAGGGTCAACGATTCATCAAGCCTTGACACTGTTCACCTCTTCAAGGCGTTCGTCGATAACCATTACCCTTACTTCACACATAAAGAGAGGCGGGGCCTCTTTACCGCAGTATGTCTTTGGCTTCTACATGCATGAAGGCTGCTGACGTTGTGATAGACCAACGTTGACCACTTTGAATACCGCTCTTTCTATGTGGCGCTACTCGTTCTCAGTCACCGACTTGGCAGCCAGAGAGAGCCGAACGAGTGGTCAATCGATGCTGCAGCTGCCAAGCTCACGGTCGGTATTGGCGCCTGTGCTATGGCCAAAGCAGACCATTGTGACAGAGTGGCTCTTTCCTAGACAAAGTCTCATGAATCCCGTGCATTTCGTGGTCGAATCCCTTTTCGACAGCGGCAAAGATGCTCGCAGGAAGCAAAATGTTGAGGAAAAGAAGGTTTCTACACCGAATCATGGCTTCTTGACGTCGTTGGATTTTCTCGAGGGACGTCTGGGATAGCTGTAAGTCTGCAAGAGGGAGAGACCTTCCTTTGGCAGCAAGCAGACCTTTGAAATTGGGCTTAGATCGAGAATTAGCCCATAGAGCAACGTTGTTCTACTCGAAGCCTCTGCATTAAACGATTGAGAAAACATCAGGCCTTGAGTTTATTAGGATCTTACATTCTTCTGCTCGTAGCAAACCGTTATTGCCTAAGTCTAAACCATACTGGGGAGGGGCTAGGGAAGGGCTTATGCCGTCTTCTTGCCCATGTTTATCAGATCGAGAGCAAGCGGGGGAGAAGGGGCAGAAAAAGCCATAACGACAGTACGAACACAGAAAACCCCAAGACAGTTTGAGATGTCTTTTCCAGCCCCGACCCTTTGCCAACCTCTGATATAAACCGCGCGCCTGGAAATCTGGAGTCAGAGTTTCTCCTCGAGTCTAGCGCCTTCCAAATTTGTTTCAACACTTTTTGGCCCGCGCGCGTGGTAAGCAAAGCACCAATAACAAACGATTCCTACACAGCACCCATCTGCCATACAACTTCTTCATACACCATCACCTCAACTTTTACTCATCTCAACGGGTTATCTGACATCACTTTGACGCGATATGGACCTTAGCATGGATCTCAAGACGATCCCCAACGCAGAGGATGGCGTGGCCATGACGCCGCCACTGCTCAATGACAGCGTCATGCCCTACATGACGCCGTCAAACTTCCTGGCGTGGATGCGCTGGAAGCTGGAGACCCCTGCCTGGGTGCTACAGGCTTTTGAAGAGCTAGTACGCGATAGAGCTCAACAGGATCTCCCAGCGAACCTGCAATACTACCAAAATATGATGGAACGCGTTAGTAACTATCAATGGGATGGTTGCTGCAGCTAACAGTATGTCACAGTTCAGAAACCACTCTGATTGGGTCTCCATGAGGCCGGCTCTCGAGAACAAGACAGTCCTCCGTCAAGCAGTGGTTCCCCACAGCACACCGGGCGACGATCCAGCTTACTATGAGTACGACAAGAAAACCTTCTTGTTGCCTATGGTGGACCAGAAGCAATTTAATCCTTGGGGTCTCGATCCTCAACGATTCATCGAGGCTATGTTATTGGCTAATCCAGGTCGAATCAAAGAACTGTCAACAAGCCAGATAATTCAAGCAGCGGGAAAATTCGCCAAGCTACGTTTCCCAGGGGCAAATTTAGGTCTGGATCAGCAGTTCATAAAGCAGGTAAGGGATAAAGTAGGTGTGGGGATTGTTTTTGCAGCTTACAAAGTCCAGTTCGGCACCTCAGATGGACTGGCGGCCCTTTTGAAGCATGAAAATGAACGACGTGCCATCATAGCTGAAGACCGTGCTTCCACACGCACTCTCACAAGGAATCCGGCGGCCTTGACGAATGAGCTACAGCGTCACTGGTCTGGGATGTTTGGCAAGGCTAGGAAGAGTGAGAAGGAGATATACCAGGGCGTGATAAAACGCGAAAAAGAGATATTCCACGGCAAGCCCAGGCAAGATCCGTACCAGCCTGGTGTGATATCGACCGACCGAAGTCACGATATCTTGCGAGCGCATCCCCTTTCAGAGCCACATCGGGCGAGGTTGGCTTCTAGTGGTATGGCATTGATCGTGTCTTTAGCGTCTCTGGAAGAGCAAGCGGTTTCCGTGACCGCAACGCATTTCCACATCCACGAGACTGAGCCAGAACATAAGCATATTTGGGTCAAATTAGAGCTTCTGGCAGCGTTCCACCCAGCTGTTGTTATACCCTTCGACAATGTAACCATTAAGGAACGGGCACTTGCGCAGCTCCAGCACTCATCCAGATTCGACTTTCTAGAAGAGAAAGGCCTGCAGCTTGATGCATACACCTTGCGAGAAGGCATAGCCAAGGAGCCGACCTTCATGCTGGGCTCTGGGCCGCTGAGAACTCTGGCTTTGCTCGACGAATCCTTGAGAGCTTTCTTTTGGTACAAGGGTTATATCTCAAATCGAGACCTCATTACTAAGCATGTCCGCGGTATAACTGAAAGAAAGGTCGTGATTCGAAACAATCGTGGTTTCGATTGGGTACAGAAATGCACCGTGACCAAAGCTGGCAATGGAGACCAGAATATTCCCGCAGAATCAGTGGAAAAGTGCTCTATCTGCCTTGGATCTCGATCTCGTCTGCCGCTCGTTCGTGAGAACGTTGAACCCAACGATCGGGACATTCCCAGGCAAGTTCCAAAGTTTCCAGATTATTTACGCTCGGTATCTGCCTCCAAAATGCCCGCTCGTAGAGGTGTTGTGCCGAATGACAGGAACGCCCCCAAGTACGCTCCAGTAAATCAAGATAAAGTGCGTCCAGTGGCACCGCTTCCAGCGCCACTTGCTTCAGATCTAGTTAGGAATGACGCAAAAGCTCCCACGCATATCCCAAAGACACAACTCCCAGCAAATGCTGCCGGCATTTTTCAACCAATCGTTCTTGCGAATACGGTGGCCAACGATGACCGGGGTCCCATTTCTGACACGCATACTCATCGCCACGCGCGCTCGAAGGATGCGTTCCAAACCCCCGCTCGTGCTAGTAATGCGCCCACGGGTGTCAAAGCGCCTAGCCGCAAGGTAAATACTTGAATCGTCGCGATTCTGCGCTTGCTAACAGTTCCCGCAAGCGAATATTCAGTCCGGATGCCCCAGAACTCTACCAACGACGACCAAGGTTGCAAGCACCGTAAAAGGCTAATTTCCGGCTTCAGGGTACGGTTCCTTCGATAGGAGTTGCAGCGCCTAATAATTGGAGGTGGATATCTAATGAGACGCAAGAAGAGGTGGAATATCAGCAGTTCAGATAACGTCGTGATGGATGCAAGTGGATTTACTAGCGGTTGTAGAGCGGACAATCAATGATACTTGTTACGCTTCATAGCTGAAAGTGCACTCTAACAGCCCGTATGCCTCGGGTTGATAATGTAAAAGATGTAGGATAAAAGTGAGATGCCGCTGGATGTGTTGATCACTAAAGTTAAAGACAAGAAGAGTAAGCTTCCAACTGCATATTCCAAAGGAAAAACGAAAGCAAAAATACAAAACGTAGATAGACTCCAAACCTGGGACTTGGAAAATGCAAAAGAGTTCGAACATGCTGAACGGGTGAGCGACTCGAACCCCAGCATGCCTACGTCTCTGCCTACGGGCGAGGGACAGCAGATTGCCTGACACCCCACACTCTCCAGAATGACTGGACCGGGTTGTCGATGCCCATCGTTTCGGTCGGGGTGCGTAATTGGCGACTTTTTCGTATCTTTTGGGGCGGCTCGTTACGATCGTTTCGGCTCGATGGGAAGGGTTAGGGAAGGAAGGGCCTACGAGGGAAAGGAAGAAATGTTTACGGGGGGGGCATGGGAAGGTGGGAAGGGAAGGGAAGGGAAGGGAAGGGAGGCAGGGGGGGGGAGATTGGCGGTGGGCTGGTAATTGGCAAGGTCTGAATGTTGGGCTAGAGAAGCTGGTTAGTGGAAAAGGCGATCCTACTTTAGTTATGAACAAAAAGTGAAATGAAATGAGAAATAAACAACGGAGTTAGTTCGAACCGATCGGATGTCTGGGAATCTCAACACTGACCTTCTGGGTCGGAACCTCCGTCGTCTCTGTTCTTGGTAGCGAAACTCTTGATGCACTTCCATTCCTATGCCTTCTCAAAAGGAAAGTAGGGTCGATGGATATACGAAGTGTTCTCGAAGCCCGGAAAGATCACTTTTTCGTAACCATTATGGGCAACCAATACTATCAATGATAATTGTTGTCTTGATGGTAGCATGTGATACAGTACGATTATGACCTGTTGTTGTGGTAAAAGATATAGATTCAATCCACGAGCCTTGTAGGCGGTGTCTACGGTTCCTCTCTCCCTGTGCGGGTTACAGCTCGGCAGGGGTAAAAAAGTTCGACAGGGTGAAGCTTCAGCATATGCTCACTTCACCCCAGATGAACCTATAGCATATGCTGAACGTATCCGTTTCACCCCGGATGAACTCGGGCCGGGTCGAAAATAATGTCGGCACTTTAGGGGGTTAAGGCATATACTAAGCATATGCCTCAATCTCCGTAATCTGTTAAAATATCAGGTATGTGAGAACGGACGGATTGATTCTCCAAAACCTCTCCGGGGCCAGGTCCTGAATACAGTACAAAATCAGGTGGCTGGAAAACATGGTGGCTGGAATGTAATGCGCGGGAAAGAGACAATTTTAAATTTGTGGGTGAGTTACCCCGCGTGGGCTAACGTCGCTGGACTAAATTTAATTTTCTTCACCCCCGATGAGGTGCTGGCATATGCTGAGTGTATCCCTTTCACCCCGGACGAGGTGCATATACTTAGCATCTACTCACCCCTGCCGAACTTTTTTCACCCCTGCCAAGCTGTGAGCCCCTGACTGTGAAGTCTATACGCCAAGCCGCTAGAGTAGCCGGGTAGGTCGGCTACAGGCGGCGCCTGATTGACACCATGGATCTTGTTAACTCACGAGCCTCTCCTTCAAGACTGAGCCAGCATGAAGCACCTGGTAGATATCAAAATGCTTGAATCATATCTTAGCCTGGTCTGAAAACCGTGTTAATGAAGCCCAAAACACCAAAGAGAAATCTGATCAGCCATCTTTTTGGGCAGTCTAAGGGCTCTAGGGAATCTAAGTGGAACGCATCTTCGTTCATGGAGAGCATTCGCAGTCATATCGGTCTTGTATTTCTTGTCCGATGAGGATTCTGTCGGTCTTTTTGCCCGAAAGGTATTCTGAGAATTCCCAAGCCATTCAACGCCAACTGGCTCAATGCCTGTCCTCTTACGGCTCTAGCCTTGAACGCTCGAGCACATGTTGCGGGTCAAAACGGGCAATAGTATCTTTGTTTTAGGTCGGCAATCCTGCCTTTGCTTGATTTCTGATGCCCGATTGCCGCTTGTGCGTCAATTCTAAGATTTAAAAGTACTCATCATGCATGTAGCAACAACGGCAATGTTTCACGAGGGTATCTGGTCTTGATCCGAGTCTTTGACCGCACCATTTGAGAGTTCTCGAGCCCACCAGCTTGACCAAACGCAAAATTAGGTCCGGGAGCTAAATGGGATCTTCGAGCCACTGTGATTTATGAGGAATGACTGCAGAGCATTGCAAGGCATGTGCTGCGTGATAGTCCCTGTTTCTGTCCTTATATCAACATGATGATAGCTTGGTGCATTTTTGCTGCATTTCCTCGCTTCGATCTTGATATGCCGATGATATACTTCTTGATCTTAGATTTTTAAGAATGTCAAACCACGTCTGTTCTGCCATGATCACTACCAGCGTCTGAATGAGGTAGACGGCATGGCGAAGAGCAAGGTGCAGAAGGGCACTTCCTCGTTTGCACAGACTCTTTCCACTCCTCCTCCAAAGAAGATAGGGCGCCTCGTCGTCGCGAACCAAGACCCCAATGGTCACCTCCCATCGATACGCTACTGCCTGGCTTGTACACAAGCCTTGCAAAAAAAATATCCTCAGCCAACGCTTTCAACAGACTATGCCAGACCATGGACTAAAACACCAGCCAACAGCTGATTCATAATACGGCGCTCGTGCAGAAATCTCTTCGTCGCTTTTAGTCGTTTGTGTGGGCTTGGAGGCTTACAATAACTGAGGAGCACATTTTTGTAGGTTTACAGCAGCAGAAACTCGAAAACCAGATGTAATAGCCATATTGTATGGGTACTCTGTACCAGTGACATTGCGACGGATTTCGAGTCCTGAGAGCAAGGTGGTGACATTTTAATTGATAGGGCAATGCTACGTTGATGGGGTGAAGGATCGGCAAGCGCTGGCTATCAAGAGTGCCACGGGCACTACGACCTAGGCACTTGTGTTTATATGACCGAGTCGTATTAAAGCAGTGTCTTGAGGCACAGTACCAAGCTCGTGGGAGTCAGGACCCCAAAAGCTTCAGGAGAATATCAATACTTAGTCCAACATGCGCTAGTTTATACATCTCGATATCGAGGATGTAAGCTACAATTACTCAAATAATTCCCTTTCTCAAGACTCAATAGAACACCGAACCATAGATACGTCTTGGCTGCTAAAAAGGATGCAGAGGACTTACCGGGGGCACTTCTTGCAACAAGTGTTGACGCGGCACGGGAGGCCGATTGGCCGAATCCGTTCCCGATTTCCCTCCCTTTATAAATGAATTAGCAAATCCCATTCCATGCCACCAGCTTCTTTAGCTCAGATGTTTAGGTTTCCAAATTACCAGTCGCCTCCCGCATCCACACACGCCATTCCGAACCCCGACCGTCACCGAGGGCAACGACAAGTCCGGTCCAGTCATTCTGGAATAGTCAGTTGCTCCCGGGCAAGGAGGTTCGAGTTCGAATTATTCTCAAGCAAAAAAAAAAAAAAAAAAAAAAAAAAAAAAAGACAACCAGATTCAAAACTCAAAGAACTCGAATAATCATCCCCCGGTTCAAGAAGCGCGACTATCGTAGGCAAGAGATGTAGACATCGTGGGTTAGAGACACTCGCCCATTATAACAGATGCTCGAACTCTTTTTTTTGCCAGTTGGGTCTTCCAAAAACATAAAGATGTGTTGAGCTTCCCGTAGGTCTCTAAAACTACGCCACCTGGTTTGTTGTACTCCTGTTACTTGCCACCATGCACATTCTGAACTGTAAATTATGACGCCATGGATTTTCGTAGAGAGCCCAGATCTCCACCTCGCCTAAACAAATTTCGTAGGCACGTAGTCCAGAGGGACATTCTTTATCGCTATTTGAGCGCATCTTACCGACTGTGACACAACGCTACGTATCTGTCACCCAAGTCTATGTAACTGAATTTACTTCTTGCTGCTTGATATTCGTTAAAAAGCAAACGATCATACCGTAGCTACACATAATCGGCAGCGACCGGACGCCTTAGCGTTTTTCGAGCTGCTCCGTTATCACCAGCTAGAGTCTGTTGCAGGACGTCAGTATGCATCCAAGGCAGACAATATATTTTCAGTACGGACCTTACGCTTAGAACTCACGACTTTGCCATCAGACATGTAGATCTCGGTAAAATATCTCCGCAAATGTTTACACAGAAGTTCCCAGTCATCTACGCGCTCGCCCCCATCGATCTATCATGAAGCTTTCAGTTCTGGTCTTAGTAGGATGAGGGTCGTACACTTACTCGGTGGAGCACAGCGAGTCTGGCTTCGAAATCAGAATCTGGATAGAAGGTGTCCAGGAATAGGTTGAAGCCGCGCACGAAACGGCGTGGTGGAACCTTCCTAGCAACCTCAGACCCATTCAGTAAAGTGAAAACTGCTATGTAACTAGTGATCTTGAAATCATCCAGTGATGGATGAGCAGCAGCAAGAGCGGGGCCTGGTATACTCAGGCAAGGCCGTGCAGAATTCTCCGCGCTCGCACCGTCATTGCCGCGGCGTAGGGAAGATGGCGTCACAATTGATAGATGCACATCTTTCGGGCTGGAATGACGCCGATCTTGGCCTGCAACACGCGGGCACAGGCTACACGACTCAGCTGGTTCTGTGGGGATTCTATTGTCTCCGTGACCACCTGGCAGGGCGTTCAATTTCTCCAGAAACCCGGGAGAAAAGCGGTACCGTATCAGTAACTCTATTCTCAGGATGCCAGTCCTCCGCGTTCTAATGATGTCGGTGATGGGCACAAAGCCTTCTTTGCAAAAGAAACGCTGGAGCGACTCCCGGTGATCACAATAGTAGAGAAAGCCAGGACCAAGAGTATAGGTAGCTTTGGCACTTGCTGGATTGTCGCCAAATTCTTGTATGTCAACCTTGATGGGATCGTTGTCCTCAAACTGGAATTTCAAGCTCCGGATCTGCCGTGCTGCCAGGTCCTTGTTGGCTTTGCTGTCATACGCCAGTACGATTGAGGGATAGCAAGCCAACACTAGCTGAATACGACGGAGGCTTTTAGCCTGATCGATGCCATCGCAGAGGTGTGCGTGAGTCGTCTTTGTAGGCAGCGGATGTGCCGTCTCCGACGGCAGCGAGATGAGGAGGCAGTTCCCGCTCTGTACCAGCTTCTTTCTGTAATGCTGGCCTAAGAAATGAGGCATATGCACGACCACATTTCTGTTGTACGGTGACTTCAACGGGATGAGCGCGAACCCTTCGTCAAGAAGAGTGGGAGCTAACCATGCTTTTTGAGCCAGAATGCTTCGGCCGCGATCTCACTCGTGTCAAACATTGGTTGGAGCCAACGCGCTCTGGCACGCTGGGAGCAGTGGCAGGCGGTTTCGTGCCCGTCGCTCGAGGATCCATGCCGTTTGTTGGGACGATTGACGCCATAGTATTGCTGCTCTTTTGTGTCTTTGGAACCGATGCGCTCGCGGTGGAGGACACGCTGGGGGGTAGATATGTACCGATTTTACGTAGCTTGCCATCGAAGAGCTCGTGAAGGACGTCTCCGGCTGTGGAGGAAAGCCACTGCCACACAATATTAGCGGAGTCATCGACTGAAGACCTGGTACCTACTCGCTGCTGTACAATCTGAATCTGCGCTTTAACCTCTGTCGAAAAGGGACCTCCCTGGCCTAAACGGGCTATTCTTCCCGTAAAGCAGCACAAGAGGTTATGTTTAGTGAGTTGAGTTGCGGGCAAAGTAGGGTTCTTCGTCAGGAGTTCTTGTACAAATCCTGCTCGCGATGCGTTGACGAGCGCGTGGATGTCCATGTCGGGGAGAAGGATGGTGTAGCCGTCTGGGGTTTTGTGCGTCATGGTAGGCCACAGAGGAGGTTTATAACCCTTGTGAATGAAAGAGGGGGGGATGTAGAGGGTTTGGAGAGCGTGGGGAAATTGTTGATGATGGTTGTGGGGTTGAGATTTTGAGCAAGAAGTATAGTGTTGAAAAGGGGGAACATGCGCTACGGATGGAAGCAGTGCCGCGAAGCAGCGACCGGCATAAACCTACCGTTCTGGCTTTCTGAGCAAAAGGAACCTATCTTCGAGTATGGAAGAAAACAAAATTCCACAGTTCAAGTTGAAGGCTTGATGAACAGCGAAGACATTACCCGCAGCCCGTCTTGTCCTCAGAACTTACGAATGACAGTCCCTTCTTTCTCTTTGCACTTAGGCTCCGCCACTTGAGAAAGCCTTTGTACACAGTTCCCATCCAACGAACGACATCGCAAGTGTTCGACCTTGTATCCATGAGCCACAGCGTCCGATTGACACCCACAGTCTTCATCTTCTCGCCATCCTCCATTGCAGTCCAAGAACAGACATGCAGAATAGCAAGCGAATGCTGCGGCTCTTGAGAAATACAAGGAAATGCTTCTGCAATACTGGAGCCAAAGACCCCAGCTGAAGCAGTGCAGACGCCGCTAAAGAGACCCCCTCATTCCCTGTTTCTGCTCCCGCAAGACTGACAGAGCAAAATCTAACAGATTTCTCCTCTTTTCTACATGCTCTACCCTCCATCGAACATCTGAAACTTCATCGACGGCAAGAAGGCCACTGTCGAGGTTGGAAAAAGCAGCTTGGACAAGCTTAAAAACGGTGGGGAAGCGAAGCCAACAACCGCTGAGCCGCGACCGCCAAGTCTAAAGTACTCCTAGACGACATACCAACGCTACAAAGGCTGGCATTCTCTACACCAGCGTCCATACACCCTCCAGGCTCTGGAATAGCCGGCGGGGATGAGCTGTGTCAGTACCGGAACTTGCATTGTGTCGGCAGATTGATGCTGTCCCCACCACTCTTGCCAGAATGCAGACTGCCAACCCACCGGCTCTGGGAGCTTAAAGGCCTCCAAAGACCAGATGTCCGCTTCGAGGCCAAAGATACGGTGTAATGGTTGATAGAACGAATTTACTGCTGCCAGTCGCTTCGACATGCCCAATGGCTGCGGCATTGCATTTTCCTTCGACCACATCCGGGGAGCGAGGGCAGTGGCGGGCATGAGGTGAAGAGAGGGCAGGAGAGCAGTTGATTCGGATGTAGAGGGAGGATGATAGGGACTTTGGGAGCAAGTACAGGTTTCGGTACCGCGCCCTTGGAGTATGCTCGGGCAGCGTCTGCCTTGGGTTCTACACGGGCGTGATGCTTTGCCCACTTGACATCAGATGTGTTTGTTCGCCGTAGCTTCAATGCCAAAACAAATTTTCTACAGAATCATAATCATTTTGGGAGTGCAGACCTGGCCTACAGGAGGTTCGGGCTCCTTTTGTGAACTGACAAGCTGTCCAAAATGTCGTGACATTTGCGGCTGACAGGGTAGAAAGCCCAAGTGCAGCGGCAAATGCTACTTTGATGACAATGCATGACTCTGTAGGGTGATAGAGCTCTGACTCTGAAACGCTCTCGAAAAGATCAAATAGTCTACTCGTGAAAAGTATGGTAGCAGAAGAAGGGTCTCTTTCGTAGGATCGGATCCCCCTTTGCTGTGTATGGCTACGGAGAGAACTGAGCAATTTTCTTGTTACGGCCAGCCGCGTCTGCAAAAAGGAGACGCGCGATTGTTAAGATCTTCCTGTTGTCGACTTGCTCCGGATTTGCACATTCAACTCACTTCCCCCAAACCTCAGAATCTTTGAACAACGCGCCGCCCTCTACGAAACGTTTATTTACTACTCGTACGTGCCTAGCTGAACCATGTCTACCACTAAGAGGTGTAAGACCCAATCCACTACAACACAAATCATATATCCTCGGCGCGCTGTTCAGCATGCGGCGAAGCTCGCGCAAGATTTCTCCGATGTCTACATTCACATTGAGAAGACCCAAACCCATCATGGCAAGTTGCCCTCGGCCATCAAGGAGAAGATGAAAAAGGGCGTAGAGAGCGTCGTCGCGAAAGCTCTCTCGAAGCGAGTCTGCGCGAGTTTTCCTTCCAACCAAGACAAGAAGACCTTCCAAGACATGATCTCCAACATGATATGTGACTTGTATTCCTCCACAGTCCCCCAAGACCTGTTCGATAATCTCGAACAATCATTCAGATGCCTCGTCCCCAAAATCCAGGCCCTGGAATCCGCTTCTCAGCATCTTAACTGGTATCCGGCAGATTCAACAGTCGGTGTGGGAGCAAAAAAAGACGCAGACGCTTTAATTACTGCCCAAGCGGCTAGGCTTTCGATAGACCACGAGATAGCTGACAGTATGGATGACGAAAGCTCTGACGACCAAAAGGAAACGAACAAGCAAGTGGTACAGCCAGCAATCAGACTGCAAGGCAGCGTAGACTTCAGCCCAGATCAGAGCGACTTGGAGAGCGATGAAGAAAGTGAGGAAGATAGGGAGGAAGATAGTGAAGTGGAGATCAAAGAAGAGAATGAAGACCAGGCTGCGGCAATGGTCTCGCCGGATCCCACAGTGTTTACCGTCACCTTAGGCGTCCCGATTGCGCCTGGCGACCATCGATTCAGCATCAGATTCCACAACGAGCGCGTCATCCCTGGCCTTCGCTGTATGCCCTCTCGCGAGATATGGCAGCTCGTTCACCATGCAATTCGACAGGACCGCGACATCCCCAACCGCCCGTCCTCGCTTCCTCGGATCACCGAAGTGCATCAACAGGATGACGGACGTCTAGCTTTCAGAGTGAGCAGCAAAGAAGATCTTGACATACTCTCCACCAACGTCCAATGGGCCAGAGACCTTCGAGACACGATTGCGGCGGGCATCAAGACCTACAGGGTGGTGTTCGAATTCGGCAAGAACCAGGCTCGGAAAATGGAGATCGAAGAATACACAGACAGGGCATGGATCCTTGACGAAATCCGGAAAGAAAATTCCGAAAAGATACCCTCACTCAGCCACATCGGCGCAATCAGAGACGTCATGATGCTCCAGGACCCGGCCTCGAAGAGGAAAAGGATCAACTATATACTCGTCTTCGGATCAAGGGAAGCAGCGAACGCGGCCCTGGAAAAGGGTCTGACATTTCACAAAAAGAGCCGCGCGTGCACGGTCCACTCGCCCGGCACGCAATGGCACCAGCAATGTTCCCACTGCCAAGGACACACCCACGCCGCCAAAGACTGCCCGTCGACCCCGTCGTGCCGCAAGTGTGGCTACAGGCACGCAACCCGGTATTGCACATCGGCGACGATCGAGTGCGCGAACTGTCACGGCGGACATGTGGCATCGAGCAAGGAATGTCCCCAGTGGCTGACGGCGGAGGAGGCGGCCCATCGTTCTTACCGTTTCCCGGCAGAAGGGGCGGAGTGTCAGATACCAACTCCAGCGACAGCGGTAACCTTGCCTACCCCAACGTCGCCACTACCGATAGACCAAACGCCACCGGAGATGCTCAACCATCGACCCGAAACAGCTCTCCCACCAGCCACCCTCAGCACCCAAACCCAGAATCCCCCGATCAAAGCCCACCCCGCCGCCCCCGCTTCCGCCATCCTCCAGACCATAGACGAGTTCCGAGCATTCGTAGCCGCGCGCGAGAACCACGGCCGGGATTCTCGAAAGCGGAAAAGGGCCGGGTAAACGTGACGGCGGGGGCGTTGCGGGACGGAAAGCGGAGGAGGAGGAGGGGCCCGTGTGGCCGATGGGTGGGGAGGATTCCCCATCTTCTTTTTCAGGGTGCGTGTGGGGGATCGATGAGTATCTCCTTCGGCGTTATGTCGGTACATCTCGTGTGCTGCGATTTGTAACGGCTTCTGATCAGGTACGTGGAGCGGGCGGGGGAGGAATGTCCAGAGCGTCTTCTTGAGGGTAGATACTATACTCCCTATACGGTGCGTTTCACAGCCTCGTATCAAGCACATAGGACTTCGCAATGGCAAACAGACATGTAAGACGCGAAAGCCACTGCACAGGCTCACACGAATAGTATACGACCTCAGTGATGGAAATGCTTAGCTCTCCACATGATAAACTCTGCAACGTTCGGCTCACGCCTCGATCCCTTCCCAGTTCCGCAAAGTGACCCGCCCTCCCCCACGCATTCTCCGCACTCGACTTCCAGCCCTGGGCTCGGCTTTTCGTACGACGAACCTGAGGGCGCAGTGCTGTTGTAGAGGTAGAAGGTAGGTGGGTGGGTGGGTAGGTCGAATACGACTCCCCACCATCTGCTTCTATCCTGCTGGCGCAACCGTTGAAACGGGTGGCCTTACTCCGTAGACGTGCTCTAGGGACCTGGTGCTCCAGGCATACATCTCCCCTTCACAGGGCAGCAAGTCAATTGCTGAATTCAAAGGCGAACGTACGTAGAAAGTCTGCATGCTCAACCGAAGCTCCTCGTTCCAGCATATCTGCCATTATGCCACTGCCAGAACTTCCTTTTCCCATTATGCTCGATATGATCATCGGACATGGTCTTCTCAGCCTCCAACTTCTTCGCTTCCTCGAATCCCATCCGAATCCACGTCTCATTCTTCAGCGCCCACGTGGAATTCCACTGCGGGTCCCACTCGTCCTCCGTTGAAGATCCGTTGAGAACCTTGTCCGCGTTCAGCCTCGCCGAGTACTGCAAACCGAGTCCGGGATACCATTCCGTCACGGCCGTCTCCCCCGTTACGATCTCACCGAGGGGATGCTCGATGTTAGTTTTTGTAATAGCCGCAGTGAAAACTTGGGGCCAAACACCGAGGCAGTTCACATCTTGATTCTCACGACATATAGTCGCTGCGCAGATTCCGGAGTCAGCATTGCTTACACAAGGTATGGAACGGAAGACAGGTGTCGAGAGTGAAAAGGTTCTCTTGCTCCCGGAACATGTCTTGCCACTCAATTTCAATACCAAACCGGAAAGACATATACGTACCAAGCCGGAGATCTATATTGTCGCTACCCTCTCGGAATTCCTTTTCCAACTTGACGGCGCCGGCATTGCTGATGGCGTAAGCGGTGGAGCAGACAGCGAAGCCGAGTGGGAACACCGATCTAGTCCCTGGTCTGTGCTGCTCCTCTCGTGGCTTATCTGAGAATGTGTATTCATAGTCCTCTGGCGGCACGGCGCTGTCGTTGAAGCTATATATGCGGTGATTTTCGTGGTTCCAGGCGCCGCAGTGACCAAACCAGATGACATCCCATTTGTCGCCGTACGGAAAAATGCCTGGGCGTTTTGGGACATCGAATGGCCAGTCCACTAGGCGTTTGGAGGCGGACGCTACGCCCTGCATGGTCTCCTTGATGCGAAGGTCCCAGTCAGTATCGCTCTCCATGATCAAAGCGGATTCGATGTTTTCAGCGATCATCCTAGAGCATGACTTAGTTCTAATTAATCCTATTGGGACGTCGTGACTTACTTCTTCCAAGTCCTTACGTGAGACGTGAGGCAGCCGAGTTCACCGCTTTTCTTCTCATGATTATCTGACCATCCTTTGGGCCAGGTATCCTCGGGGATCTGCTTGTCTCTGACAGCGTCGAGGATGGTTACGTTAATATTAGTGGCATTGGCGGCGTCTAAAAGTGGCTGGACTCTGTCGAGTCGATCTGGTAAGGCAAGTGCGAATACGTGTTGGAACTTTTCTCCTATGTCAGCCAGAACCTCCCAGTACAAGCTCATCGCAGGGACACAAACCCCAAGAGTATCGTTGAAAACCGAATTGTCTGATTCAGCCCTTCCACTCGTGGACGACGATACACCTTGCCGCAGAAAATTCGACCAAGAAACAATGAATAGGACTATCAAACCGAAGACCAGCAGCTTCTGGGAAAGAGATCTTTGTGTTCTGCCACTAATTCCTAAACGTCGAAAATTTGGCTTGAAATCGTCCATCTGAGGCATCGCATATTCAAGATGACTCTCCACATCTTGGAATCGCGGTCTCAGATATTTACATTGAGATTCCAGATGTACAAGATTGACCTTCAGCTCCTCCAAATACAACTTCAGCTTTTCAAGCCGAGCATCCAGCCATTGAAGATCAATGTAGTGTTGCATACCGAGATGACCACCTAGAAGTCAGGCCACAAGTGAAGCACAGAATCATAAGGTGCGGGGAAAAGAAAACAAGCAGCAGGGAGATGTAGGAAGAAAGACCTAAAGACATAAAAGACCCAAGGCATAGAAACAGAGTGAATAGCCTGCACGGCATAGAGGCAGTCGTCGATCAAACATGGCCAAACAAAGGGAGAAGAAAAAGTAGATTCTCATACAAGCGCATCAAAAATAGCATCAAACAAAGAGAGCTTTCAAGCCCGGTCTAGCGGGTGAAACCTAGGTACTTTTCATCAAGTGTTACCCTTATCCTCGTACCATAACGAAACACGGGCAGAGATAAAGTATGTTCCAAGAGAGAGCGGCAATAGTCGCATATCGCCAATTGGTTCTAGTTTGGATGCGACCCGCAAAGCTTAATCGAGGACTCGGGGGCCTCTCCCGACTCGCTGAAACGAGGGCAGAAGCCTAGAGGTGTGCAAGAGGCGGAAGGGAGGTCTCATTACCATTACGAACTATACGAGATGCTGGATTGCATTGTTTTTGCTCTGACGGGTCCAATAGGACTATCGAACGCATTAGTCGTAGGAGAGGAGAGAGGAAAGAGGAGAGACGGACGACGGAAGAGCGGGGACATTAAGCGGCGGCAGATTTTAGTGTGGTCCCCTCGGTCCGAGCTTTTGCAGTCCTTGGCATTTGAGAGTCCACTCCCGCCCCTCCCCTCATTACAATACCTACTCGCTCTCATGCCGATATGGACAGCGTGCGAAATGGTGGTAGGAAACATAACAAAAAACCCTGTACAAACTTCATAGAAACAAATAGTAGCAGATGTGATGTGTATTTGACAATACTGTGAGAATTTAAGCAATTGCAAAAGTCTTGAACAGGCTCAGGTAGCTAGCTGTGCCACATCCAAGCTTCTACCGCTAAATAAATTGACGGCCGCAAAACATGTCCAAATAATCAACAACAGTTTGATCTGAATGTCTGTTGCTAGACCTTGAGCTGCCTGAACTGCCTGATGAAGAAGTTTCTACTGGATCGACGAAGTCTTATCGGCATGGTGGGGACTCGGGTTTCCTGACCCTTTAGGAATCTGCCAGCAGCGCTTGTCCACAACCTTCCTCTTTTGTTGACTCCCCACGTCATTCACTCATTCAGTATGCGCCCAGCGTCCTATCTCTTCTATCCTTTGCTGAAGGCCTCGCCTTCAATGCTGCCTTCTTTTGTCCTTTTCCTCTCGAGTACGTTCTCTTTTCAACCAGGGAGATCCGACTACTAGATCGCTGAGACTGCGCATAGTCACCTCCCTTCACCATGCTTCCTGCTATGATCAAGTCCCCTTGTCTCCTTTGCCTGTATGTCTTCATATTGCGTTGCGCAGCCAGTGCTCTTCTTTCCCAAAGTCCTGACGATGCGCTCCAAAAGCGACAGACTCCAGCTACCACTCCTCTGGTTGACTTTCAGGTCTACGAACCCGTCCTCACACCATCCGGCACGAGTGACCAGTATGGATGCATTTATACACAGACGCTCATGAGCTATGTCTTCTCCAACAGCTACGGCGCCCCATTCGTTGGTAGGCTCTCTCCTTCCAATTCTACCGAGGAAGTAGGACTAACCAGCGGCGTACTGCGACTAGGAGAATACACGCCCCCACCATGCAGCTTCAATCGAGTCACCATGAACTTCACCGTCACTTCTCAGGGTCGCCAGTTTGACAGGCTCGGACTGATGTACCTGGGGGACACTGAGGTATTTCGGACTTCCACTGCCGAGCCGACTGCCTCTGGCATCCTCTGGACTTATGTTAAAGAGATGGAACAATACAATGCTTTGTGGGAGAAAGACCAGAAGGTCATTTTCGATCTGGGCAACATTGTAAACAGTGAATACACCGGACCTTACTATACAACGTTGACCGCGACTTTCTTCACGATTCCAGACTCCCAGCCTACTGCCGATGTAATCTTGCCTATCTCGGCGGAGCTGTCTGCTGAGAACATGGGCAGTGCATTCTCAGTCCCAGGCGTAAACGCTTCTGTATCCTATACCTTACCTCAAAACATCGAGAGGGCGGTCATTTCTCTTTCGGTACGTATATCCGGAGCCCATATTTCCCCTTTTGGAGCAAATCTTGAGTCTTGAGAAATGTTTCGGGAGTCTTTACTTTCAAAACATGTTCCAAGGCTCGACATACCTCCTTAAATAGGCATTACTGACGGCGAAATCGTAATCTAGGCGTGTGGTCAGAGCACGGAGGAGTTCTGGTACACGAATACTTTCAATTCAGAAGTGGATACCTTCGAGCCTACGGCTGGGACCTTGTATGGCTTCTCGCCTTTCCGGTTCGTTATGATTTCCGTGGCAATTATCCCCCATTCATGCTGTCTTATGAATCGTCAAACATGTCTCCAGGGCCCTCTGCTCCTAAGACATGTCTCGCGATACAGATCTTCTTCCGAAAGAGTAATGCTGACTCCGAAATCATCAAGTGAAGTTCAGCTGCTCATTGATGGCCAATTGGCAGGGGTTTCTTGGCCCTTTCCCATCATCTTTACCGGTGGCATTGTTCCAGGGTTCTGGCGGCCAATCGTGGGCATTGACGCTTTTGATCTTCGGCAACACGAGATCGACGTCACTCCATGGCTTCCTCTGCTGTGTGATGGTGCCTCTCATACTTTTGAGATCAGGGTTGCCGGCCTCAATGATGATGGAGCTGGCCACGCCACGCTCTCTGAAATTGTTGGCACTTATTGGGTTGTCACGGGGACAATCTTCCTTTTCTTGGGACAGGATGGATCTGTGACGACAGGGACCTCACCAAGCATTGATACTCCTTTGCCGGAGATCCAGATCTCATCGTCCGTTACCACCAATTCGACAGGTGCTAACGAAACCTTGACCTATTCTACCGGTACGTATTTTCGGAGCCCATCTATCCTCCTTTGGACCAAGTCTTGAGTCTCGAGATATGTCTTGGGAATTTCTGCCCTGTAGAAGTGTTCCAAGACTCAATGCAAGCCCTCGATTAGGCAATACTAACCCCGATATTACAATCCACAGCAGCCACCCGAGATATCTCCATTACTTCTACCATAAAGACTTCAAACGGCTCTCAGAAAGCATCGTGGACCCAGAATTTGTCCTATTCCAATTTTAACGCAGTACGTATATTTTTGAGACCATCTCTCCTGTTTGATATTGAAATTGAGTCACAAGACATGTTTTGGGAGCATGAGGACCTTTCTACTTCCGGGAACGGTCTTGCAACTCCATTTCGCTGCTTCGAGTAAGCAATGCTGACTCCGAAACCTGCGTAGTTGACGAATCAGGGATTTGTGCAGCTCACAGTCCAGAATACTACCGGCTCGGACCTCTCATCTAGTGGATACGCCAATACTTACAGCTACCCGTTAGATGTCAACTCCTCTTTCTCAGTCGACGCGGCCGGCGAAGTAGGCATCAATGGCACCCTGACCCGAGGCCTCGACTACAATGTCTATGGACCTTCCGTTTTCCCCTCAGGCATCCAAACCTTCAACATCACAACCCCAAGCTCCTTCAGTGCAGAAGGCGCCTTGACCCACCAGATCATCCAGCTCTCCGCCAGTCTTCCCTTCTTCAGCGGCGCGCTTCTGTCCACCACCCAAGAGGGAAGTGCGGAGTACTTCTCCGGAGTCAACTCTTCCTACAGCTTCGGCACCACGACGCAGGACTTTGACTTCAAAGGCGCCGAGGTCAACACCCCGGACACGACCTATGAGCTCTATCACCGGCTCGTGATGGCTGTGAATTCCACCATCACAGAAGACGAGCAGACGCTTGCGGGGCAGACGTTCGGGGTCCCGGTCGCGCAGGCGGGGGAGAACGTCCCGGCGCCTGCTTTTGAAGGGTTCAGTGTGAGATCTTTGCTCGGGAGGGGACCGGGGCAGCCCAAGGCGGGGTTGATGGGCGGGGGAGGTTCTGAGCAAGGATAGATTCGTTGATAACTCGATGATTTTTGACGTTGGATCCAAAGGCAGCTAGCTTGATAGGGTTAGTCGCCATCTTTCTCTTGGACTGGCACTCTTAAGCGGGATGCTGTCAAAACTTTTGAAATCTCTCAGACTCGTGATTTGGTCCTCTTGTATAATATGGAGACATGATCACTTCTATCAACGACCCTGCGAATATGCCCCTCCGGCCTCTCAATCGCCCCATCCCCGTTCGAACTTCATCCCTCCCTCGCATCTCCGCAACGCTGAGTCTCCCACCAATCACGCGCACGGCTAATGTGTATTCAAACGTCGCGAGTTGGCTTCTGCAACAGTTCCCCCGCGTCTAGCCCATCGTGTATATATATATATATATATAAGAAAGATCGCCACACGACAGCCACCCCGCGGTGTCTAGAGCGTATAGAAGAAATCGGGCCTCATATCCCCTCGGGCCTGGACCTCCTCCTCCGTCTTGCCGTCGGCCCAGTGATCCCTGCCGCCGGCCCTCCTCTTGGCGTTTTCCCTCCTCAGCGACCAATACTGCAACAGGCTGCCTCCGAGCAGGAAGACGGTCAGGTAGGCGAGCACGATGCCGTGGCCCCGGCGGTACAGGGGCGCGTCTGTGGCTTGGTAGATGTTGGAGGAGACGACGCCGTTGAGGTTGCCCCAGCCGATGACGAAGCCCATGGTGATGCCGCGCTTGTAGACGCCTTCGGTGTTGTTGGAGGTCCAGACGATGGTGTTGGCGACGCAGGGGTAGATGCCGAGGGCGCCGAGGAAGGTACCGGCGTAGCGGACTCCGGGGGATGTTCTGATGGGGGTGGGGTTAGCTTGGTGTTTTGGGTTTGTTGACGGGGGGGGGAGGTCGAGGGAGATGGGGGAACGCACCCAGCTACGAGCATCGCGAAGCCGGCCATGCCGAGGAAAGAGGTGCAGATGTTGCAGAGGGCTCTCTGGTGGGTTCGATCGGCGATGTCTTTGGGCTGTTAGCAGGTGGGAATTGTGTCGGAAAGCTGTCAGATTCAAACTCACAGCCGACTGTGATGGTCAGGATGGCGGCAGCTGCGTACGGAGGGACAGACAGGAGTTGGGCGGTGGTTGATTTGTAGCCGAGTGAAGCGATGATGGAGGGGAGGAAGAGGGAGAAGGCGTAGAGAGGGACATCACCTGGAACAATGCGTGTTAGTGTTACGGTATGTAGCGACAGGATAGTGGCCACCTGCAGCCCATGTACGTCGCGGCAAAGACCCAGGTCTTCAAATCCTTGATCGAAGCCCAGAAATACGCCATTTTGAAGGATTCATGCTCCGCTGACGACTGCTTATCCGCTTTTAAGCGTCGTAGTACGCGCTGTCTGTCGACTGAGGAGAGGAAAGTTGCTTCATCAGGGAAGTCATAAACCATATAGAAGGATGCGAGACCGATACACACAGTAGCCAACCTATAGAAATCAAATCTGACGTTATATAAGGGTCTTTCCCAACCAACCCTTCCAAGATGAAGATCCAAGCCCATCCTTCTTTGCCACCAATACCGGCCATGTTACCAATTGCGGCTGCAAGCAAGCCTCCAAATGATCCCGATACTGCGGCAGCGGAGAAGAAGATGGCCGCTCGGATGCCAAGCTCATCGCGTTTATACCAACAGGATAGATAGAAGTTTATGCCCGGGAAAAGCCCAGCTTCGGCGGTCCCTAAAAACCATCGCGCCGCCATCATCCCTGAAAAGTTATGGGTCAGCCCCATTGTCACCATCGTGATACCCCATAGCGTCATGATAATGGGAATGAAGACGCTAGGTCGAAGTCGCTTGAGCAAGACGTTGGTAAGGGGTTCGAAGAGGGCGTAGGAGACGAAGAAGATGGACAGGCAGGCATTGTATTGGCCGCCGGTGATATGGAGACTCTTCTCTAGCCCGTCAAGTTTGGCATTGCCGATGTTGGTTCTGTCGAGAAAGGAAATGAGATAGAGGAGGCACAGCCAGGGAATTAAACGGAGGTCGAGTTTCCACAAGAGTTTGCGGTCCTATGTGAGGGCAATCAGCCCTGGGAACTCGTCGTATGAAGGGGATTAAAAGGTCTATGATCGAAGCTACATACGATGGCCGCCCTTTCTTCCGGGCTGAGGTGTGCATCTGGATCTGGCAGAATTTCGCCATGTCCAAGGGCCTCAAACTCTCCTTGTCCTACAGCGATTCTCTTCTCATCATCGGAAGGCGAATGGCCACTATCGCTATCAATGTGCTCTGTAGATAGCTTCATCTTGAATCATAGACCTCGCGATGCCGAATGGTGGAGGATGGAGCTGGATGAAGGTGATGAAGGAGAATGACCTTGAGTACTCGTAGAGGCGAATGATGAGCGTCATGCTGGATTATGTGCCGCTTGTGATATGCAGCCTTGTGCGGGCAGGCCAATAGCACTTTCATCAGTGTGTAAAATCGGCATATTCTTCATCCTGTCAACCGTTTTCCCCGCGTTGCTTGGCACTCTAAGCCGCGCTAATTTCCGGCAAACCACATGTGGGGATCTGCCGTGCATTAGCGTGGCATATCTTTCTATTACCTACATGTAAGGTAGGTATCTCATGTTGTAATTGCCGTGACAAGACTTGCATCAAAAGGTGAGTTCCGCATCATTTCACCTTTAAGCCAGTCACTTTTTTATCGGTGGAGCAGAGACCTTGATCAGCCTATTATTGCCGACGAAAAGACAGAAAATTCGACTATCCAATCCATGTGATGAACCCTTTTCGCTCACCAGGTCCACACCCAACTTCAGGTACTCCACAAACGACCCAGCAAATAGGGCTCAAGGGAAGCGAAGCATCTAGAGAGACAGTGAAACCCACATCATCCTGTTTTACCCCTAATATCACGCCTCGTCTCTCCAAATAGTTCCAAAGGGAAAAAAGGGATTTTGTGGATTACGTGTCCAAGATTTCATCCGTCCTTGTCAATATACGCGTCTTAGGTCCCCCCCCGTATTCGACATCTTACCTCAAACTCCTGCAGCAAGCGCTGAGCATTCCCTCACTCGTTCCCAGGTAGCCTCGTATCTTACAGCGCATCTCGTATTCATCATCCCTTCTCGTTCGTCTCCTATCAATAACCCTCACCAACTTCCTACTCCCCGTCTTCTTTTTTACTGGTCATCCCTGCCGAATAAATCGCAAGCGCCTACAGATGCTGCAAACCTCCACTTCTCTACCATGTTACCTTCCCGGGCTACCTCTCAAGTCAGACACTATCCTGGTATGTCTCCGCTAGCTACCTCTTCTTCATGCTTGAGGAATTCGTCTTATATCACACGTCCGGCCTCCAAGAGTAAAACTCTGCTCAAGAGCGCCTATGGTTGAATCATCTTCCGTGTTAGTTCTAGGGAACACGCTGTGGTAGCAGATACAGAATCTTGTATCTCCATTCTCAGATTAGTCTCAAAACCTTGCATGCATCACCACTGGAATAGTAAGACCTACCAGCAGTATCTGTGGATATGGAAGCCGTCAAATTGCACTATGCTCCTCTTCGTCCGCCATGGGCAGTCTCCAGGACTGATTCGCGCCCGTAGTCAATTTGGAGAGACGCGCCGAATTGCTCATGATCCCGACCTCCAGTACTTTAGAATTTCATGGCTCAGCAGCCGCTCCGTGATCTCGACAAATCATCTTGGCATCGTGTCTGATCTTAGCCTACCTTCAACACATACATCCCAATCGGGCCTAGCGTAGCTTGGCACTACGTACATACCTTATGTGGACTTCACAATAGTTAGTATTCTATTCATAATGTAACACCACTACACATATCAGTCTGATCTTACGTTCAAACCCTGACACTAACCTTGAACTGACTTGCATACAATTTTCAATTCACTCTCACATTGGAAGTCGGTCTTCCATCCACTTCTCTCAAATACTCAGCGAATTCCTCCCATCTGTACTGAAGTTGGTCTCCTGGCGACCTCTCCCAACTACTCACCATGTCTACCGCACCACAAGTCCTGCCAGTGTGGAATGAGGAGTCTGCAAAAGCTGCCGACGATCGCAAAGTAGAAGAAGAAGCGAAACAAACCCGGCAGGCGTGGAATGACTGGGGCGAACTACTAAGAGAAGGGACGCAGCGTCGTTCGGCCAAGCATACTGGGGAGACTTCCAGATTTGATTGGAACCATTGGCCGTCAAATGATGACGGATTTTGCTGCATGATTGCATCTTACATGAGCACATTGGGAAAGACGATGGAGTCGTCACATATTTGGTAATGCGGATACGGTGTTGGAATTTGGCATCGCGGGGGGTATGTCTTCCCTTATGCTGTCCGTCGTGACAACTTCTAACCAAGTTTAGGCTCGGATGCTCCTCACTTTCGGCTCAAACTTACGCACAAGCCGAGTGGACAGCGCGTCATGCTCTGTTTCATGGGATGGACGCGGAACCAACCACCAAACGCCGCAGAACGACCTGTAGACCGTTCCTGAGACTCCTTCCGGGAGCCCGCATTCCTTCAGTATGCACCTCATCGATGTCTACATGGGGCTACCTTCACAAATATACCGACATCGTTGATGCGGAGAAGCCATGGTCTTCAAACTCAAGGGAGTTACCCCTTAGGCGTGAATTGTAAAGTCGATGAATCCCCAATTGGTATGAATATCACAACCCTTCTTTGGAGAAGGGAGACCTAAACGTGTTCAGGAATAAACCTCGATGTTGACACGTCGAGGATGTCGACCGCGGCGGCGGCCAAGTTTGCAACGTTAAGGATAATCAAGACCAATGCAACGGCCATTTATCTGTCTTTGCGCGGGCACAGAGGGTTAGAAGAATGTTGGTAATTCTTTGCCGCTCAGCCGTCTCCGACACCACCTTCGTGGTGGAGATACTCTGATACTATCGCGCAAGTGGAAGTATATGAGCATTACTTCAATCACGTTTACTCGTATGATTTGGTCACCTTACAAGAGTGTGTGAAGAGTCTGACCGCGGAATTCACATTCTTCATCAATTTACCGGTGGGTGGGCGTTGGCATGAGGGGTCCAGATCAGATATCGTCGATCCGTCCACATCGGAGTCGGCCTTTTGACCACTTCTCCCAAATTCCACTCCCAACCTTAGAGCAGACAGGGGACGACTGCTAGCATCAGACGAAGCATCAGCGCCACCAGTGCCGGAAGTGGGCACCGATGTAACAATCGACCCGGAATTCGAGTAGTTCAAAGGATGAGTCATCTCTGTCGACAACAGTGTCCTCATCATGGAAGTTGTCAGAACCCCCGGAACAGGTGCCATGATTCACAGCGGTCGGTCAGGACATTTCACGTTCAAAAACCCTGCAGCTGCATTCGTGGTAGCAAAAAGGCCATTCAAAAGGCAATGTGGCGGCATCATCAATTTAACTGGTTAAGAAATTTCTTCTTGCCCATAACAACAACGCAGTAACTCTAACCAACCCTCCTTTTACCACGGGAAGCCTGGACAAGAAGTCCACCACCTCTGAATACGCAACAGAATATACCCTTCGCGCGCGCTGTCCAGCGGAGCCGCGAGCTGTCCGATATTGTGACCATGATCCAGGGTCCACCAGGGACTGGCAAGACTAGGCTTATCGGCTTTTGCGTGCTTAATTGTATCCAGCGGCAGCAGCCGTGGTTACTCACCGCAGAGACGCACTATGCGGTTCAGGTATGCGCCGATCGAATCTACGCAGATCTTCAAGCTGTATATGGCAACTACGATCGATGGACGGCGCTGATCTCGACAGCGCTACTTTCACTGTCTCTTCTTCCGACTTCCCAGACGACCGAGCGGAGATTTCGAAGTTGACCCGAACGAAGATCATTGAGCGCCTCCGTGGCCATGCGGAGCCCAAACGGTTCTCTCTTACCTCTCACATCTCAGATCGCCTCCGACTTCTCCCGAGACCAACAAAGAATGCTAGCCGACGAGGCTGCAATTCTTAGAGATCTCAATGTAACACAATTGGCCCTTGACCACTTTAGTTGGGAAGAGGATGTCGATGAGTGGAAGAGGATATACAAACAGTTCGATAAGGTGTGGGAAGACACACAAGAGTATTACATCAGAACCCAAGCATGTGGTATTATTGTCACAGCGGCAACCGCAATGACAAAGATGCTCCGCGTCTTCAGACCCCAACAATTCATAGTCGGTGAAGGGTCGCAGTTTACCGAGTTCGTGACTGTCGCTGTCATTTCGAGGTTTTTTGATAATCTTAGGAAGGTTCTCATCGTTGGGGATCCGTGCCAAAAAAAGCCCTTTGTGCTCAACCAGAATTCCGAGTTCGTGGATACAACTGAAACAAGTCTCATGGTCAGGCTCTCAAACTCTGGTGTTCCGATTACTAGACTCCGCGAACAATTTCGTATGAATCCCCACATTGCTCAGCCCGTCTCTTCCCTTTTCTACGAGGCAACATTAATCAACTCACCGAGCGTGCTTTCGAGACCAAAAGACAGGATTATGCAAACCTTCCACGGTCAGACTCTACAAGAATGTGCCAAGCGACACTCCATCTTTGTCCACGTCAAGAATTATGTGCCGTATCGGCTCGAGAAGACACAATCAATGTTAAACCCCTCGCGCCTGGCCATCGTACACGCGCTGATAGATCGGTCAAGGGCCGCTGGTGCCAACGACAGACAAATCGCCGTATTGACACCGTATAAGGGTCAATCGCGTTTGCTGAGAACCTGGGAGACAGCAGATCTCACTATGGCCACAATTGATTCGGCGCCGGGCAAAGAGTACGACTTCGTCATACTCGATTTGGTAAGCCCCGGTGGATTCTCTCGTAGGTTACAACATAAAGAGGTCCGTTCAACATCGACTGTGTCGCCGTAATGAACAGTAAGGTCGGACGAACCCGAAGGATAGATGAACCGTGTACTGTTCTCCGCAGGGGAAGTAGCGCTCAAACAGACAATCAGAAAAAAATTGGAATTGGAAATGGAGGATCTTGAGCCTTCAAGTGCAGCAAAGGAAACGTAGACGGTAGACGACTTGAAGGATTCTACCTGGGCTAATCCGTAATGAGGATATACTCCATCGACGACGGAGCTTGAAAAACAAAAAACGAAGACACCCTATCTTTTGAGGTTTCCAAACCCCACGCATGGAGACTGGAAACACGAAGATTGAATTAGATAGGTAGGTTCAATGCAGCGCATGGATCGTGCAGGTGCTCCGCAGACACAGCCTTGTCTCCCTCGTCCCATGCGACATTGCATGAAGGGGCTGGGGCCATCTTGGCACTGAAAATCCTTGCGCAGCGTCTTTATCGTGGAGTTCTTCTTACTGTTCTGGGGGTTTTCCCCGCTCTATAGAATATCTCTTTATCTTTGAGGGTTCCCTTCAATTGTAGGGATCCCTTTACGTTAGAGCTCTGTTGTTAGAGGTATTTAGTTCGTATTAGGTTCGATTCCTAATGGCGCTGGTACAATGGTGTTGCGGTGCTTTTTATTTTCTAGCTCGCGCGGTGACTCTCACACTTGGGGAAGCGGCGCTTCACCCTAGACCTAATACGGGTTGAGGTTCGCAAAGCACGTGAGGGGATCTGCCGTATTATCTACAGTAGCGTGGCATGTCTTTCGGTTAATGTAGACGCAGAAGTGGCATTCGCCGTCTTCTATCTCATCTACCATTTATTAGCGGTGTATATCTCTTGTATGGGTTGATCGCCTTACCGCTAGCGGGTAAACCATTTACCTCTACTCCCGAGGGAGCGGGCGAAGCCGAAGGGAAGGCGTTTGGAGAGTCAAGCGTGGGGAGCTATGGTTCGGTTTCGACGCTTGGTGGCTGGGGCGAAGAAAGCTTCGCTCCCGAGGGAGCGGGTTGAGAGAGGGGGAGAGGAGCTGGCGGAGAAAGGGGGAGAGGAGTCGTCGAAGAGGGAGAAGGCTGATCTATCGTCACTGGTAGGATTTTAGTAAGAAGACTTTAAATATGCATCGAAGCTCCTACCATCCGCCAGGCGGTTTCCTTCTTTGTCTTAGTGACCTGGGTACATATAAAATAGTTGGTTTCGTTGATCTGAATTCGTTGGTGCAAGGAACGTATCCTCGTGTATCTCGCGGCACTTTGCAACAAGAAGCGCCTTGCGGCGCCGTCCATACTGGATAGTATATGGCATAATGAAAGTTAAGCGGATTTTGATATTGGCTTTGCGAGTAGAGCGACGATGGAAATAACGATGGTCAGCCCTAATACCCGAGCGAGCTAGTCAGTGCGCGAGGCTCTCCGCGCTGAAGCTATACACAGCACGACCATAGCCACTATTCTTCTTTAAGCTCCCTCCTATCGTAGTCTTACGGCCTCCTTTCTCTTTTAACTGTGGTAATCCTTTCTCTTTCAATTGTGGTAAAATCAGGTCTTGATTCATCGAGACCTATTTCCCAATCCCGATTATCGGGAAAGCTAGCGCCTACGCTAGAAGCTTGGCAGTCTCGGCGATACCCCGAATTAGGGTTAGGGATCAAATGGTACCCCGGCGTACGCTAGGTAACTGGCCTTAAATGCGTTTCTTACAATGGAGACAGGCTGCCAAATCTCTTGCAGCGTGCCTACTAAGAACAACACCTGCATACTCAACCATGGCTCCCTCCTTCAGGAGTCTTGGGGCTCAACCCGTCTCTGCACAGTCCATGCTTTTCGAGTGGTATCCGAACTGCTGGGCTTATACGACTCTATATGCCATTGGGTGGAACGAGCTTCAAGGCATCCGCTCGAGACCAGGTTGAACAGCAATGGCTTAGTGATGGTGCTCCACCAAAAGCCTCGCTCTTCCTTCTATCGAGCCTACGCAGATGCTCGAAGACTTGTTTTCCTGACTTCTGGTGGTCGACACATCTGTTGTAGGCATCATTCGTTTCGATCTTTGTCTGCATGGATCCTGCTACTGGTTCTTCCAATTGACGACCTGAACTCAAAGAGACGGGCGAAGCTCCATCGTGCCGTCTACATCCACACGATCAGTCACAAATGAGTGGTACTAGTACAATGCCGTTGCCTGGCATACATCTTATCTTCTACCTCACGTGGAAACCTTTCAACACTTCCTCTCAGCAGCTTAGAAGATGAAAGGCACATTCCACTTGAGCTTCTGATCGAGGTTTTGTCATTCGACTCTACATCCTGCCCGCCCTTCTCGTCCCACTTGATAAAATCGTCGGCGCCAGTAAGTACATCAAAACTGCTCACAAATCCTTCATTTCCCGCTACGTCACCCCTGTCACCCTCGTCTCTTGTCTCTTGTCCCCCTTCTGTCGATTTACACCATTCTTCGTCCTTGCAATACTCATCTATTCGACCCTCATCTTTGCTCCGCCATGATTACTTGTGGACAGCTTTGGACAGCTTTTATCATCCTCATCCTTCACCGTTCTCTCTAATTTGCTGCGATCAGCGACTTCGAGAAACCCTTGGGAGCTCACGGACTTTTTCCGTCCCTCGAACTTCCATCTTTGTCTTACCTACCTTCTCTAGCCGCGCTACTCTCTTGTGAGTTAGTCCCTCACTGCCGCCCCATTCCGAGACCAGCTATAACCTACAGCCAGCAGCAGTCATACTAGGCTATTTGCTCAGTGCGTTGGGATTTTCCCACCCACCAACCATCATTTCGTGCCTTATTCCCCTACAGCTGTTGCTCCATCTCAATCTCACCAACCTACTTCGTGCGGTGCGTATTATCTCTCACCACCTCAGAATATAGCTCATCTTGATTTTAGCCATTTCCTTGATTGTCACCCCACCTTCGCAATGGGTGCAACCCTTTCTTACCTCGGCTACGCATCACATCAGCAGCCTCACCCAGGTTTTTATGAGCGTGTTTCCCGGCAGCTGCACCAAGGCTTCGAACCAACTCTCATCTTCGGCAATAAAGATGCAGTTTCACCCTCCATCATCGACCTCTGTACTCGTCTTACCGCTTTGGAGAAAGATCTTCAGATTTCGCGAACGGCAAACACCAACAAAGAGGCTGTCATTCAGTACCTTCTGCAGTCCAGCGTGAGCAACGCGCGTGTCAAGGAACGCACTGTAAAGCTCAAGGAGCAGCTTCTAGTTCTGAAGACGACCATCGACCATACTCACAAGGAGAAGAAAGAAATCAAGGACAAGCTGAGGAAAGCTGAAGACACTATCTTTGCCCTATCCAGGCCCAATGTTCCCAATTCAATGTCTCAATCTATCTCAACAAGCTTCAGCAGTCACAGCGATTCCCCACCGAAAAGCGAGATAGTGACCGAGGATTTGATTGATCTGCTAGACTGCAGCCAAGAGTTCAGCAGTGCGAAATTAACGAGAGGGGGGCACCACTTTACTAGATAAGTTCTACGAAGACGAGTCAGATACTGAGGGAGTTTCCAACAGTACTACGCCATTTCAGTCTCTGCAACAGTCTTCTGATTCAGATTTCGAAGGGTCCTCGTACATTGTCCATTTCGCGGACAGCGATGAAGATACGAAATCACAGGACGCTGTTAAGGTGTCTACAAAGGTATTGCGCCGAGGAGCCTTATACTATTCCAGTTGCTAATTAGCCTTTTGATAGAAGGTCAGGGTGCCTCGCGGCTTATCAGAGTCTATCACGCCTTCAGAGCAGCAGAACGACATTCTTGTACTTTCCGAAAAGGCCGATGAATCTTCTTCGGAGGATGCATCCTCTCTGAATGGTCCTAATTCCACAGCAACCTCCTTTACTTCTACGAGCAGTGGAAATTGGCCGCTCAAGGCCAAGCTCCTCAATGAGGAGTTTTTGCAGCTGAAGGCCTTGCATTCTGAAGGCGGCAATTTGGATAAATCTATGGCTATAGTCAGCACATTAGCAGACAAACTATGCAGTTTCGGCACGCTCAATCAAGACGAGCCATTTCGGCCAACGGCCCAAGCCCCTACGGAATCTCGAGATCTGCAGACCTCAGTCAAGGGTGATACCACCGAGCCACGTTGGAGCCCAGAGAGAATCTTTGAGTCTGTTCAAGATCGCAAGACTGCCGTCTTAATCAACGGACGTAGTGCTCAGACTGGAGCAAGAGATGTACCCTATCCAGACTTCTTCAAATATGGTATCCGCTATGTTCCCAAAACCTACGAGCAGGATGTCTATCGTACCGTTGCAATCTCGGGACTCCCGCCATCTGTCACAATGATGGCTCTTCTAGAGAAAGTCCGAGGAGGCATGCTCGTCGATGCAAAGCTTCTGGACACAGCCAAGATTACCGGTAGTAACACGGCATTAGTGACTTTCTTACACGAGCGTTCAGCCATGGCATACGAGGATCGTGCGAAAGAGCATCCCATAGCCTTCAACAACGTTGTGGCCCAGGTTGCGGTAATCCCAACTCCGACGTGGCCCATCCCGGTTAACCTTCGAACAGGCATCGAAGAATTTGGACGCACGCGCTGCTTCGAGGTACATAACATTCCTCGCAATCTCTTTCTGCCGACTTTGAGACAAGAACTCACAGCCTCCCCTGTCATGAAGTCAGACAGCCTGGAGTGCATGAGGCTGGGAGCGGACGGGGTTCTGGGACTGCGCTTTTCATCCATCAGAGCCGCCGGACACAGCTCTGCTTTGTTCAGCAAAACCCTGCGCTACCGGGGATGTACCGTCCAATGCATCCCCGATCCGTGCGCTCAGCCTTTGGAGACTCTTCTTCAACCACGTACAGACATGTCCGAAGTTGTCAAGGAAGTCACCCCAGAGCCTTCCTACAATTCGGAGGCCAAAGCCGCTGCCGATGAGCAATCTGGTAGGCTCACCAAGGTCGACTAGACAATCGATTCAGAGCTTCGTCGTGGCCAAGGGGTTGAAGACCGAGCCGATTCCGCCCTTGATAAGACTGTCGAACTAGCCGGCCACAGCATCTTACTCAGCAGCGTCAGTACTGAGGAGTCTCTACACCAGGAGACAGCAGCCACAATAGCTCCTTTCGCAAAGTCCCTTTTCCCCTCGAAATAGCTTTCGATTCCCCTTTACAAGCTATTGTGCCCGCGGGTCTATCGTTCACATCGATTGCCAGTTTTCATTTGCCTCGATTTTCAATCTTCAAAAGCATTGTTATTGGCTCAAGCACCGCTTATGCTATTCTGGTGAGGTGTGAGCCAACTCTGGATCTTTATTTGCATCTATCAGCACGTCTATGCAACCTTTGCCGTTATTTATTGACGAGGCTCGTCGCAGCCTTCGTCGTCTTCATCTCACAGCGCACGGAGATGGAGACTTCGGTTGGATACTATGTGGAAGCGTGAAGCGCTAAGAGGCATGCCGGTTGAAGGTGCAGGCCGATCATCAATGCTTCTTTCGATGGCTACGAATTTCCATCATTACAATGATAGACTACTTTGCCATATACGATTTTGATAGAAAGGAAGTCAACTACGCTGCTCATGCTTTTGAACGTGACATCGGAACAGTGAAGACTGATTCATTTATGTAGAGGGGGTTGGTTTTGCCTAATTCCCATATCTGGTTATACCAAAGACGCCTTACCGCTGCAAAGGGATCGATCATTGCCCCATCTCCATCGCTCCCACCACGTATCAACACATCACAAAAAGTTCAGCCTCCGCTTATTGAACGCCCTTTGATCCTTCATCCAATTCCTATACTCCTTCACGCTCCCAATCTTCTCCCCGTAATAATCCGGCACGGGATTCGCCGACGACCCTCCGGACGGATCGACCCTATGCTTCTTTATCCTCCTGTAAAAATCCCTCTCCTTCTATCCATCGCACACACCACTCATCAGTAACCGTCCCTCGAAAACGCACCCCCCCCCCACTCACCACAACCCAGCCAAACACACACACACAGAGACGCAAAACTCACCTCGGCAATCTGCCCCCCCACCCTCCGATGCGCCACCCCGAAGACGGCATTCCCCACAAACGGCCCCAGCAGCCAGCCCACGGCGCCGCTGCCCGCCGTCAGCGCCGCGAGCACCAGGAACGGATCCAGCCCGAAGACGTTGACCTGCTCGAGGTTGAGCGTCGCGAGGGCGGACACGCCGCCCGCCGTCGTGAGGAGCGAGCTCAGCAGCGACGAGGCGAGGTTGTAGCGGCGCCGCGTCTTGCGCAGCGAGAGGTAGGCGTTCCAGGGGAGGGGGTGGAGGGGAGGGGGGGGGGAGGGGGTGGTGGTGGTGGTGGTGGTGGTGGTGGTGGTGGTGTTCGAAGCGGAGGGGGGGTGCGGTGGGTGGATGGGTTGAGGAAGGGTCGGTGGGTGGGTTTCGACGACGATGTCGATGTCGAAAGGGACGCGCAGCATGGTGTGGTGAGTTTGGTTTGGAGTTTCAAGCTCGTGAGTGCGGAGCGCAGGTGCGTTGAGTGGGGTGGGAGCATCTTGGACGCAACTCGGGGGAGGCGCTGCGGGGGGGGGGGTCTGGTCTGGTCTGTGAGGGAGGGTAGTGCACACGACTGGAGCTTTTGATGGTCGGGATGTAAGGTAGGTATGTAGGGCTGTTGGCGCCCGCGTACGCGCTGTTGGCGTCTATCTCTGGCTTGGCACTGCTCGTGGAGTTTCGCAAACTACTTTACTGATGAACAATTCAGTCAACTGTAATCAGCCAACACGCTCATTTGATTTTTTTACCTTTTGATCAGATAGATACCTTATAGCTAGCAAATGATATGCCAGACTAACGTCGATGTTGTGAGAAGAGTTGCGAATAGGGGTGTGTAAATAGTGTACTAGGGTCGAGTAATGTTCCAGGACGCACTCTCGGTATCATTGGAAGTCCAGACGAGATTCGAGAACCAATTGAGGATCCTCGACCCGAGCAATATGCTATATACAGTAGATTTATATAATGGGCCAAAAGGAACGATCAGAAGGGTGGTCTGCCATAAATGTAAGAGTTTGTAGCAAAAGTCATGCACAGAGGGCGAAACCCCTTCATGAAACTAGGAGTCCGACAGTTGCCAAAAAGTAGTTGACGATTTCCATAGACTTTTCCTTATATACTGTTATTGTATATACGACGGAGAACTTATAGAAGTCATATAGATTGAACGCAGTGCCAGAAAATAGTAACAATTTTCGCAGATTTTTCCTAAGGGCCGTCACTTTACCTGCAAGGGAGAATCTGTAGAAGTCGTATAGTTGAAGTATACTACCCCCCAAAAAATGACAGTTTCGCAAACCTTTCTCCGAAAATCGTTGTTTTATCTGCAAGGAATTTTCTTTATTATATTTAAGCCTTCCTATTGTAAGTTGATATGGCCTCCATGCACGACTTCTACTACATTCTCTTACTGCAAATTGTTCGGAGTTCCTCCAAGTAACCTTATTATTTGAGCATACGAGGCTTCGAATTTTGCTCAGACAATCCTTCAAGAGCTTTGGTTTTGCGCGAGGAAAGTAATAGTCTTCGCTGTTTCGCGCCGTTAACCCTATAATAACAAGCCATGCAACCATTTATCCTCCGTTGAATGCACGTCTCTTTTCTGCCGCCAAATGATATCTCAGAAGACGTAATCCAGAGCAAGAATGATGCTCATGCTCATGCTCATGCTCATTAACAGCCTCATCGGACGCCGAAAATCATAACTTGAGGAAGGGTGCCGCGTACCAGTTGCCGGTTCCAGCTCAGATACAACAGCCACCGAATCTGATGACTGTGGCAGCGCTAACAGAACAGCACGACACAGCGTACGAAAGTGAGAAAAGGACCAGTTAAACTCGCTGACCCTGATTCGGTCCCTCTATCCTCAAAACGTCAATTGAAACTCCTGCTCTGCTTCCTCTCTTAAAAGCGTGTCCAACCCATGCGGATGATCGCCTGCAAAGATCTCCTCCAAACTTGGCCCCTCATCCTCATCGAAGCATCCCGCGGCCCTACAGCGAATCCACATCTCGCTACCGACTCGGGGTACACCATAACGCCGAATGTACTCCGCTGGCGCCAAAGAAGTATCAGGTATCTCATTTGAGCCAGTCTTGACATCTTTCTTTGGCACCACAGTCTTGCGGAGCGTGGCAGAAGTGGCGCGACCTTTCGAGTAGCCCATTGTCGTCTTCGAGGCTGCTACTGCGGCGTTATGACGCATAGGTGAGGGATTAGTTGGCGCAGGTGCGTTCTTGGGCCGGGCAACGAGGGAAGTTGTAAGACGGGGTTTAGCGGGTGCAAAGGTGGGCTTTGAGGCGGTCTTCGACGCAGGACCAGATTGTTTAGGCAGAGACAATGATGCTGCAGCGACTTTGGATTTGAGGGTGGATGGTCCCTTGGTTGGAATCAATTTCCTGGTAGCTGGTGTAGTCTCTGCCTCAATCGTTGCTATGGTCTCATGATACTGCTCCTCTGCTGCTTTTCTTGCCTCGACGGTATCTTTGCATGTTTCGGTCGGACATTCTGGATAGTGTGTACATGGAATAGGCATGCTGTCAATATCTCGTTGCATAAGAGCCTCCATTTTCCTGTCAGCTATGTCATAGATCCTTTGCAGTCGTTGCTCCTCTCGCTCGGCATGACTTAGTCCGTCAGGCCCTTCCCTAGTCATGAAATGGCTCCAGGCCCCTCTCATCCTGTTCTCTCCTTCGAACATGGATAGATTGAGTTCAACATGATCGTCCGGATAATCAGGTAGATCTAAAGCCGATCAGCGCCGCCCTCGATTGGTAAAAGCAAGATGCTAACCTTTCGCCTCTGGTGGCATGTACTCGATCTCCCTTTCTTCCAGTACATCCTTGTCACCCAAGACCTCCAACTTGGTCATCTCAGCATGGGAGATCCTCGGCTTTGCCTTTCGCGCTGACACACTCTTCTGATTAGTCTTGCCCAGATCATTGTCAGCCGGAGGTGGAGCGGGCGTTTGAAAAGCTTTGGCTTTTGCGTTGGTTGTCTTCATGCCTAGAGGCGCTCGAGTTCGCGGGGCTGGATCACGGATACATTAGCTTGACCGTATAGCCAGGCGAGTCGAATATATTATACCCATCGGTGTAACAAAGGCAGTCTTGTCTCCCAGGCCTCCCTTCTTCGCCCCAAGGATCATGTTCTCATTGCCCTTGCCATGGGTCTTCAACCCTCCTTTCCCCCCTCCAAGAGCACCAGCATTGTTTTCATCGTTCAATGGAACTTTGAAGGGTGTCTTGGGTGCTTTGGCCGGAGTCTTTGGCGCAAGCTGTCTGGCTCCTTGATTGAGCGGCTTTGAAGCCGCTGCTGCTTGATGACCGTGGACCAGGTTTTCTTGGTCTCGCGCCGCAAGCATATTGAATTCAGGAGATCGGTGATTCAGTTCGTAAAAGTCCCAATCATTGATAGTCTTCAGTATTTTCTGTAGTGTAACTGTGTACAGTACTGTTTACTTTTACATGTTGCCATTGGCGACTGAGACGCGGCTAAGAGCCGGATTTAGACGCTTGCGGCGTGGGCACCATGGGCGATCTTTATCATTCGACATTCAGGTCCCACGTAAGCTCCACAAACTTCATAACTCTTTTCTCCCTCGAAAAACCTCTCTCTACATACTCTGAATCTCTTGCAACTCCACTAAACTGCCACCTCCGCTCTACCTTGCTCGATACCGCCATCATGTCTCTCGACACTATCAAACAGGTAGGAAACGCTACTTTCCCCATATCTGCCCCACCTTAGTTTGCGTCGAGGCCAGCAAATGCTTTTGATCACTCTGTGGCTGCAATCAATGCTTGTAACGTATGTGGGAGAGGCTAGAATGCTAAGGATTCCTTTAGAAAATGAGTTCCCTCCGCGTGCAGCAAGAGGAGACCCAGGCCAAGTATGAAGAGCTCCAAGGCAAGGTCAAGACGTTGGAGCAGGAGAATCTCGCAAAGGAACAAGAGATCACTTCATTATCGCACAAGAACCAATTGTTGGAGACCGAGGTCGAGAAGCTAGAAGGTGGCATCAAGGAAGCCAAGGTGGCTGCGGAGGAGAGCGGCCAACACGGCATGCAGAATGAGAGTCTACAGAGGAGACTGCAGCTGCTGGAAGAGGAAGCTGAGGAGTCGGACAAGAACATTAGGGAGACAAATGAGAAGTATGACCAAGTCTCTTGCATTACTGCTAGCGTAGGAGAAACACCAAGCTAACGTCTCCTTTCTCGCAGGCTACGTCAAACCGACGTCAAGGCCGGCCACTACGAACGCAAAGTCCAGGCTCTCGAAGCAAGCCGTGATCAATGGGAGGAGAAGTATGAAGAGATGGCCCAGAAATACAACGTGGTCAAGAAGGAATTGGAGGACTTCCAGCTTGAGATTGGGAATATCTGAGCGGCTGGAGTACTCCACTTGAGTGTTGCATTTGAGCGTTACTGCGGTGCTGCAATGGTGATTTGAGGCGGGAGAGCGCCGAGCTTGCGAGCTGTAAGATGACCAAATGTTGTGCAATAGACATACTTGCATCCTTGGTCGGAAGGACTAGCTATTCAAAAGATGATCATGCTTTTGATTACACTGTTTATTGCTGCGGCTCAAAGGGTATCATGACGCTCATGCCCTTCCTTTCGCTTATCATTCCCTTCTGGCCTTGGCTTTCGCTTTGTTGCCCGATCTTTCCTTGTATCTTGTGGCCTTCCTCTCAGCTTTGTTCTCATAACGGAACTTCTTTTTCCTTTTTCTAGGGCCACTTGGGGCCTCTTTGGTCCATACCCGCTTGCCCTTCTCGGATCCTGTTCTTCCCTGCAGAGCCGTAGTTCCCTGTGGTTTCCCATCAGGTCTGTCGGTGCCCGAGGCCTCGCCTTCATTCTCTGCATCTTGAATTGCTTTCTGTAGACCATCCTTTGAGACATCCACAGCCTCGACTGTGACAGTTGTAAACCTATCGTCGTCCATGTATTCGTCCTCATGGTCCACTAGAGGGTCATGATTATCCTTGATCCCATCCCATGGCTCCTCCTCACCCTCAACCCCTTCCCCGCTAGAGTCTGAAGCTATCCCGTCCGCTTCCCTTATCATGGAATTTACGGCTTGCACATGCTTCTCCAGATCTGCTTTCCGCCCTTCTCGTAGCTGTGATCGTCCAGTCAGAACCGCAGGGAAGCAGGAACAGATTGAGGCATACGATCTTCCTAGCAGCAAGTTTGTCTTCGCGGTCTTTCTTGGCAGCTTCCTCCTTAGCATGCTTTATTCGTAGCAGCTTGCGTTTGTGGAATCCAGTCAGGTAGTCTTCTCGGGCACTGAAGTCGAAGGAGATCTCTTCGATGGCTGACGCTGATTTCCGCTTCTTCCTTGGTGGAGGCACAGCTTGGAATGCTTTACGTTTACCCAGCATCATGACTGATGTCTGAAGGATGCCAGAGATTTTCGAAGGAGGGGAATCCTCCGTTGATGCGCCGCAAAAACGTTTATCCTAGCGCCAAACATGTCGCCGCATCTCAGGCTTCAAGTGGCATCAGCACCTGGAAAAGCAACATACAGGCAATGTTATCAATGAGGATCTGGGCGTTTGCCCTGGGTGCATGCGTAGTCAACGCCTTCAAAGACACATCGCCCTTCTTCCTTTTCTCAACCTCTGAGTAATTCCAAAACTCTGGGCGAAGCCGAGCTCCACTAATCTACAACTTCCAGACTCCTCGCATCCTCCCCAGATCTTACCTCCGCAGCGTCTCTCAGCAAAGTCATCATTCCAGAACTCGAAGCATGTACATCAGATACCTACGTCGTCGTATCGCAGCCGGGCGTCAATGCAGTTGACTACCAAAACCGAGCGTCGCCCTATCTACGGATGAAAGTACTGGGGAATGATAAGAGTATACGGTCAAGTCTTGCGGTCAAGGAAGTGATGGGAGAGATTAGCGGGGACCACCTGAGTAAAGTCATACAAGAGAAGTGTGGGGCAAGACATTTGAGGGTGGATGCGTCAAGTAAGAGCTTCTGGGGCTGGGAACATGCACTGGAGATTATTCGCTGACATATGGCATCATAAAGCTGGCTCCTTTGAAATCTCTGAAGACGCGAAACCCAGAGTTATCAATCTCGATTTCCCCGCTCTTCCTTTCGGTAACGCCAGGTCCCAGAAATTGGTTGAAAACGGTGTGGAGAAAATCACTGTTCGACTATGCAATGTGGAAGCTAACATAAATTAGACGCCTTCCTCGCGTCTGTCCTTGACCTACTCTCATCAAATAAGTTCACTGTCATCTACACTACTACGCCTCCCAACGCTGCTCATCAACCAGCCTCCACTGAGTCCGAGTCGTATGAGATGGATGCTCAATTCCAAGCGCCCGTGCACATGGACCTCAAACGAGACTTTTCGAATGAAAAGCGTGCATCTGATGGCAATATTACACTCCCAGATGGTCCTTTGTTCGAACGATACCAATATCTTAGCCCAGGTACTTCCCCTAGGACATGTTTACTTGTGAGACAGCATACTGACTACTCTGTCCAGGCCTTTTTATGGGCTTACTCGTATCCTTCATCCTTATATCGATCCTCTACGTCGGTATCAATGGTGTTGCCAGCCTCCAAGTCTCTTATGCCGCTTTCGACAAGGAGATGGGCCCCGCGGCACAGAAGAAGCAGCCTCAGTAATGTGTTCATGGATTGTAAATTTACGAGATAGTTTGCTTGTATATTGATAGGCTACTAGGGACCCAATGTATGATTTATTGGCTCTCCCATAGCTGAAGTAGCTTGACAAGCAAGATTCAAAGCCGGCACTCGGAGCTGAGAACACCTCTCGCCGCCCAAGGCGTCTGACCTGCATCCATACCGTATTATCTATTCGAAGTACAACAGTGTGATCTCCTAAGATGTAAGGAACGTTGGGTTTCCATGGCTGTGAACACGTGCATTGGCGACCCTGTTGAGCACCTTTCCGACTAACTTATGCCATTCCCGCAACTTTTTCCCATAGACGCATCTTTCATAGGTTAGGGGCCCGACTTTCTCTTTCGATTTGCCTCCATAGTAGTCACGATCGATCATGACTACAAGAAAATCACCTTTGCATGATGCAGGTTGCGAGCAATCGTAGCATCACGTGGTGAATATTGAGGACCATCAAACATGATTCGTTAGCTTCTTTCAAAATTCGGAATACAGCCGTTGACACACTTCGGTAGGTCACTGAACGTATTCGTGGCAGAGAAAGATTCGACCGCAGAGAAAGACTGTCTAATCTAGGATGAATGCTGGCCACTGAGTTGGTGAGCCGGAGCAATCAATTTTCGTTGTGCAGGTGGTTGTTTGCCGGTGTAGTAGTATATTAACCTGGCCAGTTCGCCTGTGTTACACAAAATGTCCACGCCACTCTCTTCCCCTCCCACCCTCATACTCAGAGAGAAATGAACAGTATGCTGGCCTCAGGTATTGAGGACGATGTCGACCATGATGCGTGAACATCAGAGTGGTATTGGACTCTTTGCGTGGCATGGCCTTGAGTGGTTAGGAAGCTTCGTTTCAGTCCTGACAACATCCGAGTAGGATTCAGACTAGGCCGAAATGACAACGCAATTTCCTGCAATTGCCTCCTTGGTGTGGTAGGCAGCCTCATTGATCATGCATGAAAGCGTTTTTGCTCATGGGGCCTTTACTGTCTTTCGATGGCAACTGTATGGTGAGTTTTTCCCTTCCCCTCACTGAGGAGCCTGTGAGTGAAGCTCCCTCTTTGCCACCCAGCTAACCCGTTGGGCTGCAGGAGTCATGCGGCCCCAAGTGGAGCTCGCCATATGCTGCTACTACATTACATTGGATCATTCAAGTTGTCTACATTATCGTGGATGTCATGGAGTCAAAGCGCCATAGAACGATACGTTGCTGGCACCATCAGACTGGTTGATCTGCTAGGTTACGTTCTCGTGGATCTGGCAGCCTGAAACCAGCACAGAACATCACGTCGTTTGCACTTAGGGGATTGGACGACGTCTTTTGGCGCAGTTATCGTGGACGTGACTGGCACTCGTACTTGGGAGCCATACAATTCTCTACGGAAGATGACAAAGAGAATGGCTCCAGGTATATATATACCGTGGTCTGTCTTGTTCAGGGTGCCTTGGTAAGTAGCATTCATTGCATTCTCCAAGAGACTTCTTTTTGACTCCGAAGAAGTAACAAGACGACAACAGACATCAACGCTAAAGATGTCTTCTAACAACTTCTCCACCTCCGCGCCCAAGTGAGTGGCTCCCTCCCTCGAACCATCGCTACTATATGTGCGGATGCTAGTCGTACCTGATAGCAGTGTCCTTCTGCTGCTCGTCTCAAGCTACGAACACTGCAAACTCCTAAGCCATTCGACGTGTTTGGCCAATAGACTCACGCTGACACAAAAACTTCATAGTTCACGGGCGCCAGTCCTGCCACAGACCCTCGTCTCCCTCGCAGATCCTCCGCTCCTTGGCGGTGATGAGCCGTTGATCTTCGATGAGCTCACCGGTCCCTATGCCATGCCCCCCAACGACTGGTATGAGTGGGAGGATCCCATGCCCACGGTCACCTCTGTCCCAGGTCTGCAAGCATCGCCTGAGCTTTGGGTACCCGTCGATGCTGTAAGCATTGCTCCGAGGCAAAGGCACCGCGCGCCGGCACCGACCAGGCAAGAGACAGAGGCAAGGCACCCGGAGCTTGCTAACAAGCCAGAACCAAAAAGGCGCAAGGCTCCCCCCGTTAAAGGGGTCTCCGGTCGGGTCATCGAGAAGAAAGTGGAACAGGCTTGTATGCGGTGCCGGTAAGTACTTGGCTCCTTTCCACAAAGGAGCGCTCGATTGAGCTGACTTTGGGCTTTCTTAGAGCCGCAAAACAGAAATGCGACGGCGAGAAACCCCACTGCAGGCGGTGTACAAGGAGGAACCGAAGGTGCTCTTACGTTCCCACCGAGCGGCAGATCGAATGGGCTCAGAAGAAGGCGGCGGGAAGTGCCAATACACCGCCTGAGTCTGTCGAGCAACCTAGGACAGTTGCAATGACACCGCCGGAGAATTACGTCCTTACGGCCCCGGGGCGAAGAATTCTACCGCGTCCTGAAGCGCCAGGAGCGGCGTATGGGAGGGTTTACAACCGCATCGGCAGCAGCAGTATGCAGAAGACCAAGAACTGGCTACAAGATCCTTAGAAAGCAGGGAGAATAGCATTTTACAGTATCGAAACCGGTTGGGCTTTTGAAGATTTGAATACCATGCCGAACGGATATGCACAGTATCCTCAACAGCCTGGCTGGACGTCTGGGGAATTAGATTTCTGGTCATGGTCAGATGGAGTTTTACATTATCCTCCCACAGCCTGAATTGGCGTTTTCGAAAGGTGTTCTGTCTCAGCCAAGCAGACCTTTGCCATTTCTTGGAGTGCCCAGTCTCACGTCTGAAGGGTCAGTTGGCCAGTCCACCGGGTTCTCGCTAATACACAAGAGATCCTAGCATGGCATCTGATGGTCCAACGGCTTTTTCAGAGAACTCACCAGCGCATCAAAATGAACCTGGAATGGGATTCATGAACTACGACTTCCCTCAACCAAGCCCAGAGGGTGGACAGGATCTGACGGGACCCAACCATTTTGACGAGCAGGCGTGGGCTCTGGCCCATTTCGCAGGACTGGATGCGATGGACCTGCCGGGAAACCGAAGGACGTGAGGCCAGGAAAAAAACTAACTATATAAGAGTGATGGTCAAAAATTACTATAATAATTTAGAAATAGAATATAGATTTATAGAGCATCGCAAGTCTCAAAACTCAGTCTACACCACTTCCTCTGCTCCCAAAGATTCCCCAAAATCCTCGCGATGTCATGAAAAGTATCTGTCCCTTCAACTCTACCCCCACAAATACAGGCACATGGGAAACGGCAGACAACCGTGGGCCCTGGGCTTTCCCGGGCACGTTTCTTGGCGCTGCGTAAATTAAAGGGATAAGTACCGATGCACCACAAATATCTGCAGTGAAGGTCATGTGCATAACCTCTAATTGCTTCCCAAGAGACCTACGTCTCTACGGAAAACGGAAACAATCAGTGAGTATCATTGGCGCGCTTTACAAAGTATGCCAATGAATCTGACGTGCTGGACAGGAAACGTTTGCTATGCTACTACTTCCCCTCTCTGACAACACTTGTGTGGTGGTGGTTTGCTATCATGGCAACTCGTTCTTGATTGGAAGATCTTGCACTGTAACCACTCAAGAATGTATGAGATAGCACAGCTGTCTGAGATCCACAGAGTCCATCACGGATGCGTCTCGGTAGATTTGGGCATCGGCTTGTTTCATCTTACTTGACCTTTGAAGAGTCATCGCTGGGATGATAAGACGGATATTGGCAAAGACGAAGCTCGTGCTTGTCTGCAATCACCCAACGCTATTTGCCCCCCACCACCCTCAACTTCCGTCATCCTCCTCGCTTCACACCTCTTTTTTCTCAGCATAGGCAAGTTGCACTATTTTACTTATTATTCCCCGATCGGATTTGTAGTACCTTGCTTCCACCAGGGTCTGCTTACACAACAACAAGCACCCAGAAAGTGTATCAGAAGCACCTGTCTATGCCCTTTCCCCTGCCGAGTCAACGGACGGCATGGAAAGCAAGGGTCTATCTCATCCTTGTCTACACTTATCTAACACCCTCTCCCTACCGTTGGCCTATCCAATATTTTCCACTTCCCTCTAAAAAGGCAAATTGCATGATTCTGCCGATCACTTCTGCTTCAGGATTGCTCGGTATCATGTGACATGCTTAAAGCCGTCTTTTGCAATGGAAAGTCTTCCGAAGATGTATCAGAAGTGGCCGCCTTGACGGTGAAAGCTGGCGCTAAGCCAGCGGACGGTGCAGAAGGCTGAGCCTATTCATCTTCATGGGTGTCTGCAAGTCATCCACACCCTTTCCCCACCACATCCGCTCTCAGATGTACCCCGGCTTTTCGACAATCCACTCACCGTGGTCGATCGATTCGGCTTCAGAAATGCAGTATCACGCGATCCCTCCCACACACTGCTTTTACAATAGGACCCTTCCGAAGACGAATCAGAAGTGCCTGGCTTTGACTTATACGAAAGATTAGCGCTAAACAAACCGACAGCGTGGCTCGGCCGTCCGTCACAGGAACGTGGTGGTTTTGACGGGGACGGGTACCTGGCGATCAACACGACCCGGACCTAGAGCAAGGGTGGCAGTACGAGTGCTTCCAAATCTGGCTGGATCGTCAGAAACTACCCCATGACTGGCAGTACAATGCCCTCGACGCTATTTGTTGCAACAATAACGAGCCCGACCGGCTCTTGAGGAGGGGGAGCAGTACGAAAGCCTCGAATCAGGAGGAAGATGACAGAGTTGCGTCTAGGCCTTTCCAAGTGACGGTGCGAAACTGACCGCGGCACGGCTGTAGGTTGACAAAGCCCATGGCAGGCCGTGTGGTAGCTTTGACGTCAGCAGTTCAAATGAAACACAAGATTCACGTGGATCATCAGAAATGGTAGCTATACGAGCGCTCCCATTGCGTGCCCATGAAAGAGAAGGCGAAGCTCTAAAGTCAAACTAGTCAGTAAAACACTGAGTTACCACGCTCTCAGGGAGCCTTAGTAGTGTGGAAGTTCCGGAATCAGATGGTGGCAGTGAGACATAGCCTCGAAAACATTGTTCTAGCCGCCAAGGGACTGTGGAAGCAAGCAACGGCATTGCTTTGGTAAGTCGAGAGACCCGGTCTATGATGCAACGAGTGTCATTTCTTAATCACCTCATCAGCCACCAGTGACAGATATTGTGCAGCATCTGATAGCGACTTTGCGATTGAAACACAATCCACTGGCTCTCACGGAGCGAAAATAACAGGGGTACCCTCGAGGTGGAACATGTTGGGATCATGCACTGAGCCGATGCAGTGCTGGTAGCCGCTGATAGATAGCAGAGTAAGCACGTGCCCTGCTTTCGCAAGTAAAGAGCCTGCTTGAGAATGAATGAGTCTAGTCGGACTTGCTCTAGCAAGCCGAGATGTCAGATTGAAAGAGTGTGTAGGTCCATCCACCTCGTCTCAATCTCGTCGCAGGAGATGATCCGTGCCGCTAATCTTCGACGCTTTCAGATGTCTGCTTGACCATGTATCGAGCTCTGACGGCTCCTTTGTGGCAAGCGCAGGCATCTAATTGACCAATTCCTCCAGTCTTATCTCCATTGTCCTAACTAGGTCAAAATGAGGGCGCCTGGCGCTGATCTTTGTCAATTCGAGATATGTGCTTGACATTCCACTGTGTCTCACTTGTTTTACTTTGGCAAGCCGATATCCAGGATGGACAACACCCTCACTGCTCAGCCTCGTCTCGGTTTCGTCGCAGGCTTCATTTCCTGGCGCCAGGGCAACTCGAGGTATATCAGTCCTGCCTGCCCATCATGAAATGTATCAGATTGACAACAAATCTTCTGAGCATACAGGATTCCCCCTAGACAGACATACATCCTACACCTTGGAACAAACACGAGTTCTTCTCTCAAACACAGACGAGAAACCCACCCCCCTCGGCAGCCAACCACCACAATGTGCAGACAATTTTACCGCCACTGCCGCGATTGCCACGAATTGTTTCCAATGTCGGAGCCCGAAATGAGAGAACCATGTGAAGCATTTCAAAAAGCGCGAACCATCAAACGTCATTTGAAGTCATGTCCAGGGGATGAGATTCCAGTCATCAGACCCCTGTCCGGCCATGGTGTGAAAGTCTGCGGAACATGCAGCAAGAAGAATCGGAATGAACAACGGAAGCGAGAGAACGCCCAAAAGAGAGCGAGGCGTGCAAAGCTGAAGAGAAACAAGATGACAGCAGGGATAGGGGCAGGCAATGTGGTATGGGCTCCGCCGAACACCTGGCCATCCATCGTCGTGGATTCGCAGACTTTGGCCCTGCACTCTCCGCAACCCAAACCTCTCAACGACTTCAACGTGAGGTCAATGACGCAGGCGCTCCAACATGGGCTCAACGGTAGCATCAGCACAGCCATGATGTCGCACAATCATGTCAGCGTCTCCCAGCACGAGCGCGGCGTCTACTCCCAGTCTCATCAGGTGCTTGCGGCAACTATGTCCAACGCTCTGCAGCTACAAGAGGATGGTCATGACAGGATCGCAACTGAGATGCGAGACGACGTTACCTTGCACCACCAGTACAAATTTGAATCGCCAGACCTTCCAACAACAATGCTAGATGTCCCGGTGTATCAGGAGCAGCAGTGCCAGCATGTTGGTCCCGGCATTACCATGGCCGATGATGCCAAATGGGAGCAGAGCCGTACCGAGACCTGTACCTTCAGTGAATGGAGCTTTCGAATGGAACTCAACGAATGGAGTACCGTGTTTGACGACAATGATGATCCTGATGGTGGCAAGGAGCTTTGACCAAGATTGAAGAACATCTGGATATGCAGGCGTATCTAGCCAGGAGCCCATTCGGCGCCTCGTGGTCTCAACGCATTTGCTATGGAGATGGATTATTGATTTCTTTAGTGCACAGGGAAGAGATTATTTGTTCGAACTGGCCCATCTACCCAGCTTGCATTCACATCCACTTGGCTTTTAGAAATCACGCATCGGCGAGCAGGCTCTTCGACGACGATGATGCATGCATACTGTCGACTGCGTCGTGCAACTCGCATTTTCCTTTTGTTTTTATTAGCACACCCTCGTTGTAGTCACATTGTCCTTCGCCTATCGTCTGGGTTATGGCGTTATTGGCTTATCGACAATCTCAGATAGATGGTCATGCATTCTATCGTCATTGCTATGTTGGTCAGACACTCAAAGAATCTAAGTGTGCTCCAGAGCCTCGACTAGATTCATGCAAGTAGTTCTGTTGCAAGCTCAAACCAGCCCAGTCGAAGATGAACGTAGTATCCATGCCATTCATCCCAGTCCTGTTGGCATGAAAGTAGTACCCATGTCAACTCGTAAACGGTTTGATGCAGGTTCTCCACCACAGACATGCAATTTACCTTGCTCCGCCCAAGGGAATCTGGTCTCGGCTTCACTCGGCTTCGGCCATTGAGCGGCGGGGTTTGGTTTTGATTTTCACAGGCAGAGAGCTAGGGCCGTGATCTAATTTCCCGCTTCGAACATGCAGGGCCATCCGTCTCACTCTTCTTTCATTTCCACCCACTTTTCCCAAATACTTCATCAACAAGCTCACTCTCCGACCATGCTGCACGACTGACGATCTGATCTAGACTCGGAAATTTGATACGCAGGTACATGTGACTCCACTGCATACGGGAGACCCGGGGAAGCAACGCACTCCGGACTTTATTCGCGTGGCCCAATGATGTGGGAACGCTTCTACCAGCTTTGACGAATCCTCTTGGACCAGCATATCCTTCATACCCATACAATTGTGCAAACAGACGTGCTCTAGACCCGGGAAGGACAACTACACAGACATGACAATCCACGAGGAGCTTCAGTTCATTCCTTATCCACTTTGACAGATGGCAGACAGCGGGACAAGCATCGAGACCTCTAGAACCCAGGGCTAACGGCGAGTGATGGCATGATGCAGGTAAGCCGTTTAGGCACAAGGCCCGCCCTCGGCCCCCCAGAAACTTTACACTCGCTCGGTCATGGTCGGGTTTGACCACTCGTTCAACCTCGACTAGCAAGATTCCTCGCTGTGCAGACAATGACATGGGATTCTCCGGCCTAGGCCGCGATTAGTGCAGCCGCTCAGGAGAATAAAGTCAATTCCGACCAGCCATGCAGACCATGCGAAAGTCCAACGTTGCATCGATATGCAGGCGACGAAACGTCTAGACGGTCCACTCCGTCGGGCTCCATGGGACGGATCAAATTCGATATGCAGGATCTTTTCGCCGAGAATTTCGAGGCAATTGAGTTTGATTTGGAAATAATTGCAGGGTTGGAGGGTATGCAAAGGTACACGGGCCGGACGCGATATGCCCCATGTTTACCTACCTACCTACCACAGCTGCTCGTTCGTTTGCACGTGCGCTTTCCATGCATGGCAGCACGTTATCCACCGGTGGGAATGCAACATAAAAAGCCACCAGCAACCCCTCCCCCTGTGATTCTAAATCAGCGTCTGTTCCCAAGTATCAGGGCGGCTATACACTTGCCTAAAGAGAGCATCATTAAACATTGCAGGAAAGTATTCGAGGCTTTTATTCTCAGGCGCTGGATTCTCACCCTACGCTCTTTCATCGGCTGGCCTTCACAGATCTCATCGCTTTCACAACAGCAAAACAATCTTCACCCATCCCTACCCTTTCCTCTCACGATGTGTATCCAGTGGTGTTGCAAAAATTGCAGCGACAAAGTCACAATACTCCCCCACATGTGGGCGCGTGAACGTTGCAACGACTTTTTCATAGAGCGCTCAAAGAACCGAAACCTAACGGACTGCCCCAACGGCCCATTGGAGCTGCGACGCGCATTCCACAGACACCCTTACAGAGGTGCTCAGAAGTGCGACGCTTGCAAGAAGGCCAGCCGGAAAGACTCCAAGGTCGTTCAGTTGGCCCGGCAGAAGGCCAATGTGGCGCTTGGTGAACGACCAGAATATGTGGGAGCGCTGTTCCTGGGAGAGCTGGAGATCCCGGACGAGTTCCACGAGGCGCACCTACTTCGACGCGGCGAAGTGGATGCGATGAGGTCGAGCTGGGAAAGCTTCAGCTTGGCCAACGGGCATCTGCCATCGCACGAGTTGGAACGGGAATGGGCGACCCGATTCTCTGCGTTCAACGTTGGTCTGAACGCCGGAGTACGGACCCAGTCATCATCGAAGCTTGCTCCCACCTTCGGACAGCGGATGAGTGGAGAAGATGATAATCGAGGGGTGACGGCTGCTGCGGACGAAACCTCTCGAAGGCTACGTCAGGAAACCGGTACGACCGTCGATGAAGCAGCCTCTCAAGACACGCACGACCAAGACTTTTACAACATCAGCTCATGGACCAACAACAGCACCTACACCACTGCTGAGGAAAGCGGAGCTCCTCGAGAGCCCCACCGCGAAGTCCATGACAACTCCAATGACTCCAATTCAGCCACGGGATCCTCGTCATCTCAATCGACACGAGCAAGACCATGGGATCTATGACGCCGGCGAGGTCAGTGCCAGCCTTTCAACCCCTCAAAGCGCCCGAACAATGACACTTTTGAAGGAAGACACCAACAACAACGATAGAACATGGAAAAAAGCGAACCGCAATGAACTTGATTTCGGAAGTCTCTGCTCTTCGTGCCTCGCAGATATCTCGACGAGAATTAAAAGGTATAAGAAAAGCCAAAGACATACATACAGCGAGGACACTTTTTCACGCGTGCATGCTCTATGACCCGATCCCCCCTCACCATCACCATCGCCATCACCACGAACTGGCCCCCAGCGGCTCGCCTCCCTTCCATACATCCAACCTCCAATATCACGCACAGCGCATAAAGACGGAACGTATCCTTTGAGGACCCTCGAGCATCCACCATCAACCAAAAAAATCCCTCCCAACCAAATGCTGCACACCACACAGTCCAAACCCTCACCAACAGCACCACCGCTTCGAGCCTCGTCCCATCATCCAACATCGGAAGTATTCCACGTTCCATCACAGTCAGCCTCTTCTGATATGGTTCCGTCGTCCATCGTTTGCCTCGCACCATACGAGTCACACGCACAGTCTTCGACCTCGACATGCATGGCACGGGATCTGCCATTCCGCTACGCTCTCCTTATGCGCAACTTCAAGCGTTGTGTTTGCACCATCCGAGCGAGCCACACGACCATTGTCTCCGAAATTGAATCCATGACCGCCAAACGCTGCAAGCTACCACGATGCCCACGACATGGGCATGGGAAGGAATCGTATCCACGCGGTATCGGACCAAGCTTCGTCATCACTACCGCATCAGTCAGCGTCAAAGGGAAACACTATCCACATACCCCCACCATTGCAGTGTTTCGCAAAGACAGCCGGTGCAGGCGAGTCTACATCGTCCGAGCTCGCCAGCGGTGCAAGCGAGGCATGAGGATCGACATTTGTCTTATCAACCGTGAGTCCTACCTATCATTCTTATACTCCGGTCCCGGCGCCGTGACACGCGACTCTAACATCCCGGCACCTGTACTCTACCCCGAATCAACATCCTACCGACAAACAAAGTCGCAAGAACTCCCCGCGCTAACATCTTTCCACGCACTCAGTTTGCCCCCCCCCCCCAAACCCATACCCTCAGATACCGCTTTCCCAAACCCAACCAACCTCCCGCTGCGCGCCGACAGGACAATGCCATCTGCCCCGCTTCTCTGTCTCGGGAATTGGGAAGCGCGTATGCGCTCGAGAGTGAGGACGGTCTCGCGTACCCCCTTTAGACATGCGCCCTCACACCCTGCATCCGAGCGGACTGCTACATAGGGTGGCGCAGAACCCGTCAGTTGGAGAGTCTGAAGACGATACAAGTGGCTTCGATCGCGGTGGGGGATCCTCTCCCAGGTTTCGGGTCTTCGGCAGAGACGGCCGGTGCGAGTATGTAATCCTTAAACCACCACTACCACTACCCTACAACATTTCCAATTTTATTTTGGAACATCTCAATCGCGACAAGCGAGACCATGGATCGTTGAATCCGTAGACGGCGAGGTCAGTGCCCACGTAATCAACACACCCATTCCGCAATGCACACATACTGACACCGTCCAAGATGAAACGTACTGGACATGGCTAGGAAGAGGTCGGATGATCTGGCGTTCGGAATGGGCGATGGTACGAGGTGGAGGGCAGAATATTAAGATACTGAGAGGGAGATTATGAAGCAAGGCAATGGACGGCGGTGTTTGGAATCGGTGCCGGAAGGATGGATGATGGTGATTTGACCGCAGTGGGTATACATTGAAATTGCTAGCTTAGCTTTTGTGGGGGAGGAGTATTTAGCGTATAGTACACGGTGTATATTCCCGAGCGAGGCAAGAAAAAAGCAGTGGTGGCCCCTTTTGGTACTCACGTGAAGCTGAAGCTTCGCCAGTACGGGTTCCCAACCGGCCCATTGACGTTCTTTGACTGTTTGAGACTATTTGCATCAGAGGTCAGTCAGCCTGTCGCATCCACCGACGGCTGGGTGTAGTACGACGGCCTGCTCCTGCATCTTCTACTCCGTGACTGTGGACGTCTGTCTCCTTCCCTTCCGGCGCCATTGCGTCCCTCTCGTCGACGAGTGCGCAGTCATGAGCCAGCATGCGGAACATCCTTATGACTCCGAGGGTCAGTCACGGCTTGCTCTTCGGCCTCTTCTTGCTTCCTCATCTCCTCCTCCCAATCGTCTACGACGACTTCGCTCTCCTTTGCTTTCTTCATCTCCTCTTTCTTTTTCTTTGCGTCTCGGAGCTTGCTTCCCAGGACTGTGTATACACTCTTCTCTCCGACGACGGTTTGCCTAGGCGCCGTCCTAGGTGCCGCGGCTTTGGCTGCCACCTGGCTCCATCCGCCGTTGTTGGCGGGATCATCCATTTCTCGTCGTGTGATGTTGAGTGAGTTGTCCAGTGAGCAAAGTTGGATCGAAGTTGCAAGATGCCTAGAGGAGATGGAAGCTGAGAGCGATGCTTTCAACGCTTTGATGGCGGCCTCAATTGCGGAGGACTGAATGACTGTCGAAGACGAGGCCGGTCGAGCCTTGATGACAATCTCTTCGCTTGGTAGAAATGAAATGTCGTATGATAGGCCGGGCGTTGAGTCCAAGCTTGCAGCACAGTCTGCGCGCAATTCTTCTAGCGTAAGACCAAACCGCGGATTACTTAACAAAAACCCATTGTAAGTTTCGTTGTTAGCTTGCAACTTCCTTTGAGTCTCTGCTACGGGATTGCTAGAAGCCTCTGCGGAGCTACGAATGCGGACGGACTCAGCGAGAGTCTTCATAGGTGCCATGACGAATCGTGGTGTCTTGAAAACAGCAACGTGGCGGTGTGGTTCGGGATCCATACTTTCGCTGTCAAAACCAAAGTCGACGGAAAGAGAGTGTAGGAAAGCTCGCTGATGGGGTGGCATTGGCTTGAAGCGTAGCCGTTTTTCAGCCTCATCTGCAGCAAATACTCTAATTTCCCTTTCCTGCGTCTGGCCCCATTTGACATTCTCTCGGAACATCTTCAAAGTGTCATTGGAGTACGGGATGTGGTCGTCCTTATGGGCCTCTGGGTCGATGTTGAGCGCTAGGGCCAGCTTATGATTTCTGGCAAGCCTTGCGCACTCATCGTCACATTCCAGACTCTTCCCGGTGTTTCCTTCGCTCGTCTTGGAAGCATTACACTTCACCTCTTGCTTCAAATGTTGACATTCGCATGTAATGAACATCCTGTTCTGGCAAGGCTTGTCTTCGCGGCAGGATGAAGGGGCATGGCACTGCTCTTCACAAGGGTGGCCACATGCCTTCTTTGCTTTACCGCAAGCTTGCTGACACATTTTTACAACATCTTCACACTCCCCAGGTCGATGGCACTGTTTTCGGCAAAAGTGGGAACCACATTTCAGTTTCCTTCCGCAGACCTCCCCACATCGGACCTCCGAAAGCCAGCAAGGCTGGTTCTTCAGCGTCTTCTTTCCACATAAGCAAGGTTTCTGTGCGAGAAAAGGACATTTGGGGCAAGTTTCGTCGTCGCCATGGCAGCTGTGTGGTACCCTTGGATGACCACAGTCCCTCGGACGCTCACAGTCAAATCGGCAGGGAGGTGGGGAAGTTCCACAAGGCAAAGGAGGTTGAAGTACAGTCTTGCCACAGTGACAGCTAATTTCATCGAAGATAGCTTCTCGACAACTCCCACATGGTCCCTTATGACAGAGCTCTGGACAGGTGTGATTTCCGCACTTCAGCATCCGCCCACAAGAGCGAGTGCAGATATGCTCGGCTTCGATACCCTCATCAACAATGCGCGAAGCTCCTAGAGGTCGAAGTTTGCGTTTCGTAGCCTGGCGTTCTGCTGCCTTCTTTTCGCCAGAACAGCATCTCTCGCCACACTCATGACGACCACAGTTCATGGTGGCTCTGCAAGCTCTCATGCATTGCGGTCGCTCTTCGCTTCCTTGATGGCATACAGTGGAGGATTGGGTGCGGCCGCAGCGACACAAGATCTTCACTGTCATGAGACAGGGCATACAATCATCTGCATGACAAGTCTGCCGACACGAGTGACCACAAGGAAGCTTCTTCAAACATGTCTTGTCGCAGTTCGGGATTGGATCCTCGCACGTCTCTCTGGAGGCGCAAGACACGTCGTTCAGCAAGGTCTTTCCACAGGGGCAGTGAGATACGACATCTGGGGACCGAGGACAATGTGGCGTTGTGAGCTCCTGCGGATGGCATCTCTTTTGGCAGGTGTGTTTGCCGCAATCGTATTCTCTCTGACACCCATTCCCACAATTGAACGTCCCAGTCCACTCCTCGGCGTTCGTAGAATCATCTCCAGCCTCCAGTATTCGCTTACTTTTTCTTTCATCACCGCGTTCGCAACAGACAATCGTTCGCTTGTCCTTACCACAATAGCAACGGCAGTCCATAGGAACCTCACAAGCGCCGCACAAACCCTCGTGACATGGTTTCCGGCATGTATGCTCACCACATGGTAAGAGATCCCCACATACCTCCCCACAACTCCAGCCTCTGTCGTAATTCGTGTCCACGCATCTCCTCGAGTTTGACCTTTTGCCGCAAAAGCAACTTTGAAGAGGACCTATGTGTGAACAAGGAGGACATGGACCGGCATGACACAGTAGCTCGCAGGGATGAGGACATTTCTTTGGTAGAATTCTGTGATTGCCACAAGTTTGTCCACACGAGTGAGGCGGTATCCCAGGAATGGGTTGCGGGTCCGCTTCCTTCGTGCACCAACATGTGTAATTAGAGGGCAGAACATCCTTAGGCAAGTTGCATCCAGGGCATCTCCATTGTCTTGGAGGAGGAAGGTCTCCATTCTCGTTTCGCCGCTGAGCTTGGGTTGAGCCTTCGTTGGTCGACCATTTCTTGATACAACTCAGATGAAATACAGTCCAGCATGTCTTGCAAGACCAGACCTTGGAATTGCGAGCTACCTCATTCGTACATATAGGGCATTCGTAGATCCCGTTAGTGATATCTTCGTGTGTGCGTGTAGCAATATCGGGAGCCGAGGACTTGGGGATTGACTGCCTCCTTGCACGCGGTGCTTTTGTTTGAGGCTGGCGTTGGTTGGGTTGGGCCGTCTTTCCACCTCTAGTATTAATGAGCCGTTGTTGATGTCGTTGACCTGGGTGAAACTCTGGTGCATCTGCTTGCAAGGTAGATACATTCTGCGTTGATGTGAGCTCCTCCTGGGTCAATGCTCCGCGAAAATGTCTACCAGACCCGAGGACTGTTCCCTGGCTGTGTCCATCGCGCAGCCCATCATGACCGTAGCCATGCCCATTCGCATTCGTTCCAGAAGCATCTGCAGGCGCTCCGCCTCCACGGACTTCTCCTCCTCTGCCTGTTCCTCTCCCTCTGCCTCGACCCCTTGGCCTCCGCCCTCTTGCATTGCCTGAATGACCATTTTCATTTGTCGAAGCTTCAGCACTTGAAGGCTCGGTAGAAGATGGTATCGAAGGTGGTGCTACAGAAGCTGGTCTTAGTGCCAATGATTGGTTGATTAGTCGAGAAGAAGAGCCGTTTGTCTCTGGGATTTGAGTGGTCCTGCCCAGATTCTGTCCACCTCTGTGAGCCGACGGATTGTTGCCACCCCACCGTGGCCTCCTGCGTTGCGGTGTTGGGTTGGGCAAATGTGTGATAGGTGCTGAATCAACTGAAGCCATGACTGGAGTACAGATTGGCAGGTGGCTATGCTGTAGGTGATGAATGGCGGGCAGCAAGCACCAATATCGGGTCAAGTGTGCTGCTGGCCAACAGAGATGTTCCAAAGGAGATGTTACTATAGTTATTTTGAGGCTTCATGAATTCAGTCTTACTGACGAGAACACAAGAAAGGGACTCCGGTGCGGGAGATAGGGGGAGGAACTGGAGTGGCACAGGCCCCGTTTTTCATCGCTTTCCGCTAAATTGGATGACGCATCAAACTCCTAATCTTCTACTTACTTTACTCTATGAGTCACATGCTGCAACTGCATTTGTTCTTTCCTCTACTACTTATGATTCAGCCAGTGGCTGAGTCCATCACTTGGCCTGAGGCTTCATCCGTTGAGCGGAGGGGTCCAGATTCATTACACATTATATGACTACAATCAATTCATCGAGTATTCGCCTCGTTCTGTCTGCGTACAAGTTGCGCTACCGCGCTGTCGACTCATTATGTTCACTGCTTTAAGTCTCCTCCTGAATCAGTGCCTGATCACAAGGACAACAGAAATAAAGACAGGACTAGGGTATCAAAATAAATCAGTGTTCCCCAATGCCTTCTCCTTGATGAAGTCAAAGATGAACTGGAAATAATCTGGCTCGGCCACTGTATTGTTGTGAGAGCCATTGGGTATGGTGCGCCAAGTTATGCTTTTTGCTCGGCACACGGATAGGAGCTTTTTCATATGAGATGGCCTAGACGATAAGCGACTCGATCAGCTCCAGTCTATTGAATGAGCTGTCCGTTTGTGGAGGCTGCTTACGGAATGATCTCGTCCTTCAAACCACTAATAAACAGGATGGGGACTTCGGTAATCTGAGGGAGAATATCTTCGCTTGGCCAATACTGATGGCATAGCCAAGCAATGTATTTCGCGGGTGGAAAAGCACTACATACAGTCAGCAATGGTGGCAAGGAGACAGCGTGGAGTGACAACCTGGGGATTAATTTTCTTATCGAAGTGAAAGTGTTCTCCAAAATTAAACCAATCACATCATGGGCCTCTTGATTCTTTGCCACAAGTTGAATCGCAACAGCTCCACCCAGGCTTTGGCCATAGACCACGATCTTGGTACCCTTAATGTCCTTTCTGTTGCGGATATAATCAAGAGCCGTTTGTGCATCGATCATCAGACCTTCTTCATTAGGAGTTCCAGTTGACATGCCATAGCCTCTGTATTCAAGCATGAGAACGTTGCAACCGACATTCTCCTCCAAGATCTTGGCGATGGGAACCCGATGTCCAATGTTGCCAGCATTCCCATGGAACATGAGAATTGTGACATTTTGCGCAAGTCCTTTGTTGGAGGGTCGAATAAAGAAAGCCCCAAGAGTCTCTCCATCCGGCGTAGAAAGCCGCAGGTCTTCGTACTCAGAAATCCCAAACTGTGTCGGACGTGGGACACCTTCATCAGTATTCGCGCCTGATGGCAGATACCGTGGATATATAAGCTCGTTTTGCTTGTAGTATAACAGTCCGCTTGCTAAAAAGGCGATGCCAGATGATGCCATTGCCGGCAAACGCAAATATGACAGGTAAGAAGCCATTTGAAGGCTGAGAAGAATAGTGCACGGACTTCAGCCGCTGAGAAACTGATCGAATTAAAATCGATGTTTGCTTTACAACGGTTTAGCGACTTCCCAACGAAGAACAACAGGAGTATTTCGTTCAGAGAAGTAATAATGCAGCTTAGTTGTTGGTGCGGGCCTAGTCAAACATGGCATTACTTTTCCAACTAACGCCAGATCTAGTTCCTGATCACAAGAAGATGAGGAACGAGAAACGAGAAACGTCGGCAAGTCGGTCAGATACATATCACTACCCAAGAAAGTCGAGAACAAAGCCAAGGAGTCCAGTTGCCGCTGAGGAGTACGCGCGCTAGCCGCCAAGCGCCACCCGAAGCTTCAACGCGTCCAAGCTGCCTGGTAGAGGTTGATTTCCGTTTCTCCAAGTGCCACACGTCAAAATAGCTGACTGATTCCATTTTACTCATAGTCTACTATAATACTTGACCAAGCTACGTACTCGAGAGACTGTTCTTCACCATGGTGATGCCAACGGGGACGCTGAGTGAAGGTGCTATCTCCGAGCTTACTTTAAGACCTGCAGAATGAAGCTGACAGCTCTAAACAGACGGCATACATATCGACATGAATCATCTAAAGACAGGAGAAGTAAAGTCAGCACTCCGACCTCCAATTCCCCCCACCGCGCATCACTAACCCCTCCTCTCCAGCCTCGGAACATCAATGTACTCCCCCATCTCCCCCCTCCCCCTCCCCTCTCCACCCTCCTCTAATCCCCCCCGTTCCCACCAGCATGGCCATCACCTTCTCCCAAGGCGTCATCCTCGGCGCCGACTCCCGCACCACCACCGGCGCCTACATCGCCAACCGCGTCACCGACAAACTGACCCAGGTGCACGACACGATCTGGTGCTGCCGGTCCGGCTCGGCCGCCGACACGCAAGCCGTGGCCGACATCGTCGACTACCACCTGGGCATGTACGGGACCGCGAACGAGGAGCAGCCGACGACGCAGACGGCGGCGGCGTTGTTTCAGGAGCTGTGCTATGATAACAAGGACCAGCTGAGGTGGGTGATGCTTGGAAATGGAGGTGCGGTGGAACGAGAGAGAGCTAATTCTGGGGACTGGAATGCAGTGCGGGGATGATCATTGCAGGGTACGATCCGAGACATGGCGGGTCGGTTTACAGTATCCCTTTGGGAGGCAGCTTGCACAAGCAATCGTACGCTATCGGTGGTTCGGGAAGTACATACATTTACGGATACTGTGACTCGTATTGGAAAGAGGGCATGAGCGAGGCAGAAGGGGTGGACTTCGTGAAGGGGGCGTTGAGGGAAGCGATAAAGTGGGACGGGTCCTCAGGAGGCGTAATAAGGCTGGTGGTGCTGACGAATGAGGGGGCGGTGAGGCATCTGTATCTACCAGATCAGGGTTACAAGGGGCCAGGTACGAAATGACGTGGACGAAAGCATAGGAGCTTTAGACATTCATCTCAATGATTGATTTGTGCAAACCTCCTCTTCGACATTTCCTAATGTCCTGGAGAGATATGCTCCAGGCGATATGTTTTCGCTTTCCTTCTCAGTCCTCTCCTAACTGTCTGGTCTCACGGAATTTCGTCTATGTATTGCTCGGATATCCAGCTTCCCCACCCCCCACCCGAAGGGATTTTGAGGGATTCACCCAGTCGGTCTCGCGAAGTCGAGGACCCTAGGACGTTCCGCCCGGCCTCTCTGTTGCACAAGAAATCCGCCAGACTTTGGCAATATGCTGCATGACGAGAACTGAATGCCTCATCGTTAGGGTCCCCTGCTCCGATGACGTCCTCAACGTCGTCACTCCAAAGCCATCTCAGCTTAACCCAATCCGAAAATAAGGTAGGAGCGATCTGCTTCAACGTCTCCTCCCATGAAGTAGACTCAACTGATCTGTTGTCGAGACGCACGGAACTCATGCTGATTTCCTTCAACGTTGTGCTGTGACGTCTGATGAAATCAATCAGGATTTCCTCGGTCAGTATGCAAGACCAAAGGCGAAATATAGCCAGATTAGGTAGGTTCACTGTCGCGAATACCTGTCCCGTGCGGGGAAGCGTTCCCCAGTTTGCATCACCAAAACCTGCCCCATCATCATCCTCCTCATAACACAGAAATGTGAGGTCTAGCAGTCGAAGTCCTGGAGCTGCTCCAATAAAATTGTTGGCTGAAGGAGGCATCAGACCCTGTAGAGAGACTTCAAGGTCGTAAAACCCAACCACAAATTGGACGTCTAAGCTCTCTAGATACCGGAAAGCGGCATGAATATGTGACCGCACACCATGCTCAAACCCTGAAGGACCTTCTTGCTTCCAGAAACTCCAAGGGATCCGACGTAATTCTTTGGTCCGTAGCTGCCTTCGAGCGAGTCCCAGACCGGAGATTAATGGGGCTAGCGGTCGTGCGGTTTCCGGCTGTGTTGATAGGGAAAGGTCAATGAAAGGCGTTGGCAGGAGTGTCTCGGTCTGCAGATCCGACAGTATTGGGACCCAATCCTTCTCATGGCCTGCAATTGAATCGTAAGGCGTGGCTACAGCTCCATTTCGAAATGCTTTCTCAATCGACTCTATTGTTCGCAAGTTTTGCAACATGGGAAGAGCTGCTGACAGTACTATGAGGTCCATCCGGCCATCGAAAAGTGCCCTTTGCGAGGCAAGAAGGCGGCAAAAGTTGGTGTGAGAACGATCCAGGTCGGCCTGCGAGCACTGCCATCGTGCTTCTTCAGGGTTCTTTGCCCGTGTGTCTCCGGTAGTTGCGAGCTCGCGCGTGTCGATAGTCGCTTCCCAGGTCTCGTATTCCGCAAAATTTTCATCGAGGATGTCGCGGTCAAAGTAAAGTGTACGGACATGGAACCGTAGCGTAGGGTGAAATGCTACCTCTGTAGACTTGTCAAAATATCTCGGAATGAATTTGAGGCGCAGTCCTTTCGAACAAGTATTGGGCTGCAACTTGGGCGAAGATAGTGTTGACAAGGCGAGTCTTCTTCAGTGACCTGGTATCAGAAAGACTGCAGACTTGAGCCATGAGTTCGGGGGGTAAACACTCCATAGTATGGATGTGACTGTGGACTAGCTCCGCCTCGAGACCTGAGACCGAGATCGTGACTCTTCGATGTTAAGGAAAGGAGAAGGAAAGGTGTCAGATCTTGTAATTAGAATGTCAATGTTGGAACAGTCTTGTGGGTATCTCAGAGTTGAAAAAGATGAGCTTAGCTTTCGAGACGGAGATTGCCCAGCTGACAAGGTGTCCGCATTTTTCAAGGGTGGAATGATCACTTCACCAGAAAGCAGGCGAAAAGAAGTCCTCACTACTGTGCGTACGTTCCTTGGGTCGATAGGCTTGATTACATGATGTTATCAGTCGATGCTTCAACCAAAACTCTGGCGTTCATCGTCACCATCTTTACTGAACGAGATTACAGCTGAGAGCCAATCAGCTCATGACAAATTATCCATCTTATCATTGATCTACAATGGCAAGCGGCTCTGGCTCGAGCGTTTTAATAGATATCTACCTACCTTAGTTGACTCTTCTTCATATCCTAGCGTCGTCAGGAGGAGTAGAAAATGACCGCTCGAGCTCTTGTATGCTTTTGGCAGCAGAACGCACGGACAGAGGCTTGAAGTGCTTTATGCATACCTCACCCAAAGTACAATTCATTGGTGGTGGTGCGCTGTTCGGTGACGGTGAAAGCGGCGACTGTAAAGGCGAGGTTGTACGGTCGTTCCCATGCCAGCGTTGCCAAACGGGAACCCTGAAATTGGTGAAGTCGACTTTTAATTTCGGCCTGCTTGCTATTAATATAACGGCTTAAGAAGTAATTAGACCGCTTTATACACCTTCACTTTCTCCATACCAGGTAAATTCAACGCTTTGTATCAACTGATTGCCTACATATCTATATTCTCGAGCAACGGGCGCTCCAGGCATGCTCCTACAGGTGAGAGTGAGACGGCAGCTTTCTTCCGAGTCTTGATCCTCCAGTCCAGACATGAGCTCGCTCCGCAAGGAGCTCCAAAAGAGGAAGTAGTGTTGCGCGATCTCCTTCTCAGCCTCAAGCTTAGGAGAGTGATGCAAATGTTGCTTCGACAATATGATCGTTCCAACTTCTGCCCATCCTTAGCACTTTGTGTGTTGTTCTCGTCTTTTGGTCTTCGTCACCCCTACACCTCGTAATACGGAGTACATGCCAGCCTTTCGCAGAACCCAAGCTGACCTTGAACATGGCACCATCAGCGAACTCATATCCGACTTTGTGCCCTTGCCCTCGGTGATGGCATCTGGAGACGTGCATCAGATGTCTTCAGCGATATCTAACCCCTTCCGAACCCCGTCACAAGTCTCGCATCTACAAAATGACCCTACCGCCACGCCCTCTCCCACCTCGAATAGCAGATCGTCTCATACCCTCCAACCTACTTCACCAGCGAACGTCCGATCAATACCACACATTGACGGGCCTCATATACATTGGCGAGGTGCCCCACCCCAAGAGCAACAACATATCAACGACGGCAATCACCTCATGCCGCAAGAGTCTCAGTCCGAGGCAATACCTCCACCGTCACCACGCCTTGAGCCTACACACCGCTCAACGTTGTCTCTAAATGGGTCAACGGTCAATTCGCCGAGCCGCATCAAGGTTCGAGATCTCGGCCACATACAAAGCTTCGCCAGTGAGGAAGTCCTTACCCGGTCACGCCACCCATCCAGGCATTCTCTACGAGGGAGGATGGATGGCGGGCAGCAGTACGAGATCAGTGGAATGCCGGTCACAGATGTCATTGAGATGGTAGCCGGACTCTTGACGAAGATCATCACTACAAATGATCGCCAACATGAGAATCTACATCGGAATATACCGCCTCCAGAAGGTACGACGGCGCTCAGTCCGCAAGCTACAAGTGTGCTCGCTTTCCATGGAAAAAATGTACCCAGCATCACCATCGCAAGCTATCTCAGCCGCATCCACAAGTATTGTCCGACTACATACGAAGTCTTTTTGAGTCTGCTGATATATTTCGATCGCATGACGGAAATGGTCAACAGTGGAGCACTGCCTAGATTGCCAGGCGATGGGCAGCATGGCAGGGGCCATTCGAGAGTACCGAGTGGCGTCAGCTCTAACGGCTCGAGCGAGACGGCGGTCAACTCTTCGCCAGGCGGAGCGGGAATCGACTCTTCGCCCAGAGCACCAACCATAGTTTCTCCTCCTGGTTCCGATAGTTCAGACTCTCAGGACTCAACCGTGAGGCCTTCGCCCTCGATGCCCTCCGCGATACCTGATTCCGACGCCTACGACCTTTCGCACTATTTTGTGGTGGATAGCTTCAACATACATAGACTCGTCATTGCAGGAGTCACTTGCGCAAGCAAATTCTTCTCCGACGTCTTCTACACGAATTCCAGATATGCCAAGGTGAATTCGCTAATACCTTGTTCCAAAATCCCACTAATGTGTTGCAGGTCGGCGGCCTACCATTAAACGAGCTAAACCACCTGGAATTACAGTTTCTTCTCTTGAATGATTTTCGTCTTTCTGTACCCATAGTCGAACTAGAGGCGTATGGAACCATGCTGGTTGAGTTTTATGCGCGCGAAGTCATTTCTCAACAGCAGCAGGCCAACCATATGGAGGGACTGTACATGCAGACACAAACCCCTACGCCACCACCGTAAAGGATCTTCGACAGAGCGCAATTTTGGGGTTCTAATCTGCGGACATCGCCAACCTGCAGCGAACGCCCCAAGGAGCGCGTCTCAACAATCGGCGCCTTTCTTTTCAACAGTATACTTAGATCTCGCATAACGCTACCAGGCGGATACCCATTTCCGTTACCTTTTTTTGATGAGCCATGACGACTTCCTTTTGGGGTACCTTAATGACCAGAATGAAATGGTGGTATGTTGCATCTTTAGAGGCGTTCAGGCGGTTCATGTCGTGGGAGATGAGATCACGTGTAGTGAGTGAATGACCTACGGATCATTTTCTTGCGATACCTCCTGGTGGCAGATACATCTGTGATTTAATACATCGTTTCCTAAGGATCATCCTCTCCGACGTAGCAAGGGTGCATGCAAGCTCTACAAGGCACTGGCAGACTTGATAACTCAACTGCTGACTGCCAAAGATCCGGGGTAGCTGCCTCCTGGACGGCAGATCACCACACCTGATACAATGCCAAATCCAGCTTCTGCGACCATTGTCAAATCCCTCTCAAGCAACCCTAAGCAATCTCCTCAACCTCATCCAAAACCTCCTCCATAATCTCCTCAACAACCGCCCCCCCTCCATCCTCCCCATCAGCCTGCTCCTCCTCCTCAACATCCTCCTTCAAACCCAACTCCCTTCTCTCCGCCTTCAATTCCTCCTCTTCCTTCTCCCGCCACGCAAGCCATTCACTCAGAACCCTCCTCCTCTCCTCCACAATCGCCCCCTTCTCTTTATCTTCCTCGATCCGGTCTTGCTCTTCAAAGTCTTTCGAATACTCGCGGAGGTTTTTGCGGATGGTTTTTTGTTCGTCTCGTGATAGAAGGGTGAGAGGGCGAGGGCGCCAGGAGAGTTGCTTGAACTTTTCAATGTGCTCTTCGCGCAAGAGCTCCCCTTTGAAATCGTAGAGGTGGTAGCCGTTTTCCATCTTTGATCATGTCAGCGTCGCGGCGGCTAGACGTAAAAAGAAGAGGGGGGGGGAAGAAGTGAGCTTACGGTATGTTTCCAGACACTGGCACTCGTTACGCAGTAGCGACCGGTAGGGTCCCAGTCAACGTCCGTAACTCCGTAATGGTCTCCTGTGTTCATGAGCTGTAAGTTGGCGGTGAGGTCTTTATCGCTCTCGGGCTTCTCGCCCTCGAAGTCTAGATCCCAGAAGTCGAGGTCGAAGCTCTGCTGTGAGTGCACTGTGGCCACAATCACGAAGCGGCCTTTAGGTGACCAGTAGATGGCGTTGCTGTTCTTCTTCTCGATGGTGCGGATGTGTTTGAAGTTTCCTACACCGGCGCCCTTGATCTTTTCGGGACAGAAGAACGATACTGCGGTCTTTGGGGGTACCGCGGTGGTCATGACGACCTCGGCAGTGGTGATGAGAACGAAGCGGTCGCCTTTCGGTTCCCACGCAAAGTTGATGACGGTGTCTTTGATCGAATCGACGACTTCGACGGGGACACCCTTTTCTCGGACACGGAAGATTTCGAGATTGGTCGCCAGAGATTTCTTTGACTTTGAGTGCCTGTCCACTTTGACGCAGACGTAGGCGCCTTGTGATTGCCAGTGGAGCTTGGCATCTGTAACGTTGAAGAGATTTCTTGTCCGTACTATTTCTTTGGACGGTATGCTCATGAGGCCGACTTTAGCAGGGTTGCTGCCGATTTCCGGGGTCCAGAAGCAGAAAAGCTGCTCATATGTCTTTACCGAGTCCCGCTGCGGAAGTGCAGGCGACCATTCGAAGTCCATCACGCCTTCGATTTTGATGGATGTTTTGTCCATGAGAGTCATCTTGGGAAGTTCATAAACAGATATCGATTGACCCTCCAGCATGCGAGCGACGAATTTGTCGTCAGACGACCATTTGAAAGCGGGCCACGGTACCTTCTTTTTGACGGGCTGGCCGTTTTCACTCTCAGGAGGGGTTGGAAGGTCGTGCATCTGGAACGACCGTAGCGGTCTTCCCGTCGCGACGTCCCAGATAATGTAATTCTTCCCATCTTCCTCCTGTGACAGAATCGGGTCGTCTTCTGAAACCTCAATCGGCTTGAAGGACCATGTCGTAATGTATGTCTCCCCGGGCGAGAAGTCGATCAGATTGCACATAGGATGTGGAAACCTCGTCTGCCGTGTCCAATTCGGTCCGCCCCATAACTGTACACCCCGAGCATGCATAGTAGCGAGATATGTGCCCAAAGGCGACCACTGCACATGTGACTCTGTCCAGTGCATCCGATCGACTATATTTTCAGGCGGGTCCTTCTTCTTGTTCCAGAATACCCCAACGTTGTCCCCTCGCAACATGACGAATTGATCTCTGCTGTTTGGGTCCCCCAACCACCACCTCAGGTGCTCTTTTTCTGTGAAGTCATCGATCTTAGGTGGTTGGTATTCATCATCGATGCGGCCTTCCCTTCCATATCTTTCCACGTCTGTGATCTTGTTTATCGCGAATGTATGTCTTTTGTCGATGGCGGTACCGTGGAGTTGCTTGGTAGCTGCGATGGCTTGCTGTGGTGTTTGGTATTCGACGAAAGCATAGCTAGACAGATAAGCTCATGTTCCTGCCCCTCAATGGAGGGAGGTCGTACCCTTCCGTCATGCCCTTATTGTTGGTTGGCATGAAGAACCCATCTTCCTTGACTTTTCCCGCCTTGTTCAGCTGCTTCACCAAGAATTTTACCAGCTTCGGTTTGCTGTCTTCCGGGACCACGGGCAGGCCATCGACGACCACAAAGGCATCAAGGCCTTGTTCGAGTCGGACGTCGTATTGTTCCTTGAGATCTGGCAAGGGGACTGATTAGCAGACTGGTGGTTAGAAATGTATAGCGGGAGTTTCGCCAACCTGAGAAGTCTATCTCTTCCTCTGAGTCATAGGTACCATTGTCCTCGGTGAGGTTATCAAAGCTAGGTGCCATTTTGTTTGTAGGAAGAAAGGTAGAGGAGCTACGAGTGGGCCTACTTTTGCTGTGGTGTGGTGGTAAAGTTCGAGCCTTGGCACAATATTTCGCTTAACTAAGCCGATCACGCCTAACGCTTTCTGGATGTACCTATGAGTCTTCTTGTCTCTGGTCTGTTAACGTCGCAGCGTTCATATATTGGAGCTTGAGCTTTTGCGTAACTCTTCTCAATCAGAAAGTGAGACTATCACACCCGTTGCTCTGACTCAAGATATGATTCAGAACCCACTGATCGCCAATTGCTTCTTAGCCTATTCACTTTGGGACTAGTCCATTCGGACATAACCGACTTGCCGCCTTCGATCACCGGCGCGTTTTGGGTGCCATCGTCCGTTGCTGATGCAGACCATGGCTTAGCCACGATTCAAAAACCACTCCTCAACGAGCTCTTTGCATACATACTGGACATTGCGAACTGTTCTGCACTGTTGACTTGCTGGAGGCGCATCAGCCAATCATTTACAGCCAATCACCGCCGGGGCGTTCAGTCTTTCAAAGCTCATTCCTATCGTTCAAACACCCAGTCATGAGGTGACAATTGGAGCTCAGGTCACACTAAAACTAATATCTCTTGCCTCTACACTCAAGATCGAATCAATCTTCGTCAATCCAAGCCCGAATTTGACTATTCTATCTCGCAAATCAATCATCCTCCAAAATGTCTTGTATGTTGCACGCCCGCCTGCCCTCTTCCTTCCCTCCCTCGCCCCTTCAGATCGCGACTCCAGTCAGCTGATACTAGTTGGAAAACAGTACCCACGGAGGTAGAAGCGTCATTCACGACCATTATTGACTCAATCCTTGCCGCAAGTGATCTCGACACAATCTCAGAGAAACGTATTCGCCAAGGTCTCCAGCAGTCTGTCGAATATGATATTACGCCCCAGAAGGTCGGAACTACTATGACCAAAATAACAAGGGAGACCATTGCTCACATTTCTTACAGACGGCCATCAAAGCCCTCATAATGAGACGCTTCGACAAGTTCGATGAGCAGAGAAAAGCGCCTCCACAGACAAACGGCCACGCCAGCGTCAAAGAGGAATCATCTGCTTCGCCGCAAACTTTTAGCCACACCAGTGTCAAACAGGGCTCACTTGCGTCACAGCAGACCAATGGCCACACCACTGTCAAAGAAAATTCACCTCTGTCGTCGGAGCCCACCCGTAAAGCCACTTCTCAGTCGCCCAAGAAACATAAACAAGAAAGTGACGAGGAGGAGCTCTCGGATGTCAAAAATACTCCCCCTCCTAAGAAGAAGAAGAAAGTAGAGCGCGATAGCGACGCCGCATATGCAGCGAAACTTCAAGCTCAGGAGAACGCTCGCACTAGATCTACAAGAGGTGGAGGGCCAAAAGCACCGCCACCGAAGAAGAACAAGAAGAGCCCGAAAAAAAAGACATCGGCAAAGGTGAAGGCAGAAGATGATAGTGACATTGATGCATCTGGTTCGGACGTGAAGGAGAAAGTCCGGAGCGGTGGATTTCATGCAAGTCTACGGGGCCAACCTGACTTTGATTGCGAGTATTGACTGGCTATAGAAAGAGCTTATGCTATCCCCGCCACTTTCAGCTTTGCTAGACAACGAAATCAAGGTATGTAACCAAGGACGCTATTGCCGAAGCGTTCGAGACTATACTAATGTTCCTTTATAGTTATCTCGGCCTCAGACAGTCAAGCGCATTTGGGCGTACGTGCGGGCTAAGGATCTTCAAGATCCCAGTGACAAGCGAATGATCCGCTGTGATGACGCTCTGAGAGCGGTATTCAAGCAGGACAAGGTGCACATGTTCACGATGAACAAGATCCTGAGTCAGAATCTGTACGTCCCTGACGAGTGAAGATTAATCGACACGACACGCCATGACAATACCTTACGATGGAACGTGGCTTAGCCGATCGTGGCTTAGCGGAACGTGGCTCCTTCATTGTCCGCTTGTTTGAGAAGGGCTTTAAAAAAGGGCGGTTACTGTACAGTCACCCCTTTGAGATGGCAATGCCTGGGTGTACTTCGAGCGCAGGTGTTAGGCGAAGAGACGGCTAGTCGGTGGCCTGTCTATGACTCACTCTACTGAGCATGACTGATCGTTGAATGTATTTGAGGAGACGTAGGAGAAATAGGGCTTGTCAATATGAAGAAACAGAATTTGCAGTATTTTTCCATCTTTTCTGCCCGCGGATGGGAACATGGCGCTGGGAAGGGTTTTCCATGTATTTTGCCTTGGCTGCCTCTTTCGCCCAGCTCGCTAGAAATCGCCGCTAGAAATCGGCGGAAACGTGCTCAAACCCGTTGTTACCCGATGGCTTTCAACCTTCGACACCATTGCAATTCCTATCCCTCGACTTCCTCGCTACCATCACACCCTTACGCATCATGCCGTCAATAATATCTGACTATTTCACTACGTTGAAAAAAAGCATCACGACGACCTGCCGGACTATAAAAAAGATAGACGCCATGGAATCATCGAAGCCCAATTGGCATTTTTGGGAGTGAATCTGGTGTTTACGCTCTTTCGTGTCTAGAAGGACAATCGATGAGTTGACAACAATAGCTTCCGTTTCCCTGTTCACTAATCGGAAAACTTTAGGACACTTCTTGGAGGCACAAAATACAAGATCCACCAACCTCTCTCTGGATGACAGAAAAGCAGCGTATTTCGTTGGAAGAGCTCAGATCCCACAATCTGAGAACGCTCTCCCCTCTTTACCCCGATGAGCTTCCAATTGGATCGGCGAATCCTGCTCTTCCTCAGCCCCGAAACCGGATGGATAGTGTACCCGACCCCCCTAAGATTTTCTGCCTATAAGTATGTGCGAGGACGCTCTCCTCAGATAGTCAAGAACCTGTGCTACCCATTATGTTCAAGGCTCTCTGGATGGACTTTCTCACAAGACATAAGCCCTAAGCGGTTGCAAAATTTGAGAAGTCAATCGTGTCACTGCTGCTGTAATGCATGCTTGGGCCTTATACCCCGATCCATCTCTATTTCACAAAATTGGCAACATGGTCATTTACGACTGCGAACGCGGCTCATGGGAAGCCTCGCTGGCATCTCCCATGACCGCACCTTTTGCCACTGTCATACTGCGCCCAGCACGAGTCGGAGTATCACATTATCGATTAGAACGATGAAGACCGTCACGGATGGTTGTGGATCAACTTGCGGGGTAGTTGTGGTGTGGTGACAGAGTCGACGTAGCGCTGCGGCAGACGTTTTCCTTCTAGGCTGCCCGGAGAGGTGTCCGATATTTAGGTCAGATGAGGGGTTCCTGCACTCCATGATCATGGTGCACAACTTACATCTTACGGGTGCCTTTTGTTGTTGCCTCTACTGCAACAGAGCTTTTCGGGATTGGTCAAGGACGAACGTGGCCTAATCAATAATACAATGATCTAGTCTACGCCCTTCGAATTGCCAATCTCTTCGGAAACGTCTCTGGCCTTGCCTATGCCTCAGCTCTGCTCCGAAAATAGGTACGATCACGACAAGATACCACCAGAGCGAGGAGAGTCCTCTCATGCAACAATTCTGCAATGAAGCTTTCGAGCAAGCAACCCTAAGATGACGCGGATAGGCGATGATTGACTGGCTGGGGTTCGACGAAAAAGTTAAAATTCCGAACACGGTTCATACTCCCTGGCATACAGTCCTCCTGGTCCTACATGATAAGCGGGGGACTCGACGAGCAGGGCCACGCTGCTGTCATAATCTCCGCATCCCACAGAAAGAGGGGCAGGTCACGATGATTGGCCAGTGTTGACGAACACACCGGTCTGTACCACGAGGACTGCTTGCTTTTTAAGATGCCATTCCACATCTCTGCTCCCTTCAGCTCTCTGAACTATTCCTCTGCTTCTGAGACCCTCAGCAGCTCTCATCTACACTACCTTCTGTCCGAAGTTTCGCACCGCAGTCTAAATCGCCCACACGACAAGTCATCGCATCTTTTGGAAACCTTTCCACCTTTCGAGAGCTTCATCTAGAATTTGCAGCTACAATCGCAAGCTTTTAAACAGATAAACTCCACTGGAGTACCTCAGCCCCCGCATCGTTACAACCAGTTCCGTTTCGGTAACCGCTATACCGCTCCTCCGGCTGCATCATAGGAAACCGCGTTTCAAGTAACATACCTCAAATGTCGCAGCATCTCGGACACTCTACATCTCGGAACATGGTGTCTGGAAGACCCAGACCGCCGCCTGAGCTGGCATCGCAGCAACAATATCTCCTAGATCCTCTGCCGGACTTTGAATCTTCTCAATCGTCAGCGCCATTCTCACAATATTCCTTGTCCCAGCCAACTTCACAGTACACTATGGATGGAAACCCACAAGAACCGGCGCTGGCGCCTATGCAATACCCTCCATTCCAGCAATATACAGGTACCCAAGCTGTATACCAAAATTCTCGACCTCCGTACCACCTCACAGCGACTACCCCAAACGGTCATACTGTTTCACATCAGAGCTATAGTGAGAGAGACTGCACCACGTCATTCAGAGGGGCCGGAGGTCCGGTCTTTGGAGACGACTTGCGCAACCACAATGGAGGCAATTCTGGTTGGAGTTCAATGGGTGATTCCAGTCGCCAGAATGTGCGAGGGTCTTTCATAGAGCCTTGCTATCCCAAATCTGATGGAGATGGCTACAGTCAGGCACATCAACACCTCACTGAGCATCGCACCATGGACCAAACAAATGCCTTGACCGGCCGCGATTCTTGGAAAGGATTCCCAGTCCAGTATCGAATTGATGCCACAAGCGAAAATTTCGGAATGAGAGTCTCACCCTCTTTTTGTTCAGCCACTGACAATCATGGAGCCGGTGGAGACTTTGACAACCAAAACTGGAATGTGGCGACCGCGGACAACAATATTGGTCATGGCAGCCAATGGTCAGACTCACAGGAGATGGGAAACCAAGCAATTCCTCCGTCCGGTATTGACCAATCTCTCATAGATGGATCTTTCTCGGCGAAATACAACTCTTTTTTGGCAGATTTAGCCGAGACGGACCCAGGAGGAAGCGATGCGCAGAACGAAATGCTTCTATGCAATCCTGATCATTTCGATAATAGTTTTCTTAACGGCTCACCAACTTCCACGTTTTCCGGGTCTGGTACTGTATCGAGGAAAGCACGTTCTCGCGCTACATCTAACACTACACCACATTCTCATCGTCGTGGGGGGGGGGAGGCTCATCCAGTCTCCTCTGAGCCTTTGGAGACGAGATGCAAAGCATGCGATGACGATCCAGATTGTGAGGACAAACCAGTCTACCGTGGTACTCCCGAAAGTCAGAAGACAAGCCTAGGAAGGCACATGCGTGAGCACCATTCCGATAGCAAAAATTGGTCTTACCAGTGTTTGCTAGATAAGGACGGGTCGGCCTGCAAGAAAGTCATCAGAAAAGCTCGCGGTAGGAGGAAGCATGTGGAAACAGTTCATCCAACAGAGTCCAGGAATTTGCCGCCAAAAGATGCAGCCAAGAGAAATTCCAACGTCAACACCAATGCAATGCTAGATGAGTGGTTTGACAAAATACCACAAGGGAGCAGCCCATGACTTGCAGTCACGGCTTCTATGCGACATGATGGTTTGGGCGATGAGGTAAAGCTACCTTGATGTGGTGCTCTGCGAAGGTGTCGGGATAAATTGTGCATGTGGAAAGAGATGATGTTCATGTTCACGGATCGACAGCGCTTCGTTTTTCTGAGTTGATGAAACAAAAGGTGATCAAGATAGTCTGTCTTTAAGAATTCACCGGAGTCGGGGTATCTATATGTTTTCATTCTGGACTTTAGGCAACCAACGTACAGCCTTGCTTTTGCGTATAAGCATAGTGGTAGACACTATCCGAAAGGCTTCAGCCATTGAGGTCAGCGACTCAGACTTTTCCGAGGAAAGTCATTGGCTGGGGAGCACGTCTTCGGCTAGGCTAGGTTGGTTGGAGGGACTAGGCGAGAGGACTGAGCGAGAGGACTGAGCGAGAGGACTGAGCGAGAGGACTGAGCGAGAGGACTGAGCGAGAGGACTGAGCGAGAGGACTGAGCGAGAGGACTGGCCGAGGGACTGGCCGAGGGGACTGGACAAAAAGGACTGCCAAGGGGGACTGGCCGAGAGGACTGGCCGAGAGGACTGGACAACAAGGACTGCCAAGGGGGACTGCCAAGGGGGACTGCCAAGAGGGACTGCCAAGAGGGACTGCCAAGAAATACTGCCGACGAGTTCGACCAATGAGCAGGACTAAAGGCACTGCCATTGATAGAAGATTATAAAAGTGCTATTTGACACTTTTGTCGTCAAGAAATTACCCTGACCGAAGGATCTCATCAGCACTCTCAGAATCACCCAAACCCTCTTCGCACGCTCGTCAGTCAACCACAACAATCCTCCTTGACCTTTATGGAACGTCTTACCGCCAAAGCTCTGGCGGTAAGATCCAAAGAGAAGAGATCCGCAACCGACGAGTGGAGCAGGAAGCCGGAACGGCATGAAGAATTCGCGGTACGGGGTTCCACGAACCTTTTCCGCCACAACGTGGAGGCTTCTCGGATCGTCCGCTCCTGCATGCGGAAACTTCGCTGAAGACGAGGGCGAAGGACGCAGGAGGAGTGAAGTGACGGTTGGGGTAGATGGATGTTTGAGAGTAGGGAGGGGGGGACGTGGGATGTGGACGTAGAGGTACGGGGGTGGATGATACAACGACCGAGCATTTTGCACAGTCGGCCTGAGATGACATACCACCGACCTCACTTCGGTTCCGCAAAGGGGGGAAACAGAGAGAGAGAGAGAGAGAGCAACAACGGCACCTCCCGCGCAATTAGAAACGCCGCCGTTACAAGTCCGCGTCACCGTGCGTACAAAGACAGAGGATCCCACACTCGTAAATCAAAGGATCTCGAAACGCCTTCCTGCTCACCAGCTTCCATTAAAAGACCCTCACAACCTCGAATATCTCCTTTACATGGCCCCAATCAAGCCCCGGCTCATTCTCCTCTTGCACCTCCTACGGCTCCAGCTCCTCCTGCTGCAACTCACTTTGGGTCTTAGCCGCGGCAGCCGACGGGGTTTCCCCTCTTCCCAAGACCTTTGTTGAGAGCTGGTCCGTGGTCCTTCGGAGTAGTCGGTATCGCACTTGTGAAAAAGGGTTATGCCAGTTGCGGGATCGATTTTTGTGTCCTTTTTTGCTTGGGCGATTCTGTTATGGGGTTCTTTTGACCGAAAAATGATGAGGGTGTCCGCTCTCCCACCTCGGATATGTTTCACATCGACGGAAGCCGTGTGGAGAGCAGTCTTCCTTGCCGGCAAAAAAAGGGTAGCAAAGGAGGTGTTCGCTGATGAACAAGCTTGATGCATGGAAGGAAGGAAGGAAGGTGGATCCTGCCAGCCTCACGGCACAATTTGACCGACAGTACGGTCCAGTTACATAAGATAGCTTGGTAGTCTCACCGAAACCAGCATATCGAACAAGGAATGCATGGTTCTGAACTCATTGCCTCAAAACGGCCTCGATCAAACTCTCAGATTTCGGCCCGAGCTCCCATATCTTCACGACTTCCAAACCCTCCTGACCCAGCAGTTCCGTCCACTGGCCCCGATTGCGTTCCATGCTCCCAAACAGCGTCATCATGTGCATATCCCGCAGTCCCAAATAACTCGACACCCCCACGTCCGGTAAGACGTCTTCAACGATGAGCAACCTGCTCCGCCCACCGGGGTGCATAGCGGCGACCGTGTGCTGCAGTATGGTCCGGCATTCCGCGTCCGGCCAGTCGTGGAAGATGTGATGGAAGTAGTATGCGCGAGCGCCAATGACGGGTTGGGGATCGAAGAAGTCGTGCGCAATCGCCTCAACCCTTCTCCGTCCCAGGCTCTCCCGGTCGGCTTCGGCCAGCGCGTGGGCTCGGTCTTGCAGTATCAGACGGCCGGGGACGGAAGGGTGCGCGGAGGCGAAGGCCAGCAAGTCTTGACCCCATCCGCCGCCGACGTCGACGAGGAGGACCTCAGCCGAGGCTGGCGGCACGGTCGAGCAGAGATTTGCGACGACGGGATAGTTTTCGAACCAGGCGGCGTCGGCGCTGGCGTGGCGCCGATCGACCATGCTGGAGTGGAAGGCGCGCGCGCGCTCCGGGTCTTGTTCGAGCCAGGCCCAGAAATCGAGCGGGGTGTTGAAGGCGTGCTGCCAGAGTCCGCTGCCGTCTCGCGTCGGGTTCGCGAAGGAAGTTTTTTCCAGGAAGGAGGGGAGTTTGGCGGCGGCGTTGAGGCCGAAATCGAAGCTGGGTCGTCGTTAGCGTGGGGCGCGGAGGTGGATGGGAGAGGTGGAAATAATGGAAGGACGGACAGAGTGGTTACGTTGTCTCGTAAAGAGGGTCTGGCACGGAGAGCTAATGCGATTCTTCCGGCTCCGTAGAGTTCTACGCCTTTTTCTGTGAAGACCCCCATTGTGCAGAGTACCCTCATGATACGAACTAGAGTGGGATGAGATAACGCTTAGATATTTACACCGGGAATGAAAGTCAGGCCGTATGAGAACGCTTACCTATGAGCAGGCGATCTGCTCCAGTTGTAGTGGCCAGACCCAACGCGGTCACGTCTTCGTCTTTGATGGCATCTAGAAGGTTCAACTGGATAGCTATTCTCAGGGCAAGGGTTTCGTATGGCTTGGTATAGTCAGTATGGACAATCTCCAGCTCTGCATTGCACGGGGGATGGTGGACGCTCATGGATAGGTAAGGTCAGGCTAGACTACAACGAAATACGATTATACATGAGACCATTTGTTCTGACCGATTGCATTCAGACGCCGATCGAGAATGCTTCAAATTTGTAAACGTACCTGAAAAGAAAATCGTCTAATAGCCTCGAAAGGCGACTCTAATTCTGCCGTCAACTTTCTACACGTGGCGAGCAATTCGGCTTGTGCGTCTCGGTTCTGATTCTCGTCCTGACAAGCTTTGGCACCCGAATTCACCTGGTCGATCAAAGAGAGCACCTCGGAGGATAGCATGTTGATTGACCAATTATCCCTTTCAGATCAAGAGTCGAATGCGGAGGTGGTACGGGAAATAGAGAAAATGAAAGGAGATCTAAGGCGACAGCTAAACGAGAGTACTGTGTACAGTCGAGCGCGACGGATTAGTGTGTGGAAATTGCCCAATGGAAAATGGTCCCTCCAGTGTGTAATGAAGTAATGCAAGGTTACGTTGGCTTCAACAGTGCTGTTCGTGCCTTGCAACGAGACACTCGACGGACGCAAGCCTGTACGATAAGTATCACTGTGATGTCATTTACTGCAAACGTGGGATGTTGAGATTAAAAGCGGTGGAGGGAGTGTGATCCAGGTTGTATATGATGATGTAACCTTGCTGCTAGAAAGGTAAGCGAGCCACTTTTGTTTTGCTGCATGCAGCATGCAGTGGATCAGCAGAATACGCTTGATGCGGTATTCGCGCCGACGCAGAAGGTCATCACTGCGCTGAAGCTTTGACTCTAAGACCTGTCGAGCCTGAGCGTGCAGAAGGATGGGTATTGTGGTCGATCAGGTACTCTTCGAAAGTTTCAATCTTGCAGAGCTGCAACTCTCTGTAGCCGAATCTCCTCTGTTCCTTAAATGTAATATCAGGAATTTCGGCAGTGATATTCGACACTCGCCGTGACTTCTTATGTCATTGCGTGCGGCCTGTTCTCGTTGCCGGCCATTTCCCTTTCTCAGATGCCACTGTGCGAACCATGGAACCCCAGATAGCATTTCTAGGCTTAGGCAGTATGGGCCAAGTGTGTTTCTCTATCATACCTGCAAGCCTGTATTCTAATGGGATTTCTGGCAATAGGCTATGTGCAAGAACCTAGTCCAAAAAAGAAATCTAGAGAAGTTGTTGGCAAACTATTTGTCGAGTGCTCGACGACTCAACGCGAGCATACGAGTGAGCTTGCGAAAGGCGTGGAGCAGGCCGGAGCGGAAGATGTCACCATGCCAGGTATGCAGTGTGGAAGCTGAGAACCAGCCATGATCTGACTCGTTTCCAAATGGACAGTCTTTGGGGGAGCCCGCAATGGCTGAGAAAGGGTTGCTTACGTGTGTCCCTGCTGGCAAGCTAGAGCAGGTAGAATGCATTAAGCCTTACTGTACCGGCGTGTGAACACCTTTGCGTCGTCATTGACGACGTTATCTGAGGCTCAGCAGAGCCAGTTTGGACCCATTGGTTGACATCCTTCAGTACTGGTCGAGCCGTGGTAGATTTGAGCAACCAAGAGCCGAGCGAAGCGTCCCTTTTCAAGGTCATCGGTAATATAATCATCATCAATTTGATGGAGACGGTCGCAGAGGGGTAAGTGCTTGCGAGAGAAGACTGGGTTGAAGATCAGAAACCTACACAGTTGTCTCAGCACGGTATATGGTGGTCCATACCAAATATACTCAAAGCGTATGAGCTCTGGTGATTACTACAAAGACCAAGTGAGAAGATAGTCGACTGCATGCCGACTGGGCATTAATTGTTGTACAGCCTCTTGTTCCAATAAATGAATGCCGAAGGTTAGCTTCGGAGGTACTCGAGCTAGCACACCAATCCGGGACGTCATTGAAGGCATATGAGCAGGCTGCTAAGCATATGGGAATGGTGCAAAGGCGTGCAAAGGCATGCCGGGGCTTCTGGAGACATTTCGGGCATCCATGGGGCAGTGCGACTCGAGAGCGGCCTGGTGTTCGAGATTTAAGACGCTTGGTCAAATATCTTCCAGCCACTGCAGGAATTGCTATATCCGGTCCAAGGCTGGGCATTCCCAAATGCCGCACCAGTGGTTCTTTAATCTCTATCATAAGGGTTTGAGAGAGTCAGTAAGGTGTTCTTTGTATTCGTGTAGTTCACCGGCAATAGACCGCCGCGTCAAATTTACGTTTCAGCGTATTGCGTTTCTGTGTAGCCACTCGTGTGGAACCTCCATTCCTATGATGGGACGTAAAGCACTGCATCGCCATAGATACACCGCTGAACGATGCGCGCAGAGACCCACCCACAGTATGCTTGTTTGATCACGTTCCCCCCTGAAGGACAGGTATGCCGCTTCAGAGACAGGTCAGATGAGTGCATGAGGCGTTTTAGTACGACGCCTTGCAGGCTCCAAGAATCCTAACCACGTAGGTGAGTGGGGATTGCCGTGCAGCTGATAAGAATGACGAACCTGCAGGATGACTGCATGGTACATGCGTGCTATGTTGTGCCTTGTAAGCACGATGTAGAGATTGACCGGAACCGTACTCTAGATCCACTACTGGAGTCTCATACGTGTACACCCCACATCGTACATATACATACACCTTCTCAAACCGGGCTATTTTCTGTGACCATCAGATCAATCTACCTAGTCGTATCTACCCGGAAATGCCGGCTACCCGGTGATGCACGATCTGAAATCCGATAAATCTGGGGGTGACTTTTGGGGGATACCCCACCAAAAACTCACCCCGAGCCCACCCCTAAATCGAAACCCGGGCGACTTCCCCCACCCCGTTGCACTGCGCAGGCTTACTCGTAAAGAGTTCGGGCACACTTTATGACTGTCTAATATGAGTTTATCAATACTACTTCAATTTCAAAATTCTTTAAACTCTAGCAATCTTTTTTTACGCTTTATGAATTTAACTCTTTTTATTATACTGTTGTAAAAGAACGGATTTATCGGATTTTAGACCGTGTATTAATCGGGGAATATGAAAAAGAAATTCCACGGAAAATGTAATTTGCCCGGTTCAAAGACCAATGAAATGCGATTCATGAGTTGAGATAGACGTTTTGCTACAAGCGCACGCGGACCTCATACCTTACTTATGCATTTGGCGACAAGGAGGTTGCGATCCCAGCTCTACGATGTTCCTATCGTAACCGTCTCGACCGTGTCCGTATTTCCGGAATTCGGCTAATGGCGGCGGTTGCAGAGCCGCTGCGCTTACTTTCATTGAGGACAAAAAGTCAAATCACTGCAGTCTTTAACAACAACCTTCACCAACACCAGAATGAGCCGGCAGTGTCAGAATGAGACGGAGAACTCGGAGAAGCCTCGTGAACATATGCTTCTTCGCCATCGCTTTGTTTCTTATCGTGTACCTTAACCGTCATCAACCGAACAACAAAACCTACGCATGGACTACAATTCGCTACAGGACTACTTCTACCACGCTACCCAAGACTCGCGGCATCTGTCCCGGCCTGGCAGGGAGTTCGAAGCCGGCACTAGTCGTGTCGCGAGTTGCAGCCGACGGCGACTCCAATTGGCTCGATGCGCTGGCTAATTTATATCATCTATGCGTTTACACTGCCGACGCACCGGCCGACATACACAAGACGCATTTGCAAGTCCCCGCAAACCGCGGGCATGAGGCAATGGCGTATCTAACGTTTCTAATCGACAACTACGCAGACATCCCTGCAGCCGGTGCAGTATTCGTACATGGCGCGCGCTGGGCTTGGCATAACGATGCCCTTGACTACGACAACGCAGCTCTACTCATCGCTCTCAATGTTTCTGCGGCGCTCGCGCCGTCGGGCTACCATAATCTGCGTTGCGACTGGAGCGCCAGCATGTGCTCGTCCTCTTCGGCGCCGCCGCAGGGCAGCCTGGAGACAGTTCTGAGCGCTATGCTGGAGCCGTGGAACGCCCGCGCGACATCTGATGCAGCGCTGCCGCGCGCTTTTGCGGCTCTGTTCGGTGGTGATGGGTCTGCTGCGGGTTTGGGCTCCATCGCCGATGAGTACGCCTCGTCCAAAGATGGTGGGAGACTCCTTCTAGCGTGTCTAGTTCCTTCCATGTTCTATGCATGCGTTCCTTCTACATCCTTCCATGCATATTCCATCATTGTTCCTTTCATGTAGCTAGCCATAGATAGCAGTGCTTTGTTCTCCATCAGCTACATAATGGCTGATGGCCCCACCACTGAATCTACATGCTTTCTATCACCACTGCTGTGCTACGCTGAGAGGTTATGAGCCCCCGGTTGATGCTGGTGATACATTAACATTCCAATTGCATCAAATTTCAAAAAAAAACAACACACACACGTCCTTCTAGCCACAATGGGCAAATCAGGACAACAAGACGGTGAAGGCCAACAGCCTATCACACCCACACCAGAGGAGTTACAGGAATTGTATGACCTACGGGCCCAGAAGGCAAATCAGGTAAAGCCTGAACAGTCACGGCCCAAGAAGATCTTCAAATTCGCTATGCCCTCATCGACAGTCAACATCCCTACACTTAAGGGAGCATCCAATTGGGACCGCTGGTACCAAACGGTGTATGGTTGCTGTCAGATAGCTGGAATACACTCGATCCTCGCTGGAACACTAACCCAGCCACAAGGGGACGAAGAGTACGATGAATGGGAGTCCGCTAACTCATGGATTGAAGGCAACATACGTATGTCTCTTGAGTCAGGTGGCCATGCCCACATCGCAGGTATCCATGGTGCACACAACATGATCAAAGCACTCGAAGGTGCATACAAATCCAAAGGATACACCTCCCGTGAAGTACTGTGGAGGACCATTAGCCGTGCAAGCTTAGCTGACTACAAAGGAGTCACTGAGTACGTTGAGGCAATCAAACAGGCCAAAACAAAACTCGCTGAGTTAGGCCACCATTACACGTGGGAGATCACAACATCCTTCCTTCATGGACTTCCCTCCTCTTACGAATCATTTGTGGAAATCGTCTTGAACAGCCGAGGCAAAGACGCCAACGGAAGGCTGTTGGAACCAGATTTCGACTATATCGTCGAACAACTCCTTGATAGGGAACGTCGTCAGAAACTGACTAGTACCAATGACTCCAATGGCAAGGCCATGTTCACAAACAACAAGAACAAGGGGAACGGCGGCAATGACCGCAACAACAACAACAATTACAACCCCTGGCCCAAGTGTGACGACTGTGGTCGCCACCATGGTAGGACTTGCTGGCTATCCAACCCCGATCAGGCCTCCGCTGAGTGGGTTGAAAGAAACAAGGACCGTATCGAGGAATTCAAGAAGAAGAAAAAGGCTAGCAAGCCTGCTACCTCCACCGGATCCACCGAAAAACCAAAAATAGCAAGGGCGGCCTGTGCGAAGGCTGTCACGACATCACGTGACGACGGCTGGTATTTCGATAATGCAGCCTCATTCCACATGACATATTCCGAAGCCTATTTCGTTGAGGAACCAACACCCCTCGAAAACCCCATCCCAGTCGAGACTGCTGACGGGAGGATACTGGAGGCCACTGCCGTGGGCAATGCCCTGCTGGAGACCCTCATTGAGAATGACGACGGCGAGGACGAAGAATGCATGCTCACACTTGCAAACGTCCACTACGTCGAAGGTCTATCCACAAATCTACTCTCCCTAGGCACGTTCCAACGTAACGGCCTCACTTACACCGGAAAGGGGGACCGTCTGAGGGTCTATGACGACAATGACGACACCGTCCTTGAGGGAGAACTGATAGACACACTTTGCAAGCTGAGACTCACATCATTTGAAGCTGCAATGGCCAAAGAGATCGCCATGGCCGCGGTTATCAAAAAAGCAACCACCGAAAGGCAACAGCCATTGAATGGCATCAAGCATTGGGCCACCTGAATTTCGATGACGTTGCCAGGCTACCGGCCATGGTAGAGGGAATGGAAATCATAGGCAACACCAAAAGACAATTTTGTGAGCCATGCACCTACGGAAAACAGAAGAAGACCCCAGGCCACAAACCAATGACTGAGGTAGAAAATGCTTTTGATAGCATCCACACAGACCTCTTTGGTGGCGGATCAACATTACCCCGCTCCAAAGGAGGCCACTACTACTGCTCCACAAAGACCGATCAAAAGACTCGATTCCGATGGGCAGACTTCTTGAAAACCAAGGACCAGGCACTTGAGTCACTACAAAATTCGTTGCCATGGTCAGGACACAGTTCCATACCACCCCCAAGTGTATTCGTTCTGATAACGGTGGTGAGTATGACAATGAGGAAACCCGAGACTGGCTAGCCTCCCAAGGCATACGACAAGAGTTAACCATGCCCGATTCACCTGAACAGAATGGCATTGATGAGCGTACCAATGGCATTCTCATTCAGAAGGCACGTACCCAGTTGATAGCTGCAGATCTACCACCAGGCCTATGGGCTGAGGCAATTAGAACAGCTGTTCTAAACACAAATTACTCACCCACGGCCCCATTGAGAAAGGTAGCCATGACACCATATGAGGCCCTCACTGGAAAGAAGCCAAACATAGCTCACCTGAGGCCATTTGGGACGACGGTTTACGCCCACGACTACAAGCACAAACAAAAGGGAAAAATGGCCAAACAAGGGTTCAAATGTGTCTTACTTGGCTGGATACGATACATCCTACCAGAGCTAGGACAACAGCTGGACGGACCGTCTACAATACAGTGTGACAACAAGGGAGCCATCGATCTGGCAAAGAACCCTGTAGACCACAAGAGGTCACGCCATATCAACGTCAGCTAATTTTGTACGCGAATAAGCCAATCAGACGCGAATAGAATATGACCCACGAAGGACACGAAGGCCGACGGCCTCACCAAAGCACTAACCACCACGAAATTCAGTGACTTTATCGAGATGATGGGGTTAGTGGACAAAGACCTGAACTAACAAACTAGAATGATACATGATTTCGGCCTTGGAATAGAGGTATTTGGATGTCACTAGACAGGGGGAGTGTCAGCGTGTCTAGTTCCTTCCATGTTCTATGCATGCGTTCCTTCTACATCCTTCCATGCATATTCCATCATTGTTCCTTTCATGTAGCTAGCCATAGATAGCAGTGCTTTGTTCTCCATCAGCTACATAATGGCTGATGGCCCCACCACTGAATCTACATGCTTTCTATCACCACTGCTGTGCTACGCTGAAACAGACCTCGTCACCTGGTGCATACCGGGGTGTCGACCTAGAGCGGCTCAATACCCTAGCATGCCCGCGCGCCGACGACTGCTACTGCCGCTTATATGGGCGTTGCGGTCTTGAAGGTTGCAATACTCCCGGTCATTGCCACGGACAGTATACCTTGCCGCCGGACTTCCGACTTCCCGATAATTGGATGGCCACGCATTCGTGAGTCACACATATCGTGGACCTATATTTTTACGTGACGGCGGATTCACAGAGCTTCGGCATTATTATTGTGCCCACGCCTGGTAAGGCGCCGTGAATTTGTTTGACTGGATAATGATGGATTCGATAGGATAGAGTCTTCTGACTGATGGATTGCAAACAAGCTAATCGTGCCACAAACAAGCTACATAAGTGCGTGGCACCGTAGCACGATTAGCTCACTCGCTATGTTGTAAAGTGGCCACGCATACGCGAGATCCGAGTACCTACTTTAAGGATGTGAACCTGGCCGGACAATATCTACGTCTTGCGGTAGATACAGCTGTAACTACATTTTCACAGAACGCTAGACTGTATGTGCTACTAGGGTGCAAGTAGATACGGTATGTAAATTTTCACCTGTCTTCAGTAGGTACTGATCTGACCAATCAAAATGCGCATGACTTGACTTACTAAGCGCCTTAGAAATATGTTTTGCCAAGCAATTGTATTTCAATGAACCCCACTAAACGCATCGATACTCTTTTTACGTCTGCCAGATATCATTCACAAATGAGTACAACTCCCAATTAGATGCTCAAGTAGACAGGACCCCTATTACTACATATTCCATTCCTTCCAACTCTCCCATTCCCAACTGCCATTAACCCGCAATGGCCTCAGTAACACAGGTATCCGGGACCCATTCCGAAACCGCCCAAACAATCATCGACTCGCAACCGCAAAATCACATACATGGGACCTATTCCCGAGGAGGGGAAGACCTGGTGGAGATAGAGGCCCGCACCAAAACCAAGGTGCGAGGGGTGGAAATAGACGAGGGGGAGGGGGATTTGGGCCAGTCGACCAAACGGAGGACCCAATCAGCGAGCAAGAGGCCTCTCTAGCTCAGCGATTCCCTCAGCACCTCCCATACCACCACCTCCCGGCGGTGGAGGCAGCTTTGGTGGTCGCCTGACCAAAGATGCCGAAACGAAAGAGGGCGACGAGAACAAGGAGCAGAATGGGACGGAGGACGAAGTCGAAGCTGAAGTCTGCTTTATATGTGCTTCGCTTGTGGTCCACAACTCTGTTGCCCCTTGTAATCACCGGACTTGCCATATCTGCGCCTTGAGATTGAGGGCTTTGTATAAGACGAGAGCATGCGCTCATTGTCGGACGGAAGCCAAATTCGTCGTATTCACTGATGATGCCACTAAGCGTTACGAAGACTTTGTTGAGGCGGACTTCCAAGAGACCGATGAAGTGCTGGGTATCAAGTACGAGCAGAAAGAAATCCACAGTGACACAATACTTTTACTTCGGTACAATTGCCCTGACGAAAGCTGCGACATTGCCTGTCGGGGATGGCCGGATCTTCACCGTCATGTCAGGAGTATCCACCACAAGGTCCTGTGTGATCTATGTACAAGGAATAAAAAGGTCTTTACACACGAGCACGAGCTGTTCACACAACAAGATCTGAAGAAGCATGAAAAGTTCGGAGACGACCATCCCGGGGCCGTAGACCAAAGCGGTTTCAAGGGGCATCCAGAATGCGGCTTCTGCAGACAGCGGTTCTATGGAGACGACGAGCTGTATACGCATTGTAGAGATAAGCATGAGAGGTGTCACATCTGTGATCGTAGGAACCCAGCAAGGCAACAGCAGTACTACGTGAATTACGATTCATTGGAGCAACATTTCAGGAAAGATCATTTTTTGTGTGCAGATCAAGAGTGCATGGACAAGAAGTTCGTTGTCTTCGAATCCGCGATGGATCTCAAGGCGCATCAACTCGAAGCACATCCCAATGGTCTGACCAAAGATGCCAGGAGAGATGCTAGGAGAGTCGACATCTCGGCCTTCGACTATAGGACTCCGCACCAAGACAATCGAGGAGGCAGGAGAGATAGAGAGGGTAGAGAGGGGAGAGGCAGAGGAAGGGGCAGAGATCCCAACACTGAGGCTCTCCCACAGTCAACCGCACAACCTTTGCGTAGAGATGAGCTCGCTTATCAGAGGCAAATGGCAGTCCAAAGTGCTCAGTCAGCCACTGCGAGGACCTTCGACGACCAAATGACCTCTACCGACGCATACGCTGCGAGGCCCACAGGCCGAGTTCAAGACATAGTCACAGCACCTAGGAATCATACTACCACAAACAGCTCGTTTCCAGCCATAGACAATCTCCGTCTTGACTCCGCCGCTAATACAATACCAGCACCTCCCCAAGCCGCACCAGCAGTGACCCCACAAGAACAAGCCCGAAGATTGCAGCACAGCTCCGTCATGGACCGCGCTTCGACCATGCTCAAGTACGACCAACCCAAAATCTCAGACTTCCGCAGCAGCGTTTCGTCCTATCGCACATCCACCATCACAGCCTCCCAACTCATCGACTCCTTCTTCTCCCTCTTTGACGTTCCCTCGGCGGATCTAGGCAAACTCATCAAAGAACTTGCCGATATCTACGAAAATGAAGCAAAGCGCAATGGTCTGCTCAAGGCGTGGAATGACTGGCGCGCCATCAATGAGGACTATCCATCATTGCCAGGGCCCAGTGGTGTCTTACCTGGCTCTCCAGCCGCTGCTGCAGGTAGTGGAGGCCACCGAGTGCTCAAGCTGAAGAGCTCCACAGCTCAATCATCACGCTCGGCAGTTAGCAAACAAGGTAGCTGGGGCAATTCCACGGCCGCGAACCCATTCCCATCGATACCTGCATCCTCGGCCAACAGAGCAGGCGCGGGACGCGTTGGCGCCACACCTTGGATTGCCCCTTCCTCCTCATCGAGACCCCCACCAGCATCCTCGCGACCACTATCCAGACCCTCAACCTCCGGCCAAACAGAACGGTTCAGCGGCAGATGCCTTCCCCGCGCTACCAGCCGCTGCAAAGCCCAACACCATGATCATGGGACTAACGCGAGGGACTGTGCGGTGGGACGACGGGAGGGGAAGCAACAATCGTGCTAACCCGTGGGGGGCTGCGGATGGTGGAAGTGGGAGTACCACTCCTGCGGCCGAGACAGACGGAGAGCCCGAAGCGGGCAAGAAAAAGGCAAAGGGGAATAAGAAGCAGACTTTGTACAAATTTGGTTAATCACCTTTCTTGAATTGCAGCCCATCTTTAGACATAGACAACGGCGTATGATGCCTGGGATCTGCTCGGCTTGGCTCTTAAACAGTTTTTTTGGGAAACCCTATGTGATATCTTCGACGGGGTTGACGATATTATGTACATAGACTATATAGCGCGATGCTGGTAAGATAATAGAAGCGGCAATCTTGGCACGGATTACACGATAGCTGGTCCATAGAATGCCACAATGTTTAGGCGTGGTCCCCTTCTTAAGCCAACACTCCGGCGCAAACGATGGGTTGAACACGGGATTTCAAAGGCAGGATCATGCACATGGTCGATGCTGCTTTGATTTTCAGAAAGCATCTGGATCATGAACGGGTAAAAGCGCAGCATAGATATCTGCTCGAACATAGATGAAGCTCGATCGAAGCCACATGATGACTTTAAAAGGGTAGAAGCCCGAAATCTATGCCCCATTGATCATCAAACGAGCTCAAGCACAAGCACAAGCACAAGCACAAGCGAAATGACATCTCAGACTCTGCAGCCTCGCGAACGATATGGCCATCTAACTCTCATCCCCCGTTTCGGACTGGAGAGCACCCGTCATTTCGAAGCGCGGCTCGGGGCTCCATTCCATGCTCTCGGCTGATTCTTCCGGCCGGGTACCTCCACCATGGCTCACGGAGCGGTCCTCCGCCTCACTTTCTGTCCGAGCTTCAGCCTCGACCTCCGTCCCAGTGTCCGATTCCTCCTCGCTCTCGTCCGCCGCTGAAGCGGCATCCGCGTCAATAGCGGCCATGCGGTTCACGAATTCGTCCTGTAGTTTCTGCATCCAGGTGGCCAGCACCTTGCCGTTCATATTCCCTTCGTGCGCCTGTACGAGTTGTTCGCGTAAACTGAGGATCAGCTTCCTGCGCCTGACCAGTGCTAGAGTCTTGGAGTTCTTCTTGCGCTTCTCCATGTTCGACGTCAGCTTCTTGGAAACCTGCTCCGCGACACGCAGGACATCTGGAGGCAGATCGACGACTTTGGCGAGTGCAAGACCGTAATGCTCTTCTTGGACCGCACCGCTGGCAACCTTGTATAGCATCTTCATCTGATCTGCTTCGCTCATGTCCACGGAGAGGTGGAAATTGACGACGCCACTGCGCTCGGCAAGGATCTTTGCCAGGTCGCGGAAGTGAGTGGCGAACCAGACGAAGGCCCCACTCTCCACCAAAGCCTCTGCGACAGCGATGGCGATGGAGAGACCGTCTCGAGTGCTGGTACCTCGACCAAGCTCGTCGACAATGACCATGCTTCGAGCATCGATGTTACGGAGGATGAAAGCTGTCTCGCGCATTTCGGCCGCAAAGGTGGAGACATTCGCTTCGATGCTGTCGTCCATTGAGATGCGGGCGAAGAGCTGGTGGAAGATTGGGAAGGATGCATAGGAAGCCGGTACAAAGCATCCTATCTGAGTCATAACAGCCATTAGAGCGATTGATCGGATGTAGGTACTTTTTCCGCTCATGTTGCAGCCCGTGATGATCTGGAACCTGCTTTGCCGTGTGGCATATGCGTCATTTGGGACATACTTCTCTTTATGTATCTTCTCTCGGATAGGGTGTCTTCCACTCTTGATAGCGAGGGTGCGAGTCAATTCGGGCCTGCAGTAGTCCTGGGTGGTTACCAACTGCGCGAAAGAAGCAGTGACATCGAGGAGTGCAATAGCATCGCTGATCTTGAACAGAGGCGCGATCTCCGCACGGAGATTCTGGATGAATTCTTGTATGCTTCGATCGCTCAGTTGAAGCACCTCATGGTGAGAGTCCATTATTTTCTGGTTCCACTTAAGGAGATCCAGGGTCTGACACTCAATCGTGTTCCTCTTTTTGAAGACGTTAATGAAAACATCTGGCAGGTTGCGGTCCTCTATCTCCGATGCAGCGATGCGGATGTAGTACTGCCTGGCGGTGTCGTACTTCATCTCAAGAGCTATCTCATGGGTTTCTGGATTTGGTCAGCTCCACAAGACAAACAGGCGGTGCTCGACCCACCACCCAAACCTGTGACGAGCTGGTAAGCGTCCGCGTTCGCCTCTTTGTACGTCTGTCTTGCAACATCAAGAAGGCCGTTGACTCCTGACTGTGGAGAGAAGCCCGATCATTCAACGATCTTTTAAACCCGATAGGACAGCGGCTAACCTTCACTGCATATGTCCTCTGGTTACGTAAGTCCAGAGGTTGAACCTGGTACGTAATATCTTCATTGATGGTGTCATCGATCATGGCTTGCACGTCGGTATAATTTGCAGGAGAGCACAACTACACTATCAGCGCCATCAATCAAAGACAACAAGCATTTCCTACCTCGAATATTCCCACTAGCAGTTCGCTTCTTGTAGTTTCCAGTGCTTCGTAAATTGGAGGAATCGACTTCACGTATTGCTTAAGTGAGATGACATTGTTAATTGATTGCTCTGAGTGCTGAATGGAGGGTTTCGTAGGGATCAGGGTTATCTGCTTTTGTCAGGTTCCGCTGCTACTATAGCTGGACAAAAACTGACCGCCGTTAAGACCCTGTCAACGTCCACAAAAGCTTTTAGAGCTGCCACGACTGTCAGCGCACGGTCAATGTGTTATCGAGAATTATCGTCTTGCCTTGTCGAACAGCGAAAAAAACGTCTTCTCTCGTGGTCAACTCCTCCAAGGCATCATAGCGTTTCGTCAAGTAGGCGGCACTTGTGGACGGTTGGAGAACACTGCTCTTAAGGACTCGAGCGCCCATAGCCGTCTGGGTCTGGTTTAGCAGACCAAACAAACAATCTTTCGATCTGGCATTCTGCAGGTTCTGAATAAGCTCTAATGCGTGAATGGTTGAAAGATCGGTCATCATCGCGCCATCAGCCGGCTGGTATGTGATGCGAAGAGAATGGAAAGGGAAGGAGTACAAGAGGCTGAGCTCAATGTATTTGAGCACCTGGAACAACTCAGCCTCGATCGGAGAAGCATGCTAGATCGCTACCCACGGCAGCGATACAGCAAATTGCGTAATAGTTGCCTTCAATAGCAACTTTGAGAGCTTCCAGATCCTGCTTCATTGCCAACTGTTGAATGTATTCCATCCCTGTCGTCTCAGCCCAGTACTTTCTATCTATTGGGCTGATGCGGATGTGGGGAAGGTCGCCTTCAATGACAGAGTAAAGCTTTGACTTAGGCTGTGCGGCAGTAATCATGACAAGGACTTCAGTTGGCTCGAGACAAGCAAGCTTATGTATGGTCTTGACATAAGTCTGGTTGTCTGATATTTGACAGAGAACAGCTTCAGTAGTAGATATGTTGACAAAGGCCAAGCCGACGATAGGAGAAAGTCCTCTGGATTCGCTGATAGCGCAGATGATCTGCTGATCCCCACCAATGGTCGAGGCAGCTGTTCTAGGTCTACCAGTCCGCGGTCGACTAGTGGTAGCCCTGCTCATGCTTGTGCTTGGACGAGGGGTAGTACTTTCATCATACGGGCGTGATGGATAAGATGTGGTAGCAGAAGTATAAGATGTGGATGGACGACTACTGGCCGCCATGTTGGATGGCCCGTCCGCTTACCTGACGATGCTGGCTCGAGTAGGGGTTTTCCTTCCTCTTCTCTGAGGAATTGCCGCTCACTTGCAGTCCGATCGTGTAAGTATGGAGACGAGAAGAATGGAGATGAAATAAAGTTGGTGAGGTCGGCCTAACCCGGGCCCGAACTTGACTCGGCAAGGGGCTGTTGGGGGGTGAAACAGCGTTCGGGTAGGGGTCGGCTCGGGGCACGTGGGGTCAAACGTTCGGACATAATAGGTACTTAAAATATTTTGGCTGCCGCTCGCTAGTCTAAGCACTTTTCAAGGCATCAAATATTTTGGGTCTTCGAGTAAGGTACATCTTTTCTTGTGTACCTTTTTCTGGCGTAAACTTGTTTAACTCATCATGGCGACTACTCTACCCCCACCAAGCAAGCGTCAACGCACCGCTACAGCCGAGAAGGCAAGAGCGCAGCAAGATGTCGACACAATCCCTGACAACCTGGGATCAATCCGAGTGCAATTTCTGGATCAAGCCTCTGGCATATCAGCCGGTCCACCGGTCTCTGTGCCAGTCCGAGATGCTACGGTGAAGAATCTGGAGCTGCTGTTGAATACCTTGCAGAGGAACGTAGGTGTTCCCAGGACCACGAGTTGTTCTCCCCATCAACCGAAGGCAGAAATAGTCGCTGACCCTTCGCAGGATGCCTCTGAACGAATCCCCTATCGGTTTTCCTATCGCTCTGACTCATCTGATCCCACCCGACTCGACAACGCTCTTGATGTATCAGATGATCTCTACCATTCCCTTCTCAAGCCTGGCCTGAAGACAACCGAAGACTCTATCAGTCTCCAATATACCCCCCAAGCAATATTTCGAGTCCGTGCCGTATCAAGATGCTCCTCCTCAATACCAGGGCACGGGGAAGCCATACTAGCAACAGCGTTCTCGCCTTCGTCATCATCAAGACTAGTAACAGGCAGTGGAGATTCGACTGCTCGGATATTCGATTGCGACACTGGAACACCCATTCACACTTTGAAAGGCCACACGAGTTGGGTACTGGTAGTCAGCTGGTCTCCAGATGATTCGACGGTAGCTACAGGTTCGATGGATAACACAGTCAGATTATGGAACCCCAAGACTGGCGAATCACTAGGTGCACCCCTCAAAGGTCACAGTAAATGGACCACCAGTTTAGCGTGGGAACCTTACCATCTCCAGACGCCTGGCCGACCACGGCTCGCCTCTTCTTCGAAAGATTCCACCGTAAGGGTGTGGGACATTGTCTCTAAGAGGATCGAATTGGTGCTCAGTGGTCACAAGGGATCTGTATCCTGCGTTCGCTGGGGTGGGACCGGCAAGATATATACATGTTCGCACGATAAAACGGTAAAGATCTGGAATGCAAATGACGGTACTCTCGCACATACGCTCTCCTCCCATGCCCATTGGGTCAATCATTTGGCTCTCTCCACAGACTTTGTACTACGAACCGCCTATCATGACCACACCGGTCATGTGCCACCAACGCAGGAAGGCAAGATTGCAAAGGCAAAAGAGCGCTTTGATAAAGCTGCAACCATTAGCAATGAGATAGTTGAAAGGCTAGTGACGGCCAGTGATGACTTCACAATGTATCTATGGGAACCATCCAAGACTACTAAACCTCTTGCTCGCCTTCTTGGGCATCAAAAACAGGTAAATCACGTTACGTTCTCCGCCGACGGTCTTTTCATCGCCAGCTCTGGCTGGGACAATCATGTCAAGCTGTGGAATGCAAGGGACGGGAAGTTCATTGCTACGTTGAGAGGCCATGTTGGGCCAGTATATATGACTTGTTTTAGCCCCGACAGCAGGCTGTTGGTTAGTGGAAGCAAGGACACCACGCTGAAGGTATGGGAAATTAGGACTGCAAAGTTGAAAGAAGACTTGCCAGGGCATCAGGATGAGGTGTACGCAGTTGATTGGAGTCCCGATGGAAGCAAGGTTGCGAGCGGTGGGAAAGACAAGGCGGTGAGAGTGTGGAGACATTAAAACGTTTGGTGAAGCAGCCATTCAATGATACAAGCTCATCTATGTTGAGTCATGATTATGTCATCTTCTTGAACAACGGGTGCTACGACATAAGTCACAGTTCGGTTATGCAGAAACAGTAAGGAAGACCCAGCACTAGATAGTGGCGACGGTGTCTTCACTTGGCTGATTGCTGGCATGACCTTCGGACATCATCCCTTCAATCGCCATCTCCTCCCCATCATCGCCAAGTCGTGGCTAGATACGCCTCCAATCATGTACCCGTTGACGTGATTCTCGTCTCTGACCGCCATCATAGCCATCCTCTCCAGTAGCAAATATACCTCAGGTTCGTATAGCTGCAAGCGTGACACTTTGATTCCTGTCCTCTTGTCGCTGCCAGACTCGGCCTCGAGCTCCTCCCCCAGATGGATGGGTCTCCGGTTCATATGTCTGGTCTGGAGTAACCGCTTCGGTCTACTAGAAGATCATCTAGATGGCCTTCCGGGTATCTCTTCATGTCCGGCCGCAATGATACGGGTCGTGCCATCTTTTTCATGATCCGCATCCTTGGCATAAGGATCTCGCTTGTTTTACCCGATGGTCCGGTCCGCTTACCCGGATGTTGGTTAGAGGCCTATCTTTTGTTGATTTTGTTGCTCGTTCAGGTTAGATTCAGGGGATGTATGACCGGGATCAAGCACAACACGTAACCGTGGTCCCACTACCGCTTCTGAGTACCTTAGTTGGCTGCTGGAAACCTCGCTGAGCTTTTCGAACTCCCGCAGTAACCGATTTGATATTGGAGCTATAAAAGTATTGGATAGTTGGCTCGCGAGATTGCTAATCATGATTCATAGCCGAGGGCGGGTAGCATAACATGTATGAAGTTTTGCTCGACATGCCTTGGGCTTTTTCGCTCATAGCGCTTCGTGACGACTTGTTCAGATCTAATGCAGAGCAGCTGACGCCCCTCGACCTGATGTCTCTCTCAGCTCTGGGGTTAGCAAGCCACACTCGCCACAGCGACGGTAGATCTATGAACTTGTTTGGACATCTTTTCCTTTTCTTCGCTCATATGCTTCGTGACGGCTTGTTCAGATCGAAGTAATCTTGGGCAGCTGACGCACGTTGACTTGGGAATTACAACTCTCAGCTTTGAGACTAGCAAGCCACCCTCGCTATCTTTTGTCTTCGGCCTGAGATCTCTCGGCTCTAGCGTTAGCAAACCACTCTCACCGCAGTAATCCTTCACGGCTAGGTTTTGTCCTTGACCTAAGATGGTCAGCTTTGAAGTTTGCAAAGCCACCCTTGCCTCAGCAAGCGTCCACGGTCGTGTTTTGTCCTTGATTCATCTTGCAAGCAACGTGTTTGCGGTATTCGTGGGCTGAGAACGCAGCCAGATGGGTCACACCTGTCACTTGTCTTAGATCATCTAAACACCCATAATCTAGGCCAGGTCGTTGCACGCTGCAAGTGACTTTCTTTAATACCTTACGATATGCAACCACAGCTACTAGCTAGACTTGGAGTTTAGAGCCGTTCAAGACCCATATGCACGGTACACGAGTGCGCATGGCGACAATCCGTCCACGTCGTCCAGTACTACTAGCCCAGGTGGATGCTTGGGTGTATCCTTGGGTGTCCAATCAAGCTATGACTTCTTGGATGGCACGCATCTAGTCCCCGCTGTTGGGGACGCCTCGTCTTCAGACGAAGCGTATCACCACCAGTCCGTTCTGTACGTGAGCGAAGACGGTTTGACAGCCTCCCAGCTTCCGATTCGCGATCCGAGTTCCAAGTGGTGGAACAATGGCTTTTAATGGTCTAGGATGGAAAGAGTATGGGAGGAATGATCGTTTGAATCGGTCTGAGCACTAAGTCGGAGGCGGATGTCCATTACCAATTTGATGTCCGGAGAGGCCACGTTTTATTGAGGGCATCTTTCCCTGGTCATTGATTTTCTATATGCAGTCTTTCATCTGGATAGTGGCTGAATCAATATCTCCAAAAAATCAACCCCTAACCCAAAAAAAAATTACACCTCCAGCTCTTAATTCAATGAAAATCTTTAAGGTCAGGATGGAAAAGTAGAGGAAGATCGTTGAATCGTCAGCACTAAGTGGAGGCGGATGTCCATTACCAATTTGATGTCCGGAGAGGCCACGTTCTATTGAGGGCATCTTCCCTGGTCACTGACTTTTCTATATGCAGTCTTTCATCTGGATAGTGGCTGAACCAATATCTCACGACGCAAACGACAATCGAATGTCTTGTGTTTCTCCTGCGCGGTCAATCTTAGAGTGAACACTGAATCAACCGATATTCGTTTCGAAATCCAATATCGGTTTCCGACTCTACTCAGCAAGACTCAAAGATTTAGTGCTCCCTGAAACTATAAGGATCGCGATAACTCTATCCAACGGGGTTATGCCGTTCGCCAAAGGTATCCGTCACCATCCGGCAGTGCGTAGCCCTAAAGAAGCACCTGCGCAGACAACGTGTGAACTAGGACTCATCTTCAGAGAAACAATCGTTGTGAGGCACGCCATGAACCATGGCATCAATAACTACCCACACATTCCTCATGCCTTTTACTTCCGATAATTTCTTTACCACGTTTTATCTACGCTCTTGCCTGCGCAACGGATAATCTTTGGGGGTTCGGTTGAAAATTAGGCGTATTCCATGGGGCTTTTGCGCACAAGTGGTAGGAAGTGGTACGCGATCGGTAGATTTTGGGCATCATAACAGGGCAGTAAGTCTGAATCATGCAATAGTGGCGTTGAGAAGCCCGTTTAAAATGCTTTGAGTTGTGATCCATTTGCTTTTCAGTAACGCTTTGGAGTACGCGCCTTTCATTCAAGGACTCCGTGAGTGATCTATCCCACCATGCTATTGGTCCACCCATCTCATTAGGTGTCACGCTTCTCTCGCTCTTTCTTGCCGTTATTCTTCATCCATTTTGCAATTCTGGGTCGTCCTAATAGAGCGGAGACATGATCCCTTCTTGTGAAGCCAATTGAATAGTTTCAGCGCGATAGAGCCACAACCAGGAAGAAACAGGAGATTTGAAAGCATTGCGGTTAGGGTCAGGCCCAACCATCGGTAGTATCCCAGTAGTACCTTCACCGCCTCCCGTTGATCTTCAGCAACGGCGTCCCTCAGACTCGGAGCTTATCTAGAGAGTTCTTTCTGGGCCCCCAGAAGAGAAGCTGTCGAACTAATTCGAGTTTGCTTTGGCTCCAAATCCCACGTAACGGGGGAGCGGGCAGGTGCGCACCACTGACATAGAGAGAAAGGTCGGTCTGCGTATTGCTCTTAGTATCTGAGTAGGTAGTTGGAGATAGCTTTGATCTTACGTCGTCCTCCATCCCGTCACTACTACGCATGTAATTCACGGCGGCTACTAGTCTCTGTAGAAAGTCTACAGTAAACCAATCCCGTGCAAAGATCTTGGTTTGTTCATCGCGCAGATGGACAGCGTTTGGCCCCGGGTTATTGCGAGCATTACCAAGATAGAAGAGACGTGTGCAGAAGCGAAGACGAGTGAAGTCTGAGTTGAGGGCGATGTAGAAGCTTCGACAGACATGTGGCAGTGAGTGTGTCTCTGATAGAATGTAAATCTCTTCCAATAGCTCGACGGGCAGCCTCATAAAGGGACCAGGCAAGACAAGCCCTGACGAGTTAGACATGGTTCGCTGTTGATTCATAGAATACGTATCGATATGGCACAGTAGTCACCAGAGTAGTGGACCATAGCTGGACAATCTGCTACAAGTGAGAGATTGAAGACAAAAGTTTGATCAACGAGTGGCGGCGACAGAAATGACACAGAGATTCAACACAAAAGTGACCCAGAGTGAAGGAAGGCAGAAATTCCAAGACTTAATGCTTGGCGTTCCCGGCATAGAAACGACGCTAAATGTCCTCGACGTCAAGTCCTGTCATACAGCTATCAAATCGAAGGTCAGAAGAAGAGAGTACGCCGAAAAGAGGCCTCACAAGCATTGACGCAGCCATGGACTATCTCGGAGACGATGACTACCCTCCTCCTCCACCGCCCCAATCTCAATTCATGCAACCCACCGCCCCACCTCCGTCCCTCCCAGCCTACACCACCGATCCCTACAACGGCATGCCCCCACCCCCTACCGGCGAGTACCCGGACCTCCAGCAACTCATGCAAGCCTGTCAAGACCACGCCCGCCTCCACGGCTACGCCTGCGTGACCGCCAGCAACAATTACAAACGGGGCATCGCATACGTGCGCTGCGACCGCGGCGGCGACTATGTCAACCACTGGAAGCTGACCGACGAGACACGCGTGCGGAAGAATCGGAAGAAGAGATTGGTTGGCTGCAAGTGGAAAGCGAGAGCGAAGAGAAATTCGACGGGCACCTGGGTGTTGACCATGATGGAAGATAAGCACAACGGACACGATCCGTCAGGCGACGCGACGAATCATCCGAGTTTAAGGCAATTACCGGCTGAGGCTGTGGAGGGGGCGAGACAGGCGTTCAAGGCGGGGAGGAGTCCGAAGCAGGTGCTGGAATTGTTGCAGCAGCAGTACAACCCGGCGGTGACGGCGCAGGATGTTTACAACCTGAAGGCGAAGATTAACCGGATTGATAATTCGGCGACTGCTTCCCCTCTTACATCCAGGACCGAGGCGGATATACCAACTGATCCGTCGCTGCACATGCAAAGTTCGTACCAGCTTCTTCTCGTCTTCGAGAATACGCTAAAGTAACGTTACAATAGGCTCCACCCAAACCCTTTTACCTGGCAGCCCGCATCCCCTTAATGGTGTTGTATCTGCTGCTCACAAGTGCCAATGCACATGCTGCGATCATTGAAGGCCCAATCGTACCAGCATCCTCGATCAGCCCAGCATGATTGCAGTGAAGCTTACGAAGGTACACTTGAATGCTTCTTTCATCTGCTCTCTTCTCACCACTTTGAGTCGCATCGTCACCAATCTCGGCACCAGATTGGGTCACGAGCACCATTACAAACAATATTTACCAGACGACAAGCATTGCTAAGAGCGTTTTGCACCGTTAGAACTAGAGCTGACCGGCAGGGCGTTAAGAGAATGGACATGCATGCATCTAGCTCTTTGCACGAAACCGTATCTGTTTCAACCAGAGGCGTCAGGGGCCGGGTTTAGCCAGTCTGCTCAGCTAGATACCCAGCACATGTATGCTTAGAAGAATGCGAACAATGTTGACACGACACACATTCGTGCTTCAGAAATCTCGGTTCTATGTACTGCCAAGCAGGGTATTATAGGCGAACTCCCAGCGCTACACGCGTTCATGAGGCATGAATCCAACCTCCCACGCACCAGGCGCGTCCTTCACAACCACAAAGCCGTCAACATCCCGACCCCCACAATCAACAACCCCACCCGCGGATCCCCCTTCCTCCCCCCTCCATTCATCTTCGCCGCCAAATAAGCCAGATACTCGCCCGCCTCCCCCTTCCCCTCCGCCTCCGCCTCCAACCTCCCCACCTCCCTCCCAACCTCCTGCCCAAACTCCCCAACCACATTCCCAGCCGGCCAATACTCACACACGACCAACCACCCCGGCACGCCCCCCTGCCCATCACAATCCACCCGCCCGCACCCCACACCCGTCGTCCCCTTCCAGACCAGCTGCGAAAAATGCCCCGTCGACTCGCTGAACCCGCCTCCGTTCCTGAAATCATACCGACTGCCCTCCCGGCCCCACGCGTCGACCGCGTCCGTCACGTTCGCGTAGCCCTCGGCGAGATTCTCGCCCGCGGCGCCGTGCGAGTGGTTGAAGTGGCATTTCGAGGCCCAGGCGGTGGCGTAGGTGGCGAGGGAGGCGTTCCAGGCCAGGGCGGTGGCGTTGTAGTTGGCGCGGTAGGTGTTGGTGCTGTTGAGGATGGAGGATTCGAAGGTGCTGTCGGAGGTGTATTGCGCTGATGCGGAGGGTGTGGAGCTGGTGGGGGAGGAAGCGGAGGAAGAGGCAGTGGAAGAGGAAGAGGAAGAGGTGGCTGCCGCGGCGGTGTAGGTGGAGGTGGAGGTTTCGACGACGAGGACGGCGGCTGTGAGGGTGGATAGGAGGGGGATGAGGATGAGGGGGGGAGGGGTGGGAGATGCATTGCTGTGGGCAGGTGTAGGGTTGGGAGGAGAGCGAGTGGCGACGATGAAGGAGAAATGCAGAGGTTGATGGTTAGTATGAACAGACGAGTGTCAAACAGATGAGGGCCATTGTTCGAATATATCAGCGAACAAAGACGAGGGGACAGCGGTTAGGGATCTTGATTATCATGACGGCCTTTTCTCGAACACGTAAATACAGGTTTTTGGTTTCATGAGTGTACAATGAAACACGACTTTATTTGAGAAAGCTATTCATATGTAGGGGGTTTGAAATTGCACGTTTCATGGAGAATGATTCGCCGTGGTCTTTTGATTTGTCGGCGGCTGCGCTTGCAAGCCAGCGGCAATGTCTTGGCCATTGTGGATACTTTGACGTCGGCAGAGGGTTTTTCGTAATGGTGAACATAGGCTAGTTATAACACTCTGCGCGGCCTCCATGTTCACTCGTAGAAGCCCTGGGAGGCGTATCGAGCCGGTGTTTAGATGTACAAATGGCCTCCCCCACAACGACTTCGGCTCATGATGATCCGCTCTTGCAGGAAGAGCTGTTACAATCGCGCTACGCGGATTGGAAACAACGATTCGATGGTAGGATGATGCCGGAGTTGCGGAAAAAGCACATATTCTCGGCGTCTTGGGAAACGTTGTGGCATGATGCATGGACCGAGTATGATCAATTAGAGAGTGTGAGACTTGAAGAAGGCTTCCCGAAGCAGACTTGGCAGGATGAAGTGGAACATGATCGGAGACTATCCGAAGGTATGAGGAAGTATAAATCTAGGTCTGTATCTTTGACAGCCTCCGATTGGTCTCAAGTACCTCTGGGCATGATACTAGAAAAGTACTTGGGTACGAGCATTCGCAGCGGAGACAGAGATGCGGCTGTAGCCCTCGCTAGATGGCGCAGATTTCGCGAGGTAGTTGCAGAGCAGCCACAGTTCTGCCGCTCTCTATCATTTTCTCAAAAGGTCTCATGGACCATCTTGACACACTGGTGGTCAGGAACCTATCAAGATTCAAGCTTGTCGAATGCCGCAATAGCATCTCTCGAAGCCGCTGCTTCTTCTCCAGTCCCAATGATCTACTTCTTTGGCGAGGCATACCCAGACGCAGAAACATTCACCCAACTTCGAAAATCTGTGTATCACTCAATCATGTTCGATCTTTTCAACCGGGAATTCAATCCGCATCATTGGGAACCACACGTCAGGGGAATCCTACTCACCACTCTTCGGTTTACAAGGTCTAAGGCCGTCCAGCACGCAACAGCTCAGAGACTTGGTTATACGTCTTATATGAACATCAAAGGATGCAGGACATATGACGCCGGCTTCTACATGGGTTCAATGGACAAGCCTTGCCCTTGGCTACGCAGAGAAGGCGACCATAAAGAAATGCCTTTTTTCCTCTGGGACGTCGAACAAAGGCGTACTGTGATAGTGAACGATCTGAGCACTGAGCCAGTGTACTGTTGTGTAAGTCATACCTGGGGTCGATGGCGGAAAGAAGCTATTCCGATAGATGGAGTGCCTTGGCTTGTCCCACGGAATGAAAAGTTTGAAGTCGAGAGACTGCCTGAGCATCTACAACAAATTCGACCACAGATACGCTTCATCTGGATCGATCTCTTTTGTATTCCTCAGGATGGGTCCAGAAAGGCGGATGAGGAGATAAATCGTCAAGCATTGATCTTCCAAAATGCTTCTCGCTGCATAGCCTGGATAAATGACGCAAGACAGTGGAGTGGGACTATGAAAGCCTTGGACTGGCTCGGAATCTCCTATTTGCATGCCACTACTTGTCCTGGTATTTATGACACTGACACGCTTCTACCTTCCCTGCGTCATGAAGCCGATACTACCAGCGAGCTGTTCTCATCGCAAAGCGATCCTGCCGAAGTGAAAAAACGGCATTCTGCCGGGTTGCTAGCAGCAACTGGCCCACGCGCGGCACTGTCAAATGATGTTGAGACGCTTGCGGAACCTGCGAATTGGTTCTCCTCGCTTTGGACCCTCCAAGAAGCAATGCTTTGTCCTAGCATCACCTTTGTCGCTCAAGACTGGATGCCATTGAACGATAGAGCTGGAACACCTGTACCTCTTGACACTTTCTTTAGATTCGTAGACACCGTAGAAAGTGTCTGGCGCAACGGAATGCCATATAAGGTCTTCACAGAAGGCACCATGACAAGATATTCGAAATATAGTATCTTCCTCCAATCCGACGAGCATTTCCGATCCGACAAGCATCTATACTTGAAATGGCCCAACGGCCCAAGACAGCTTCAGGACTTGTGTCTGATTACGAGAATGGACAATCTCCTCGAATCACCATCTCCAATCGGGCTGCTAATGGTGGCAAACGTTCGCCAATGTACAGGTAGCAGAGCACCGGCTATCATGTCTGCTCTAGGGATCACGGATTGGTACAACTCTGAGTCGGAGGCCCACACGGACTTAGTCCTGGATACCTACCCTTTAGCATTTGTTAAGGAGGCTGCATCTAAGCTGGGTGCATCGTTTTACGAATCTGTGACAAGACGTCAGAACATACCAAAGTGGTATGATATATTCAATCGCTCACATAAGGGCTCTATGATGCCTTTCTCCGCCACCAACGGTTGGTATTCGCGCATTCTTGCAATGCCAATCCAGCACAGGTACACTCCAGAAGACCATCCGGCGGTGAAGACTTGGACAATCAAGCAAGACGGGAGTGTAGGCATCAAGCGGGCAGGCATTGTAGCTTCAACGGAGTTTCCAAATCCTAATGAGTCACAAATGCAGATTCACATCATGAAGGGTGAGTTTCTGGAGAAGGATTGCCGATTTGGTGATTGGGCAAAGAATTTGCCGGAAGGGGTATGCGCGTACGCTGTCAGCCTGCTGCAGGATTCCCAGAGGCAATATGGTTTGATCTTACAAGGCTATCAAAAGATGTGGTTCTCAACCCAACGCCTAGTGAAGGTTGGCACATTCATGCTCCCTGAGATTGACTTACCGCCTACTACAGGCGTGGACTGGGTGGTCCGGTGACTACGAGCTGGCAGATAGTAGCGGTAGAAGAACAGGACTCTACGACGTGATTTATCGACAAGTCACCGAGCGATACAAGAAACATGAGCTTTCGTCTCAGGGTCGTTCGCGCCGAAGATTCCTTCGTTAGTGCGCTGCGGGTGTTACTCCGAGATCCTTGGTTTACTTCGCTCTGGACTTTACAAGAGATGTTCCTTCGCGCAGACCCTTCGATTGTGGTCAAGGCTGCAAAGTCGTTGGAGGGCAAAGGAGGCAATGGCAACAACGTTGGGCTTGCGAATCTGATCGTCAACCGTACGGTCGTACCAGTGTCTATGCTGAACTAACGCGCAGAGCCGTCAACGGCCAGCGTCCCCTCCAAGAAAGAACACGCGGCAATTTTCAATCTGATAGAGAAGCTAGGTCCGTACCATAGGCTGTGGGAGAAATCCATGCTGCTGTTTGGCGCAGCGCGACACTGGCAGACACGAGATCCCAACGATCGCGTCTACGGCATTATGCAAACATACGGATTCAAGCTCGGCCGGTCCTTCCAGCCCGCAGAACTTCACCCTGGAGGATCTCAAGCTCCAGCTTGCTACAGCTCAGAACACTCAGTCCACAATGCTGCTCAGCTATTGTCACACAGGGTAGAGTTGGGTAAATACGGTGGATGATTAAATACAAGCCGGATCAAGTCATCAAAATCCACAATGTCTGCTCAGCTATTCGTCCACACAAGGCGTATCGAGTTGGGTAAATTGCTGACGGGTTGATTCCGATTCCAAACTCCCACAAGTCCTCGCGATCACCGAGTCCGATCGCAAGAGCCTGTGCGAAACGTCGTTCGAGACGGTTCAAATCGAATTGAATGGCCCAAGTGGTACCATTTCCCATGCCTGTATGTCCCCTGCAGACCAGTCGTTCATCAGAACCAAGCCGAAGATATTCTCCTCCGCCTCTTTGATTGACACCGGCTCCCCCATCTTGTTGGCCTTGCACACGAACGTACCCAGCTCAAGCTCGAAGTCCAGACGTTTGGAAGGAGTGAAGATCGGCTTTGGAACTTCTGCAGTCGGGTTTTCCATGACCTGGCCATGCGGTCTGCGGATCGAAGTGCCAGAGACAGCCACTGAGGAAGCTCGGCCATGGTAGCCGACAGGCAGGTGCATATAGTTCGGGTGTAGGGCATTGTCGATGCCGCGAATCAGGGCACCAGCATTCTAAGCATGGTGTTTGCCGACGAAGAAGTCGGTGTAGTCGCCAATGCGGAAGGGGAGGTGGGTCTCGACATCTTTCAGTGAGAAGAGACCTGTCGTAGGGTTTTGTGAAACCCTCAGCAGGACTGAATTTTGACCCTTCTGCAAAGACCTTTGGGAGAAAATGACGAACCTCTCGATGGACGGCGCGCCCTAGTGCTGCGAAGTCGTTGAGGGCGGGTTGAGAGAAAACCTCGAGATGTGATGTGATCGCCGGACAGTCCGAGGAGCCCGAACATAAGGCGAACACGGAGAGATCAAGAGCATGTTCTCCAGTTGCTACTCCGACGTGCGGAGAAGATGAAACAGGTGTTGTGATTATTCCGAAAGGAATGTCGGCGAGGGAGAAAGGGGAGTCAGGGGCGATATCTAGCCAGGATCTAGGCGCCATTGTTTTGACTTTCGATGAGGCACTCTGTTGCCATGGTCAGCTTCACAGCTTCGCTCGGGAAGGTTGGAATTTTTGAAGTAGGCCATAGCGAACGCAACGTCGCTAATGCAAACTTTGCGTTGCTGTGGATCGAGGAGGTCACGTATCGCACTAATGCAAGTCACGTGACTAGTGCGCCAAGGCCCCGGGTGCAACCTGGAAAGAGACTAGGCCTGAATGATACGGCGGACGAGGGCTGACACATGACACTACCACAAAACCAAAATCAATTTTTTTTTTTGATTTTTTTCTCCTTCCCGCGACTTTAAAAAAAATTTAAAGAGATTTCTTTAAAAAAATTTTAGAGAGATACTTTAGGGGATTCTTTAGGGGGTACTTAAGGGGGATTTAAGAGATTATTCGAGGATATACTTTTAAGGATACTTTAGAGAGCACTTAGGGGGTTACTTTATACTTAAGGGGTTTCCTTAAAGAGTTACTCGAGAAATCACTCGAAGAAATACTCGAAGTGCGAAAAAGAAGTTTTCTTAAAAGAATCCACGGGAAGTTCCACGGGAAGTTCCGCGGGAAGTTCTGCGGAAAGTCCCGTAGAATTTTTTTTTTTTTTTTTTTTTTTTGCGCGAAGAACTTTATGGTACCACGCGGGTTCCAGAATTCGTCGCACACCCTAACCAGATTTGGGGAAGCGGATGTGCGACGAATTCTGGAACCCGCGTGGGTACCTGGGAGGATACTCGGAAGGATACCCGAAAGAGTACCCCGGAGAATACCTCGAAAGAGTACCCGGGAGAATACCCGGGAGAGTACCTCGGAGAATATTCCGGAGAGTAGCCCCTAAAGAGTACCTTAATAAGCTTAATAAGTACTTCTCGAAGAGTTAAAAATAGTGTACGCGTAGCAGCTGCCTAAAAATATTCTAAAAAGAATATTTTGAAGAAAGTTACTAGAAATCGCGAAAAAAAATAATTTTTTTTTTTTTTATTTTTATGTAGTGTCAGCCGTCGTCCGCCGTAAATAAGGCGTAACAAGCAAGGTTGAAAGCGAAATGAAACAACAGCAGCACAAGCGAATTTACGACAATCAAGTGTCCATGAAGTGGTAATGGGGACAAATGTAATGGATACACCGCTCAACTACTATCTGGCATGGCCAGTGCATCGCCGGTCACTGCAATCATGACTGAAGGGCCGCGATCACCACACAGGCTCCGAATCGTCTAGGTCATTCGGCTGATTCTTACACAAGGCATGTTGTCGCAAGGCTGAGATTTTACAATGGCCGATGTCAGCCGGGCGGGAGAGTCACCCTCAAAAGTTCCTGACGAAGTGAAGAGTAGAAGACCAATCCGACAGAGAGAATGCATAGATCTCTATGGGATCCATCACTCAAGCCGGATCGTCGTATACAGGAAGTATTCCATCTCAGAGTCAGACCAACAATCGCTGGCGTCGATATGCCTGTCTCGCTTCTCGCTTCTTTTTAGCCTTCTATGGTACCGAATTAATTGACTTATAAGGTAGTATTTCATTATAAGGTAGTATCGCATATCAAGGCTCCAACAAGCAACTGACTTATTAATAAATACTCTGGGCAACGTGCGAGCAAAGCAGAGAGCTAGTTAGGAAATTTTGAAAGCTGCGGGCCGGCTTTTGCTGCTTTTTCCAGTAAATAATCACCTCATCCTGCATCAAACATGTTCCTCCCCATAAGAAAAGAAAGTCATAGAGCACTTTTGGCCGTGCACAGGACCTTCTTGCCTATCAGTGCAGACTTGCACCTGTCGCACCCAGTCTATCATTAACATTGCTATATCGGTTGGGAAGAGAATGTCATTCTTTTGTTCCTTCAATGGATTACTTTTCCTGCTTTGCCTACAGGTCAATCACAATCACGCTGCACCTGCAGCCGAATGTATACCATTGGTTCCGCTGTTAGATGCTAACGCGGGATCGATAAATAACTTGGTGGAAATCTCATGTGCAACTGTATATGTGTTTGACAATATAACATTCAGTGGCGGCTCTTCAAGACTCATCGCTGGAAAGACCACGCTTCTCCCCGGTGGACCACCAGCTATCATCTCACATCATACTTTCTCCCTTGGACCATCAGGAAGCTCGGTTGCCGTCGACGGGACACTCACAGCTTTGTCACAGCAAACACCGACCAAGACTCCCGCTCCAGGTTCCACCAAAAGTGCTGGATCCCCTTCCACCACTGTGACTTTGTCGACGTACACAGTCGACGGAATCCCTCTAACTGGCAACCCTACAAGCCTCGTTTCAGGAAGCAACACACTTACACCCGGCGCTGCTCCCGTAACAATATCGAGCCATATTTTGTCGATCCCCATTTCTGCGAGTGAAGGACAGATCAGTGTCGATGGGACCTTGACTACTTTACCAACCCAGCGCCCAGCAAGTAGCCGAACTCAATCAGTCTTGTTGACTTCGCTTGGGAGCACAGCTGCATATGAGATCCTCGGTGTCACTTCAACTGATACTGTACCTCCTCCCAATCTTTCAACTCAATTGGTCACTAGTACTTGGACCTCCAATACTTGGTTGACAACCACGGTTGGTGGGCAGGAGACGATTGTGCCCGTTCTTGTGGGCTGTGCTCACTGTGGAGGTACCGGCGGAGGCGTGATTGTCTGGAATTACCCTCCACTCCCAGGTGTAACCTTTCAATTTCCAAAACTGCCAAATGGAGACATCGTGGATCCTTTCCATTTGCCCTGTATCCCGGTCCCTTTCATCAGCAGTTGCGCGTCTCCACCTGTCGACGATCCTCCTGTGGATGGCGCTGCTGGTGGACCTGATCCCAATCCAGAATCCCCAGATCCAAGGACGCCCTCTTTAGCCTCCTCTCCAGATCCAAGGACGTCGTCTCTGGCCTCTTCCTCTACTATGTCATCGACGACCTCTCGACAGCTATGTTCAGCTTTATGCTCTGCGTGTGCGAACAATGACCCTCCTTCATCCTATCCTTCGCCTGCAAAATTCAAGAAACGCGTTGTATCGCTTCCCCAGAAAATCTCGTCGAGGTATCAGAGTGCATCGAAACTAAAGAAGCGCGTTTTATCTTCACCTAGCGACGCACCGTGGAATGGGAATCTGGACTCTTTCCTCTACGACCAGATATCGATTGCAGAAGATGCTCACAATGATGTACCTCTCAGAATTCAAGGGGTAAAAGGCATCTCATCCTCTCTCGCAATTCCACTGCGGGCCCTCCCCTTGAATATGGTTCTACAGGGAATGTACGGCTGCACCTCGGTGATTGTCATATCTAAAGGGCTTGTTTGGGGTTCACATTTATGGGAGAGTGAGGGCTTCTTATCGGGTGAAGATAATTTCAAAGCTAGCATCATCAATGTGTTAGGTTCCGGGGATGGTACTCCTGAAATGCCTGGCCTTTCCCAATTCACAGCAGTCGGTGGCCGACTCTCCCGTGCCACCAACCCACAAGTGTTCATCGTAACTCCTGGATTTGTCTCAGGATCAGGAGCCATGTTTCATCCCGAACGAGTGGGAGAAATTACTGATAAGCTCAAGGAGATTCTTGGTCAGAATGTACCCTTGAAGCCGATTCTGTATGATCCCGTGGACAAACCGCCTGAGCCGGATAGCGACGACGGCAGCCACGAAGATGACGAATGGACCCCTGACGGGAGATTTTTATTTCAGTACGACCCTAATCAGATGCAATGCAATGGTGTTCAGACGGCCATGTGGAGACTCTGGATCGAAGGCGAGCTCCTTAAACAGGGATCCTGGGATGCCACGAACGAACAGCTCGTTCCACGTCAAAAGCGTCGAGATCTTGAATCCGCAGGCGCAGCTGTTTGCTCAGCTTCCAGTACTAGCCCAGCTTCCAGTACTAGCCCAGCTTCCCCATCACCCTCGACATTTGCCATATACCTTGCGCTGAAAGTCCTCGAGGGAGAAGCGATTCAGCCCCACGGATTGCCCCTAGATTATTCCTATGTTGAACTCTACGACGAAGTCTGGGAAATAACTGGGGACTCCGAGCCAGACTACTGCGACACCCCCACCAGGTCTACGGTGGTCAGTGGCGCAATACCAATCATCAATAACCCATACCCTACCACTACTATCACGAGTCTCCAACCATCGGGAACATCTGGGCCCACGTGCAATTGGATCCCAAGCGCGAGCGACGACGCGGGCTATCTCAGCTGCAACTTCCAATCCTACCCGCGTAGCCTGCCTGAGTCCGGACGCACCGGAGACCACATGCGGGAATGGGGACACATGGGTTCTTCCAGCTGTGCGGTGTATTTGGCAAGGAGATTGAGGTTCTGTGCTTCGCAATAGAATAGGATGCGACCTCTGGGTTAGCACACCTGGAATCGAATGATAGTGCCGTCGTGGCTCAGCGTTGATAGCGTCCAGAAGAACGGCGCTGATGGTCCATAAAATTTATAAGAACATAATAATAATCTTAATCTGAATCGTGTTAGTACACCTTATTGCATGTACAAGACAAATTGAAAAATTTTTTTTTTTTTTTTTTTTTTTTTTTTTTTTTTAAAACCCCCCATTTTTTTTTTTTTTTTAAAATTTTTTTTTTTTTTAAAAGGTTTTATATAATACCTCTTTATAATACTACGATCGTCTATTTAAAGAATAAAAAAGAAATTTTTAATTAATTTTTTTTTTTTTTTAAAATTATATATTTTTTTTTTTTTTTTATTATTTATTATTTTTTTTTTTTTTTTTTTTTTTTTTTTTTTTTTTTTTTTTTAAATATATTTTTTTTTTTTTTTTTTTTTTTTTATAAATTTTTTTTTTTTATTATATTTTATTTTATATTTTTTTTATATAATTTGAGTTTTAAATAAAAAAATACTTATATAACTTAATAAGGCTTTTAAATAATTCAGATTTTATAAAATAAAAAAGTTTTAATAACTATAAACGAGAGTAATTAATAAAGTATTTTCGAAAACTAGAATATTCAATTATAAGATATTC